CTTGCTACTCACCTTTGAACGCACCCAATGATACTTCACATCCATATGCTTGGTCCTCCCGTGCCAATTGTCGTTGTGAGCCAAGTCGATGGCAGATTTGCTATCCGTGCGTATCACCGTCGGTCCTTCCACCTTGATTTCCATCTCCTTGAGTAGCCTTCTCAGCCAAACCCCCTCTTGGCATGCGTAAAACAGAGCCATGTACTCCGCTTCCGCACTAGAGAGCGCTATGTCACTCAACTTTTTCGCTTGCCACATGATTGCTGTCCCGCCGAGCAGAAACACGTAACCGTATGCTCCCTTCCTTGTTTGCCTGTCGGATGCGTGTGAAGCATCCGCATACCCCACTAACTCCAAGGTCTCTTCACCTCCTTCGAATAACAGCCCCTCATCTTCATGTTGCAGTAGGTAGTCGATAGTCCTCCTCATCTCTCTCCATTTTCTCTCCCCTTGTTGCTGCACTTGTTGCCCAAGGTAGCTAGCTGCGTATGCCATGTCAACGCGCGTGCATGAGACCGGATACATTATGGACCCCACCATGGACTGATATACTCGCAGAGCTCTCTCCTTGCTGCCCCATTGGTTGACATCTTCCTCCCGCTCACTGTCATTTTCAGCTACCCCACTCAATGGTGTAGAAATCTCCTTCGTGTAGCCGTTGCCAAACTTCTGCTGCACCCTGCTGCAATATTTCTGCTGGTATAGGAACATCTTCTTCTCCTCCTTACGCCGCTCCAGATTCATGCCGAGAAAGAGTGTGGTCCTCGGAATCTGCTTGACTTGAAAAACTTCCGCAAGGTGAGTGCACACCTTCTCTACCTCCTCCTCTAACGCCCCTGCCACCAAGATGTCGTCCACGTATAGCACCAAAAACACCTTCTCTTTCCCTTCTCCCTTCCAGTAGAATGCTCTATCACACTCACTTTTATGAAATCCCCCTTGCAGTAGCCGCTCATCCATCGCCATGTACCACTCCCTAGGACTTTGTTTCAGCCCATACAATGCCTTCTTGAGCTTGCACTTCTTGCCCGAGCCGTCATCATGCCCTGGTGGTTGTTCGAGGTAGATGTCCTCCTTCAACACCCCATACAAAAACGCGTTTTTAATATCCAGCTGCACCATGAAGTATTTCCTTGCTGCTACCACCTTGAGAAAGACCCGCGCCGTTGCCAACTTGCTCACTGGAGCGTAGATCTCATTTTGTTGGTAATCTTTCCCCTCCACCTGAGTGTAGCCCTTGGCTACAAGCCTTGCTTTGAACCTTTCCAGCTGCCCCATATCTCCGGTCTTGATTTTAAAAATCCACTTCACCCCCACGGCTTTCCTCCCTTCCGGCATAGGCACGAGTTCCCATGTGCCCCTTTCAGCCAATGTGTTCAACTCCTCCTCAATTGCTGCTTTCCACTGCTCCCTTTCTGGACCCTCGAGCGCCTCCTCGATGCTCACTGGTTCTTTGGGCAGGTTGTGACTCACTTTCCCTTCGTTGGAGACTAGGTCAGTAGCTGTGGCAGAGAGTAGGAAGTGGGTATGGATGTCCTTCCAGCACGTCATCAGCAGTTGCGCATACCGGGGGTTTGCTTTCTTCACCCTCTTTCCTCTCCCCAACTCCTCTGCATGTGACTCAGCCTCATCTCCACTGAAACCCTCCAATTCCTTCTCATTTTTAACTCCAGATTTCACTTCCCTTCCAACGACGATGGCGCCTTCCTTTAGCAAGTCCTCTATCTCTCTCATCTTGGCGTTGCTGTCCTCACTGTCTAGAAGCTTCCAAGGATCACTATCTCCTTCAGTTGCTGATTCTTCATCTCCCTCTTCTCCAGCCACTTCGTCGTTGCCACCCTCAGCTACTTCCAAGCATGGCTGCTCCCCTGCTTTTTTCCACTCCCTTGCTTTCATCCACTTCCCTGGTTGGTGCCTTCTCCCACACCCAGTCAACCAAATCTGCCCGGTCTATCTCATCTATCTCCTCATCCCCTTCATCACCAACTCCCTCACTCTCCTTTTCTTCCAAGAGATCATCCACCTTGTCCGATGTAGTTGCTGTCCCTGCTGCTGCAATCTCTTTTTCTACTCCCTTCCACTGCAGGTAGCTCACCTCCTCGTAGAAAATAACATCCCGGGTGATTGTGACCTTCCCCGAAACCACATCCTTGATCACCCACCCCTTGCTCACTGGGCAGGTACCAAGATTGATCCCCCATTGAGTCCTTGGCAGCAACTTATGATCCGGACCAGCAGGCTCCCTGTATTGTACCATACTCCCCCACACCCGTGCAAGCCCCAGATTCGGCTTCCTCCCATAGAATGCCTCGTGAGGAGTCACATCTGCCCGAAGTCCCTTGGTAGGCAACCGGTTCTTGGACCAGCAGGCCATTGCTAATGCATCACCCCAGAATTTCAGTGGCAGCCCACTGTCAGCCAGCATGCTCCTCACACTGTCTAGCAGAGAACGATTCACCCGCTCCGCTACACTATTATGCTGTGGAGTGTAGGGTACAGTCAGCTGCCGTCGGATGCCCTTACTCTGTAAAAACTTGTTAAACAGGTCCCCGGTAAACTCCCCACCATTATCTGTCCTCAAAACTTTCAGCACCTTCCCACTTTGTCGCTCCGCTTCCGCCATCCAAGTCACGAAGCTAGGAAACACCTCTGCCTTATCTTTCAGCTCCGTCACCCATGTGTGCCTCGTTCCCAAATCAGTGAAGGTAACGAAGTAGCGGCTGCCGTGTCGTGATGCCACCCTCATAGGCCCACACACATCGGCTGCTACGATGTCCAAGGTGCCATAAGGCTCCTGCACCTGGTGGTGGGGGTGTGGGGATTTTGTGATTTTACCTTCAACACACTTGCTGCATTTTCCCTTGCTTCCAGCCCCCTCCTTCAATGTCACTCCTTTTACCATGCCCTTTTTAACCAACTCCTTGATCCTATCCACGCTTGCATGCCCCATGCGCCTATGCAAGGTCTCCAATTCAACCTTCTCCACCCCAACCACCATGGCTGAAGCTTCCTGCTGCAGCTCCTTCACAGGTAAGCCACCAAGCCGAGCCTTCAACTCCTCCCTGGCTAGGTCCCCTTCGAGTGGAGTCATGTAGGTGGCATTCTCTGCTTCCAGCCCCTTCTTCCTCAGCTTCATTTCATACAATCCCTGATTTCTGTTCCCTTCTGCAACCACCTTCCAATTTTCATCAAAAACCCACAGCTTCCCCTTGTCACTGAAGGTTTTGCACCCCGTGCTGTCAAGTTGTGACTGGCTGATCAGATTCAGTGAGAGCTTCTCCACTAAGAGCACTTTTTCCAGTTTCAGCTCCCCATACTCTCCCTGGAGCAGCAACTCTCCTTCTCCCTTCACACTCAGTTTTCCTTCATCACCCAACAGCACATAGGGTACGTTGGAGTCCCTCAGATTTGTAAGCCATTCACGGTGATTGGTCATGTGTTGAGTGCAGCCACTATCCATGAACCACGCAGCTTCACCAAACCCTTTAGCCATCAAACACACTCCCGATGCCCTAGCCACGTTCGCCTTGTGAGCTCCTCCCAAAATGACGTCCGCTTCATCGTTCTCAGCTTCCACTGCATTTGCTTTTGCTGCTGCTGGTTGGTTTTGCTGCTGGTTTGCCCCTCGGTAGTTCCTGCTGTTGGGGTTCGAGTAGCAGTTGGCTGCCCTATGCCCAATTTTCTGGCAATAGTGACATGCCCCTGAAAATCCGCCTCTCTGCACCTTGTTATCGCCTCGAAACTCCCCCTCTTTCTGCTGCCCTCCATTTTGCAAGCCCTTCTGCTATAGACCGCTCCACTTTCCCTTGAAATTTCTGCTCCTCGGGTTGTCATAGCAGTCTATCTGCTTATGACCCTTCTTCCCACACTGAAAACACACCCCAAAACCTCCGTATCCTTTCCCTGTCGCTGCTGCGTTTACCATAGCATGGGTGGCTGGTCCCATTCCGTTCAAGCTAATCTCCTTCCTGAGCCGATCAGCTTTCACCCGCTCCAGAGCTTGGAGCGTCTCTAACAGCTTGGTCATATTCGCGGGTGGGTTGCAGGTTAGGAGCCCTATCTCTGCTTCCCACTCCTTGGGCAGCCCAGTAATGATGTACCCCATCATTTCTCCTTCAGTTTCAGCTGCCCCCATAGCCTTGAGGTCGTCATTGTACCCCTTTGCTCGATTCATGTAGTCAATGACCCTCTCCCCTGGCTCCATACTCAATAGAAGGAGTTTCTTCCGAATGGCTGCTTTGTTCGTATCCGTAAGCCCAAGGTAGGCAGCTTCCATGTACTCCCAGGCTCGTTCGGCAGAGTTCTCCTCTCCCGCAAATTGATCCAGCCCCACTGCAATGTTATCCGAAACCGAATGACATAATTGAAAAAATGCTTGCTTACTCCTTTTTTTGAACGACGCATTTTCCTCTGGTTTTTCTTTTGCAGATGGTGGGACGCCCTCTCCCGTCTCCTTGTCGGGATGATAGTACGGCCAGAGATCCACTTCCTCCGCTCTACGAATGAACTTGAGTCGCCACGTGCTATAGCTTTCGCCATTGAATCGTTGGGCCTCGCTAAGCCCAATCGTTGGCTTCGCCGTCAATTTAGCTTGTGCTAGCGCCGCTAGGATGGCCTGTAGTTCTGAGCCTCCAATGCTCACAGAGGAGCCCGAACTCGCCTCTGTATGATCGCCCGTCATACTCAGACAATTCCGCCTATCCTTAAAACGCTAGAACGCGCCTTAAACCAGCTCTGATACCAGCTCTTGTACGTGCGCAGCCTTTAGTCTAGACTATGAAGACTATTTAGAGTCTTAGTAGTATGCATAAGAAGCTCTGGCTTCAACTATGTGAAGGAATTTGCTGGAAAAAACGCCAAGGCAGAAAGTTCAAGTAATTTCATTGAAGAAGGCATACAAAAACAGAAAACACAAAGCAAGTTATAAGCAAAAGGATTTCGCCCTCGCGCCGCGCCTAATATCGAGCTGAGTTCACTCGGCTCAATTCCCAAATCCAACCATGCACCGAACGCGCCTCGAGTTCGAATTTCAGACTTCCTTGGACGCGCCTTTGACCCGGCGTGACTTCTCATCACGTCACTTGATATCTCGACATTTCAGCTGTGTTCTTCTCCATTTCAGCACGCTTCCTCTCCTTCTCTTCATTTCCCATCGCAGGTCTAGTCTCTGCCTTGTTTCTCCTTCCACCGCCCCAACATAGGTAGCTCATCTTCTTCTTAGGTCTTCGCTTTCCCTTAGTCTCATCTCGTCAAGCCGGATTCTTCTTAGGTCGATGTAGATCGCGTTAGGTCGTTCTAGGTCGTGGTTAGCTAACCACCTTCAACACAGAGTAGCTCCGATCGGCTCTTTCTACTGCGTAGGTCGGTCCCTGGGCAGCAATGGCACGGCTTCCTGCTCTCGGCTTGGCGGCTTCCATTATTCTCGTTCTTGCATGCTGTAAGTCACCGTGTATGCTGTAAGTCGCCGAACGGCGTAGGCTGAGGGATCCAGCTCCGAACAAAACCCCCACCGCCGCACGTGGCGGTTCTCCCCGTACTACTCTTTTTGCCAACCTTTCCTCTCGCTTCTTGCTTCGAGAAGTTCCCACATGAGATCTCGCTGTTCGTTCGTGTGCATGCACTGGCAGGTTCAGAATCTGCGGTGGGTCAGAAGCGCCGGGTGGTGGCGAGTTCCACAACCACCACTGCCGCCGCCGGCAACGCCACTGCTACAACCGCATATCCTGCTGTACGCTAGCATGCGTGACCGACTTTGGATGCCGGCTTTTCCGCAACCGGCTGTTGTATTTTCCGCATCGCTGTGAAAGCGCTTTTTCTTTAAAAAAGGCAGACATGCACATCCTGGGCTCCCAATTTTTGAATTTTGTTTGTTTGTTTGTTTGTTTGTTTGTTTGTTTGCTTTTTTCTTCTTCTTCTTCTTTTCTTTTCTTTTTTTTTTTACGAACGAGCGCATGGTTTCAGCCCACTAGCATCGTACGTTCCTCGTTTTTTCAAGTACACTGAAACTCACACGTCCAAGGGACTGGGCCTGCAGGGAACGTGAGCCGTGGCATCCTCATCATGATATTTGGTCTTCTCCCACACACCACTGGTGTGAAATTGGAAAGGTCATGAGGGGCATCAGTGATGGCCACGCCCTGCAAGCCGCCGGATCGTGTAGCATCCTCAGTCACCTAGCTCACGAACCAAGGAGGATACTAGCCTAGCATGACTCAGTTTTTTGTGTGTTGTCTTCTGTGTGCTGTCTTCTGTGTGTTGTCTTCTGTGTGTTGTCTTCTATGATGTGTTGTCTGGCCGAACATAATACCCTTAGTTCCTCTTCTCCTGCCGCACACTGCAGGTCAAGACGTATAAGATGGACTTTAAGGCTGGATCTTCTTGGGGAGGGCGGCCGACTCCCAAGCCGTTTGAAATTATAGGTACCTCCCCCCCCCCCCCCCCCCCCCCCCCCCCCCCTCCTCTCTCCTCTCTCTCTCTCTCTCTCTCTCTCTCTCTCTCTCTCTCTCTCTCTCTCTCTCTCTCTCTCTCTCTCTCTCTCTCTCTCTCTCTCTCGACTCTGGTTCCAGCTCACTTTGCCTTGGTGGTCAAGACTCATTGTACATTCCTTCTTTCCGTTGCCGCAGTGTTCACAAACGCCGGGATTGATCCTGTGAAGAATCTGTATCGTGTGGAGACGAGAGACAAACTTCGCAATTGTAACCTCAAGGGGGCGACACTGCTACATCAATTTACCGCTTTTGGCCAGAAGTTTCGGTATGCTGGTTTGTCTGATTCATCCCATTTGAGATTCTTGTGAAAGGAAAATGCATTTCTTGAGCATCAGGTTCTCACCTTTTTTTTTTTCTCCCCCCCCTCCCTTGCAGCTACACTGTGCCATACACCTTTGGCGAGGGCCTTTATTTAGCCGCCAACTCTTGGCTGTGCACTGGTTATGGTCTCAAGTTTGCTATCCCTGTGGCGGATCACGCCTAGTAACCACAATGATGTTTTGTTCATTGACAGAGATAGCTCATAGCTCATTTTTCAAAGATTTGTACGGGATATCGGTTGTGCAGAGGATTTTGATATGAAGTTTGGTATTCTTGTGATGGAACATGCCCACTACAGGAACCGCAGGGATGTTTTGTTCATTAATAAATAGTGCATAAGCAAAGATTGGTATTGTTGTGCAGAGATTATTACTACAAGTTTGTAACCGTATCTCTCTGGATCATGCCTACCGTAGTTACCGGGATTCAAAACCATAGCCAAGATGTCTATCAGGAAGGCAAGAGCAGAGAGAGCTCATTATTGCTCCTACTACCTTAGGGTGTGGTGTTTGCTTGAGCTTCGAGAGTACGGAAATACGGTCAGACCCAAGTCCAGGGTGCACTTCCAAAAAAGCATTGGAAATTGTGGGGTGAACTTATAAATTCCATAAGCGCATAGCAAATTCCATTCGCGCAAGGAACCAAGGATTTGACTGACAGCACGTAAAGTCACATGCAGAACATACACTTGAAGCTGGACAGATAAGCTTGTCTGCACGGCACTTGCGTGCTTGAGTGGGGATTGGTGACGGTCAGCGCGCGCGGGAAGAGGAACTGCTGGGAGTACCGGTATGACCTCAAGCAGGCAATCAGGGGAGTTCGGTCGGTCGGTGGTACAGTACCGTAACCCCCAGCAGGTCACACATCTCCCAGGACCACGGCAGCACATAGAGTTGGCCCAGATTCATAGCGGTCGGATACAGTTAAGTGCGATTGAATGTGGTTGAGTAAGGTTTGCTCAGTGAGCAGGGAGTGGCACGGCTGGGAGTATGAGCCGGAGCAGGCAATATGGTCCGGGGAGTTGGTGGTAACCCCCTGCAAATCATACATCTTCGGGGAACATGGCAGCACGTGGAGTTGTCTCAGGTTCACAGCGGTTGAGTGCGGTAAACAGAGTTCTAATCAGTGGGCAGGGAGCGGTACTGCTGGGAGGATGAACCCGAGCAAACAGTCAGGGGAGTCAGTCGTGACTCCCAGCAGGTCACACATCTCCCGGGACCACGGCAGCAGCATGTGGTGTTCACTCAGGTTCATAGCGTTTGGTCAAGATCGAGTGCAGCTGGGTGCGGTGAAGAGAGGTTTGATCAGTGAGCGGGAAGAGGAACGGCTGGGAGGATGAGTCCAAGCAGGCAGTCAGGCGACTCAGTGGTAACCCCCAGCAGGTCACACATCTCCCGGGACCACGGCAGCACATAGAGCATACGTGGCCACACGCCATTGGCTGGAGGGATCTTCACCACCCCTGCACGCTCCTTCTGCCGTAGATAGTCCACCATGCGAGTGAACTGTGGGCATGTGAAGGGGTTGGAGAGAGGGGAGAAGGACGTCTAGTAAGGCGCCTGAAAGCTCTTCATCACACCACCCCTGCACACTTCTTCTGCCGCGGATAGTCCACCATGCGAGTGAACTGAGGGAATCAATGGGTGGGGGAAGGGGAGGAGCAGGATCATATGAAAGGCGCCTGAAAAGTAAAACTCTTCACCACGCATGGCACAACACATGCTTGCCTCAAAAGACACTCATTCCAGAGAGTCTGGCTGCAACTTACAAGTCAGCTGGCCAGCAGCATCGATTGAGAAAGAGCTGACTGCAAGTTGCAAGTGGCAACTTGCACACGGCATACCCGTTAAAAAAAAATATTAAAAAAAAACAAAGTTGCAAGTGGCAGCTTGCACACGGCATACCCGCTTCAAGAGGCACTCACCCCAGAGGAAGGAGTGTTTTGAGACGTCTCAAAACGCTTTAAATAACACTCACCCCAGAGGATGGGCCAGCAGCGTCGGTTGGGCGAGCAGCAGAGGATGAGGAGGGCAGCGGGACGAGAAGGCACACCTCCCTCTGATGCACACATACAGGGGCAGCAGGAGCGAGCGAGGGAAAAAAATCGAAGGAAGGAAAGTAGATATGAAACAAAGGATGGGAACTGCAGGTTGGGGAACATGAAACGAACAACACAAGAGGTTGCATGAACAGCACAAGAGGAAGCGAATAGCACAAGAGGATGCATGAACATGGGGCTGCAAACCGACGTGATGATGATGATGATGATGATGATGATGATGATGATGATGATGATGATGATGATGATGATGATGATGATGATGATGATGATGATGATGATGATGATGATGATGATGATGATGATGATGATGATGATGATGATGATGATGATGATGATGATGATGATGATGATGATGATGATGATGATGATGATGATGATGATGATGATGATGATGATGATGATGATGATGATGATGATGATGATGATGATGATGATGATGATGATGATGATGATGATGATGATGATGACGATGACGATGACGATGACGATGATGATGATGATGATGATGATGATGATGATGATGATGATGATGATGATGATGATGATGATGATGATGATGATGATGATGATGATGATGATGATGATGATGATGATGTTGATGATGATGATGTTGATGATGATGATGATGATGATGATGATGATGATGATGATGATGATGATGATGATGATGATGATGATGATGATGATGATGATGATGATGATGATGATGATGATGATGATGATGATGATGATGATGATGGTGATGTTGCGATAAATCGTGCATTGAGAATTCATAGTTAACAACGGCCAAATTAGCAGGAGTAGAATGGTGAGGAGAGAAAACGCAGTGAAAGAGATAATCTTACCCGAGAGCTGGGGCAGGCATTGAAAGTGTTTCGTACTGCCCGGAAGTCTGCACGCTTTGTCACGTCCAGCTTATCAGGCCACCTGGCAAAATAACAGAGAATAGGGCACAATGGAACAGGGACCACACAAGGCAAGAACAGCGCACAATGAACACTTTTTAGCATGCGTGCGCGTGTGCATTGTGTGCATGCAAGGGAGGGGACCTTATTGTAGAGTGTGGCACAGGACAGGACAGCACAGCACAGCACAGCACAGCACAGCACAGCACAGCACAGCACAGCACAGCACAGCACAGCACAGCACAGCACAGCACAGCACAGCACAGCACAGCACAGCACAGCACAGCACAGCACAGCACAGCACAGCACAGCACATCACAGCACAGCACAGCACAGCACAGCACCGCACCGTACAGCACAGCACAGCACCGTACAGCACCGTACAGCACAGCATAACATACAGCAGGGGAACTCACCCGAGGGGCTCGTGCTGGCCTGCTGTGAGCGCAGGGTCGTAACGACTGCCTCGGAGCTGCTGCCTGGAAGCGGCCACGTGGCAGTACATCACCCCGCTCTTGCACAGCGCAACACAGCACATCACCACACCGCACCGCATAGCACAGCATAACATACAGCTGGAACTCACCCGAGTGGCTCGTGCTGGCCTGCTGTGAGCGCCGGGTCGTAACGGCTTCCTCGGACCTGCTGCCTGGAAGCTGCCACGTGGCAGTACATCACCCCGCTCTTGCACAGCGCGAAGCGCGGCAGCAGCGACAGCTGCAGCTGCTGCTGCTGCTGCCTCTGCGCCTGCAACTCCTGCAACACCATCTGCTGCTGCTGTTGAAGCTCGTCCGCCTTCTCCCCTTCTCCTCGTCTTTCCTCGTTCTCTCCAGCTGTTGACTTATCCTTCGTCGTCTCGTTTCTGTCTGCTTTTCTTTCCTCATCCCTCTCAGCTCTATTTTCCACGTGCAAAGAGGCAGCACCAACACCAGCAGCACCAGCCGCAGCACCCATATCAGCAGCAGCAACACCAGCAGAAACGCCAGCACCATCAGCAGCAGCATCACCAGCAGCAGCAGAAGCAGCAGCAGCAGCTGACGTTGGTAAAGCCGCGGACGAGGGAGGAAGAGGAGATGGAAGGGGAGGGGGGCCAGGGGGAGCAACAGGAGGTTCTTGAGGGGGTGGGGGCGGTGGCAGGGGGGGAGGAGGAAGAGACGGGGGAGTAGGATGGGGGGATGATAGTGGTACAGTAGGGAAGCGAGGAGGAGAGGGCTGCAAGGCAGGAGGCTGGGCAGCAGCAGTGTGAGGCACAGACACAAGCGCATGCACCGGCGCAGGCACAGGCACAGGCGCTGGCACAGGCACAGGCACAGGCGCAGGCACGGGCATTGGCATAGGCACAGACATGTGCTTTATAGTGGCACCATCATCATCGTCGAAATCCATGTCTGTTTCCTCCTGTGCTGCTCCAATGCCCTCCTGTGCCCCCATACCCTCATGTGCTCCCATACCCTCATGTGCTCCCATACCCTCCTGTCCTCTTATACCCTCCAAACCCATACCCACAGGACCCACTGCACCACCCACTGCAACCGCTCCCCCTTCTCCTGCTCTTCCGCCCTCTCCTCTTCCTTCTCTCTCCTCTCCCTCCCTTGCAGCACCCAAGAAGCCGGCCCTGTCTGTTGAGTCTGTGAGGGGGAGAGACGATGCGGGGGGTGGGAGGGGCGGGAGAGGCGTGACAGGGGCGGCAGTGGGTGGGAGAGGAACAATGGCAGATGGAGGGGGGGAAAGAGGCGGAGGAGGCAGAGGAGGAGGGGGAGGAAGAGACGCAAAAGCTGTACCAATCGGTGATGCTGCTGCTGCTGCTGCCCCTCCTGCTCCTGTCATCCCACCTGCAAAGTCATCTCCCACCCGTGCATTATCCCACTTTCGAGATATCTCAAAGCTTGCACCTCCTCCATCCGCCGCCCCTGCACCTGTCGTTACACCTGCTGTTACATCTGCTGTTACACCTCCTGTTACATCTGGCGTTACACCTGTAACCACACCTGCCCCTCTGCCTCTAGCAGAACCCATCAGGTGTGAGGGATGGGGTGGGAGAGAGGTGGACGAAGAAGGGGTGTGTGAATGGGAGGATGGGATGTGAGGATGGTGTGAGTGGGAAGAGGGGATGTGTGGATGGGAGGAGGGAGTGTGTGGATGAGGATGAGAGGGTTCGCGAATGTCCCATCTGCTGCTGCTGCCACTTGCAGTGAGTCTCGGTGCACCTTCCTCCATTACACTGTTACCACCAGCAGCACCACCACCAGCAGCACCACTACCAGAACCAGCACCAGCAGCACTGGCACCGCCACCGGCACCAGAAACAGCGCCAGAAGTTGAAGCAGCAGCGGCGCCTGAAACGGCAGCGGCGGCGGCCGCAGCAGCAGCTGCTGCAGCTGCAGCGATGTTCCCTGCAGCGATCTGCTGCTGCTCTGCCTGCTGCAACGACATGGCAGAGTTGCTGGTGGGAGGGGGGCAGGCAATTATAAGGAGCAGGATGGAATAAGTGTGACTTTTAGGCGCCTAACACAGCAGCAGCTGCTGCAGTGGCAGCGATGTTCCCTGCAGCGGTCTGCTGCTGCTCTGCCTGCTGCAACGACATGGCAGAGTTGCTGGTGGGAGGGGCGCAGGCAAATATAATGAAGCGGGAGGGAAGAAGCAAGTTATTTAAGGCGCCTATAAAAACATCAGCACCTGCTGCTGCAGTATGCGGCTGCAGCGACGTTCCCTGCAGCGATCTGCTGCTGCTCTGCCTGCTGCAACGACATAGCAGAGTTGCTGGTGGGGAGGGACAGGCAAACAGGAAGGAGCAGGAAGGAAGAAAGGGGGCAAGGTTGGGAAAGGTGAGGAAGGGATTGGACGAGGGAGGAAGACGGCATGCAAAGGGGATTTTGAAGCCGCATGGAATACCCGCTACTAAGTGCTGGAAGGAGGTCGTGAAGATTCTGTCTAAGGGGACGGAGGCAGACATTGAAGCGCTGATTAAGGAAAGCAAGAAAGTGGCTACGAAAGGGGGGATGAGTAGAGGCAGGGCTGGGCGGGGCGAGCAAAGGGGCGAGCAGGGGGGCGAGCAGGGGGCCGAGCAGGGGGCCGAGCAGGGGGCCGAGCAGGTGTCGAGCAGGAGGGCTAAACTTTCTGCTCGCCCCCTTGCTCGCCCCCTTGCTCGCCCCCTTGCTCGCCCCCTTGCTCGCCCCCTTGCTCGCCCCCTTGCTCGCCCCCTTGCTCGCCCCCTTGCTCGCCCCCTTGCTCGCCCCCTTGCTCGCCCCCTTGCTCGCCCCCTTGCTCGCCCCCTTGCTCGCCCCCTTGCTCGCCCCCTTGCTCGCCCCCTTGCTCGCCCCCTTGCTCGCCCCCTTGCTCGCCCCCTTGCTCGCCCCCTTGCTCGCCCCCTTGCTCGCCCCCTTGCTCGCCCCCTTGCTCGCCCCCCTGCTCGCCCCCTTGCTCGCCCCCCTGCTCGCCCCCCTGCTCGGCCCCCTGCTCGCCCCCCTACTGGCCCCGCCCAGCCCTGCCTCTACCAATCCCTCTTTTCCTAACCACTTTCTTGCTTTCTTTAATCAGCGCTTCAATGTCTGCCTCGGTCCCCTCAGACAGAATCTTCACGACCTTTTTCCAGCTCTTAATAGCAGGTTTTCCACGCATCTTCCCTACCACTTCAGCAGCTGCCTCCACGCGGTCAAACTCGATGAACCGGCACACTGACCCCTCATGGACTGCACACTGCGCAACTCAATATGACAAGCCTTCAGCTCACCTGAACTGCACTTGGACTGCGGAGTCAAATCTCTCAGACGCCACAATATTCCTCAGCGCAGTAGCAGCCGCCTCCACTCGGTCAAACTCAATGAACCGGCACGGGCCCCGCATCGATCTCGCACTCCTCACGCGCGTCACATATCCCCTGCCCGCCGCAGCAGCCGTGAAAATCCCCTGTAACTCGGATTCAGACAGGCTGAAAGCAGCCATGGCTGCTGCTGCACTGGCAGCGGAGTGGGTGGAGATTGCCTGTTCCGATATGCCCATCCAGAGGGTGCTAGTTGGGACCCGCTCCTTCCCTCCTGTTCCATATACGACTCCTGTTCCTGCTCCTGCTCCCGCTCCTACTCCTGCTCCTCCCGCTCCTCCTGCCCCTGCCCCAGCTCCTCCTATTCCTGCCGAGCCTGCTACAAAACCTGCGCCTGCACCTGCTGCTGCTCCTGCCGCACCTGCACCTCCCCCATCGTGGTCCCGCTCTCTAAACCCACCCTCACCCACCCCCACCAGCCCGCCTCCCGAACCTACCCCACCGGCACCCAGGCCCGGCACCGAACCTGCGCCCAAGCCTCCGCCCAAGCCTGCGCCCATGCTTCGGAGGAACCTGAGGCTGGCGGCGGACTGGGCGGCGAGAGTGTGAGCGGCAGCGGGTGTGAAGGGGAGGCGGGAGGGGAGGCCTGGGATGGGGAGGAAGGCGAGGGGCATGAGGCGAGCTGCTGGAGAGAGAGCGTGCAGGTGGTGCAGGTGGGAGAGAGAGGCGTGTTGGGGAGAGGGTGCTGCCCGTGACGCTGCATGCTTGAACTCCACCTGATGGAGGACGAGGGGGAGGCAAGGGACAAGAGATGAAGGCATGAAGCGGGCAGAGCAGGAGCAGGGGAAGACAGGGGGTGGAATCGACTCAAAAGTGCGTCAAGAGTCAAACTCAAAATGCACCACACTGAATGGCATGTTTCAAAGTGCACACGGGCACACACACAGAGGTGCCACACCTGGACGTTCGAGCAACCATATCGTGAACACACACCCACAGAGGTGCACACCTGGATGTTGGAGCAGCCATATCGTGCCCCGTTGAGTCGCGACCGGGCCAAAATGGTGACTTTTCAGTGAACTCAGAAGTAAACACACACACACAGAGGTCCCACACCTGGATGTTGGAGCAGCCGTATCGTGCCCCGTCGAGCCGCGACCGGGCCAAAATGGCCGACTCAGCCGCCCTAATAGTCATCTTTAACACATGCGCACACATGCACACGCGCACTCACACGCAATCCCCTAGAGATGCACACCTGGATGTTGGAGCAGCTGTATCGTGCCCCGTTGAGGGAGGAATCGACTCAAAAGTGCGTCAAGAGGCACACACATGCACACACACAGAGGTGCCGTCCCACACCTGGATGTTGGAGCAGCCGTATCGTGCCCCGTTGAGTCGCGACCGTGCCAGAATGGCCGACTCTGCCGACCGGAAATCAATAAACGCCGACACAAGAGCAGCAGCTCCAGACTGTCCCCTCCCTCCCTCCGCCGTCCCTCCTGCTCCCGTGCTTCCTCCTTCACTCTCCCCACCACTGAAACCACCACCACCGCCAGCAGCAGCAGCAGCAGCAGCAGCAGCAGAAGCACCACCACCAGTACCAGTAGAACCAGAAGCCCCAGCAGCACCTACCCCCCCAGATCCTGCACCTGCTCCTCCTCCTCCTCCTCCTCCTGCTCCTGCTCCCGCCTCTTGCTGACCTGGCGGCTTCACAAAGCGCCAGCTGGCGATCTCGCCATATTGCGCAAACGCCGACAAGATCTCGTGCTCGGGGACCGCCGGATCGATCTTCCCCACCCACAGGTGCCGGGCGGCAGACGGGCCGCCCACAACCAGCGCTGACGTCATCCCTGACGCGGCTGCTGCTGCCGCCGCTACAGCCTGCGCGCCGGGGGTGTTGGCTGCTGCTGCCGCTACAGCCGCTGCTAACGCCTGCTGGGTTGTTGTGTGGGTGGGAGTAAACCCACCCACCCCTGCTGCTCCTGCTGCTCCTGCTGCTGCCAGTGCTGCTGGCGTGCCTGCTGTTGCTGCTGCTGCTGCCGCTCGTGCGGCCGTTGCTGCTGATGGTGTGGTGGCGGCTGGTGCAGAGGGAATACCAGATCCTGCGCCACGGATAACAGGGGAAAGAGCAGCAGCAGCAGCCGCAGACGCCGCTGCTGCCGCCGCAGCAGCAGCGGAGGAATGAGAGTGAGGGCCTGAGAACCCCCCGTAGCCACCACCAGCAGGACCGGCAGCAGGTGCTGCTGCTGGTGATGGTGATGGTGACGGGGACCCTGCTGCAGCAGCAGCAGACAGAGGAGGGGTTCTAGTTACAGAGTAACCTCTCTCTCTGCTTCCCCCTCTTCTGAATCCTCCTGCCATTCCACTATCCCCACCAGCATCACCAGAAACACGACCATCGGCAGAAGCAGAACCAGCAGGAGTGGCACCACGGACATACTCACTCTCCCCTCCGCCATCCCCCACTCCTCCCCCTGCTACCCCTCCTGCACCTGCTCCCCCTACTGCCCCTCCCGCTGATGCTGCCGGCACTGGCACCACCCCTCGTTTTAAGAACATCAGGGCCATGTTGGCGTCCTCCTGCCTCCTGAATTCCAGGAGCAGCGCGCTGGCGCTGACTAGGACCGACACGTGGGCGGGCGGCGGGACTCCGGCAGATGCCAACCGCTGCAGCAGGCTCTCCTTGGCGCTCGCACTGTTCACGCCGCCCACCCACACATGCAGCCGAGAAGCAGGCGGCAGAGCCTCAGAACCCCCACTAGCAGCCGCCGCAGCAGCAGAGGGAGGCAGAGGAAGAGGAGGCGTGCCCGCTCGACCCATCTCCACCCCTCTCTCTCCCCCCATCCCGCCCCCCACCCCTCCAAACCCCCCCAAGTGCGCCCCCAAAAACCCTAACCCTAAACCCCTGCCAGCCGCAGCAGCGGCGGCAGCAGCAGCTGCAGCTGCGCCTATAGGTAACCCCAAAGCCCTCCGGTTACTGGTAACCAGACCAAGAGGCGAGCCGACCGTGAGAGCTGGAGAGAAACCAGTCTGCCTCATGCCACCACCCTCTCTATATCCTAACTCCCGCAGGCTATCTCGATCCCTCCCATCCATCCCAATCTCCCCTCCTCCTCCTCGCTCTCGTGCCAGCATCAACCCTCCCCCGCCAGGTATACCCGCACCGGGTAACCCTCCCCCAGGTAACACCCCTCCTGGTCCATCCCCAAAACGCACGTGCAGCCTCCTCCCCCACAGCACCACCCCATTCAGCCCCTCCCTCGCCCTCACAGCCTCCCGTACAGTCACCATCGTTACAACCACATGTACTGGCATTCCCTGCTCCCTTCCCTCGCCCCCTCCTCCCCTTCCTACCCTCCTCTCCCCCCTCCGCCTCCCCCTCCCCCCAACCCATCCCGCTCCTCCCCTCCACCAACACCCCCTCCGAACCCCCCCCCAGATGTACCTACCCCAGTTCCACCTACCCCGTCGCCCACCACCACCACCACCTCATCCACCGGGCCAAATTTCTCAAAGAGGGACCGCAGAACCGTCCTGTGACCTTCCCCAGATACGCCCTCCACCGGGACAGGCGCCCCTGCCTCGGAGCAAAAGGTGAGCTCCAGAAAGCGCGTCACAGTAAACACCTCCCCGTCCCACGACCACCCAGATACACCTGAGCCAGCACCTGAGCCAACACCTGAACCTGCAGCAGCAGCACCAGCTACTCCTGCTCCTCCTGCCGCCCCACCCCTCTCTGCTTCCCTCTGCTGCGCCTCCTTCCCCCCTCCTCCCCTCTCGTCCCTCTCGCCCTCGCCCCTGTCCCCACCACCAGTCTTAACACCACCACTACCACCAGAACCAGCACCAGCAGAAGCCATTGCAGTAGCCGCAGCCGCTGCTGCCGCTGCCGCCGCCGCCGCAGCAGCGGCAGCAGCAGAGGCAGCGCTAGCGTCTCTTAGAGCACCTAGCAGCGTCTGTAGGGGGTTCCAGGCATCCCCAAGCGAGTCTATCGCTGCCGAGCCACTCCGCCGAACCTGCTGCAGCACCGCAGCTAGCCACCGAAGCGACTCCGGACGTCCATCCAAGGCTTGGAACGCCATGCTTGATTGCTCCTGCGCCCTCTTCCTGTTGCTCCTGGCACTCTCCTCCTTGCCCGTCTCCCCTTGTACCCCAAACTCCTCTCTCCCCTCCTTTTCCTCCCTCCCTTCCCTTTCTTCCCTGCCCTCCCTTTCCTCCCTCTCTTCATCCTTCTCTTCCTTACACACCTTCTTTGGTGCACTCCCTTCTGCCTCTTCCCCCACTTTCTCCTCCGCCTCTGCTTTTTCCATCTTCTCCTTCCTCAGACCACTCCCCTCATCACCTTCATCACCATCACCACCACGAGCCTCCTTCTCACTCTCATCTGCTGCTGCTACCCCTCTCTCTCCTCCCTCCTCTCCCCCCTTTCTCTTGTTGTCTTTCTCATCTCCTTCCTTCATCTCTATCCCTTCATCCCCCAATTCATCCTTGGTCTTCTTCTCCCTTTCCTTCTTCCTTTCCGTCTCTTTCTCCTCTTTCTCACCCACCTTTGCTCTCTTACCCTTCCTGCCCTCCTTACTCTCCCACTCCCCCTCCCCTCCCACCACCTCCCGAGCAGCAGTCACCTGCAGCAGAAACGAAATCGCCTGCTTACCCCTCTGTCTCTCACCACCACCCCTCCCAACCCCTCCACACCCCCCCGTCCGTGCCTGCTCTATCGCCGCCCCCAGCATTGCCTCTGGCTGTAACTGCATTGCCCGAACCACCGCCGCTGCCACGATCTGCTTTACCGAGGCTAGATCCGGACCTGCGGTCAGCTCCAGGCCTCCGTCCTCCGAACCTAGGTCTGGTGGTAAGCCTACTGCAGTGCTGCTGCCCCCCGTTCGGCTCCTTTCTGCATCGTATAACAAGCCGGTTTCAGGAGAACCCCCCCGCTTTCCCTCAGCTGGTGCTGCCACTCCATTTCCTGCTAAAAGCCTTCCATTCGAATCGGTAGCAGAGGAAGGAGCATTGAAGTCGTCACCAGCAGCACCACCAGCACCACCACCAGCAGCATCACCACCAGCAGCAGTGGTGGTAGCAGCTGCAGCTGCTGCTGAATCAGGAGCATGAAAGGGAGGCAGGGGCAGAGTGCAATCAGGGTGCAGGTGCGAGAGAAGGAACCGGGCCACATCCCGAGAGACTGCCGAAGAGAGATACGCCGGGGCAGAGGTGCGGGAGGAGGGGGCTGTAGCAGACGCGGCAGCCGCCGCTACAGCCAGGATAGACGCCAGGCCAAGAAACGCCGACCGCACCGTGGCCATGATGACCTTGGTGTCGTCGGGCGGCGGGCCTAGATTACGCCGGCATGCTGCTTTGGTTGAGGAGGAGGAAGTGGTTTTGGTGGTGGAGCTGGCACCACCACCACCAGCTGCTGCTGCTGCTGCTGCTGCTGCTGCTGTTCCTGCTTCAGCTGCTGCTGTTGCTTCTCCTGTACCAGCGTCCCTCCTTGAACTGCCACCTGCTGCACCTGCACCATCCCCTGTACCAGGGGCAGCAGCAACAGCAGGAGCAGCAGTCGTGTCTGCTTCCATACCTGACCCTTCTTCCTTTGCTGCCCCTCCTGCTGCTTCCCCTCCACCTGCTTTCTCACGCGCCCCTGACTCCCCCTGCTGCCCCTGCACTCCCCCTTCCCCCTGCCCGGCTTTCCCCTCCGCCCTTTCCCCCTGTGCGCCACTCCCCTCCCCCGCTTCCCCCAGTGCGCCTCTCCCCTCCCCCGCCTCCCCCGCCTCCCCCGCTTCCCCCGGTTCCCCCTCCCCCGCGTCACCCTGGCGCTGCTGCAGCTCCGCCACGCACCAGTCCGCCAGCTGCATGAGCGTCTGCGCCGCGTCCGGCAATCCCGAGGGGCAGAAGCGCGCATAGCGCGGGATGAGGCCTGCTGCTACTCTGCGAACGCTGATGCAGCCTGGGGGAGGGGGTGGGGTGGTGGTGGTGGTGGAAAGGGTGGGGGAGGGAAGGGTGGGGAGAGATAGATGCATGAGCGTCTGCGCTGCGTCCGGCAATCCCGAGGGGCAGAAGCGCGCATAGCGCGGGATGAGGCCCGCTGCCACTCTGCGCACGCTGATGCAGCCTGGGGAGAAAGGGGAGGGAGGGGAGGAGGAGAGAGAAGGGACGGAGGGGCGAACGAGCAGGTGATACCTCCTTTCTTCCGTACCCTAGCCATACTAGCGAAGCAGCGTTCTTGCATCGTGAAGCATCTCAAAAGCCGCCGATCCCTCCCCCTGCGTGTCTTTCTCCCCTACCAGCTCGCTCCCTGTTCCCGACGACTCATCCCCCCCCGTTCCCATAAGTCATCCCGCTACTCTAGCCAGTGATTTTTTAGAAATTTCAAAAGTCCCTCTCCCTGCGCGTCTTTCTCTCCTACCGGCTCGCTCCCTGCTTCCCGACGCCTCATCCCCCCGTGTTCCCGACGCCTCATCCCCCCGTGTTCCCGACGCCTCATCCCCCCCGTTCCCATCATAAGACGTCATAAGTTATCCCGCTACCCTTGCATCATAAGACGTCTAAAAACTAAAAATGTTCTACCTATGCCGCATGTAAGCGCATCAAAACGCCACCGTTTGACCTAACCGATATCTCATCCCGTACCTATACATTACCCTATCCCGTACCAATTCCGTAACCTATCCCGTACCCTATACCGTGCACTCTATACCGTGCACCCTATACCGAATCTTAAGCGGCATGCACCTTGAGCCGCGTCCAGCATCGCGAAGAACGCCGCCTGAATGTCTTTATCCGCGCCCGGCGGCTCTCCGCCGTCGCCTCTCCGCCGCTGCAGAGCCGCGCGCAGGCGGCCGTAAGCGCGGAACACCGCCGCCAGCTGCGCGCGATTCCCCGCCTTGGCTGCGCGATCCGCGGAGCTAAATCCGCCGCAGCTCCCCCCGAATCCGCCATCGGAGCCGGATTTGATCGCAGGGCGAGTAGCGATCGCTTTCGCCGATGCCATATTGCTGCCGTGTATAGACGGCTCTTACCGAATGCGAGTACGGCGAGCACACAGCGTGGCACTAACGGGGATAAACAGCGTAAAACTGTACTAACGCGGCTAATGTATCGTCATACTCCTTGTTCCAAGGCGCATGACCTTTCAGAGACACGGGTAAGTAAAAATGTAAAACAACGATCGAGAACAATTGTCACAGGAAATAGTATGGACGGGGAACACCCGTCTTCGCCGAGATTGACCAGGCAAGTTCAACGGTTAGGAAGCTCGGGACTGGATTTGAGAAGGCCTAGATAATTCCAGCTGCGGGGAGGCCGAGGCGAAGTGGAGGGGGAGCGGATGGATACCTGCCTTGCAATTATACACAGTTTTTGCTGTTGCCGCAACGGAAAATATATAATGCCGATACGATTTAGACGCACTGGTTAACAAATTATATACTAAATGCTAATCGCTGTATATAAAGGGTGTACTAGTAACATATCGTTCATATAGGGTAATGGATTAATGTAGCATGCAGTAAAACATCCCTTATACAAGCACTAGACTAAAACAACGTTCTATACGCCATAATATCTGCCTCCTCTCCTCCACTCCAATCCCCTCCATAATAGTATACAATATTCTCCTCTCCTTTCCGCCACCCACATGTTACCAACTTAGCTACCCATGCTAGCCAAGGCCAAATCCGGCGACTCAAGACCTACAGGGCTGCGTGCACTGCTGGGAGGAACACTCACACCTGCACCTGCACCTAGGGATGCAGCAGCAGCAGGTACAATCCCAAGGTTTTCCGCTCCCCTGCTCCCATCACAAGCATAGACATTCGCCAGGCTGGCAGCAGCCACGTCAGCAGCGCCTGCTGCTTGCACTTCTCGTCCTACCTCTGCATCTGAACCCATTTTGTGAGTTGTCGATTCAAAAGTCGTTCCTGCCTCTGCACCCATCTCAACATCCATCCACTCCTCCACCTGCCTGCTGCTCTCACTCCCTAGCCTCTCACTCCCTAACCTTTCCCCCATACCAGCAACCACCTCAGTCCCCACTGCAGATCCTTCTTTGGGAAACTCCTGCCCTATGCAGTAACCAGAAGTTGTAACACTCGGCGCTGTGACATTCGATGGGGTAACATCTGAAGCGGTAACATGTGTGTTTGTATCGGATGCTGGTGTATCAGCAGCTGAAGACAACACATTAGGTGTAGCAGCTATATGGTGAGCAGGTGAGCTGTACGGCGCTGCTGCTAAAGTGTACGGGGTTGGAGACATGGTATAGGAAGGGGAGGGGAGAGTGAGGGATGGAGAGGGGAAGGAGGAGGGCAAGGAGGGCGACGGGAAGGAGGACAGGTGCGGGAACGGGCTCAGCGGAGGCCCGTACAGCTCCGAACCTCCCCCGAACAGGCCCGGAGCAACCGAACCAAACGAGGTACCGCCGAACCCACTGCTAATGCTGCTGCTGCATCCACCAAAGGTGTTGCAAAGGGTACTCCCACCGTTCACTCCCGCTCCTACTGTTGCTGATGGAGACGTGGGTTTGTGTGCAGGGCTGGGACTGGGGCTGTGGTTGATAATCCAGGAATCAGCAGCTGCAGAGGCACCTGAGTGCATGAGACCGCCTGGGGAGCTGGGGGCATACACGTGCTGCTTCTGGGAAGGTGCGGAGGCATATGTGAGTGCGGATGGGTCTGTGAGTGCAGCAGCGGATGGAAGAGCAGGAGAGTTTGCAGGGGAGCAGCCTGAAAGATAAGCGGTATTGTCAATCGTGTACGCAGTAGCAGCATCCGCTGCGTTTGCTGCTGCTGCTGCTGATATTGCTGGAAGATCCACTTCCTCTCTAGCGCGTTTCCTGGAACCATCTGCAGGTATCGAGTGGAAGTGCGCTACTGACGTGTCAACATGTGCTGCTAACGTGTCCGTGCCCGTGTCCATGTTCCCATGTACGCGCTTCACCTTCACCCTGTGCGGACGGTCGGCTGGAGCCTTGAACTGACCCGGTAACCTATTCCCATGTCCACTTGAAACATGAACCGTCTTCGAGTCACGGTTCAACTGTTGTGCAGCCAACTCTTCTCCTCTCGACCTCCCCTGCAGCTGCATATCCACCTGCTCCAATCTAACTGCTCGCTCCATTCCCACAAGTTGTTCCCCCATGACAGCACTGCTCACCACCGTTGCTTCCCCGTCTCCTGCACGGTTTACTGCCCCGTCCTCCCACCCTGGCCCCCCAGCAGCAGCAACGGGGCGAGCCAGTACCGAGCCATTCATGGTGATGAGAACATGTCGCCTCTTCCTCCCTTGCATGTTCCTCCCTTGCATCTCCCCATACTGCCGCATCGCCTGCTCGTCTCCCTCTCCCTCCTCCTCTCCCCCCTCCTCTTCCTCCTCCTCGGCGTCATCTCCCTCGTCCTCTTCCTCCCCACTCACACACTCCTCTTCCTCCTCCTCATCGTCTCCCACCTCTTCTTCCCCACTCACACAATCGTCTTCCTCCTCCTCCTCCCCCACTTCCCCACGTTCGCTAAGCCCCATTCCGCCCTGCATTCCATATCTCCCACCTCCATAATCAAACGAGCCATCATCATCCCCTCTGTCGTCATCCCCCTCCTCCTCTTCTTCCTCCTCATCCTCCTCTCCCTCCTCTTCCACCACCACTTCCACCGCAGCACCACTTTCTACTGCACCAAAACCCTGGACTCTCACTCCATACTCAACAAACCCACCTCCCATCTCCTCCTCTCCATCCCCCTCCTCTTCATCTTCCTCTTCTTCCTCCTCTTCTTCCTCCTCATCCTCCTCCTCATAATCCTCCTCACCTCCCCCCACCACCCCTCCCTCTCCTCCCTCCTGCATCTGCTGACCCAGAATCAACCCCTTTCCATGCACTCTCCCACCCTCTCTCTCCCCCTCATCCCCCTCCTCCCCTTCCCCCTCCTCCTCCTCCTCTTCCACCACCAATTCCGTCTCATCATCATCTGAATCGGCCTCCATGCCCGGAATCCTATTCTGCAGGGCCCGTCTCCTCAGCACAAACACATTGAAATAGAAGCTCACAAGCTCCTTCACACTCCGCACGCGCCTCCTCCTCCGCCCCTCCGCGCACATCCCCATCCCCGCTAGTATCCCCCCACCTTCCCCCGCGCCCTCCCCCGCGCCCTCCCCCGCGCCCTCCCCCGCGGCTTCCCCCTCCGCCCCTCCAGCAGACGCAAACGCCCGTTTTAGCGGCCCCCAGAAGTCTAGACCCTTGCTCTGCGGGTAAAGCTCGACAATAGTCAGGAAAAGCTCTATTTCTTCGGGGCTCCACCCCTCCGCGACCTTCTCCCCCATGTCCGCCAGCCCCAGCGCGTGATACGCGGCGGGCCCCAGCTCCGCCTCGAGATCCTCGTCCGCCTCGTGGCAGTGCGCGCGCACGCAGTCCGCGGACCCCGCCTTGTCCGCCCCGCACGCCGCGCACGCGCCCGGCGGAACGCGCAGCAGATCGTGGCGGGAGGCGTGGGGGATCGCGCGGGAAGGCTGGCGGTGGGAGGGGAAGGGGGGTTCTTGAGGGGAGAGGGGGTGGTGATGGTGGTGATGATGCTCTTGCTGTTGCCACGTGGCGGGTTCTGGTTCGTCGAGATTGCGGAGTGATGCGGAAGGGGGCTGTGATCGGGCGGCAGCAGATTGAGCGAGAGTTTCGGCCTCCTGGGTCGCCACGGATGATGCGACGGATCCTGCGATTTCGCTGCAGTTCTGTGCGACAGACCCTGCGACTTCTTGAGCGCCATGCGACGAACCTCCAGCTGCCGGCGACGTGGAGTCACTGTCACGAGACGTGACATTGCTCGCTGCGACACTGTCTGTTGCGACGTTAGAAGCCGCGTCGCAATCGCTTGGAGCGGAAGCGGAGCCGCCATCGATATTACCGCGAGAGTCATTCAAGCCAACATCAGGAACAGCAGCTGATAAAACCAACGGAGCAGCGACGCTATCACCTCCCTCTCCTCCCTCCAACACTAACTCGCCATCGGTAATACCAGCATCTTCGTTAGTGTCACCTCCTTTATTGTCACCATCATGATCCGCGGCGCCAAGCGTACCCCGAGGCACGTGCCAGTTGACCTTGCCACCCGCCGAAGCAGCCAACGTCCCTCCGAGCCTCAGGTACGGGTTCCCCTTGCCTGCGCCTCTCCCGACCCTCCTGGACCGGGCTAGGTCCGGCCAGACTTGCGTGCCGAGCCACTTCGCTTCCCATGCCAGCTCAGCATCAGACGTGCCTCCTTCGCAGCAAACCCCGACCTCGCCGCATGCGCCATCTTCCGGAGCGATCTTCCATAAGCTTTCTTCGGCCGGCATCAGACGGTGTGGAGAGGAAAGCGGTTCCGGAATATCCGCCTGATAATCCGGGCCGATCGGCGGAGTCTTCCGCGTGGCGGGAACCGCGAACTGCGCGTGGCGCAAGGGGGACGGCCACGGGGAAGGGGAGTTCCATGGAGAAGGGGAAAGCCAGCGGGAGGGGGAGCGCCAGGGGGAAGCGGAAGCGGCCCATGGAGACGGAGACGATAGCCTGGCCGGTGAAAACGTCGACGGAAAAGATGACGGAAAAGTCGACGGAGACGAGGATACCGGCGGCCATCTGCTTTGGCTCGCGGCAGCGGCGCCGTCTGGCACAGCGAAATAAGTTGCAGCTGCAGGAACGTCTTGAGAGGCGGAGTTAGCCCTCGCGAAACGGCGTTCTGAAATATCTGATTCTGCTCGCGAAGGTGTTGCTCCCACGTTTGAATTATCTCGAGATGGTACAGAGCCGGGATCTTCGGTGTTCGTTGGAACTGCATCATTTTTTACAGCGACGCGCGTTAAGTCTGTCGCCCGGGCTCCACCCGGCAGGCTGCCTTCTTCCTTAGGTACGTCTTGATACTTAGTTCCAGCATCACGATCCGAAGCTTCTAAAGCATCCATGCTGCTGCAGTTGTAAGATTATTTACTTCACGCAGCGCGCTTGTTGGGCTACAAAATATAATTTCTTCCTGGATAATTTCGAGTCGCCTTCAGTTTCAACTGACAACTTATGTCTAAAATAATAGCATCAAGATTGCCACGTGGCAGCACGCGATAGTCAAACTAGGGTTTCAAGAAATGCACTTCAGATCCATGAAACAGTAACTAGAAGGGCATTGGATTCAAATCTCAATCAAAAAATTGAAGACATCTAGCGAAGTCCAACTTTGTCTTCGCCGAGGTGTGGCGAAGCCGTCTATCAATGTTGGAGGTTGCTTTTTCCACAGCTGTGGGCTTTCGCCAGCAGTGGTTACCCAGCAGTCTGCCTCACCGCATCGAGAACCGAGAATGACGTTAGCAGGAATCAATAGAACACTATGTTGAACACCAGATCCTGCTTATATTGTTTTCTAAATCTTCTCATGACCACCTCAACTTCATCCTCCCAACTTGTGAGGTCTTCCAGCTGCAAGAAAGTGAGGGGGGACACACCAGATAGCACTGGCCACGTTAGTAGAGAAATAGCCATGGGAGTCTGGGTCTCACTTGAGTGTCGTTGGTGAAATGCACATCTGCTGGATGCTTCTGCTTCTTAAGCATGTGCACTATGACCTTGTTAGAAGGCATTACATGTACACAATCTGCTTGGAGATATACCCGTCGATTTGAAACATGGATCCATGTTTATGCAACGTACTGACAGATGTGCTCCCTGATTGGCCTCACCATCCTACACAGTCGTAGAGCCGCTTCTGCCCCAGACGCTGCTTCTTCGTGCGTATCTCTAACTTCAAGGTTGATGACCAGTGCCGCTTGATGTAGTGTACGCTCCCGAGCAAACATGTCTGCAAGACACAGTACCACCAGATAAGCACAGAAATGAAACAATTACTGATCATTAGATCTGATGTATTGAAAGTCAACAGTTACAACACCACTATCTCATACCGGTGCATTTTCCCCCTAAAGAGGATTTTCATGCACATGCTACAGTAAATTCCTAAACTATCTCCAAACGCAGCATTCACCAGTTTAGTACTTCTGCTGATACTATGTATTCTCAGGACCCTGCAAGTGGATGAGGGCTACTGAATAAACAAAGGGGAATATTGACACTGCTGATAAAGACTAAGTGAGCAGACGTGTCTTTGACTGACTTTGTGCCAGCACATCTGTGCATGCATGTATGGTTGTGTCTACACGAGTGTAATCGTGACGTGTGTGAGTGCCTTGATGGATGTTGGATTGTGTGCGTGCGTGCATAGGTGCGTGTGTGCGCGTGATGGCTGCATGAGTGAGGTAGGAAAGACGCTCAGGTGATTACAGGAGTCAATGAGTGACAAAGCAAAAGTGACAGGGTACGCAGAAAAGTCACACAACAAGAAGGTGGGGAGAGGGCAAAGGAGAAAAGGAGCGAGCAAGCTGCATGCTTTTGAAAATGAAGGTGAAAGGGACGTGAGTCCACATGACATACCATCCAAGACAAAACAGGAAAAAACTGTAACCGCTTGCGTGACTTGCGACCACCTGAAATTAAAAGTACAAGGGACATATCCGTGTAGGGATTTGGAACACTCGTTACCTTCAATGACCATGTCAAAAACTCGCTCCTCAAATGTAATCACGACATCGAAGGGACCGTCAGCGGCATTGTCCTGCCACTTTTGAGGAGCTTCCTTGACCGCAAGATTTCGCTTCAGCATTCTTAGGATGCCATTTCTTTTATACCTGAGAAAACCATATATTACACACACTCGGCAACGGAACGAATAAGTAAATCGACACCAAAAATGTGAATGCTAGACCTGCAGAAGCTTGCAAAAGATTTAGGTATTATGCATTTCAAAATGAGCGAAGTGCATCACTTACAGCTCAGGGTCTTTGCCTTGAAGCTCTTCGAACATGTATTTGTAAGGAGTGCCGAATTTATAAACATTGGGTTCTCGTATACTTGGCCCGGGGAGCTTGACGTTACTGCCAGTACCATAAGAACTGACATCAAACCCTTCTCGTTGAAGAATCGCATGTGATTCCATGCTACGGTTCTGATTCGATGCGCAGACCATGGCGAAACGAAGACGCATCTTGTGCAGCGGTATATTCAGATCCGAGACTTCGTGTGCTCAGCACTTACAAAACCCGAAGGAATGCCACAGAGAATGATAAGACGGACGTAAAACAGCACGATAATACTTTACGGGACATCAACTACCTAAGAATGATAATAGGAATGTCATTCTAATAAGCTTCTGCAGGAGAAGAGGACTGGTACGAAGCGAAGAATTGTTTTAACGCCTGATATGATCCTAGCCTGTACTTGTAGAACCTAACAACCTGCCAGCGAAACTTGCCAGTGTATGTAGAATCTATCGGAAAAATACTCATGCAGCTTCTGGGGTGGGTTTTTGTACTTCGCCTGCGCGAACCCCAACAGGGATAATTATTGGGTTTCGCTGAATATGGGGGGTAAGCGTTGAATTTATGAGCAGCCATGAAAAGTTTCGTCGTTCCTGTGAGCTGAAGGTTCGGGCAGCTGGATGGAGCATCCTCCGCCAGTTGTGCTCTGGGAAGTGAAACGGGTGATTTGGTGGCATGTATCCAACCTAGACGTTCCGAGCGATTTTTAAGTGCAGCTTAAATTTGCAAACCACCCTAGTTCATCAAGAAGGGAAAATGCCCTCCGCGATAGGCCTTCCCCTTGATCCTGATGGCGTTGTTCTGCAGGCAGGTGGCATTGGCATGGCAGCGGCATCAATTTCTGCCGCCAGAAACTTCCCTAGGCGCTCGAAGCACTTTCCCTGTTTGGGAAATTTTGCATTTCGGCTGAGGAAAGCGGGGGCCCGAGAAGTGAGACTTCCGCCCCCTGTTGCAACAATTTCGTCACGGGCTGTGTAGAAATTTTAGCAGCAGGTTGTGCCATGGTTGGGTAAAAAGCGATCGGAAAACGAAAAGCCAACCGGTCCCCACAAACCTCTGATTAGGGTTTCGAACCTCTGGTACCAAGGGTGCCTTTGGTGGTTGTTTTCTTTTCAGCAGGGCGAGTTCGCGGTTGTCCCAACTGGCCGATGCCTCTGCCATCTCGTGGCAAACCACCTCTCTGGGGTGGTTTGCCACGGGGTGGCTTAGGCACCACAAAATGCCCGAGAGGGAAAGCGCTGTGAGGTTTCGAACCCAGCTGATGCCGTCGCCAAAAGGCATGATCTGCAGCCAATGCCATTCTGACGGCATCAACAGAGATGAAACAATTTTTTTGGCTGCCCCCCAAAATGTCAACGCTTTGGCAGCATCGTGGCACATTCCTCCGACGGCATCGAGTGCCTGCAGAACAGCGCCGATGTCTCTCAGCTGGCTGCGGAGCGGTTGGTTCAAATTCAAGCCGAGAGTGAAAGGTATCACCGTCCCACCCATGGCACGTAGAGTTAGGAGCTAATAGACAAATTGAGTAATTTGTAAAGCTGGAGTCGTAGTTCTTTACTAATCGCCGTTCGTTTTTTCTTGAGACAACGACGATCTGTCCATTTCCGTCGCCTCTCTCATAAGAAATGCATGCGAACCGGCGGTTTCGCATAGTCGTCCCGTCGTCACTTGGTTTTCACCTCTTTTGCCTCGTTGATATCGTAACGAATTCGATCTTTCGTGCCTGTCTTCACCTCGTTTACCCGTCTCCTTCAACCTCGTCTGAGTCCACTCAATAATCACCCCAGTAGACACCTCGTTATGTCCCTTCGCAAATTTCCCCCGTTACATATCCCTCGTCCGCCTCCCTCTCCTCCCGCTCCCACGCAATGTTTGCGGCAGAACGAGAAGGAGTGTGAATTGCACAACCACACTCCCTAGATTCTCCGTCTCCACACACAAACACATACCATTTCAAGGCTTCACGGCTTTTTAGAGCCTTCCATGTCTCAATCAAAGCAGCCCAGGAGCCAAGGAAGAAAGAAAGAGGGCAAGAATAAACCCAGAGGAGGAGCCAGAGGAGGAGCAGAGAGCTCTACAAGAGACCCTTTTGCTCTCTCGGAAGAGCGTCTGGCGTCGCTTGATCTGGAGAGTGGTTTGAATCAACGGTGAGGATGAATTTCACACATCTAAGGTGTTGATGCGAAAATGTTCTTCTTTTTTCTATACCTTCAGAGTGCCCACATTCGCTTCTTCTTGCCCTCCCCCTGTTCCTCCCCTGTGTGACCGCATGTGTAGGGGTCCGTTCTCTTTGTGCAAGCTCACAATATTCCATGCATGTGCACATCCATGCATGCATGTCTGCACATGTGATTAGACATGCGTAACAATGAGGTACTTTTTTGAGTCATGCTGCCATGCTTGCTTGCGCGCATGCACATTCCATGCATGCATGAACACAGGAGGGATTACTCTGAGCCTTGTCGCGAGCTCTCTCTCCTGCTCCATGTTGTTTTGAGTCGATCAAAATTGGTCATTACACACGGTTCTTACATTGAATACTTACTTCATATTCCGTACATGCCTGTCCACAGGAGGGACTACTCTGAAGCTTGCCGCGAGCTGTCTCTCCTGCTCCGCCTCTGCTACACCCTCTCCCCCAAACCCGTGCAATCCCACCTCTATTCCCTCGCCCAACAAGCCATTGCCAACCTCCCCTGGTAAAGACTTTTTTGTCAACAAATTTAATATGTCTTGCTCCATCTCTGCTACTCCCTCTCTCCCAAGCCCGTGCAATCCCACCTCTATTCTCTCGCCCAACAAGCCATTGCCAGCCTCCCCTGGTACAGTCTTATATTACCATTGAGAAAAGTTTTTATGAAAGACCCGACAACTCCTGTTTTCCGCATCTCTCCAAGTTCTTCTGCGGTTTCCTTTTTTCTTCTTCTCCTTCTTATTCTGTTTGGCCCTCTATCCTGGCGTTCTTCTGACCTCCGTTCCATGCATTCCCCACACCACATGTGACGACTTTTGAGGCGCCTCGAGAATGCATTCCCCACACCACATGTGACGACTTTTGAGGCGCCTCGAGAATGCATTCCCCACACCACATATGACGACTTTTGAGGCGCCTCAAAAATGCATTCCCCACACCACATGTGACGACTTTTGAGGCGCCTCAAAAAATGCATTCCCCACACCACATGTGACGACTTTTGAGGCGCCTCAAAAATGCATTCCCCACACCACATGTGACGACTTTTGAGGCGCCTCAAAAATGCATTCCCCACACCACATGTGACGACTTTTGAGGCGCCTCAAAAATGCATTCCCCACACCACATGTGACGACTTTTGAGGCGCCTCAAAAATGCATTCCCCACACCACATGTGACGACTTTTGAGGCGCCTAAAAAATGCACTCCCCACACCACATGTGTGCCTCATGCCAGCATGGACGGCACTCTGCACAGATCAGCAGCGCGCCAGCTCATCCAGGCGTGTCAGGCGGCGCTGCCACGTCAGCGCAAGCAAGCGGTTACCAGCGAGTACAAACGCCTTTGCGTCATGCTCACTCGGGCAGAGAAGAAATCCGAGATTGTAAGAGGAGGAGAAGAGGAGGGGGAGGAGGAGAAAGAAGAAGAAATAGATTACTTCGGTGGAAGCACCAAACAGACTTTTCAACCTGCCTTCAAAGCGTGCCCAGTCGCTTCCAATACCCTCACTACTACTCCGCTCCCTCTCCCTCCTCTCCCCTCTGACATCCTCCATCTCCTCTTCTCTCACCTTGACCCTCTCTCGCTTGCCCGAGCCTCTGCTGTCTGCTCCCACTGGAGGGACATTGCAGCTGCTGCCGAACCTGACTGGGTGACGCACCTCGCTGCTTGCCTCGGTTCCGTGCCTGCTGCCGAGGCCCGGGAGAGCAGGGGCGGGAAGGGCCGGTTTGGAGGGGAGGTGCAGGAGAGACAGACGCTGTTGTGGCAAGATTTGGTTTCTCGGTGTGCACAGGGTAAGTTCCCCTTGGGTCAAGTCGACATATACTTTCCCTTTATGTTTTATTTCTTTTAATTCACTCCTTTTTCTCAGTTCTGTTGAGACAAGGATGCTGTATTCAGAATATTCTGCTAACTTGCAGTCAGGATTTTGACTTCTTCACACGGATTGCTGCTAATATGTTGCTTACTTACCTTTGGTCGCCGACACACCACACCATTAATCAGCAGCTCATTTCATGTCTTGTCTCCTGCTTGCTTGCTTCTTCCTTTGCTGGAAAATAGTTGAATCGCAAAAAAACTGTTCTCTCCTCGCTTTTCTTCTATTCACCTTCCTTATACCCCCTTTCATCCAGGTTCGACACTATCCTCTTTACAGTCCAACCGGGTACTGTGTAAAGAATGCAGCATGGTGGCGTGGACACCCAATTCCGCCCCCACTCCTCCTCCTCACGCTACTACTCCCTCCACCCCCTCGGATGCACTATCGCTAGCCACAGCCACTCTCCCTTCTGCTCAGTTTTTCCGGGGCAAAAATAAGGGCAGGGTTGGTATTGTTACCTTAGGGAATAATAGTACAGGCATGGGTGTAGGTGCTGTTGCTTCTGGAAGGGGGACGGGAACTGGGGCTTCTCATGTAGCCAGCGTGCCTGGTGGTTCTTCCGCTGCAGCTGGCAGGGCTTGTAAAGCAGGCTGTGAGGCCGTGGAGGGGTGTGAACCAGCAGACACATGTGAGTTGCCAAGCAGAGGTGGCAGCAGCGGCAAGGGCAGTGGCAGTGGCGGCAGTGGTTGCAGCAGCAGCGCTGGCAGTGGTGGCAGCAGTGGTGGCAGCAGTGCAGAGAGGTTCTTTGGCCGAACGTGTCGTGTGAGGAGCACAACGAGGCGGGGGTACCGGATGCAGCAGCACGTGTGGAAGCTCGCTGAAACAGCAAAGGTGAGGAGAAGTTTGGTATTGTAGGTGGGGGGAAGTGTGGCAGCGGAGGTTGTTCTTTGGCCGAACGTGTCGTGTAAAGAGTGCAATGAGACGGGGGTACAGAATGCAGCAGCACGTGTGGAAACTTTCTGGGACAGCAAAGGTGAGAGATGTGGTTTCTGTGACTGCTTCGCTACACACGAGACTGCTTCGTGTATTGGCAGTTGCTCTTTGTGCTTTGTGCTATACTGGCACCTCGTACTGCCAAATAGTCCCTGTTTCTTCCCGGGCTCATTCTTAGCACGCAAAGGAGTAGGTAGAGATTGTTGCCACTCGAATGCATCCACTTTGTTTCGCGCTACTATCTGTCTCTCCTCCTGCAGGTTGTAGCATCCCTGTCTGGTGAGTTTGAGGGAGAAGAGTCCAGTGACGAGGATGGGGAAAGATTAGGTGGTGGAGCTGGTTACCACTCCTACGCATCTACCATCTCTCACTTCTCTTCTCTTTCTCGTTCCTCCTGCAGGTCATTGCAGCCCTCTCTGACGAGTTTGAGGGAGAGGAGTCCAGTGACGAGGACGGTGAAGGGGGTGGTAGAGCTGGTTACCAACGCTCCGGTGGATCTTCTGTGTCACGGTTTTGGTAGGATTTTCATGCAGGACATGCCGTAATCTGTACGGCCATGTTGTTGTGGGGTGGGGTTGCTATTTGCGCTGTTCACATGCTGGTGCTTTATTTCCATACAGTAAATGACTCACGGTGGTGTGTATCATGCCATATCCACCTGTTTTGTATGCCATGATGCCAACTTTATCGGGTGCTTTTTTTCTCCTCATCACCTAAATTGTTCTTTGTAGCAGAAAGGGAAACTTGTAAGATGTTCTTCTTGTCGAAATTCCGGTACCAACATACCGCATCTGATTCAGTAGTCACCACCACGTTAGGTGAGGCAAATTGTGTCTCAACAACTCAACTACGGTACATGCTACAATTTCGTTATCGCGTCACAAACTACCTACCGTTACCGGTACATCGACGGGCGAAGCCTGTGAGATTAGAATCGCGAGTGAGATAAGCTTATGTTGCAATGCAAGTGCAACAGATCCCATAGGCTGCAGCTGCAGGCTGCTGCAGGCATCATTTCACAATGAAGAGGCCTGCTCCACGCCACGCGCATGAAGCTCCCGTACTACTTTTTGCCATGCTGGTAGGGAACAGCGACAGTTTCACTCATGTCAAAACTCCACCCTTTTGATGAAGGGGATTGAAAGCTTTTGGATGTTTTCTCGATGCAGAGCATACTGCTCCATACCTACACCAATCAGTTGCAAAAGCCCCGACATATGGTATGCTGGAAGGAATCATCTCTGTATGGTACAACAGCTACAGTACTGTACAGCACTCCCATCTGCACCACGGCAATAAAAAAAACAGCAGAACCATTTCAAAGGGGCAGTACGTGACAAACAACCAGCATTCGGCATACTAATCAAGCCGCGAAGGGGAGGAGGCACAGCAAAGGCAGGAGAAGGTGAAAGAGAAGAGGTGATGAGGAAGATGGACAACACAGAAGACAGGGGGACGAGGAAGACGAGAGCGGGAAGAGGGGCAGCTGTTGGGGTTTAGGGAGACGGATGATGTGGGCAGCGAAACACCAGTAAGGTGTGCAGAGGGCGGAGAGGAGTGTGTGTGCAGAGGACGGAGAGGAGTGTGTGTGCAGAGACGGAACAAACCTGCTGGTGCTGGTGATGATCAGTCTGAAGAGACGTCCTAAAAAAGACCCCTCGTGCACGAAAGGGTGGAGGAGACAGGGGGAGTCCCTCCGGAGGGAGGAGCTGGTGAAGCCACCGGAATCCACCTCGAGACGAAATGAAGTGAACTTCAGGAACAGCTCTCGACGAATAAATTCCTCTCCAGCAGCACTTGAACGCGCAGGCACAGGCAGCAGCACCACTCCAGCAATCAAGAGGATACCCTTTTCGGGGGCTGGGTGGAACTCATGAGGTGACTTTTGAGTCGACTCAAGAGGATACCCTTTTCGGGGGCTGGGTGGAACTCATGAGGTGACTTTTGAGTCGACTCAAGAGGATACCCTTTTCGGGGGCTGGGTGGAACTCCTGTAAATCCGCCCTTTGCAGTCCCTTTCATTCCCAACGGTTAACTCGCAGGGCGCATTGCACCTTCAGGCGTTCTCACAAATCAGACTCGAGAAGTCTCAGAATACGTCTGTGAGTAAGGTTCCATCATAGGCCAACCAGCCAGCCAGCCAGCCAGCAAGCCAGCCAACCTGTCAGATCTCCCTCACCGCCCCCCTCCCCACCTCTTCCTCTCCACCCCCCTCGCCCTCTCCACTCCACCTCAGCCTTGCCAGAACAGTCTGAAGAAATGTGATAAAAAAGCAGTGCCACGCTCGACAGTCAGCAGTCAGTCTGCCATTCAGTCAGTCTATCAGTCAGTCAGTCAATCAGTCAAGCAGTCACCATTCTGTCAGTCAGCGGATGGGCACATCACCTCACGAGGTGAAGCGAGTTTCCCCCTCCATCCGCCCCCGACCCGTCCCTCTATCAGCTCAGTATCGTCAAAACAAGCCTTCCTCCTTGCTCCTGCCTCATGCCCCAATTTTATTCCATTTTCCCCCATCCCCTCTATCCGTCCACCTCCCCTTGCCCCTGCACCTGTCTTGATATCGTTCGCCTTTACCCACATCCCCACATCCTCACTATCCGTTCACTTCCCATTCGCCTGGTCAATGAGGTCAACGAAAGCCTTCCTCCTCCGTTCTCCCATCACCATAGCCATCCCATCCCATCGCACATGTGCGAAATCTTGTACTCCTGCTCATCCCTTCTCGCACGCTGCATGCCCATCTACCCTCTTCCCTGCCCCTCTATCCAGTCAATCAGGTCAATGCAAGTCTTCCTCCAGTACTTCCTGTCTGCCACCCCCTCACACGTGTACAAATTGCGCCCCCACCACGCTCATCTAATCTCCTGCCCCTCGATCCGGTCAATGAGGTCAACGCGGGTCTTCCTCCCCTTCACACAGGTACAGATGCTGCCACTCATTCTCATCTACACCTCCTGCGTCCCCCCCCCGCTCATCTGATCTCCTACCCCTCAATCCGGTCAATGAGGTCAACGCAGGTCTTCCTCCTCCACCCCTTCACATGTATGGATGCCCCCCCCTCCACTCACGCTCATCTAATCTCCTGCCCCTCGATCCGGTCAATCAAGTCAACGCGAGTCTTCCTCCTCCACCCCTTCATCACTGCCACCAGGTTGATCAGCGACACAACTTGAGCTCGTGAATACTCCTGGAAGTGGAGAGGGAATAGACGGGCACGGCATGGCACAAAGGAGGTCAACTCGGTCAATGAGGTCAACGCGGGTCTTCCTCCTCTACCCCTTCATCACTGCAACCAGGTTGATCAGCGACACCACTTGAGCTCGTGAATACTCCTGGAAGTGGAGAGGGCAGACAGCACAACACGGCACGGCATGGCACAGAGAGGTCAACGCGGGTCTTGCTCCTCCACCCCTTCATCTCGCAACCAGGTTGATCAGCGACACGACTTGAGCTCGAGAATACTCCTGAAATGAAAGCGATGGGCGGATGGGAACAGTATGGCACAGCACGGCATGGCAAGGCACAGAGGAGGTCAATCGGGTCAATCAAGTCAACGCGGGTCTTCCTCCTCCACCCCTTCATCACGGCCACCAGGTTGATCAGCGACACAACTTGAGCTCGTGAATACTCCTGGGAGGGGAAATTCAAACGGTTTGGCACCGCATGGCACAGAGGTGGAACCGGAGTCAACTTTTGAGGCGCCTCAAACTTCAAACGGCTTTTGAGGCGCCTCAAAATTCAAACGGCTTTTGAGGCGCCTCAAAATTCAAACGGCTTTTGAGGCGCCTCAAAATTCAAACGGTTTGGCACCGCATGGCACAGAGGTGGAACCGGAGTCAACTGGAAGACCACATAGTTGGCAGTTTACGTTTACGTGACCCTGAAAAACGTGAAGGACCACTCATAAGGGAGAACACTCTAGTGTCAGCCTTCATCACTCCTGCCACCAGGTTGATCAGAGACACCACCTGTGCACGGAAATTGAGTGAACAAAGGGCGAAGGCCCAAGGGGCACAGCACGGCATGGCATGGTACAGAGGGAATACTTGCACAGCATGGCTGGCTGGCCAGAGGGTGGCGTTGACATATGGATGCACACAGAGGATGCTTTTGAGGCGCTTCAGAAGTTAGGCGCAGAGCATGGCTGGCTGGCGTTGACAGCTGACTCTCTCTCACCTTGATGTTCACAGAGGGTGGCTGGTCCGATCCTGTTACATGGCTACACGGCTATGTGGTTGCAGGTTACATGGTTACATGCATGGTTGTGTGACGACAGGCGTGGGTCATGACGGATACAAGCTTACACGACTACCCAGTTACAAGCTGAGACAGTTACTCACGGGGTGGCTGAGCGCCCAATACAAGTACTCTGTCTCCGGCAGGTAGAAGGCCTGCAAAGGGGTGGACGGGGTTGGGATGAGATGGAATGAGATGGGATGGGATTGGATTAGATCTGTGTTTATGGGGGGGGGGGAGTGTTAACGCTTTCACCACTTGTACCAACTATCTCAACTTAATGTAGAGATCACTTCATTCACTTGATATAAACATAACATGACTTCATGAATGCGACCCACAATCTGCACGCCAAAACCCACCTGGAGGAAAACAATTACCTCACCTGGAGTGAACAGAACCGAGTACTTCATAATCCCACCTTGATATATGTGTCAACAATCTGCATGTCTGGGCGGCACCCCGTGAGTGAACACAGCAGTAAACACGGCTGTTGAAGACGGCAGTAAACACGGCTGTTGAAGACGGCAGTAAACACGGCTGTTGAAGACGGCAGTAAACACGGCTGTTGAAGACGGCAGTAAACACGGCTGTTGAAGACGGCAGTAAACACGGCTGTTGAAGACGGCAGTAAACACTGCTGTTGAAGACGGCAGTAAACACGGCTGTTGAAGACGGCAGTAAACACGGCTGTTGAAGACGGCAGTAAACACGGCTGTTGAAGACGGCAGTAAACACGGCTGTTGAAGACGGCAGTAAACACGGCTGTTGAAGACGGCAGTAAACACGGCTGTTGAAGACGGCAGTAAACACGGCTGTTGAAGACGGCAGTAAACACGGCTGTTGAAGACGGCAGTAAACACGGCTGTTGAAGACGGCAGTAAACACGGCTGTTGAAGACGGCAGTAAACACGGCTGTTGAAGACGGCAGTAAACACGGCTGTTGAAGACGGCAGTAAACACGGCTGTTGAAGACGGCAGTAAACACGGCTGTTGAAGACGGCAGTAAACACGGCTGTTGAAGACGGCTGTTTGCTCCCCGTGAGTTGGTTTTTGAGAATTCTCAAAGACGGCTGTTTGCTCCCCGTGAGTGGACACTTGGAGCAAAGCAAATACCCCTTTGTTCTCACCTTGATGTACGAGTCAACAATCTGCATGTCAAAAGCCACCTGAAGCGAACTGAACCGAAAACTTCATGTCCTCACCTTGATGTACGTGCCCGGAGAAAAGAAAATACTCCATGATCTGACCTTGATGTACGTATCAACAATTTGCATGTCTGGGCGTCGTCCTGTGAGCTGCTGCAAGCCGTTGATCAGCGTCTGGTGGGGGAAACGGGTGCAACTCAAAAGTCATTATGGGAGTGAATGGCTGTGCGTGAGACTGAAAGCGAACCTGCAGGCTGAGTGAGGAGTGTGACATCGTGCAACGCAAGCGTGTGGAGGCGAACCTGCAGGACATGAGCGCGCGGCGCGGCACTCATTGGAGCAGCGCTTGGCTCGTGAGGAGCCATCCACAAGCACGCGGCTACGCCCCCCCAGGTGAGAGCGAAGTGTTACCTGCAGGTCGAGAGACATGAGCGCGCGGCCCTCATTGGAGCAGCGCTTGACTCGAGAGAAGCCCTCCACAAGCACGTCTGCTACTGCCTCCATTGCGAACTGCACCAGCTGATGCTGCACCTGTGGGTGTGATGCCATGACAAGCACAGTACAGGCAATGATTAGAGGGTAACAGGGGGAAAGGAGCACAGCTAAGGGCTCGCTTGACGCGAGAGAAACCCTCCACGAACACGTGTGCCACTGCTTCCATTGCAAACTGCACCAGCTGCAGCTGCACCTGCCAAAGCAGTGTCAACGGAATAACGATACACAACAGATCAACACTCAGGTATGTTATCAACGAAACCACACTTCCCTTTGGCAGCAGGAGGGGGCTCAAACGCTGTCTCACCTCTTCCAAAAATCTCTCTCTTCTCTCTCTCTCTCTCTCTCTCTCTCTCTCTCTCTCTCTCTCTCTCTCTCTCTCTCTCTCTCTCTCTCTCTCTCTCTCTCTCTCTCTCTCTCTCTCTCGCTCTCTCTCTCTCTCTCTCTCTCTCTCTCTCTCTCTCTCTCTCTCTCTCTCTCTCGCTCTCTCTCTCTCTCTCTCTCTCTCTCTCTCTCTCTCTCTCTCTCTCTCTCTCTCTCTCTCTCTCTCTCTCTCTCTCTCTCTCTCTATGTTCTTGTGTCGAAAGAGATTCTGCAACCATTTGGATTGAGAGCGTGTGCATATACCTGGACTGGGATGCCCAGGTGGTTGAGTCTTTGTAGCAGGAGGCGCATCAAATGTGTGATGAGTTGAGTCGAGTAACAAAAGGAAGTGTGTGCATATACCTGGACTGGAATGCCGAGGTGGTTGAGTCGCTGCAGCAGGAGGCGAAACTCCGACAGCAGAGCATCCACGTAACTGGCGGGGGTTTTGTGGGAGTTATGGAGAGGGATGGATGGAGGCGGGGACAAATAAAAAAGGGGAGGAAGGAGATTGTAAGAGGTGAAATTTCACAACAGAGCGTCCATGTAGTTGGTGTGAGGAATGGAATGGGGGAATAGAAATGGAGAAAGGGACGGAGGGAGGGGATGGAGGAGGTAGCGCATCAAACAGGAAGATGAGGATCGGGCAGAAGTTTAGGATCGCATAGCGTATGCCATATATGCATGAGAAAATGCATGGGATGTATGTAATATGTACGTATGTATGAATGAATAAGAAAAGACGGGATTTTGAATGAATGCATGCATGCATACACAGGATTTGATAGGATATGACATGAGAGTGCAGGGATCAGAATGCATGTATGCATGGCACACGCATGGCACACGCGGTAGGACACATACGGGCTGTGGTAGGACGTGACGTCGTGGGACTCCCATCTCCCTGCCGCAATCTTGTCCGCATAGCTGGGGAAGCAAAGTAGAAACGCAAGGGAAGGGAGAGAGGCAAGCAAGCACGATGAAAGGAGAGCAGTGGGGAAAAGAGGTGAAAGGGTAGCTTTTGTATAAAAATAACAACACTTCATGAACGGAAGCCGGGAATTGAAGGGCAGAAGGTGCTTTTGAAGATTCAAAAGTGTTTTTTCCCTGTGTTTTTTTTTTCTCTGGTGTTTTTTTTGTTAGTGCTGTTTTTTTATTATTATTATTATTTTGCTAGGTGTTTTTTTCTTATTCTTTGTTTTTTTTCCCTCACGTTAGTGTTTTTTTTTGGCTGGTGACTTTCCCCCTCTCATGGGCCGGAGGTTGCACTTCGTTGCGACGCGGCGCCGAGTGGGGGAGCTCACGGCTCAATACTCCCGGCTCCTCGGGGCCGGAATCCCGGTGTTGGGAGTCCATCGCGAGAACCTCGCTTCCCAGCGCAGCCGGCTCGTCCACACACTGGCTAGCAGCCCAGAGGCCGTGGTGGTGTCAACAAATGTCCTTTCCACAGGGGTCACACTGCCCTTCGATGAGGTCGTGGACGAAGGCGAGCTGGTCCGAGTCGAAGGGCTCAGTGATGACTGGGAGTCAGACATCCGTGGTGGCGTTGGCGCTACCCCCGTTTACGAGAGTCTTTAGCGGCGGGGCCGGGTTGGCAGGGTTGCTCCTGGGCGCTACTATTATAGTAGCCAGGCCGGAACCGGGCCAGACTGCCCGGTCCACACGCCGGCCTATCAGCAGGAAGTGGGCCTACGGCTCGTGGCCTTGGGCGTCCCTTTCAGTGACACCACCACACCCCACCGGCGATCACTCGCGACCATCTCTCGGGTTGGTCGGGCACGGGCAAGGGACCTGCTCCAACTCAGGCTCACGGTGCCGGAGATCCTGTCCTTAATCGATGATGAGGGCAAGCTGCCTGGAGTGCTGTCTCGGGTGGCTGCACGGGAGGGGGCCAGGGGTGTGCGCGCTTCTGTGAACCACGCCTTATACAACAACCGGAAGGTGCAGGATTTCCGCGACGCTACCCACCCTTGGGTGGTTGTGCCCAACCCAGATGGGCCCGAGGTGCTGCCACCGTTGCACGGCAAGGGTAAGGTAACTCGAGGCGTAGCAGTGCCCTATGCAGGAACCGATTTGGCTGAGCTGGTGGAGGGGGGACTGGTGACTGGTCTTATGCTCAGGACAATGGGGTGGTGATTTCAAGCTTTTGGGCGCCATTGGGACGGCGGCTGTGATGTACAACACTTATCGTGTCCTTCATCAGGTTCAGCACATCGGCATGTACGCGCACGTCGTCACGTCCGCTCTCAACATTTGGCTAGAGCACGTCCCGGAGAACCTCGACGAGTACTTACGCTATGACGGCAGTGTGGTCAGAATCGCCGACCCGAACAACGTGGGCCTCGCGTTGGACTTCTTGGAGCACCCGCATGGCTCCCTGGTGGACCGCGGACCGCCAGTTGGCGGGGGGGGGGGGACCAGCCCCAAGCCCCGGGCCTCTTCACGGCTGCGGAATGCCCTAGCCGCAGTGACCACAGCCCTGTGGCCTGACGGTGGCGAGCCAGCTGCCGTGCGCAGCGCAGCAACATCATGGGGAGTTCTTGGGCCCCGGGCTGACGAGAGGGTGGCTAGAGTGGACGATGTCACTGCACTGCCCACGACAGCGTCCGCCGTGGTGGGGGGGTGCCCCCAGGCCGTCGCAGGCGCCAGAGAATTTTGGTCCACAGGGCGCGTGCCAGCCTCCCTCGTCGCCACGCTAGTTGGAGCCAGTGTTGCCATGACAGCCCCCCCTGGGCTGGGCCTGGCTGTGGGGGCGTACCTGGCGGAAGCTAAGCCAGAGTTAGCCCCGGCCGCATCAGCTGCCATTGCCGTTGCGTCGCTCAGAGGGGGTGCCAGTTGGGTGCGCGGCCACAAGACTCCCCCCTGCCGCCATCCTCAAAATGGCAGGTGCCAATTTGCCAATGGGCCGCTCTGTCGTGGAAGCCCTTACACTGTGGGTCCTGCGCTGTCGGCTGGTGGCATAACCACGGCGAACATACGTGCTGCGTTGGACCGCATAGGTTCCCTTCCTGGTCGAGAATCTGCTCCAGATAGAGGACCTGATCGACAGGTTCCCTGCCCAACTCTCCCGTGACTCATGGCGCTCCACGATTGGCATCGGATATGAGGTCACGCGCGTTTGGCAGTATCCGGCGTACCTCAAGGCCAAGATTATGCTCAGTGGAGACCCTGGGCGCACGAAAGTGTGCGTGCTCAAGGTCGAGTCGGGGCAGCCCTTGGCACCACAGCTCGAGTCATATGTGGGGCAGCTCATCACCGGGGCTAGGCGAGGTGGAAAAAAACGATTGTCGAAAAATACGATTGTATTTTTCGATTGTTCTTTACGGCACCTTTTGGGAAAAAAACGACGTTTTTTTGTTAGACAAAAAAATAGCGCCTCGATTAAAAAATTGCTGTTGGACCCAAAAAACACTTTTAACAATCTCCTAGTGCATCAGCAGCACTTCTAACAGCCAACACATTCTACTCACAAAACAATCCCCCTGTTACAGCAGCAGTTTTGTACCTTTTCTGAAAAAAACGATGGTTTTTTTCCACCCAAATAAATTATTTTCTGAAAATCGTTTTTTATTGTTTTTTACGATCGTTTCTTACGATACGGTATTTTACGATAAAATTTTGAAAAAAACGTCGTTTTTTTGCACCTTGGGGCTAGGTACACCCATGCTTATCTCCCCGTCCCCGATCCCATGCATGTGGCCCCAGGTGAGGACCCACCGAGCGTGGACATGGACCGTCACGGGAATGTCACGCTCGAGCGGAACGGCGTATATCTCATTGACATATGTGCGTACACCACCAACCCGTACTCTGACCAGGAAGGGCGCGTGGCCCTTGAGCAGGCGCTCCGTCCAGGCTCACTCCCAGATGATCGCCGCATGGCCTGGACACTTCTGAGGATCGCAGTCAGCCCCGCTGTGGGCCAGACCAGCGGGATGGATTTTCAGTGAGGTGCTCAGCACAGGTTGGGGGGGTGGCGCTTGATGCGCTGGTCACGCTGACACTAGCTCCCTGTAGCGAAGTCTACGCCCACAAGCTGGTAGACTCGCTCACGGGTGGAGCAAGTGAAGTGACATCTGAGCGTGGCCGTAGCGCCGTCAATGCCATCCTCTCTGAGCACCTGACCTCCAGCCTTTCCTTGCCGACCAGTGTGGTCGAGCGTGGGGCTCTTTCGTACATCACGGCCCCTGGGGGTGGGGACGACGTCGTCCCTCGGTGTATTCCGGTGATGCCGTTAGATTCAGACATGGGTAGGACCACCTTAGTGGTGTTGTTAGGGTCACAGGGGGGGTTGCTTGCAAATGTCCTTGATAACCTCACTCTGCTGCCATCGGGTTCGGCGGCGAGGAGGAAAAAAAACACTTTTGGGTCGGGTTTCCTTTTTTCTGTTGACTGGCAGTCGAGCAACTGTTGAGCTCAGAAAGGTGCTTTTAAGACCTGCCTGAAGGCCTACCACACACCTCTTACCTGCCCCAGGCCTTACCTGCGGAACAACTTACCTGGTAAAGTTGATGAGCAGCCGGGCAGCCGTTCGCATCACGTGCTCACAGAGCTCTGGCACCACCTCCAGCTGAGGGGAGATGATGTGAGGGAAAGAGACGCATGTATATGGGAAGACAAGAGGAGACATGCGCAAGTTGCAAGGCTGTTCTCATCACATGCTCACAGAGCTCTGGGACCACCTCCAGCTGAGGGGAGATGATGTGAGGGAAGGAGACGCATGTATATGGGAAGACAAGAGGAGACATGCGAACGTTGGAAGGCTGTTCTCATCACATGCTCACAGAGCTCTGGGACCACCTCCAGCTGAGGGGAGATGATGTGAGGGAAGGAGACGCATGTATATGGGAAGACAAGAGGAGACATGCGCAAGTTGGAAGGCTGTTCTCATCACATGCTCACAGAGCTCTGGGACCACCTCCAGCTGAGGGGAGATGATGTGAGGGAAGGAGACGCATGTATATGGGAAGACAAGAGGAGACATGCGAGCGTTGGAAGGCTGTTCTCATCACATGCTCACAGAGCTCTGGGACAACCTCCAGCTGAGGGGAGATGATGTAAGGGGGAGACGTATGCGGGTGGAGTGAAGGGAAGGGGACCACATACTCACAGACCTCTGGCATCACAATGTTTTGGACAGGTGTCATCACCAGGAGATGAAAAACAATATCACGAAGAGATTTAAGAGCTGGTTGGGGAGTAGTCTGACATGACTTACAGTTTTGGAGGTGTAGGACTTGAGCAGCGGCCAGGACGCCTTGGGCAGGTGTCATCACCAGTAAGCAACATATTATAGTATGAAGCTTAGGAGTCTGGTCATCATATTAAGAGTGACTAACCGTTTCAGAGGTGTAGGACTCGAGCAGTGGCCAGGACGCCTTGGGCAGGTGCGAGAGGAAGCGTTGCCGTGCTGCCTGCACCACGTGGGAGAGCCACAGAAGCGACTCGATCGCTACACACCGCTCCTGAATGTGGGGTTGGAAGGTGGGGCAAGAGAGGGGGATCGGAGGGGGTGGAAGGTGAGGTTGGTGCCTTGGGCAGGTGAGAAGGTAAGTGCTGACGGCAGGGGGTGCCAGTCGCTTCAAGCTGGCCGAGAGATTATCTATTGAGGTAATTCAGATTTCACTCACCCTGAGAGCGTAGAAGTTGGAGGAGGAGATGAGCACCCTGGTGCCGGTCTTGCCGTCAAACAGACTCGGCCGCCCTGCCACACTCCCAGTGCCCTCCCCACCACCCCTTGCAGAAGAACCCCCCCAAGCACCCGCACCGGCACCACCAGCAGCACCAGCAGCAGATGCGCCTATAGTTGACTCAAGAGAAGAGGCGGCAGCTGCAACAGCAGCCGAGGCAGCAGCTGAAGCAGCAGCTGAGGCAGCAGCATCAGAGAAGGAGGGTGGGGAGAGAGGGCGCAGGCCCATGGCTTCGAACTTGTGCAGGATCTTGGTGAGCACGGCACGTAGCTTGGGGGACAGCACTGTGTGGGTAGCAAGAGAAAGGGAGGAAAGGGGGAGCGGGAAGGGTGATGGAAAAGAAAGAGGGGAAGGAAGGTGGAGAGAGAGGGCGCAGGCCCATGGCTTCAAACTTGTGCAGGATCTTGGTGAGCATGGGGAAGAGAGAGGAGGAGGTGAGGGAGGGCGCAGCCCCATGGCTTCGAACTTAGTCAGAATTTTGGTGAGTACGGCGCGTAGCTTGGGGGATAGCACTGCGGGGATAGAAAGGGAAAGGAAAAGGGGAGGAGAGGAAGGGGGGAAGTTGGCGGAGGGCTAGATCCATGGCTTCGAATCTTGCTCAGCACGGCACGAAGGTTGGGGGATAGCAGCACTGTCCGGATAGAGGAAGGAATCATTGCAGGAAGAGGGAGAAGGAGGGCAAAATGGAGGGTTTTAGGGGAAAGGGAGAGGGAGAAGATGGGGTAAGATAAGAGGGGGCGGATCCATGCCTTAAAGCCTGTGCGGGACCTTTGCGAAGAGAGGCAAATTTCAGAAACTTTCAAAAGCCGATGTCAATAACACGAGGGTTGAGAGAACTCACAGTGGGCAGCGGCAGGGTCGGCAGAACGCAGGGCAGCAAAGGCCTCCCGATGACCGAAGATGCGGAATACTGTGATGAGATAGAGGTCGAAGAGCTGCCACACGGACTGATGGGGAAGGCGGGAAAGGGGGGGAGGGAGGAGGGTTGGGGGGGTTAAGGGTGGGGATGGAAGAAAGAGAGAGTTGTACGTGAAGGTCTGCTGATACTACAGGGTAGAGGGGAAAGGGTTTCGAGATTGTGTGAAGGTCTAGCGATGGCAGAGAAACAAACTTCGAGGATCAATAGCTTCGCAATCGCCTTCAAGAGCGAATTTTGGGAGGGGAGAGAGGAAGGGGAAAAGGGGAGGGGAAATGTACGAAACAATGAAACAGTTTACCACGAAACGGGAGTGCGGAGCAGAGCAGATCATGCTGCAGAGCCAAGCCAGCCATGCTGCATGCATGGCACAGTGCTCACCATGATGACGTCAGCTGAGATAGGTCCAAGAGAGAACAGCAGAGTGACCTGGTAGTCCATCAACCTGGCAGGGTGGAGCGCGGACAGGGGGAGGGCAGACAGGGGGAGGGCAGACAGGGGGAGGGCAGACAGGGGAAGGGCAGACAGGGGGAGGGCCAACAGGGGGAGGGCCAACAGGGGGAGGGCCGACAGGAGGGGGGGCACGGGTGGAGTGGTGATGGGGGCATGGGGAGGAGGACAGGCCAAGAGCAGCACGGGGAGGAGGGCAGGGCGAACGTAGCATGAAAGGCTGGTGAGCGGGAAGGGAGGGAACAGGGGGGTAGGGGACATGAGTGGCATGGCATGGCATGGCATGGCATAGCATGGCATGGCATGGCATGGCATAGCATGGCATGAAGAAGCAAGCCCACCTGACAGCACCAAGAGCAGACGCAGTGGCAGCAAACTCCTGCTCCTCCCCCTTCCCTCCCTTCCCCCCCTTCCCTCCCTTCCCCCCCTTCCCTCCCTTTTCCCCCTTGCTTTTATCAGCGCCCACCCCTCCACCTCCCTCCTTCCCACTGCCAGCCCGCCTCCTCCCCTGGCCCCCCAATCTTCCATCACTCTGTGAACGGCCTAGTAGCGAGTCAGGCAATAAGGAGGACGGTGCTGCTGGGGAATATATCCTCGTTGTCCCACTCCTCTGCACCCCTCCAGACCCTCCCCTTCCTCCTCCTCCCTTACCTATTCCTCCTCCGCTTCCTGACTCTCCTCCCTTTCCTCCCCCTTCCCCTCTTCCTCCTCTTCCTCCCCTACCTCCTCCTCGCCCCCCGCTCCTGCTTCTCTGAATGCTGCTGCTGCTCTTGCTGCTAGGCACTCCGCCTCCTCCTCCTCTCTCTCTCTCTCTGCTCCCTCTCTCTCGCTCTTTCCCTCCCTCCTCCTCCCCCTCGCCATCCTCATCAATATAATCAGCCAACAACTCCTCCTCCTCCTCCTCCTCCTCCTCTTCCTCTTCCTCCTCCTCCTCCTGCTCCACTCCTTCCCCTTCCTCTCGCATCCTCATTAAACCGCTCCCAACCCCTTGCATGATGCTACTGGCACGACCCACAGCAGCAGCAGTGGGGTCGCTACGAACAGCAGCAACACCGGAAGGACTAACAGCAGGTATACCGGCAGGGCTAACAGCAGCAACAGCACCACCACCCCCTCTGTTGTAGCTGAAGGTATTACTCTTCAAATCGTACCCACTGCCCCAGCTACCACCACCACCAGCACCACCACCAGCACCACCACCAGCACCAGCAGCACCACCAGGGCCAGTGGGAGTTGGGGCGGCATTTCTTGGAGCTACTCGCTCAGAGCTGTACTGTCGAAGCTCGTTCACCCCCTCTGCTGCACTCCCAAACCTGCCTACCCCATATCCACCTCCCCCAGAAGAAACGCCTGCTCCATATGCTCCCCCTGGGCTCTGATACGCTGAATGTGAACTCATCCTTCCTCTCTCTTGCTCCTTCTCCCTCTCCCTCTCTCGCTCCATATCCATAAATCTATCTCGCAGCATCTCCCGGTCTCTCTCTCGCGCTCTCTCCCTCGCCACCCCTCCCATCCCTCCCTGCGACACCACCACCAACTCCCTTAACATCCCCTGCAGCCCATCCCACGCCACTCCACCGCTGTTCACCCCTCTTGCTCCCCTTCCCATCCCTCCACCCGCCCCTCTTCCTCTCCCGCTGGCAGCTTCCATTTGCTCTCTCCCACCCCTAACATTCTCCACGTTGAAAGGCTGGTCTAGATGCATCCAGTGACTGAAATCCCACACGCGCCCTGCCTCTCCGCCTCTCTCCCCTCCCACTCCTCCCATGCCTCCCCCGCTCGCCCCATCTCGCCCCACGGAGAGTGCAGAGTCGCTGGGAGAGGACGAGGTGAGCATTTTGGCCGGCGAGCGGGCGAGTGTGGAGCGGGCAGAGATGAGATGTTGCACCTCGGGGGCTTGCAGGGAAGAGGGAGGCAGCGGCTGCCAAGTTTCCCTCTCCACCATCATACGCAGCACCTGCAGCAGGGCGGGGACGAGAGCATGGAGGAATTTCTGTAGCTGTGCCGTTCGGGCGGGCAAGGGTGGAGCGGGAGGAGATGAGATGTTGCACTTCAGGGGCTTGCAGGGCGGATGCAGGCAACGGCTGCCATGTTTCCCTCTCCACCATCATACGCAGCACCTGCAGCAGCAGAATAAATTGTGACGGGTTTTGCAAGAGAGGGAGGGGTGGGAGGAGATGAGATAGCAGATCTCGGGGTCTTACAGAGATGAGGACGGCAGCGGACACTCGTACACGCAGGGGGATTCGTGCCATCCCACTCTCTCACTCACTCACTCAATCCCTCACTCTCACTCACTCTCACCCACTCACTCACTCACTCCCTCCCTTATTCACTCCCTCACCTCCAGTGCCTGGCGGTGGTAGTTCCTGAAAAACTGGTCGCACTGCCGGCCCATCTTGGCCCTCAGGCTCCCCGCTTCCGCTTGAGTAAACGCCTCCCCTGCCAGCACAAAGTCTTCCACCAGGCACAGGATCTGCAGGGGATGTGAGGGGGTGCCACGGCATAGAGCACAGACAGAACACACAGCATCACTAAGCTGACATGTGGGTGGGTGCCTCTTGGCCCTCGGACTACAAGCCTCCGCTTGCGTGAACGCCTCCCCTGCCAGCACAAAATCCTCCACCAGGCACAGGATCTGTGGTCGAGGGTGTGCGGGTGGGAAAAAGAAATTACAAACACAATTGAGATGCCGGAGCAGACCGGAGCAGACCGGAGCAGACCGGAGCAGACCGGAGCAGACCTGAGGGGCAGCCACTCGGCGAGAAACCAGCTCCCACACCATCTTCCTGCCCTTCTCTAGCGCACCCCTCACTGCTGCTGCCGGATTCACTCTGAGTGAGAAAGAGAGATATGGAAACAGAAGCACGCACCTGCAGGAACTGCTCAGAGGTGCTGGAGCACACAGGAGGAGCAGATAAAAGTGCAGCAACACGGCGAGCAGCCAGCTCCCACACCGTCTTCCTGCCCTTCTCTAGCGCGCTCCTCACTGCCGCTGCTGCCTGGTGTTGATCCGCCTTGGATTCTCATTCTCCCAGCACAAGTCACAGAGGCATAGCGAAAGGCTAGACACACGCACCTGCAGGAACTGCTCAGAAGTCCCGGAGCAGACCGGAGAGGCAGATAGAAGCGCAGCCACTCAGCGAGCAGCCAGCTCCCACACCGTCTTCCTTCCCTTCTCTAGCGCGCCCCTTACTGCTGCTGCCACTGCCTCACAGCAAGTCAGAAAGAGAGATATGGAAACAGAAGCACCTACCTGCAGGAACTGCTCTGACGTGCCGGAGCACACAGGAGGAGCGGACAGCAGAGCCGCCACCCTTCGAGCAGCCAGCTCCCACACCGTCTTGCGGCCCTTCTCCAGCGCGCCCCTCACTGCTGCTGCTGCCGCCTCCCGCACAGCTGGCGTCAGCTCACTGGCCGGCGACGGGACAGCTGGCATTGGCTCACTGGCTGATGACGGCAACGCGGTGGTGCTGGTTAGACTGGCAGGAGCGGCAGCAGGGAGAGAAGAAGCAGCCAGGATAGCAGAGGCAGCAGCAGCAGAAGGACCAGCAGCACCAGCCGCAGTAGGAGCAGTAGCAGCAGCAGCTAGACCATCCGTAGCAGGCTCTTTACCCTTGAGAGAAGCCGCTAGCGGCGGCGGCCTTTCCCCCGGCACTTCCTGCTCTAACTTGCTTCCACCTCCTCTTTCTTCCCTACCACCTCCTTCTCCATCCCTCCCACTCTCTCTACCCGCAACTTCCCTTTTCGCTTCTCTCACTCGCCCCTCCATCCTGTCCACATCATCTTGCACGTCTTGCAAAAAGTCCCAATGCTCGCCGCCACTGCCACTAGCACCCACCACTCTATCGCTGAAACCACCATCACTGTTGGTGGGCGCTGCAGCACTGCTGTTGCTGCCACCAGCACCACTGCTGCCACTGGCGCCAGGCGCAGCAACAGCAGCAGAAGCAGACATGCTGGCATGCGCCTGTGCTGAGCTGGACTGCGCCTGTGCTGAGCTGGATGGCGCCTGTGCTGAGCTGGACTGCGCCTCGACCGGGACGTCAAACACAACAGCCTGTGCAGCTGGTAGGCACAGCGAGTCTTCAAACCGGTCAGGAGCAGCACTGCTCTCCTCACTCGCCCTGCTCTCCTCACTCGCCCTGCTCTCCTCACTCGCCCTGCTCTCCTCACTCGCCCTGCTCTCCTCACTCGCCCTACTCTCCTCACTCGCCCTGCTCTCCTCACCACCCTTCTCTGCTGCACTGTTAGAGCCAGACTGGCTGCTGCTTGCACTCGCCTGGTCAGCCTTGGAAGGCTGAGAGGAAGAGGGAGTAAGCGTGGATGGATGTGTGCTCGAATCAGTAGGAGTAGTGGGAGGAGCAGCCGGAGGGGCAGCGGTAGGGGCAGAGGGAGGGGCAGAGGGATGGGCAGCAGGAGGAGCAGTAGGAGGAGCAGCGGATACCTGTTGAAAGAGCAGAGAGGACAGAGAACAGGGAAAACATGCTCTTAGGCACCTTCGTAACAGGTTTCTTCAAGCCCTTAAGGGCGTATTTGAATCAGCGTGTGAAGGAGGCGCAGATACCTGTGGTTACAAACGGGAGCAGTGAGAGGAGCAAAGCGGGAGTAAAATTTTTTATGATTATAAGTTACCTTCCAAGTCTCTCACAGTTCACCTCAAAACTCACCGTCTTAAGCAGTGGGTGGTGGGCGGTCATCATGACGTGGTGCGAGCACATGAGCTCGAAAACAAGCTCCATGGTTCGGATGAGGCAGAGGAAGAAGAATCGGTCCGACAGCTGCCCACATAATTCACTATATGCCATCCTGTGAGTGTGGGGATGGGCCAAGTGAGGTACAGGGATGACAAGCGCAGCAATGGGGGTGAAGAAAGGGAGAGAGAAGCTCCATGGTTTAGATGAGGCAGAGGACAAAGAATCGGTCTGATAGCTGCCCACATAGCTCGCTGTATGCCATTCTGGTAATAAGGGGAGGGGCAGAGGGGCAAAGGGGAGGGGAGATGCAAGGCTGAGAAACCAAGCTCCATGGTGCGGATGAGGCAGAGGAAGAAGAATCGGTCCGACAGCTGCCCGCACAGCTCGCTGTATGCCGTCCTGTTGATATTTCGAGGGGGCAAGCACAGCATGGATGGAATGGGGAGCAGCAAGGGAGGTACAGGGATAACATGTGATTGTGGTGGTTGGGAGAGACTAGCTCCACAGAGGAATTTGAAGGGATTGAGTGACGAGCTCTATGGTGCGGATAGGGCAGAGGAAGAAGAACCGATCCGACAGCTGCCCGCACGGGCAGACTGGTGTTAGGAAAGAACTATTCTGTTGCAGGGAAGGACGAGCATCACAAGCGAGCAAGCATGAAAAAAGGAAGAGGGATTCAGAAAAAGGCATACCTGCTTCTCCGGGCATCGTCCTCTGTGCTTCCCTGTACATCCAAAACAAAACAAGGAGGCAGAACAAGGAGGGGAGGCATGATATTTGAGGTCAAGGACAACGCGGGGCAACAGCAGTGTTGTACGTCTTAGAGACCACACGCATGCACTCGCACATGCGCGCGCGCACACACACGCAGACATACTGAGCGCTCCACCCACCCACCTGCTCCACGAATTGCAGCAGGATGTCGTAGGTCTCGGACACCACTGCCTGGGAGAAGAAGTTGTGTTCGTGTCCCATGACCCACCCACCTACTCACCCTCCCACCCACTCGCCCACCCTCCCACCCACTCGCCCACCCTCCCACCCATCCCACCATTACCTGCTCCACGAACCGCAGCAGGATGTCGTAGGTCTCGGACACCACCGCCTGGGAGAAGAAGTTGTGAACCTTCTCTCACACACTCGTGTACACACACACACATATTGCCACTGCCAAGCACAAACACCCTCCCACCCTCACACCCACCCACCTGCTCCACGAACTGCAGCAGGACGTCGTAGGTCTCAGACACCACTGCCTGGGAGAGGAAATTGTGCTGCCCGTGTGTCCGAGCTGCTGATATAGGTGATCTAATCAGTCGTCTCAATCAAGCACAAACCCATGGTCCACCCACCACCTGCTCGACGAACTGCAGCAGGATGTCGTAAGTCTCAGACACCACAGCCTGGGAGAAGAAGTTGTGCACCTTCTCTCACACACTCCTACACACCCACACACATATTCCCATGCCACCAACCAATCCCCACCCGCCCACCCTCGCACCCACCTGCTCCACGAACTGCAGCAGGATGTCATACGTCTCAGACACCACAGCCTGGGAGAAGAAGTTGTGCACCTTCTCCGCGAGGGCGGGCAGCCCATTCATCACCGCATATGAGTCGAGCACTGTGGCATAGGCGGTGGGGTTGTAGCGCCGGCAGACTGTGAAGAGAATGGCGTCCACCTCATCCACCACTCTCGCCAGCCAGCCCTGTAGAGGAGTGCAGTGGCGTGCAGTGGGGTGGAGTGGAGTGGAGTGGAGTGGAGTGGAGTGGGGTGGGGTGGAGTGGAGTAGAGTGGGGTGGAGTGGAGTGGGTTGCAGTGGGTTCGAGTGGGTTGGAGAGGGGTGGCCCAGACAGCATGTCACAACGCAAGGCAGCTTAGTGAAGAGCGGGGTAGCATCCTGTCACCACCCACCCACCGCAGTGCCTCACCTCCAGGCTGCTGCTCATGTCATCAATGGCCCACAACGCTCGGCTCTGCTCAACGAGCACAAGGCAGCGCGAGCACAGCTGCAGGGCGGCGGGGCAGTGGGCTCTCTCCCCCTTTATCCGTCACTCTCCCATTCACCACCTCCCATACGATTGCCTCACCTCCAGGCTGCTGCTCATATCCCCAATGGCCCACAGCGACCGGCTCTGCTCCACGAGCACGAGGCAGCGCGAGCACAGCTGCAGCGCGGCGGGGTAGTGGGCGCCCTCCACCAGCTGCTGCAGGCGCGCCTTCATGTGTGCTATCTGCTGCATGTGCTGCAGCACTGGGATCATGCTCTGGGGAGTCGCATAGAGTGGGATTCAGAGGTGTACAGAGGGATGTAGAGGAAGCGGGGGCAAGCAAGGGGCGTCAGCTGCAGGGCGGCAGGGTAGTGGTAGAGCCCACCCTCTCCACCAGCTGCTGCAGGCGCGCCTTCATCTGAGCTATCTGCTGCACATGTGCTGCAACACTGGGATCATGCTCTGGGGAGGGCGGAGTGGTAATGGCAAAAGAGGGACAGACAGAGAGACATTGGCAGCAAGCAAGGGACGGCAGCTGCAGGGCGGTGGGGTAGTGCCCGCCCCGCACCAGCTGCTGCAGGCGCGCCTTCATCCGTGCTATCTGCTGCATGTGCTGCAGCACTGGGATCATGCTCTGGGGTTCCGGGCAGGGGCATGGGGACAGATAGTCAGTGCATGCAGCAAGGGACGTTAGTGTTCTTTCTGCCTTTCAATCAGCAGCTGGAGCTGCAGGGCGGCGGGGTAGTGGGCGCCCTCAACCAGCTGCTGTAGACGAGCCTTCATGTGTGCTATCTGCTGCATGTGCTGCAGCACTGGGATCATGCTCTGGGGGGGAGAGCAGTATTGGCAAAGGAGGGACAGACAGAGAGACAATGGGTGCAGCAATGGACGTCAGGCTGTGAAGTCAACAGCTGCAGAGCAGCAGGGTAGTGGGCGCCCTCCACTAGCTGCTGTAGGCGCGCCTTCATGTGTGCTATCTGCTGCATGTGCTGCAGCACTGGGATCATGCTCTGGGGAGTCGCATAGAGTGGGATTCAGAGGTGTACAGAGGGATGTAGAGGAAGCGGGGGCAAGCAAGGGGCGTCAGCTGCAGCGCGGCAGGGTAGTGGGCGCCCTCCACCAGCTGCTGCAGGCGCGCCTTCATCTGTGCTATCTGCTGCAACACGGGGATCATGCTCTGGGGGGAGGAACGAAAGAGGAGGGGGGGTTGAGGAGGGGGTGGGGTGTGGGTTAAGAAAGGATCTGCCCAAGGAGGGGAGGAGGAAGAGAGAGGAATTACAGCAAGGGGAGCGCTCGAGGGGAAAGGCTTTGATTCCCCTCCTAAAGCGACTTTGCAGCATCGAATACACATCCCACAACCACCTATTCATGTGTACACTTCTACATCCCTCGCCTTCTACACGTGATTTGAGATTTCACATATAGGTCATATTTTAACCCACTCAGATGGCCATGTGCTTCCCCTCGCTGCACTCACAGTAGCCATGCGCTTCTTCTGCACGTTGTTGGACACCACCAGGTTCTCTCACTATCCCCACCCCACCCCACCCCACCCCACTTACCCACCCATTCGTACCTTGACACTTCCCTCGCCACACCACTCACAGTGGCCATGCGCTTCTTCTGCACGTTGTTGGACACCACCAGGTTCTTTGAAATGTCCTTGCGTGCACTGTTCAACAGCCGCCGCGTGTTCTGCGATAGGAGAGAAGAAGTGTTTGAAAAAGAAGGGGCGGGGAGGGAGACAGGGGCGCGGAGAGAAGGGAGGGGATGGGAGGAGGGAAAAAGGCGAGTTTTTACAAGCACAGTCAGTGAGTTGATTTTTGAGGCGCCACAAAAATCAACTCACCGAAAGGCGAGTTCTTACAAGCACTGTCTCCAGCCTTCGGTGTGTGTTTGGAGAGGAGGGAGAGAGAAAAGCGCGGGGAGAGGGAGAGTGTGTGGGGGATTCGCAAGGACCATTGGAGAGAGCAGTTGTGTGTGTGTGAGGGCAGCCTACAAACAAAATGCTGCCTGTCACCACTCACTCACTCACTCACTCACTCACTCACTCGCTCACTCACTCACTCACTCACCCTGCAGATCACATAGAGCACTTGCAGGTCCCGCTCGAGCTCCGCAAAGAGGTTCATTCCTTGCACTGACGGGCAGGAGGACGGTGATGGGAGAAGGGGAAGCGCAGGGCAGTGTTGGGAGGGATGGCGGGGAGGATAAAGAGGGAGTGGGAGTTGAAGTTAAGTCAAGCTATTTCTCAGCAACAAGAGTAAGGGGTTGATGGCACCCTACCTACAACACCCAGCAGCACCCTATCTACAACACCCAGCACCCTACAGCACCCATCAGCACGCACCCATTTCCTCGTGGTGACTCATCACTTGCGTCGCCAGCTGTTCTTGAACCTCATCCAGCTGCAGCTGCCGCTTGCCACACTGCCAGCCAGATGGCAGATGCCACGACAGCAACAGATGCCACGTCAGCACGCCAGCAACAGATGCCATGTCAGCAACAGAGCTATATTAGAGGAATCACAGCAGAGCCATGGCAGGCAGACTATTTCTGAAAGATTGACTGTCTTATAAGGCTGAAAATAAGCATGCGCATGCGTATAACGTACGCACAATAACCTAATCTAAGCACCTGTGTCCCAAGGTGTTGCAGCGAGAGGGATTCGTCTGGAAGCTCCTCCAACGCACAGCGGACTGGGTCAAAGTCCTGTAACGCGGATAACAAGGAGAGAGAGAGTGAGTGACGTGAGAGTGCTCACCCCCTCCCTCCCCTCTCCCCCCTCTCCCCCGTACAATCACGCGCTTTTAAGAATTCTTAAAGGTAAGGCCAACTCCCATCCTCCCCTCTCGCCCCTCCCCCCCATACACGCACCTCCTCGAAAGAGCTTGCATCCAACGGCTCTGCCTGCTCCGCCTGCACTCCTCGCCAAAACTATACCCTCCCTCTCCAATCCCCACCCCATAGACTCACGCACCTCCTCGAAAAAAGCTTGCATCTAACGGCTCTGCCTGCGCCGCCTGCACAGGTGTCCCCACACGCAAACCCCGCAGATACACCAACCCACCGAAACCACACCCTCCCTCCACTCCCTATACATCCCCACAGACTCACCTCCTCGAAAAAGCTTGCATCTAACGGCTCTGCTTGCTCCGCCTGCACGGGTCGCAGTGACGACATGCCAGCTAGGATCCCCAGTGACGTGTTCATTGATGACGTGGCAGATAAAGGCAGGGACTCGGCCACATCATCCAGCCCGCCTCCTCCCCCACCCATCCCACTGCTGCTAGTCCTAGTCACCATAGCCCACAGCCCTCCAATCCCCCCCATTCCCCCTCCCCCTCCCCCTCCCCCGCCCCCAGAGAGCGCAGGAGATACCACCCCCCCTGGTAACGACCTGCGGAGGGGGGAAGCGCCTCCCCCAGAGCCTTGGCGGGGGGCAGGCGCGGGGGAGGCGGGGGGGCCGAGGGAGAAGGGGGAGGTGAAGAAGGAGATGACGTCAGCAGCAGTGGTGGTACGGGGGGAGGGTTGAGACAGACGCGACTGCTGCTGCTGCTGCTGCTGCTGCTGGTGATGGTTGTGATGGTTGTTGTGGTGGTGGGTTTGAGGTGGGGAGGTGAAGAGAGAGAGGACGCTGAAGCCTGGGGATGCAGGGGAGGAAGCGGATTGGGTGCGGACGATAGCAGTGCCACTAGAACGCCCGTCCCCACCACTGCCATTACCACCACCACCGCTGCCACTACCATTAATACCACTGACGACCGCGCCAAACCCGCCCGTGCTGCTGCTGCTGCTCTGATTCTCAAAGCGAATCTCGTCCAGCGTTATATGGAGCTCCGTTGCCCCTCCTGATGTTGATCTTCCCCCGAACGCAGCGGCATGGGAAGGGGGCGCCTGGGGACGGATAGGGGGAGACTCGTACGTGGCGGAATGGGAGGAGGGGACGCGGGGAGTGGGGGCAGGAGGAGGACGGCCACGATCAGGCGCGGCTATGGATAAGGACCGTTGGATGTTCTTGAAAAAGGAGGCCCCTCCGCCTGTTCCAGTTCCCAAAAACCCACCAGGGCCCCCCATGAACCCTCCAGTACCAAAACTCTTGAAACTATTACCACCACCGCCACCACCACCACCGATATTAGCACCACCACTGCTGCTACCACCACCATCCGCACCAGCGTTCCCAATTCCCAGCCCTCCGATTCCCCCAATTCCTCCGATCCCCCCAATTCCGCCTAGATTCAGCCCCCCTCCTCCGAAGGTAATCCCTCCCCTGTTGCCGCTCCTGCTGCCGCCGTTGCTGCTGCCGCTGGCACTGGCAGCACCGCTGGAAGGGCCGTTGGGTCCCCATGGCCGCCTGCGACTGGTGGCTGCTGCTGCAGGCGACGGTGGCTCCTGTAACAACAACGAGTGAGACACAGAGGATCGGTGATTTGCATATAAAGGCATGAATCAGGGTAGGGAGATAAATTTTGACAAAATTGTCCAGATGCGAAGGGAAATGAGGCATTGCTTCAAGTGAGGGTAGGTTTTCTGACAATATGTTACAACATGACTGAATGTTTCCGGTGGAGGTCGTGACATACTTGGTCGTAATATCCTCCTCCTGAGCCGCCTTGCAGACGATTAAGCGGATCGTTGATCAGCTTCTCCGCGAATCTTCGGAACCCGTCCATTCTTCAACAGCCGCCTTTTCCTGAGAGAAAAAAGACCAACTGTCTTGAGGATCCGAGAATCGCAGCTCTCGTTATTAGCAGCGGAAACAGCCCTCTAGAAGGCCGTGATTTGATCGAACTGGTGACTTTTTGGAGTCGAAAACTGATGGTCAGGTCTTGCAAATATGTAACACCCTATTCTGGAAACTTGCACTTCTCATTATATCAGAGACTATACGAGGCAGCGACCAGCAGCTACCAGTTTGATTCCTCGCGCGTAACTGATAGCTAGAAGTTGCTTCTCTCCCGTATGTAAATGGATCACGTGTCTCGCGGATCGGACGCTGCGTTCCTCGCCTGCAGAGAGATCGACACGATCTGAGACGTATTGAGAGGCGATCGCCGCGCAAATGCACAGAATAGAGATATCTCATGTGGTCACAGGAGAAAGACGAATCATCATGGCTTCGCGAAGCCTTCGGTCCGGCGCACGTCAGAAAAACAAATGCCTTCTAATTTTCGTGTTTAGAATTGCCGATGGTGCATTTTTTATGAAAATGACGTAGCAGAACCGTGGCGGTTAGGGCGTGGAACATTTTTACGACCACCACATTTGGTCGGATCGATGGTTGTTTCTGGCGATTGCGAAGAATTTAGGGAAACCCCATTGACTTGCATGGATAGTAGTTACCCTGAATTGACCGAAAATTCTTGGGATCTCTCGTAAGTATTTAGAGCCGCTCCTCACACTTATTTATTAAAAGGGGTACATGATTTGACTTCCAGTACTTACCCTCAATTGTGTTTCCCCCACATTCTACTCATTCCCGCCCTCCCCAATATCCCACACCTCCTTTCGAATGCTTAAAGTGGGAACACATGTTTGCGCAAGAGAGCGCACGAACTCAAGCAAAACGGGTAACTCAAACAAGATTTTCGTTCAACTTGTGCAACAGCAGGCAAGAAGAAACCAAGGGCCTGATCATTCTCCGCAAAATCAATAAAGAGGGCCACTTGTTCTTCGTGCTCTGTATTTAGGACCGACTTATCAAACGTCTTAGGCCGACGAAGTCTGAGCAATGTCTCATTATCCTGGAGTGCCTGTTATTTCTGTCAAGAAACCTTTCGTTGGTTCCAGTGATGTTGGCTTAGCTCGCTGCTCAATGCAATTTTAAAGCGGTAAGATGCTGAGACTTCCAAGAACCATCTGACGTCTCCCGTGACTGATGATTCGCCCAGAAGCTGCGATCCAGCAACTGCTCCCACAATCTCTTTCAAGCTTCAGCCACACCTCAGACCGACATTAGCTGTAGGAATCTACACCATCCGATCAGAGAGTCGGTGGGTTCTGAGCAGTTGCCTTCCTTAGAATGCTGGAATAGTAGGTAGTCTTGGGGTTCCTCGGAGCTGATCTGACTCGTGTTGCAATGTTGCTACGAAGCACAGCATTTCAGGGTCCATCACCTGAGTGCACCCATCGACCACAATGTAGAGTTCAGCTAAACTGACTGCATCGTTACGCACAAGTGATTGTGTTTGACGTGTAGACCTTCAAAATAAACCTTTTACCGACTACAGTGTACACTTGGCTGAACGATCCATCGTGCCAGCTGCTAGACCGTTAATCGAGCCGGCTAACGGGCTAGTCATTGTGTTTTCGATAGGGTAGCAGCGGAACGGCCTTAAGTAATTTTTCCTCCTTTACAGCCGCGTCTGGCCGTTCTGAAGCCTTGAAGGTCGGTTTCATCTTGCTGCTGCTTCGAGCTGACCGTTGCAAGCGGCGATGGATGCACGCGACAGGCGAAGATTGTGGAAGAAGGTGATTTCAGGAGCCACCACCCCCCCAGGCCAGGCCCCCCCCCCACCCCACCCCACCCAACCCCCCCTCTCTGCTCCTGGTGCTTTCACAACCAACTCCCCCTGCTCCTGCTGCTTGCACAACCAGCTTCTCCTTTTTGCTTATCAACTTTCCTGCATATCTCTGATTCCAGTCAGCCACTCCCGTCCCATCCACCCAACCTTGTTGAGCCTGCTGCTTTGTCAATCTCACCTCACCTTTAAAATTCAACTTCATTCGTCACTGCATACAGCATCCGCGTTATAAGACTAATGCTCAATGTGGATTCTCCTGTGGCGTGTGGATTGCGGGGGGGGGGGGTTGTGGGGGAATGGGGGAAGGGGGGAAGGGGGGAAATGAAAAGGGCGTGGTGTGTGGCTGTGGGGTGGCTGTGAGGGGCTGGCGAGGGGGCGTGAGTAGCTGCGGGCAGCGAGGCGGCCAGAGGTGCGGCCTTCCGTGTGGTTTGTGGCGCTCCGCGCGTGCTGCTCGCCGCGCCGAGTCACCTGCCTCTTCGTTCTCTACGTCCTCGCCGTGCTGCTGCTCTGTGAGTATCTTGTACCCTGTATTAGGGCTTGGTGAAAAGGGCGTGGTGAAAAGGGCGTGGTGAAAAGGGCGTGGTGAAAAGGGCGTGGTGAAAAGGGGGTGGTGAAAAGGGCGTGCTGCTCGCCGCGCCGAGTCACCTGCCTCTTCGTCCTCTACCTCCTCGTCGTGCTGCTGCTCTTTACGTCGCTGCCTGTAGTCGAATCAAGGGATCCCGTCACCCACTTTTTCACTTTTGAGACGCCTCAAAAGTTGTTGCGCCGAGTCACCTGCCTCTTCCTCCTCTACCTCCTCGTCGTGCTGCTGCTCTGTACGTCATTGGTGTCTTTAGAATAACGTTGGCTCAAGTGTCAGTTACTGCTTCTGCTTCTGCTTTTGAGTCGACTCAAAACTTATGACTTTTGAGTCGACTCAAAAGTCACCTGGTGAACTTAGACTAACGTGGGCTCAAGTGTCAGTTACTGCTTCTGCTTCTGTGGGCTGTCGAGTCGACTCAACAAATGCTTGCTTGGAGGAAAAACTCGCGGCATGCTTCTCCCGTATGTCTTTGAGTCGTCTGAACAGTCAGTCACCTTGCATGGCCTGGGCCTGCTTTTGAGTCGACTCAAAAGCTTCCCCCGTACGTTTCGAGTCATCTGAAAAGTCAGTCACCTCGCATGGCCTGGGCCTGGGACCATCCGATCCAGCTGGTTCTTGAATCAAAACTCTTTCCATTTCCCAACTATGCCTTCGCTCACCCTTCCCCCTGATGACTCCCTCCCTTCGCTCAGATGAAATCGGGGGAGTGGGGCACATGCGTGTCCGACTGACCTCTCCTGCAAGTTCCCTACAGGAGGCATGTTCTGGGACCACCCCATCCAGCCCCGCACCTAATTCAAGCTCAACTGTATCCCCCCTATGGTTCACTGGGCAACAGATGAGATAGGGGGAGTGGGGCACATGTGTCCAGCAGACCTCTCCTGCAAGTTCCCCACAGAAGGCATGTTCTGGGACCACCCCATCCAGCTGCTTTTCTAATAAAACTAATTCCTTTTGCCCCCTATGCTTCCACTTACCCTTCCGTTCCTTCCTTCAGATGAGATCGGGGGAGTGGGGCACATGTGTCCAGCAGACCTCTCCTGCGAGTTCCCCACAGAAGGCATGTTCTGGGACCACCCCATGCAGCCCCGCAGGCCCCCTCGCGTCATCCGCACCTACCTCGTCAACGCCTCCGCTGCTGCCGCTATCGCTGCCGCCGCTGGTGATGCTCTGGAAACACCCCATTCAGCCTGTTTGTTTCTCTCCTGTGCCTGGCGACCCCCTTCCAACAGATGAAATCGGGGGAGTGGGGCACATGTGTCCGGCAGATCTCTCCTGCGAGTTCCCCACAGAGGGCATGTTCTGGGACCACCCCATCCAGCCCCGCAGGCCCCCTCGCATCGTCCGCACCTACCTCGTCAACGCCTCCGCTGCTGCCGCCGCTGACGCCACCGGTGCTGCCCATTCAGCCTATCTTTTTCTCTCCTATGCCTCGTGACTCTCTTCCAACAGATGAAATCGGGGGAGTGGGGCACATGTGTCCGGCTGACCTCTCCTGCGAGTTCCCCACAGAAGGCATGTTCTGGGACCACCCCATCCAGCTGCTTTTCTAATCAAACTCATTCCGTTTGGCCCCTATGCTTCCACTTACCCTTCCCTTCCTTTCTCAGATGAAATCGGGGGAGAGGGGCACATGTGTCCGGCCGACCTCTCCTGCGAGTTCCCCACAGAAGGCATGTTCTGGGACCACCCCATCCAGCCCCGCAGGCCTCCTCGCGTCGTCCACACCTACCTCGTCAACGCCTCCGCTGCTGCTGCTATCGCTGCCGCCGCTGGTGATGCTCTGGAAACACCCCATTCAGCCTGTTTGTTTCTCTCCTGTGCCTGGCGACCCCCTTCCAACAGATGAAATCGGGGGAGTGGGGCACATGTGTCCAGCAGATCTCTCCTGCGAGTTCCCCACAGAGGGCATGTTCTGGGACCACCCCATCCAGCCCCGCAGGCCCCCTCGCATCGTCCGCACCTACCTCGTCAACGCCTCCGCTGCTGCCGCCGCTGCTGCCGCCGCTGACGCCACCGGTGCTGCCCATTCAGCCTATCTTTTTCTCTCCTATGCCTCGTGACTCTCTTCCAACAGATGAAATCGGGGGAGTGGGGCACATGTGTCCGGCTGACCTCTCCTGCGAGTTCCCCACAGAAGGCATGTTCTGGGACCACCCCATCCAGCTGCTTTTCTAATCAAACTCATTCCGTTTGGCCCCTATGCTTCCACTTACCCTTCCCTTCCTTTCTCAGATGAAATCGGAGGAGTGGGGCACATGTGTCCGGCCGACCTCTCCTGCGAGTTCCCCACAGAAGGCATGTTCTGGGACCACCCCATCCAGCCTCGCAGGCCTCCTCGCGTCGTCCGCACCTACCTCGTCAACGCCTCCGCTGCTGCTGCTATCGCTGCCGCCGCTGCTGGTAACGCCAGCGGTGCTGCTGCCGCTGCAGCTGCTGGCAAAGGCAGGAGGCACCGGCTAGGGGCAGCTGGAGGAGCAGGAGGGGCAGCAGGTGCGGCAGGAGGAGGAGGGGGGATGGTTGGCGCAGGGATGGGAGCGGGAGCAGGGGCAGGGGCAGGGAGAGGAGGAGCAGGAGCAGCGGCGGCGGCCGGGGCAGCGGCGGCGGGAGCAGCAGCAGCAGCAGGGGGGGAGGAGGAGCAGGTACTGGTGGTGGAGCAGGAGGAGGAGGAGTATGTGGCAGGGGGCCATCTGCTGATTCAGGACACGGGGGAGGGCCCTGAGAAGCCTGATAGCTGCGTGGAGCTCTGTAGGAACGTGCCGGAGTGTGCCTTCTGGATGTACGACATGAGCAGCGTGAAAGGTGAGAAGTACGAGGTCTTGAGGTTTACGAGGTTACAAGGGTAGCTTATGGTGCTGCGTGGAGCTCTGTAGGAACGTGCCTGAATGTGCCTTCTGGATGTACGACATGAGCAGCGTGAAAGGTGAGGTTTTTTAGCTTGAGAGGTCGACGACGATATGAAATGGTTTTTTGAGAATTCTCAAAAATCACTTGAAATGGTGGAGACTCTGGAGAAGAAGCGGAAATAGAGGAATGTTCCTCCACCGCCCCCACCGTCCCCGCCACCCCTGCCACCCCTGCCACCCCCGCCACCCACTCCCTTCCTCTCACTTCCACTTTCTCCCTACTGCTCCCATTCCCCCCAGGCTACTGCAAGCTATGGGCGTCAGACCAAAACCCCTGTGAAGCACGCGGATGGGTATTGTTGGGAAGAGCCGCACACTTTGCGCAGCGGTGGCTGGTGCGCAATCAGTATGTGGTGGGGGGGTACTGCCGCACTGTGGAGACTCTCGAGGAGAAGCGGAGGAAGAGAAACGCTCCCCCGCCGCCCCCACCGCCACCGGAGGAGGAGGAGGAAATGAAGAGGATGGCAGAGGAAGATGGTTCATGTGAGTGGTTGAGTGCTTGTGTGCGAGTGTGCTTGTGTGCTTGTGTGCGCGTGTGCGCGTGTGCGTGTGTGCGTGTGTGCGAGTGTGCGTGTGTACTTGTCTGCACCCTACCCCCTGCTTGCTTGGAGTAAGAAATCAACCCACAAACAACGCACCCCCGCTCTCCACCGCCACCACCGGAGGAGGAGGAGGAGGAATTGAAGAGGTTGGCAAAGGAAGGTGGTGCACGCGCCCTGATGCAATGCATGTGAGTGCTTGGTTGCTTGTGTGTGTCTGTGCATCCTACCCCCTGGTATCTGCTCTGCGTGCTTGGAGGAAGAGGAATGCCCCCCCACCGCCCCCACCGAAGTGCGGCCTGCCCTCGTGGGGCCGGGAGGGAGAGTCAGAGGCCACTTCAAAGTCAGCTATACCGAAGTGGGGCCTGCCCTTATGGGGACGGGGCAGACGCACTAGTGGGGCCCTTCCTCCCTCTCTCCTACCCCTCTCCATCCCGCATCCCTTCCCCCTTACCCCTCCCCTTTCTGGCTTCTCTTCCCCTTCCCTTTCCCTCTCCTCGCTCCTCGCGAACTCTCCCTTCCAGTGCAAACCACCGAGTGTCCCAAGCTCACGTGTAACACGGTAAAACGTGGCTACATGTTCGACCACGAGGGCAAAGGCCACTTCAACTTCACCTACACTGGCATCGGCCCCGCCTGCCCGCCCGCCTACCCCCTCTCACTCACGCTCCTACAGTTGTCTGTTCTACCCTTTCCCTTCCCCACCTTCCGTCCCAATTACCCCTGCCCCTTCCGGTTTCTCTTCCCTTTTCCCCCTCTTACCCCTGTGCCCTCCTATCCTAACAGTGCAAACCACCGAGTGTCCCAAGCTGACGTGTAACACGGTAACACGTGGCTACATGTTCGACCACGAGGGCAAAGGGCACTTCAACTTCACCTACACGGGCATCGGCCCTGCCCGCCCACACACGTGCTACCTGCTGTGCCGGAGAACCCCCGGGTGTGCCTTCTGGTTGTACAACATGCGGTCGAAAAGGGGTGCGTGGTGTGGGGGGGGGCGCTCATTCAGCCTGTGCGTTTGTGGCATGGGATGGCTGCAGCTTATGCTCTCTTGCTGTGCTGGAGAACCCTTGGCTGTGCCTTCTGGTTGTACAACATGCGGTCCAAGCGAGGTGTGTGGGCCACTTGGGTTGGTGCTGTGGTGGCTTGAATGCAGTGTGTGCTCGTGTGCTTTGCTGTGCCTTCTGGCTGTACAACATGCGGTCCAAGCCAGGTACGTGGGGTTTTTTGTGTTTGCATGCTTACTTGCTTGTTTGGGTGTCTCAAGCAGCAAGATGAGGTGAGGTTGTGTGTGGCAACGCCCTTGGGTGTGCCTTCTGGTTGTACAACATGGGGTCGAAACGAGGTGCGTGGGGTGTTGTTGATGCAGCCTGTTTGTTGTATGTGGGATGGGTGCGTCCTACACTCTCTTCCTGTGCCGGAGAACCCCCGGGTGTGCCTTCTGGATGTACAACATGCGGTCCAAGCCAGGTGAGTGGGGTGCTGCAGTGGGATGAATGCACGCGTTTGTGCTTCGTTGTGGTGGGATGGGATGAATGCAGTGTATGTACAACATACAGTCCAAGCGAGGTGCGTGGGGTGACGTCTGCAGATTCCACCCTCAAAAGGCATGCATACACCATGCGATGGGGTGAACGGGGGTGGAAGGTGGTGTCCTTTGAGGTGGTTTTTATTTAGGTAGCTTTTGAGGTGGTCTTTATTTAGGTAGCTTATGAGGTGGCTTTTGAGGTGACTAGAAAGTCATGCTTACACCATGTGATGGGGTCAACGGGGGTGGAAGAAAAGCCACCAATTGAAGTGCCTCTGCTCTGAGGTTTCAAAGCCCCTCACCAACAGCCTGCCCTGCCTTATCCGTGTCTCATGCCCCCTCTGTATTCCCGTGTGAGCCCTGCCTTGTTTCATCACTCGCACACCTGTTCCTCATTCCTCTACCCCAGGTGCCTGCAAGATGTGGACGAGGGAGCAGAACCCGTATGAGCCCACGGACGCTTTTGACTCCAGCACTGCACATTATGCATCAGCGGGACTGCCGCCCACCTTCCCCTATCCACTCACCCACTCACCCACGCACCCATTCCCAATTCCCCACTTCTTCCCCAGGGGCCTGCAAGATGTGGACGAGGGAGCAGAACCCGTGTGAGCCTACAGACGCTTTTGACTCCTCTACCGCTCATTATGTGGCCAAGCGGCCTACAGGGTCGTTTGTGATTGGTGGGAACTGTGACAAGCTGCCGCCCATGAAGGCTGATCCTCAGGCAAGACAGGCACAGATGGCAGCGCAGCAGCAAATGGTGTAACAGTAGGAGGTGAAGCAAGAAACTCGGTCGACCACGAGCATGACGATTACAAGATTGTGTTTACGGTATGTGATAGGTTGGCGGTAACATGCCAATATGTAAAAAAAAAATAATTGATTGTCATTTAAATGCTCAATTATGTATCAGTGCTCATCATAGCTGTGCACACAAGATTCTAAGGCTATCAGAGACAAAAATACTCGTTTGATTCCGAATTTATCAAGATTTTTTTCTTTCATGTAAGTCTACAGCTGGACCTACAGCGATTTGATGGAAGTGGTGGTTGACCACCGTCCTTGACGCGGACCTGAACCCTTCACAACCAAGAGCATGTTCGCCACCTTCGAAAAACGGTCGTTTTCTTTGTACCCCTGCCTCGGGTTTCTCTAGAATATTTCGGAGGGGTAGCAGTCAGAGGGGCCTCTTTGAAACACCTCCGAGGGGTATGACGATAAATAGGTCTGGGGTGATAGGTAGAAGCAGCTAGTCATCCAAGTTCAGAAGACCAGCCTAGGTGGTAGACCGTCATTCTTCGATCATCTGCAAGCATCGCGACTATTTCGAGGTGGGTGCGTCACCTCCTCCTGCCTGATTATGTTATTTCGGCCTTCTCTCAGCCGCTACTACTATTGACGGGAGCTGAGCGGCTAGCCTGTCGCTCTCCTCCGTGCTTCTGGAGTGGCTCTCACCATGCCTCAGAATCCAGCACAAACGTCATAGATTGATTCGGCCGGTTGTAGATCGTTCGAGCCTTGACGGCCCGTTCCTTCACGGGTTCGAGCCTCGGGATCGTGCTTTCTCCCGGCTCGAATTTCGCATATTCCATCGCCATAACGAGCGGCTTCGCTGCAATTACGTTTTTGGACAGACCATGCGAGTCACATGTACAACATTTCCGTTTCTTGTCGTCTGAACCATTTTTTCCCCTTGTTTTTCTTTGTATTTTTCTATACAGGTGGGAAGACGATCTACGAGAGCCAGCCGCAGTCCCATTCCAGTTTAGTGCTTGATGTCGTTTTTTTTCAATCCTCGTATTTTTGCCAGAATTTCTGGCAAGAGGTATCTAGGTCCAATCCTTCATTAATGGATTTGACTCTTCGAATCCTTGCCAAGATAGTAGGCAGACGCGACGCGGTCCTGGTGTTCTGTCCCAGGGTTGCTACTTTATTCTGCTGACATTGTTAGCATTTCTGGAGCAGTTTTATCTTGAGCATTTTGTTTGAGGAGTGACTAACAGCTGCTTTCTTTGTATTTCAGGTATTTAATGGTCGTCGTTGCGGTTTGTCTCGTGCGCTTATCTTGCCCTTGTAGACGTTTTGCGTGAATTGTAAGCATGTATCCGTCCTTCCTGAAGGAAACTGTTAATGACTTTTTACTTCTCCATGATTATGAAATGAAGCAATGAGCGGTAAAATATGCTGTTAGGATCATGTTCTAAGTACGTGCAGAAAACAGCACTTCTTTCAACCCTTGTCCAACGCACTGGATCAAGTATGAAACTTACCGTTTTCAAAAATTATAAATTTTAAAGCCAGCAGCTAAAATAGTGACCCCCCCCCTTCTAGTTGGGTCCACTTGAAAAATCTAGCTGACTATGGAAAGTTGAAGTGTTTTTTTGTAATGTTTTTGCCGACGCAGGTCGAGGCCTTCACTAAAATTTACGAAACAATGGTCGCTAGTATGGGCAAATGTGTCGCAAGTTTGCGACGTGCAAATCCCACACACATGGCATGCAAATTTCGACTAGAACAGCAGCATGTGCAATTTACGCACAACGACCACCTTGGACATGGGCTTGCGATCTGCAGTAACAACATATGAAACCCAAGAGGAGGAAAACAACAGAGAATTTTATGGTGACGAGATACGAGAGAGATAGGGCGACACAAAGGAGGACGCGTGGAAAAAAATGTGTGACCAAAAACGCGAAATGGTAGAGCGCGATGGTGACGAGAAGGATGACGGAAGGGCAGAGACAGGCCTCTCGTTATCAGGGTAAAATACCCTTTTTGCACTGACTGGCGGCCGCTTTTTTTCAGTTACCCTTTCACAGGCAGGGTAGTGGATTTTTTACCCTAGGCCAGAAAGTGTAAGATTTTTAATACCCTTTGAAAAACAGCGTAACGAACATATTTCTCTGACTGTACAGTGTACAAGCCCAGTTACACTGATCCGAACAGACCGTAGCGAGACGAAACACTGTAGCAAAACCCTCCAGTATGAGACTCGAACCGGCGACCTTCTAGATCTAACTCGGAATCGAGCCAACTGAGCCAACATCTATGATGCCATGTGCTTTAGATAATATATTCATGTATATCATAATAAATACCCTGACCAAACAGACTTACAATTTTTTTACCCTGCATTTGTCAGGGAAACAAAAAATTTACCCTGAGCATCAGGGTTGACTATACCTAGGACCCTGATTACTAAGGGTCGCCCAAAACGAATCTGAAGGCCAGGGGAGAGAACAAGGGTGACGGGAGGGCGTTTCGAGGAGAGCGCGAGGGGGTTGAGGTGCCTAATGTGAGATAAAATACGAAATGCGGCCGGAGGGTATTTCGGGGCGAGCGCGAGGACGACGAGGGCGACGGGAAGGGAGGGGAGATTGGGTGGGAGAGGAGAGAGCGAGGGCGACAAGAAGGGAGGGGAGATTGCGTGGGAGAGGAGAGAGCGAGGGCGACGGGAAGGGAGGGGAGATCGCGTGGGAGAGGAGAGAGCGAGGGCGACGGGAAGGGAGGGGAGATCGTGGGAAAGGAGAGAGCAAGGGCGACGGGAAGGGAGGGGAGATTGGGTGGGAGTGGAGATTGGGTGGGAGTGGAGAGAGCGAGGGCGACGGGAAGGGTGACGGGAGGAGAAGAGATACTTACGTGTCTAGGCGGGAGGAGATGAAGCGCGACAGGAGGGCGAAACGCGACGGCAGCGCAGGTGATGGGTTAGGGTACCACTTGCGCGATAAGAGAAAAATAATTACTATACTAAACAATGTCTAATACAATTCGCGCGCGAGCTAGTTCGATACTTACGTGCCTAGGCGAGAAGCATTTAGGCTCTCTAAGCTTTGCTACTATGCTACGTAAAACGCTGGTGACTTCGGGACCAGAGATCAGCTAGTCATTCACCCAGTTCCATCTTGAATGGAAGTTGGGCCAGGCGATGGAAACCATCGCCTGGCTCCGTTCGTGCGGGTGTAGCGAGCCAAAATGCGACGGCTGAAACGATCATGCGTAATCGTTTTGGCGGGAGCCAAATTTTTCAGATTGGTGTGAGCCAATCAGATGAGTTCAACCTGCCTAACCGTTTTGTTTGGAACAGTGTTGTATCAACCGAAGTTATCGCAACCATTTCAAGTTGGGTCGGCCTTCACTATTATATATTTCGGTTTTAAACACACATGTAGTGTTTTTTAAAATTGTGTATTGTGAAAGCGAAGCTGCTTGTACTGCACAATTGGCATCGTCGAAGCGCGCTAAACGCCCTTCTCCAACTACAAAAACCGTGGGTTGGAGCTCATTTCCCTCCACCCACGTTTCTCAATTTTCAAACGGCTCACTCAACATTCCCACCACCCACCCCAGAGTAAACCGCCTGCTAATGCCACTTAGATAGGGTACATCCTAGCTAGTGTTATTAGACCGCACTAGCTTATGTCGAACGATGATGATACAAATGTTGTAATACGCCATTTGTAATGAGAACGATGCCAATTGATAAGAAAGAAAGCAAGCTTTCTCAATTCCTTTGTCAACACACTGGATTGCGCCGAACGAACCAAATATGTGAAACAGTCACTCGCCAATCGCTCAAAATATGTAGGCAGGCATCGCATGAACACTAGCCTCTTCCCAGGGAGCAAGGGAACATCAGAGCAAGGTTGGTTTGGTTTGGAAAAAAAACAAGAGCAGTGTGTGTGATTGTATGTACATACAGTTTATGTACAGTCTTATCATTATGGCAAGTACATAACCTTATTCCTTGGTAGGGAAATTGCACCTGGCACCCGAACCTCTCATCTTCCTTGCTGCAGCATCATAAGCTCGGGCCGCCTCCTCAGCCGTGTCAAAGCTCCCGAGCCACAGCCGGCGCTTCGTGGTTGGATCCCGAGCCTCCGCCGCCCACTTGCCTGAAGGACGCTGACGCACGCCTCTAAAAAGCTGGGACTGTACAGAGGATGATGAGCTGAGATGAGAGTGTATTGAAGGAACTGAATTGAGAACAGTGGAGGATGTGTCAAGGCTGGTCGCAGCTGAGGCTGCTACTGATGCTACAGCTGCTGCTGCTGCTGCTGCTGCTGCTGTTGGAGCAAGCTGAACAGTAGACACATGCAACAGATGCTGCTGCTGCTGATGCTGATGCTGATGCTGCTGATGATAATGCTGGTGGTGTTGGTACTGCTGGTACTGGTGCTGGCTATGCTGCCCGTAGGAGGTGGGGGGGTAGGCCGGCAACCCTGCTGCGGGCATGGGAAATGGAGGAGGGGCGGGAGGAGGGGGGATCGCAGGAGGAGGTGGGAAAGCAGGCGCTACAACCATTGGAGGAGGAGGGGGAGGTGGAGGGTGGGGAGGCGCCACCGCCATTGGTACCATCACCACCATAGGTCGGTACGTGATGCCAGGTGTCGGACTGTGATAGGCTGATGGTGGAGGGGGGTGAGGGAAAGCGTTGTGGTGGTGAGGCACACAGTTGGGGACTGTGTAACTGCTGCTGCTGCTGCTGCTGCTGGCGTTGTTGTTGCTGCTGATGCTGATGTTGCGGCACCGGTGGCTGCTGCTGTTGATGCGGCTGTTGCTGCTGCTGCTACGGCTGCTGCTGCTGCTGCTGCTGCTGCTGTTGTTGCTGCTGCTGCAGCGGCGGTTGCGTCTGTTGGTGCTGCTGATGATTCTGCTGCTGGCGCAGTGTAACCTGAAGCTGGCTTGTGGCAGCTGGAGCAGCGGCAGGGGCAGAGGGAGTTGCTGCCACTGCTGCAGCTGCTGGTGGTGCTGTTGGTGTAGCCATTGGTGGTGCTGCCGCTGCCACTGATGGTGGCGGCACTGGTTTGAGTACGGGTGATGTGGGCACGGCTTGAACCGCTGGTGACGCGGCTGCTGATGCTGAGGCTGCAACCGGTGAGGGTACACCTGCAGACACATCTGCATCTACACCTGCAGGCACATCAGATGGTACACCTGCAGACACATCTGCATCTACACCTGCAGGCACATCAGATGGTACACCTGCAGATACATCAGATGGTACACCTGCAGATACATCTGACGGTACAGCTGCAGGCACAGGAGAATCCGCAGGTTTTTGGGCAGGGACAGATGGAGAGCCTTCATTGGTCGAGGCCGTGCTTACAGCAACCGGATCCACGGTGACTCCACCGTTATTGATAGTTGAATCCTTGGCATCACCTTCAGTCCTTGCAGAATTAGACTCCAGAGCTGAGCTGGCAGGAGCAGATCTGGCAGGCGCTGAGCTGGCAGGAGCAGATCTGGCAGGCGCTGAGCTGGCAGGAGTCTCAACTTCAGGCGTTGCTTTTATGGCATCCACGTCAGCCATTTCACGTGTACTGGTGGTGCTGCTGCTGCTGATGCTGATGCTGGTGCCACTCCTTGTCATAACCTCATCACCAGCAGAAGCGTCGTCGTTTTTTTCCTCCTCAATGTTGTCCTCCTCCTCCTTTTCCTCCTGCTCGTTCTCGTTCTCCCCCCTCTTCCCTTTCCCCTCCCCTTCCGCCTCTACCCCCTCCGCCACCACCGCGTCACCCACAGCCTCCTCTTCCTCCGCTTCTTCCTCCGCCATTCCCCCCTCTTCCGCTCCTCCTCCTTCCGCGCCCCCATCCAACCCCCCCTCCGCGTCCGCCCCCGCCTCCGCTGCTGCTGCTATCGCTGCCGCCGCTGGTGATGCTCTGGAAACACCCCATTCAGCCTGTTTGTTTCTCTCCTGTGCCTGGCGACCCCCTTCCAACAGATGAAATCGGGGGAGTGGGGCACATGTGTCCAGCAGATCTCTCCTGCGAGTTCCCCACAGAGGGCATGTTCTGGGACCACCCCATCCAGCCCCGCAGGCCCCCTCGCATCGTCCGCACCTACCTCGTCAACGCCTCCGCTGCTGCCGCCGCTGCTGCCGCCGCTGACGCCACCGGTGCTGCCCATTCAGCCTATCTTTTTCTCTCCTATGCCTCGTGACTCTCTTCCAACAGATGAAATCGGGGGAGTGGGGCACATGTGTCCGGCTGACCTCTCCTGCGAGTTCCCCACAGAAGGCATGTTCTGGGACCACCCCATCCAGCTGCTTTTCTAATCAAACTCATTCCGTTTGGCCCCTATGCTTCCACTTACCCTTCCCTTCCTTTCTCAGATGAAATCGGAGGAGTGGGGCACATGTGTCCGGCCGACCTCTCCTGCGAGTTCCCCACAGAAGGCATGTTCTGGGACCACCCCATCCAGCCTCGCAGGCCTCCTCGCGTCGTCCGCACCTACCTCGTCAACGCCTCCGCTGCTGCTGCTATCGCTGCCGCCGCTGCTGGTAACGCCAGCGGTGCTGCTGCCGCTGCAGCTGCTGGCAAAGGCAGGAGGCACCGGCTAGGGGCAGCTGGAGGAGCAGGAGGGGCAGCAGGTGCGGCAGGAGGAGGAGGGGGGATGGTTGGCGCAGGGATGGGAGCGGGAGCAGGGGCAGGGGCAGGGAGAGGAGGAGCAGGAGCAGCGGCGGCGGCCGGGGCAGCGGCGGCGGGAGCAGCAGCAGCAGCAGGGGGGGAGGAGGAGCAGGTACTGGTGGTGGAGCAGGAGGAGGAGGAGTATGTGGCAGGGGGCCATCTGCTGATTCAGGACACGGGGGAGGGCCCTGAGAAGCCTGATAGCTGCGTGGAGCTCTGTAGGAACGTGCCGGAGTGTGCCTTCTGGATGTACGACATGAGCAGCGTGAAAGGTGAGAAGTACGAGGTCTTGAGGTTTACGAGGTTACAAGGGTAGCTTATGGTGCTGCGTGGAGCTCTGTAGGAACGTGCCTGAATGTGCCTTCTGGATGTACGACATGAGCAGCGTGAAAGGTGAGGTTTTTTAGCTTGAGAGGTCGACGACGATATGAAATGGTTTTTTGAGAATTCTCAAAAATCACTTGAAATGGTGGAGACTCTGGAGAAGAAGCGGAAATAGAGGAATGTTCCTCCACCGCCCCCACCGTCCCCGCCACCCCTGCCACCCCTGCCACCCCCGCCACCCACTCCCTTCCTCTCACTTCCACTTTCTCCCTACTGCTCCCATTCCCCCCAGGCTACTGCAAGCTATGGGCGTCAGACCAAAACCCCTGTGAAGCACGCGGATGGGTATTGTTGGGAAGAGCCGCACACTTTGCGCAGCGGTGGCTGGTGCGCAATCAGTATGTGGTGGGGGGGTACTGCCGCACTGTGGAGACTCTCGAGGAGAAGCGGAGGAAGAGAAACGCTCCCCCGCCGCCCCCACCGCCACCGGAGGAGGAGGAGGAAATGAAGAGGATGGCAGAGGAAGATGGTTCATGTGAGTGGTTGAGTGCTTGTGTGCGAGTGTGCTTGTGTGCTTGTGTGCGCGTGTGCGCGTGTGCGTGTGTGCGTGTGTGCGAGTGTGCGTGTGTACTTGTCTGCACCCTACCCCCTGCTTGCTTGGAGTAAGAAATCAACCCACAAACAACGCACCCCCGCTCTCCACCGCCACCACCGGAGGAGGAGGAGGAGGAATTGAAGAGGTTGGCAAAGGAAGGTGGTGCACGCGCCCTGATGCAATGCATGTGAGTGCTTGGTTGCTTGTGTGTGTCTGTGCATCCTACCCCCTGGTATCTGCTCTGCGTGCTTGGAGGAAGAGGAATGCCCCCCCACCGCCCCCACCGAAGTGCGGCCTGCCCTCGTGGGGCCGGGAGGGAGAGTCAGAGGCCACTTCAAAGTCAGCTATACCGAAGTGGGGCCTGCCCTTATGGGGACGGGGCAGACGCACTAGTGGGGCCCTTCCTCCCTCTCTCCTACCCCTCTCCATCCCGCATCCCTTCCCCCTTACCCCTCCCCTTTCTGGCTTCTCTTCCCCTTCCCTTTCCCTCTCCTCGCTCCTCGCGAACTCTCCCTTCCAGTGCAAACCACCGAGTGTCCCAAGCTCACGTGTAACACGGTAAAACGTGGCTACATGTTCGACCACGAGGGCAAAGGCCACTTCAACTTCACCTACACTGGCATCGGCCCCGCCTGCCCGCCCGCCTACCCCCTCTCACTCACGCTCCTACAGTTGTCTGTTCTACCCTTTCCCTTCCCCACCTTCCGTCCCAATTACCCCTGCCCCTTCCGGTTTCTCTTCCCTTTTCCCCCTCTTACCCCTGTGCCCTCCTATCCTAACAGTGCAAACCACCGAGTGTCCCAAGCTGACGTGTAACACGGTAACACGTGGCTACATGTTCGACCACGAGGGCAAAGGGCACTTCAACTTCACCTACACGGGCATCGGCCCTGCCCGCCCACACACGTGCTACCTGCTGTGCCGGAGAACCCCCGGGTGTGCCTTCTGGTTGTACAACATGCGGTCGAAAAGGGGTGCGTGGTGTGGGGGGGGGCGCTCATTCAGCCTGTGCGTTTGTGGCATGGGATGGCTGCAGCTTATGCTCTCTTGCTGTGCTGGAGAACCCTTGGCTGTGCCTTCTGGTTGTACAACATGCGGTCCAAGCGAGGTGTGTGGGCCACTTGGGTTGGTGCTGTGGTGGCTTGAATGCAGTGTGTGCTCGTGTGCTTTGCTGTGCCTTCTGGCTGTACAACATGCGGTCCAAGCCAGGTACGTGGGGTTTTTTGTGTTTGCATGCTTACTTGCTTGTTTGGGTGTCTCAAGCAGCAAGATGAGGTGAGGTTGTGTGTGGCAACGCCCTTGGGTGTGCCTTCTGGTTGTACAACATGGGGTCGAAACGAGGTGCGTGGGGTGTTGTTGATGCAGCCTGTTTGTTGTATGTGGGATGGGTGCGTCCTACACTCTCTTCCTGTGCCGGAGAACCCCCGGGTGTGCCTTCTGGATGTACAACATGCGGTCCAAGCCAGGTGAGTGGGGTGCTGCAGTGGGATGAATGCACGCGTTTGTGCTTCGTTGTGGTGGGATGGGATGAATGCAGTGTATGTACAACATACAGTCCAAGCGAGGTGCGTGGGGTGACGTCTGCAGATTCCACCCTCAAAAGGCATGCATACACCATGCGATGGGGTGAACGGGGGTGGAAGGTGGTGTCCTTTGAGGTGGTTTTTATTTAGGTAGCTTTTGAGGTGGTCTTTATTTAGGTAGCTTATGAGGTGGCTTTTGAGGTGACTAGAAAGTCATGCTTACACCATGTGATGGGGTCAACGGGGGTGGAAGAAAAGCCACCAATTGAAGTGCCTCTGCTCTGAGGTTTCAAAGCCCCTCACCAACAGCCTGCCCTGCCTTATCCGTGTCTCATGCCCCCTCTGTATTCCCGTGTGAGCCCTGCCTTGTTTCATCACTCGCACACCTGTTCCTCATTCCTCTACCCCAGGTGCCTGCAAGATGTGGACGAGGGAGCAGAACCCGTATGAGCCCACGGACGCTTTTGACTCCAGCACTGCACATTATGCATCAGCGGGACTGCCGCCCACCTTCCCCTATCCACTCACCCACTCACCCACGCACCCATTCCCAATTCCCCACTTCTTCCCCAGGGGCCTGCAAGATGTGGACGAGGGAGCAGAACCCGTGTGAGCCTACAGACGCTTTTGACTCCTCTACCGCTCATTATGTGGCCAAGCGGCCTACAGGGTCGTTTGTGATTGGTGGGAACTGTGACAAGCTGCCGCCCATGAAGGCTGATCCTCAGGCAAGACAGGCACAGATGGCAGCGCAGCAGCAAATGGTGTAACAGTAGGAGGTGAAGCAAGAAACTCGGTCGACCACGAGCATGACGATTACAAGATTGTGTTTACGGTATGTGATAGGTTGGCGGTAACATGCCAATATGTAAAAAAAAAAATAATTGATTGTCATTTAAATGCTCAATTATGTATCAGTGCTCATCATAGCTGTGCACACAAGATTCTAAGGCTATCAGAGACAAAAATACTCGTTTGATTCCGAATTTATCAAGATTTTTTTCTTTCATGTAAGTCTACAGCTGGACCTACAGCGATTTGATGGAAGTGGTGGTTGACCACCGTCCTTGACGCGGACCTGAACCCTTCACAACCAAGAGCATGTTCGCCACCTTCGAAAAACGGTCGTTTTCTTTGTACCCCTGCCTCGGGTTTCTCTAGAATATTTCGGAGGGGTAGCAGTCAGAGGGGCCTCTTTGAAACACCTCCGAGGGGTATGACGATAAATAGGTCTGGGGTGATAGGTAGAAGCAGCTAGTCATCCAAGTTCAGAAGACCAGCCTAGGTGGTAGACCGTCATTCTTCGATCATCTGCAAGCATCGCGACTATTTCGAGGTGGGTGCGTCACCTCCTCCTGCCTGATTATGTTATTTCGGCCTTCTCTCAGCCGCTACTACTATTGACGGGAGCTGAGCGGCTAGCCTGTCGCTCTCCTCCGTGCTTCTGGAGTGGCTCTCACCATGCCTCAGAATCCAGCACAAACGTCATAGATTGATTCGGCCGGTTGTAGATCGTTCGAGCCTTGACGGCCCGTTCCTTCACGGGTTCGAGCCTCGGGATCGTGCTTTCTCCCGGCTCGAATTTCGCATATTCCATCGCCATAACGAGCGGCTTCGCTGCAATTACGTTTTTGGACAGACCATGCGAGTCACATGTACAACATTTCCGTTTCTTGTCGTCTGAACCATTTTTTCCCCTTGTTTTTCTTTGTATTTTTCTATACAGGTGGGAAGACGATCTACGAGAGCCAGCCGCAGTCCCATTCCAGTTTAGTGCTTGATGTCGTTTTTTTTCAATCCTCGTATTTTTGCCAGAATTTCTGGCAAGAGGTATCTAGGTCCAATCCTTCATTAATGGATTTGACTCTTCGAATCCTTGCCAAGATAGTAGGCAGACGCGACGCGGTCCTGGTGTTCTGTCCCAGGGTTGCTACTTTATTCTGCTGACATTGTTAGCATTTCTGGAGCAGTTTTATCTTGAGCATTTTGTTTGAGGAGTGACTAACAGCTGCTTTCTTTGTATTTCAGGTATTTAATGGTCGTCGTTGCGGTTTGTCTCGTGCGCTTATCTTGCCCTTGTAGACGTTTTGCGTGAATTGTAAGCATGTATCCGTCCTTCCTGAAGGAAACTGTTAATGACTTTTTACTTCTCCATGATTATGAAATGAAGCAATGAGCGGTAAAATATGCTGTTAGGATCATGTTCTAAGTACGTGCAGAAAACAGCACTTCTTTCAACCCTTGTCCAACGCACTGGATCAAGTATGAAACTTACCGTTTTCAAAAATTATAAATTTTAAAGCCAGCAGCTAAAATAGTGACCCCCCCCCTTCTAGTTGGGTCCACTTGAAAAATCTAGCTGACTATGGAAAGTTGAAGTGTTTTTTTGTAATGTTTTTGCCGACGCAGGTCGAGGCCTTCACTAAAATTTACGAAACAATGGTCGCTAGTATGGGCAAATGTGTCGCAAGTTTGCGACGTGCAAATCCCACACACATGGCATGCAAATTTCGACTAGAACAGCAGCATGTGCAATTTACGCACAACGACCACCTTGGACATGGGCTTGCGATCTGCAGTAACAACATATGAAACCCAAGAGGAGGAAAACAACAGAGAATTTTATGGTGACGAGATACGAGAGAGATAGGGCGACACAAAGGAGGACGCGTGGAAAAAAATGTGTGACCAAAAACGCGAAATGGTAGAGCGCGATGGTGACGAGAAGGATGACGGAAGGGCAGAGACAGGCCTCTCGTTATCAGGGTAAAATACCCTTTTTGCACTGACTGGCGGCCGCTTTTTTTCAGTTACCCTTTCACAGGCAGGGTAGTGGATTTTTTACCCTAGGCCAGAAAGTGTAAGATTTTTAATACCCTTTGAAAAACAGCGTAACGAACATATTTCTCTGACTGTACAGTGTACAAGCCCAGTTACACTGATCCGAACAGACCGTAGCGAGACGAAACACTGTAGCAAAACCCTCCAGTATGAGACTCGAACCGGCGACCTTCTAGATCTAACTCGGAATCGAGCCAACTGAGCCAACATCTATGATGCCATGTGCTTTAGATAATATATTCATGTATATCATAATAAATACCCTGACCAAACAGACTTACAATTTTTTTACCCTGCATTTGTCAGGGAAACAAAAAATTTACCCTGAGCATCAGGGTTGACTATACCTAGGACCCTGATTACTAAGGGTCGCCCAAAACGAATCTGAAGGCCAGGGGAGAGAACAAGGGTGACGGGAGGGCGTTTCGAGGAGAGCGCGAGGGGGTTGAGGTGCCTAATGTGAGATAAAATACGAAATGCGGCCGGAGGGTATTTCGGGGCGAGCGCGAGGACGACGAGGGCGACGGGAAGGGAGGGGAGATTGGGTGGGAGAGGAGAGAGCGAGGGCGACAAGAAGGGAGGGGAGATTGCGTGGGAGAGGAGAGAGCGAGGGCGACGGGAAGGGAGGGGAGATCGCGTGGGAGAGGAGAGAGCGAGGGCGACGGGAAGGGAGGGGAGATCGTGGGAAAGGAGAGAGCAAGGGCGACGGGAAGGGAGGGGAGATTGGGTGGGAGTGGAGATTGGGTGGGAGTGGAGAGAGCGAGGGCGACGGGAAGGGTGACGGGAGGAGAAGAGATACTTACGTGTCTAGGCGGGAGGAGATGAAGCGCGACAGGAGGGCGAAACGCGACGGCAGCGCAGGTGATGGGTTAGGGTACCACTTGCGCGATAAGAGAAAAATAATTACTATACTAAACAATGTCTAATACAATTCGCGCGCGAGCTAGTTCGATACTTACGTGCCTAGGCGAGAAGCATTTAGGCTCTCTAAGCTTTGCTACTATGCTACGTAAAACGCTGGTGACTTCGGGACCAGAGATCAGCTAGTCATTCACCCAGTTCCATCTTGAATGGAAGTTGGGCCAGGCGATGGAAACCATCGCCTGGCTCCGTTCGTGCGGGTGTAGCGAGCCAAAATGCGACGGCTGAAACGATCATGCGTAATCGTTTTGGCGGGAGCCAAATTTTTCAGATTGGTGTGAGCCAATCAGATGAGTTCAACCTGCCTAACCGTTTTGTTTGGAACAGTGTTGTATCAACCGAAGTTATCGCAACCATTTCAAGTTGGGTCGGCCTTCACTATTATATATTTCGGTTTTAAACACACATGTAGTGTTTTTTAAAATTGTGTATTGTGAAAGCGAAGCTGCTTGTACTGCACAATTGGCATCGTCGAAGCGCGCTAAACGCCCTTCTCCAACTACAAAAACCGTGGGTTGGAGCTCATTTCCCTCCACCCACGTTTCTCAATTTTCAAACGGCTCACTCAACATTCCCACCACCCACCCCAGAGTAAACCGCCTGCTAATGCCACTTAGATAGGGTACATCCTAGCTAGTGTTATTAGACCGCACTAGCTTATGTCGAACGATGATGATACAAATGTTGTAATACGCCATTTGTAATGAGAACGATGCCAATTGATAAGAAAGAAAGCAAGCTTTCTCAATTCCTTTGTCAACACACTGGATTGCGCCGAACGAACCAAATATGTGAAACAGTCACTCGCCAATCGCTCAAAATATGTAGGCAGGCATCGCATGAACACTAGCCTCTTCCCAGGGAGCAAGGGAACATCAGAGCAAGGTTGGTTTGGTTTGGAAAAAAAACAAGAGCAGTGTGTGTGATTGTATGTACATACAGTTTATGTACAGTCTTATCATTATGGCAAGTACATAACCTTATTCCTTGGTAGGGAAATTGCACCTGGCACCCGAACCTCTCATCTTCCTTGCTGCAGCATCATAAGCTCGGGCCGCCTCCTCAGCCGTGTCAAAGCTCCCGAGCCACAGCCGGCGCTTCGTGGTTGGATCCCGAGCCTCCGCCGCCCACTTGCCTGAAGGACGCTGACGCACGCCTCTAAAAAGCTGGGACTGTACAGAGGATGATGAGCTGAGATGAGAGTGTATTGAAGGAACTGAATTGAGAACAGTGGAGGATGTGTCAAGGCTGGTCGCAGCTGAGGCTGCTACTGATGCTACAGCTGCTGCTGCTGCTGCTGCTGCTGCTGTTGGAGCAAGCTGAACAGTAGACACATGCAACAGATGCTGCTGCTGCTGATGCTGATGCTGATGCTGCTGATGATAATGCTGGTGGTGTTGGTACTGCTGGTACTGGTGCTGGCTATGCTGCCCGTAGGAGGTGGGGGGGTAGGCCGGCAACCCTGCTGCGGGCATGGGAAATGGAGGAGGGGCGGGAGGAGGGGGGATCGCAGGAGGAGGTGGGAAAGCAGGCGCTACAACCATTGGAGGAGGAGGGGGAGGTGGAGGGTGGGGAGGCGCCACCGCCATTGGTACCATCACCACCATAGGTCGGTACGTGATGCCAGGTGTCGGACTGTGATAGGCTGATGGTGGAGGGGGGTGAGGGAAAGCGTTGTGGTGGTGAGGCACACAGTTGGGGACTGTGTAACTGCTGCTGCTGCTGCTGCTGCTGGCGTTGTTGTTGCTGCTGATGCTGATGTTGCGGCACCGGTGGCTGCTGCTGTTGATGCGGCTGTTGCTGCTGCTGCTACGGCTGCTGCTGCTGCTGCTGCTGCTGCTGTTGTTGCTGCTGCTGCAGCGGCGGTTGCGTCTGTTGGTGCTGCTGATGATTCTGCTGCTGGCGCAGTGTAACCTGAAGCTGGCTTGTGGCAGCTGGAGCAGCGGCAGGGGCAGAGGGAGTTGCTGCCACTGCTGCAGCTGCTGGTGGTGCTGTTGGTGTAGCCATTGGTGGTGCTGCCGCTGCCACTGATGGTGGCGGCACTGGTTTGAGTACGGGTGATGTGGGCACGGCTTGAACCGCTGGTGACGCGGCTGCTGATGCTGAGGCTGCAACCGGTGAGGGTACACCTGCAGACACATCTGCATCTACACCTGCAGGCACATCAGATGGTACACCTGCAGACACATCTGCATCTACACCTGCAGGCACATCAGATGGTACACCTGCAGATACATCAGATGGTACACCTGCAGATACATCTGACGGTACAGCTGCAGGCACAGGAGAATCCGCAGGTTTTTGGGCAGGGACAGATGGAGAGCCTTCATTGGTCGAGGCCGTGCTTACAGCAACCGGATCCACGGTGACTCCACCGTTATTGATAGTTGAATCCTTGGCATCACCTTCAGTCCTTGCAGAATTAGACTCCAGAGCTGAGCTGGCAGGAGCAGATCTGGCAGGCGCTGAGCTGGCAGGAGCAGATCTGGCAGGCGCTGAGCTGGCAGGAGTCTCAACTTCAGGCGTTGCTTTTATGGCATCCACGTCAGCCATTTCACGTGTACTGGTGGTGCTGCTGCTGCTGATGCTGATGCTGGTGCCACTCCTTGTCATAACCTCATCACCAGCAGAAGCGTCGTCGTTTTTTTCCTCCTCAATGTTGTCCTCCTCCTCCTTTTCCTCCTGCTCGTTCTCGTTCTCCCCCCTCTTCCCTTTCCCCTCCCCTTCCGCCTCTACCCCCTCCGCCACCACCGCGTCACCCACAGCCTCCTCTTCCTCCGCTTCTTCCTCCGCCATTCCCCCCTCTTCCGCTCCTCCTCCTTCCGCGCCCCCATCCAACCCCCCCTCCGCGTCCGCCCCCGCCTCCGCGCGCTCCTCCGCATCTCCGCCCGTCACCACCACCCCCGCCACCTCTACCGGCCCGCACAGCTTCCGCCACGCCGCCAGCTTCGTACGGTACCGCCCCTTGGCGCACGCCGCCACCGCCACCGCCATCCGCGCAAGCTGCTCCTTATCCTCCGGGTCGCGCGGGTCCAGAGGAAAGTTTGTCTTAGCCCAGGGGCCTCTTAATCTCCGCGTCGCGACGTCGTACGCGCGCGCGGCCTCCTCCGCGGAGTCGAAGCTCCCCAGCCACAGGCGGCGCCGCGCGAACGGGTCGCGCACCTCCGCCGCCCACCGCCCCCACAGCCGCTGGCGGATCCCGCGGAAGCGCCGCCCCAGCTTCCCGATCCCGCGCGGGGTGGCGCCGCCACCGCCGCCGCCGCCGCCAGCGGCTAGAACGTGAGGCTTCAAGCCGGTTCGACGATCAACAGCGTGATTTTCCTCAGCTGCTTCTCCTGCTGCTCCAGCCGTTGATTCAGGTGTTGCTGGGAAATCGAGAACAGCCGCAGCTGCCGCAGCGGGTTCGCTCTCCCTCGCTGACACGTCAGGTGCCACCTCAGCGTCGCACACGTCAGCAGCCACGTCAGGAGAGGCCGGAGGAACCATTGCAGACGTGTGGGCCGGAGAAGCAGCCATTGCAGCCATTGCATCGCACGTGTCTGCGTCGGTTGCTGTGGTTCCCGTCATTGGATTAACCGTCTCGTCCGTTGGATTTAACGGTTTCCCGAACAGGACAAGCGGCTCGCGTGGCGAGTCGGGTGAGCGGCTCGAGCCGCTCTCGCTGACCGCTGAATTCGACTTGAAATGATGCGGCCCGGAAAGCTCCCCACTAAGGGACTCGTTACGAGGCTCTTCGATAATAAGTGACTCGTTTCTCCAGAAGTCATAACTTGAACGCGCTTGCTCACCCTGATTACACGTCAGGGCCTCCACCCGTCTCCTCTTGGACCAATCACATCGCAGTCCGCAGCCTCCTTCACCCATCAACGTCAGCGTCACTTGCGGCCGTTCCGCGACCTCGCACCGCATATCCCCTGATCCGAATCGCGTATGCCCCGCTCCATCGCCTTCCTCTGATTCGCCAGTCAATCTCAGCGGCGGCATCAGCATGGCGCAGCCTCTGTCAGCGCCACCATCTCCAGCCACGTCAGCGGCACACCGAAACACGTCATGCTGAGTCACATTCCACTTAGTCCACGCGCCGCTCCCTCGGACAACAGCCAGCGGATTCAACATTCCCCCTGGACTGTCCCCGCTCCGTTCCGTCATCGTTATGACGTCATCATTCCCCGACATAGACATCCTCGTCAAACCTGGGAGTTGCCAACCGCACCTGGTAACATCGTCGTCGCGGATCGAATCCGACGTGGCACGTCTTCGCTTCCCGCCCGTAGTAACCCCTAGACCAAGCGACAGAGCAATCGCCGAGCCGCCACTGCCAGTGGTACTGGTAGTAGCGTCTGCCGCCGCGATTGCGCTCCGAATCGGACGGTCAAGGGGTAACGAGAGGGATAAGGCGAGGCTCGAGCTCGCTTCCGCCGCCGCCGCCGTCGCCGCTGCCGCCGCTTCCGCCGCTGCCGCAAACTCTGCTGATGCCTCCGCGGATGCCGCAGCTGCGGCAGCGGAGGCGCGGGGGAGTGGGGACGGGATGCGGAGCAGGCGCAGCTGGGGGGCGGAGGAGGAGGAGGAGAGAGCGGACGGGAGGGGGGAAGGGAGGGCGGACGGCGAGGCAACGTTAAGAGACAGGGCGAGATCTAGAGGCGCTGCGGCTGCTGCTGCTGCTGCTGCTGCGGCTGGTGATGATGATGCAGTGAGTGGCGTTGATGGCAGGGACAGGCCGTGAGCTAGCGAGACGGGGAGGCGGCGGAGAGGGATGGGGCGGAGGACTCTGGCCAGATTCTCCAATCGATGCCCGCATGACCCGCGCGGCTCCAACACTGTCTGCTCTGCGCCGTGCATCGCGCCGTGCGTCGAATCGGCCCTAAACTCGTTCCTTCCGTCGTCACGAGCCGTAGCGAAGCCGCCGGATCCGGCGGCGTCTAGTGGAGCGACGGCAGCCATGGCAGCATTAAATTGTGGTCTGTGGTTGCGCTGATAGAATTAGAGTCAAACTGTGGTCGTCTCTAGTACCATTTATCTGAAATCGTAGCACGAAGAGTACTACCAAAACTATTCGCCTCAGAATATGCTTCTCAGCACAGCTTAATACGCTGTCGTTCCGTAGACACGGTCGAGTGGTTCAATAGTCACCGTCACAGCCACCTATTACTACGGTAATAGGTCCATGTGCTGACAAAGACGTAAGAACGATACAGATGGCTGGCACGATCAGACTAGTAGTAATCGAGTACTCCCTGCTAACGACTCGCTTCGGAAGCGGTGATAAGAGATCGGTATTTCGCTTCCCAAGGCCGCGACTCGAATAATCAACGCTACTCCCTGAGCTTGTTCATCCGACGATCTCGCCTCCAGATGCAGTGAATAATTCTAGTCGGAAGGCCGCGGCGTTGAGCGGAATATTCGAGTTGCCGCGCGCGCGCGGAAGGAAACAGCAGGTGTCGGCAAAAACTGACGAATGGCGTGCTGCTGCAGTTGCTCTCCCAACCCAATGGTGAGGAGTAATCCGTCTCCGCGTGACACGACTGGCAAGCCCTAGCGGCGCTAATTTTGCTGTTGCCTCCGTCACGAAGTATCGGATTCAGTGAGTCGTTCGTTGTGCGTCAGTACATCGTCGTGCTCATCCTCTCGACAGGTCGTTGTGTGGCCGATACTCGGAATTTCCAAGGGGTGAGTGATCCCGAGGGACCCCAAGGCTTCTTCACTTTCCCTCCTAGCGCCGGCCGTGCTTTACAGCTGACTAATCGACTCTGCGCTGCACCGTAAGCCAGTTGGGAGGAACCCGCTGCTCAACCAAACAGTGGTTACCACCACAGGTGAGGGTTGCAAGGCGGTGTCGAAGGGGGCGGCGGGGAGCGGGCAGAGAGAGATGTGCGGGATGCGGCGCTCCTGCTCCCTCGGACGGTGCGTACACTGCAGGGAGACGCCTTTTGAGACTTGGATTATTGAAGGACAGGTACTACCTACTGTATCCCGTGCGGGCCCCTTCTAATCCTGCCGAGTTCGCGGGAGGAGAGGAGAAGAAGCGGAGAAAACGTTTTGTAGTGGAAGCGCGTCGAGAGGGCCTTCAAGGGGAGATGGTGGGTGTGGTATGTTCAGCTGCACATGTGTGTAAGTCGTGCGAGCCGCTCCAACTCAGCACGGGAAGCGCGGGAAATGGATGGTTGGGTGATGACTCATCGCAGACGACAAACCCTTTGATCCAACGACGAAGGAACGACCTAGGAATTTCGTAGCATCCCGCCCAGCCCCTTCTTGAATCCCGAGGGTTTCTAGTTCTGGGCTTGGAGCGCCAACGCCAAGGCCGCAGCTGGAAACCGCAGGCGGAGGGGTTGGATTGGTATGGAACGCCATGGAGGGGCGCGGATGCAATAGCGACAGGAGAAAGTCTAGGAATGCTTGGAAGAGAGACGCACAACCAGGAGATCAAGTGGGAGTGGGCAGGTTCTCTGTTTCTTGAGGTCTTGCGGCTAAGGCCGTCCTTTTGAATGGTGGGAGTGCTCTGAACTCCCAAGGTAAGCTTGAGCTCCGTTCTTATCGCCAAGTGAGCTGAATGGGATGGTGTTTGTGTTTCGGGTCGCGTGCTCCGCACCCATTTACAGGGTGCGGGTCGATAAAATGCAGCGAATTGAGACGCCTAGGCACGGCTCGGCCTCCAGAACCACATTGGAGTTGTGGTGGCACGGCGAACCAATCGGGACTCGCCATCGTGACGTGAGCTGGTTGGTTTGCTGGCTGCTTGAAGGGCTGACTCAGCGAGGTTTGGCTGCTGCTGGAACAAGACAGGCCCAATCTGGGTTTTAGTGAGGCCCAGAATGCCGAACCAACGAACACGTGGTTCGTTCACACCTACCACGTCGACAGGGGTTAGCAGCATACGTCGCGCATGGCAGAGGAGCCGCTCGATAGCCGTCGATCGTTATCATAGTATTCAATCGACGGCCTCGATCAGTATCCCGAATCTTAGCATCATGTCCAGGAGCAACGTTTGGAAGGCGGCGGACCAGCCAATAACGACTCGATTGCAACATTTAGCTTACAAGCTAGTACAAATCATGTAGAAATTTTGCTAGCTTCATATTATCTTATTCACCCTTGTCAATTATTTTCAGCTGGGCCTTAATACTTGGGTTGAACTACTTCTTAGACTTAGATTACGCACATGGATATAACGCATTTTCCGTACTCGGATTTCACATAAACGCTGCTTGTGTTCCTTGTTAACATGTGAAGGGGAAGCACACTTCAGCAGTGTGCTATGCGGACAGTTTTGTGGATTGATGGCGGGGAGAAGTGAAAACAACTACGGAGCGGCTTGTAACATGGTCCCACTACGAAGCTTCAAGCAAGCTAGTTCAATAAGCTGACGGATTTATTTGTATTCGCCTCGAAATTCCCGGCTTTCGGGTCCTGACAGCTAGTATGGCGGCTATACCATCGCATCTGTGCGTCTCTGCTTCTCGCACGCTCCTTTCTTACATCCAAGCAGCACGCTCGTCCCCGCGTCGAATTCGAGAAAATGCGTCAGGGAGAGGAAGTCCTGTTGGAGGATACCACGTCAAGGGGCTGGGTAGAGTCCCACTTGCGCCCGCTGTCCACGTCAGCAGCGGTCAGTGGCCCTGCGCAGTTGAGTCGGCTCGCAGTCACTTGCGACCACCTCGGTGGTCAATTTCGGCATTAGTCGCCTCTCGCATCTCGCGCCGTTCGCCTCTGTCGCGCCTCTGTCACGCCTGTCACGCATGCGGTGACAGTCCGATCGGTCGGTCCGACATGTTACACGTTGACTGGCCGTAGTCGCAGCACCCCTGACCGTCAATCGCCTTGAGGAACATTCCCGGGAGAAATCTCAAAAATAACTCACAAGTACGACAGGCTTCTCCCGAGTACTTAAGCCGAGCGCGCGACAGCGACTGAGCATCAGTTGGATTGCCGAATAGACTCAAAAGCAAACTCAAACGTCGATCGAGCAGCGTCGTTTCTTTTGGGGAACATTTTCAGACATTCGTCTGCGCGTAAGTTGGAAAGCAAGCAACTTATCAACGTCCTTCTCGCCAAGCGCGGGTGTCAACTCTTCCGCCCATCAGAAACTTCTTGCTATATTAACCAACGAGTACTCGTCACCGGGTTTCACGCTGTCAACGCGTCAACGCGTCAACGCGTCAACGGGTCAACGCGTCAACGGGTCAACGGGTCAACGATGTCGCCCTCGCCGAGCTTAGCTTCCTCCCCATCCCATGCGGCTTGCGAGGCGCCTCGAAAGTCGTCCCATACGGCTTTTGAGGCAGCTCGTAAATCGTCTCATGCTGCTGCTGCTGCTGCGCCGTCCTCGCTGATTCGCCTCGTGGTAGTTGCTGCGGCCCTTCTCCTGCTCTTCGCTACCGGTGGTGAGTTGCAGTTGCCGTTTCTGAGCTGAATTTGTCGTCGTTGTAAGTTGCCGTTTCCCGTTTCACTCCATCATTGACTTCCATGTACCGTCCGCCTCTCTCTATTCGTCCATCTCCACTTTCGCTCCATAGAGTTGCGCGTTTCCCCTTCCGTTCCGTGTCATCTCTTGCTACCCCTTGCTACCCCTTGCTACCTCTTGCTACCATTTGCCATCCCATTCTCACCTTACTGTATTGCAGAAGCACAGCCCACACCAAGTCAGCAGCCGTCCCCCATCCGCCCACCTCTCTCCTCCTCCCCTCCCTCTTCCTCCTCCTTCTCCTCCCCTCCCTCTTTCTCCCCCTCCTCCTCTTCCTCTCCCTCCTCTCCCTCCACCTCCCCTCCCTCCTCCTCATCCACCTTCTCACCCTTCCAGCCTCTCCTCCTGGGCGGCCTTCAAGCCAACCTCACTCCCATCCTCCTCCCCACCTCCACCTCCCCCATTCCCACCACAACCACCCTCACTCCCACCACACCCACCTCCACCGCACTCAACCTCACAACAAACACTCTCACTCCTGGCTCAGCTGCCGGTGGCGCTACTCCCAGTACCCTCGGTAATGCGTCAGCGCTGCCAGGTGGCGGCGCATCAGTGGTCACGCTGCTCGTAAATGCAGCCAATGGGACTCTCGGGTTCGCCCTCCCATGGGCGCAGGGGGCGGGGGAGAACGTGCAGGCAGGGATCTACACAGTGGGGGATATGCTCAACGGTGAGTGAGGTGCTGTGGGTGCACTGCGGTGCTCTGAGGTGCTGTGGGGTGCTGTGGGGTACGTCATCTCATAGCTCCTGTCATCTGCCCTACCCCTTCCTGTCATCTGCTTTACCCCTTCCTGTCCCCTCCACCACCTTCTCCCACAATCCACTCCCTAGCTCCTCCCTACTCCCGCATCGTCTCCTCATCTCGTTCTCCCACACGTGCCACAGGCATCGCAGCTGATCCCTGATTGATATGGCACACACGGATAGAAGCACTCACTTGCTCAACATCCATTTCTCTCCTTCACCCCATCCCCTCTCCCGCTTCTCCCCACACAGCATCGTCCCCTCGTCTCGTGCTCCCCCTCATGCGTATCACTGCCAACTCCTCACGTCACGGCTTCGTCCACCACCCTTTCCCCCTGCCCTGCCCTGCGCTCCCCTTCCCCACACAGCATCGTCCCCTCGTCTCGTCCTTCCCCTCATGGGCATCACTGCCAACTCATCTACTTACACCCTCCCTTTCCCCCTTTCTTTGCCCACCACCCCCACACAGCATCGTCTCCTCGTCTCGTCCTTCCCCTCATGGGCATCACTGCCAACTCCTCACATCACGGCTTCTTCCACCCCCCTTTTCCCCTGCCCTGTCTTGCGCTCCCCTTCCCCACACAGCATCGTCCCCTCGCCTCGTCCTTCCCCTCATGGGCATCACTGCCAACTCCACCCCTCCTGCTGCTGCTGCCTCTGCTACACGTGCCACGTCAGCATCGTCCTCCTCCTCTCCGCTTGATCCCTTAACTGCAGCAGCAGCAGGTGTGGCAGGTGCATTGGGGGGGCTAGGAACATCTGCTGCAGGTGTTACGGCAGGCCCAGGTGTAACGGCAGGGTCAGGTGTAACAGCAGAGCCAGGAGTTTCTTCAGGTGGAATGGCAGGATCAGGTGGAGCTTCAGGTGCCACAGCAGGACCCCGAGCCGCTACAGGGGCAACAGGGACAGCAGGGGCAACAGGGGCAGCAGGGGCAGGGGAAGGCTTGGGAGCAGCAGCAGCAAGCACAGCGCCAGTTACACAGGGGCCACGCAGGGGTTTATCTGGATCTGTGGTAAACCCTGTAGCTGCAGCAGCAGGGGCAGCACAGGGAGCAGTGGGGGCAGCGCAGGGAGTGGTGCGGAGTGGTTCAGGGTGGTTATGGGGAGCTGTGCCAGTGCCAGGAGCAGCGCTGGTGAATATTCTGAGGAATCCGAGTCAGTACCAGCTGCGGCTGTCCGTTGGGAATGGCGCCGATGCGGCGTCCTTTGCTGGTCGTCTTGTGGTGAGTGGAACTATTAAAAGAATGCGAAACAAAGTCCTAGCATTCAGAGTCTTAGAAAATAGGTACATCAGCACTGGGGCGCAACGTGAGGAGTATGAGTCAGTGCCAGCTGCGACTGTCTGTTAGGAATGGCGCTGACGTCTCCTCGTTCGCTGGTCGTCTCGTGGTGAGCGTGGATTCTGGGAGAAGAAACGGAGTACCAGCTGCACTTCGAACTCTAACCCGATCCCTCCTTCCTTATTTCCCCTCTCCCCCCCTCCACCCGGTCCCCTCCGTTCTCTTGATGTCGTCCTTTCCTAGGCTGTACCTATTGATCTGGCTCGGAGCATCCCCTTCCTCGGCTCCCTGATTCCCGAGCCTCCTCGATTTCCTTCCCAGCCCAGTCTTGGTAAGGGAGTCTTTTTTTTGGCAGTACTTTTAATTTCGCACTCTTGTTGTTCTTGTTTTCACTTCATTCGTCATCCCTTCATCTCCTGGCACCTGCTGCAAGTAACAATCCTTCCACTTTTTTTTCATCCATTTGTTTTTCCTTCCCACCCCACTCCACCATTCCTTCTTCGTGCATCGCTAACCTCCCGTGGATAAGTACACGAGCTCTCGTTTTGTTCATCCACCGGCCTTTTTTTTTTTTTTTTTTCCCACCCTACCTGCACAATGCCTGCCGCAGGCATCCCCACCCCCCAGTCGCTCCTCTCAGCCATTCCCAACCCGCAGGCCCTCCTCTCACTTGCAACAGCCATTCGTGAAAGCATCGCAGCACTCCCCCAAACTGCCTGTAAGCTTGTTCAACCACAGTTTGCTGCTGGCTGTTTCTCTTTTGGTTGCCTCCTTTTTATATGTAACTCACTCATTTTCTCTTCACACAAACACTGAGTTTTGTTCTTGAAACCATGCAGTGGGATCAGTAAATGTTCCATGGCTCTCTGGCTTTGCCGATGCTCTCGCTGCAGCTGCAAGGAGCAATCCTGTGACCAATCTTCTTCCATGAGTGCTTTTGGAAGCTGTTGTGCCAAGTAGGGTATTGTTATGCCTTAAAAAATGTAGGTAGAGAGTGATCTTTTATTTAGTATGAGGAAATGTAAAGTCGCCTGGTGTTCCTGTAACCTAACTTCAAGATTCCTCGCACACACAGGTACCATATGGGTTTTACACGTGGTAGATTTCACCGACCATATGGCTCCGGTCTGATTGGCCGTAGGATTCCACGGGATGAACTAACATGAGGTCCAGAACCGGAACCCTAAAGTGATAAGGATCACGTGGCAAACCCGAAATGCTGGGACCTTTGGTTTCCGAAAGGGTGGTTGTTGAACTCTTCCTCCACTCACTGTGACTACTTATCGCATCCCTAATAAGCTGTGGTGCGGGGCTCAGCGCCTCCGACTCTTCAACCTTTCGGAAGTCAGGCCACTGCGACTGCGGCGCAATCGAAAACAAGGTCCACAGCCGCCACACGTAGGAAGTGGTTGACAACCCTCCAGCGTCGAATTTCGGGATGACCAATCATGTAGCTTTGTTGCAAGATTTGCAACCAATCATAGAGCCTGTTGGGTTAGACGTCGAGTCAGACCCTCCAGTGGAGCATAGCGGGTCTTTTATGCCTCAACTTTCCCATCCCCAAAAAACTGTGCTTCATTCTTTGTCGCATTTGTCTGTGAGTGTGACCAGGCGACACTTTTTGGTTTTCGCGAGCTTTGTTCGTTGCACCGACGACGGTCACCGCTTTGGTTCGGGTCAGGGGCTCAACCTCCTACGCAGTGATGTTCGCGCAGCGCTATGTTGTGTGCCCCCCGCGCCTCGGAAGCGCCTATGGATTGGCAGCATCATGGGCAACTGAAAGAAATAGACATGCGAAGAGACCAGGATAACCGAGGCACCGAAACACTCTGCAAGGAAGTTGGTAAGGTTCGGGGAATCTTTAGATCGGTATACTACGGTAAACGAACTTTCTATAACATCTTGGCACGGTACACTATGGTTCATCGACCCGAAGAAGCCATGCCAAGTTCCACCATCCTCCCTCCCCCCCACACACTTCTTGAGCAACCCACACTTCTTGGGGGAGAGCAACTTCTGCAAACATATCTGGCAGTTCCGCCTCAGCAAAAACCACCAAGTTTTGCGCGTGGTCACTCGGTTTATGAAGCATTAGCTAGTGGATCAGCGCAGTGGAAGTTCGATCAGTGCGATCGCCAGAAAAGCGGAGTACGCAGTTGTGAACTTCACCTTCCGAATCGAGATTCAGCTTCTTGATCTACGAACCATGGCTACTCCTGCGCAAGCTCCGCACCTCGCAACGACCGACAGTGGTAGCGCAATCAACTCGCCAGCAAACGCGTCGACCCTGGGAATACCGGCAGGATCCAGCCCTTCGACGACAACCGCGTTCTCTCCACTCACTTTCGTCGCGGCCGTTGGCGTATGCATCCTCGTCACCGCCGTCATCTCGGTCCTCGTTTACATCTTGCGACGGATGAAATGCCATGAACCAATCGGTGGCGACCTTCCAAGCCCACGGCGGCCGCACCGCGTGTGGGTTCGCATCGGCGGTGGTAACAGCAGCTCGACGAAATCCGTCGGCCTCGACGCATCGCTCATTCGCTCTTTCCCAGTGATGATTTTCAGCTCCGAAAAAGCCGAGTTCTCCGTGGCAGCACTCACAGAAAAGCTCGTGTCGCTGCAATCGCAAGATCTGCACGCCGACCAGTCCAGGAAAAGTGGGAATTCGACCGGTGCGATTGTAGCGTCTGATCAGCTCAAAGCTCCTGATGCCGCCGCAGAATTCACCAGATTGGCTGCTGAGGCCGAAAGATGTGCCGCCAATTCCGCCACCAATCCCGCTCCTGGCCACGTGGTTGTTACTCTGGACGAGGAAAACGCGTGTTTACGCGAGTGCGCGGTGTGCTTGGGTGATTACGACGAAGGGGAACGGATCAAGCTGCTTCCGCCATGCGGCCACCGCTTTCACGCGGACTGTATCGATCTGTGGCTGTCGTCAAAAAGCACGTGCCCGATTTGTCGCAAAGACCTTCGTCCAGCTTCGGTAACGTGCGAAAAGGGTTCGCGAACCCCCCGAAGAATGAGCGAAGCTGGCGAGGCTGGCGAGCGGATCGTCACGATTGTCGTGCGAGAAGAGAGCGGGGTTGTAGTTGAGGGTGGTAACGACGGGTCGCCAGCCCAATTGGAAGCTGTGGTTTTGCGAAGAGATAGCGACATCGGCGTTGAAGTAACTGCGGTCGTCGCAGCTGTCGCATAGGCTATGCTGAGCATCCGCCAGGGCTGGTCGGGGGTTTCGGGGTTACTAGAGGTAGTTAATTTAGAACGTTCGTCCTCGAACTTAGCGCTCCGGCTCGACCACTGATAGCAGTCGACAGTTTTTTCGACGCGTAAGAAGTCTCGAAGCGCGTCAAGCCTAGAAATGATTGCTGGCTGGTAGTGCAGTGGTATTACGTACTCTCTCAGCTTCAACGCTCGCTGGTAGAACCGTACTCTCCGCTTCATGGAGACTTGGAGAGCTGAATTTAGCTTTCCGCTGATGGGTTGATTAGATGACCTCGGGGGGTGTGTTGTGTGCCAATCAATTTTCCCCACCACCCCCCCCACAATTTTGATTCGTGTATTTGTACATGTATGGCAAGATCAATGATATCGGTTTTGTTACCTCGTTCCGTGTGTGCGTGCGGGTTGGAAAGATGTGTTGGGTTGCGCGGGACGAGCTGGGCATGGATGGATGAGTACGGTACTTACAAGAGCGAGGGTTGTTTCTTGCGATGTGGTGGAATGGGCGGGGCGGGGAGGGAGGGATGCTAGTAGGGGAGGAGTGGGAGGGAGGCAAGGAAGCACAGAGAAAAATGGGGGCGTGTGCAGTGAGCTAGTGCTCTTATGAGCTCCAAATGAGAACAGGTTGTGAAGTGCAAGAGTTCTAGCGTAAGGCCTACTTCAGGGCCCTTCCTGTGGCAAAAATGTGCTTCCTTTCACCCCTCGGGAGAGTACGGTACTTCATTCTCTGTAAGGCACCGCTTACAGTTCAGCAACAATAGGTTGCAACAGAACTGCAGCATGCCAAGCTGAGATTGCATGCGAACACTGCATGAAATTTCATCGACAGCTAGGTAGAGGCTAGGGAATGGGACAGCATATATTTTGCTGCCAACCAAGCACACATCATCCATGCCATCACCCACTGCACTGCTGGTCTGGTAGTGTCGCACAGCACTGCCGCCATCATCAGACTCTCACACTCCAGCTCATTCAAGAGCACTTCTGTACCTTCAGCAGCATTTGCAAGCAGAATACAGCACACCCTGGGGAATGGGAGTGACAGCATTGAACCTCCGGTCCACTCTCCAGGCGAATACTGTACCTCCTTCAGACTCTCACACGCCAGCTTGTTCATGAACACTGTCAGCAGCATTTGCAAGAAGAAATATACCCTGGGCGTCCCAGTCTGAGGCCCATCAAAGAGCACTCAATCCAAAGCAGCAGCGCCAGTGACCACCAGAGCAAGCAGGCTTTGCTATACGACGCTCCTGCATTGCATTTATGACCATAGACCAACCCTAAGCAGTGGCACAGATACTGTTGTACCCTCATCCAAACCCACTAGTAGGATCCTCGGGTGCACAAACTCCCTTACTGCTCTGAGCAACCTCAGCAACAGCAGCAGCAGCTACATTACCCACTCAGCTGCGCCTGCATGCATCTCCTTCAATCTCTTCTCATCCTGAAACCTCCTCACAGCCTGCTGCACCCACAGCAGCAACAGCCAATGCAGCAGCCTAAGCAGCAGCAACTCCTGTAACCCCATGCAGCTTCTTCAAGCTCTCCTCGTGCAAAAACCTCCGAACCGCTCTCTGCACCTTCAGAAGCACCCCTTCATTTTCCGACACTCCACACAGGAAACACCCCCTCACCTTCCAACACTCCTCCAAATTCAGAGTCACAATCGATTCACTAAGCAGTAACTGTTGCTGCTGTAACCCCATGCAGCTTCTTCAAGCTCTCCTCGTGCAAAAACCTCCGCACCGCTCTCTGCACCTTCAGAAGCACCTTATCCAACTCCTCCATATTCACCGTCGTCACCGAGTGGTCTCTCGCACACAGGAAACACCCCCTCACTTCCCTACACTCCTCCTCCTCGAGATTCTCCCACCCGCCCTTAGCTAAGCAATCGTCGGTGTAGGAGGAAGCTTCCGGGTGCGTGTTCTCCCACGAGAAGTAGTTGATTCCGGTGCGCAGGGCGAGGTGGTTGTATGCCTCGGAATGGAACTTGAGGGGGAAGAGCTCGAGGATAGAACTTCCGGGAGGGAGGAAAATGAGGTTGCTGAGGGAGGCGCCATGCATGCTGATGAACAGTGCCGTGTGCTGTAGAAGAATGGGGGCGGGGGTATGGGCGGAAGGGAAGGGCAGGAAGGAAGCCGAAGGTGAATAATTCGCCACATAGAGTGCGAGGATTCTGGGTGCGTGTTTTGCCGTTCTCCCCAGGAGAAGTAGTTGATTCCGGTGCGCAGGGCGAGGTGCTTGTATGCATCGGAGTGGAATTTGAGGGGGAAGAGCTCGAGAATGGTGCTGCCTGGCGGGAGGAAGATGAGGTTGCTGAGGGACGCGCCATGCATGCTGATGAACAGTGCCGTGTGCTGTGGGGGGAGGGGGGAAGAGGAGTAAAAGGGGGGGAAGGAGGAAAGCGGCAAGGGCGGAGGGGGGAAATGAGAAGGAAAGGAAGTCAAGGGTGGTTGTTCTGCCAGATTTAGAGCACTCTTGACTTCAGATAGAGAGCGAGGTTCTTGCAGGTGTGGGAGTGGAATTTGCGGGGGAAAGAGCTCGAGAATGGTGCTCCCTGGGGGGAGAAAGATGAGGTTGCTTTGCTGAGGGAGGCGCCTGAGAGCCCACCTGAGACAGCACCTGAGAACCCACCTGAAAGAGAGCCATCTGCTCGAGCAGGGGTGAGTCGGCAAGGTGGTACTGGTTGGTGACGTGGCGGGGAAAGAGGTCCTTCACATGCCACGCCACCTCCCCCATGTTGCTCACCGTGCGCTGCTCCTCCCTCTCCACCACCGTCACCTCTAGCTTCCCCCCTGAACCACTGACCAACCTACCTAAAACAGCACCCCTCCTACCAGAAGCGCCGCCTGATGCAGCAGCAGAATCCCACCTAAAACGCCTGAAAAGGCACCTGGGAGCTCACCTGAAACAGCACCCACCTGAAACAGGGCCATCTGCTCGAGCAGGGGCGAGTCGGCAAGGTGGTACTGGTTGGTGACATGGCGGGGAAAGAGGTCCTTCACATGCCACGCCACCTCCCCCATGTTGCTCACCGTGCGCTGCTCCTCCCTCTCCACCACCGTCACCTCCAGCTTCCTCTCAAAGTCATACCCCCTTAAAGCCGCGTTCAGAACCTCGTCCCCCTGCCGAATCACCACCCGTGCGAGCGCGTGTGTTCTCTCTCGTTGGATCATCTCTTCCCGAAACCTCTTCTTGCTCTCCTCACGGCTCTCCTTGGTTTTACTTGCCGACTCGGCTTCGTCTCTCCTCCGCTGCTTCTCCCGCTCCTCCTCGCCCATCTCCATCTCCTCCTCCACCTCAAAATCCCCATCACCGTCCCCAACCACTCCGTTCTCCTCTCTCCGCTGAAACACCTTCGCAGCCACCTCCGCCAGTCCCCAAGCGTCCTCCCTAAACCCCTGCGCGGACGAGTTTAAGTGCCGAGCATTCAGCACAAAAGCCACCTGGTCGAAGCACACAGGCCTGCCCTCCCTGTGCCCAGCTAAAACCTCCGACGCCGGGCCGAAAAGCATCTGAGCGATCCCAGCCGTCCATTTGCTCCGGATCGTCTTCTCGCTGGGGAAGAACAGCGAGAGCTCGGCTCCCTCCTTCTCCCTCCTCCTCCACCTTTGCCGCCTCCTAGACCTCTCTTTCTCACTCCATTTCTCTCCCAAAGCCCTCGGTCCTCCTACCTTCGCATCCCCCCACTCCGCCTCCTCGTCCTCTCCAAACGGCCCTTCCCTAGGAAAGTGCCGGGAAACTTCCCACATCGCCATAGCCGATTCCCCAAAATGCCCTATGTGAGTGTCGTACCTCCCGACGATCCCCACCCGCCGCCGGAAATCGTTCGGGTTGTTCTTGCGCAACTTTTTCCGGGCAGTCGAGCTGCTCTCAGCGATAAACTGCCCGAGTGCAGGGTGCCCCAAAAATCTCCCGTAAGTCTTGTTCTGCCGTTGTTTCAGTATCGGGAGATCGTGGGAATCCGAAAACAGAGGTGTGGTATCCAGGTCTTTTCCCGGCTTAAAAACAGAGCACATGCTCTTGCCTAGGTCTAGCTTGGACAAGTCACGGTAGTGGCCTGTATTCATGAACCCTCCGGCTCCTGCCTTCCCCTCTTTGAGCCCTGCGAAGCGGCTGAACCAGCCCCCTCCGCTGCTGCTGCTCCCTTCTCCTGCTGCTCTGCCTAGCAGCCTCCTCCTCTGCCTGCTTACACCATGATCTGAACCCTTACTCAAAATCTCGCCTTCATGTAGCCCTTCTCCCTCCCCTTCCTCCACCCCTTCACCAACCTCCTCACTGCTCAGCAACCTCCTCCTGCTGCTTCCCTTGGTCGTTCCCCTAGGCTTTTTCCAGTCAGGCGAGTACGGACCCACTAATTCCGAGCTATTCTCGCTCATAGCCTCCCTCACGAACCACACACCTGTGTACGCGTTATGGTACGCCCCTTTACCCGCCATGAACAGGTAGCACAGGTCCTGTACCAGCAACACGCACGAGTAGTCGTGCTTCTGCTGTAACAGGTACGCGCCGTGCACGCGCGGTAACGGCGTTACGTGCCACCTGGCGCTCATCCGTTCGTAGAAAGGCTTGGGGGTTCGGGTTTTTGGGCCTGCTTGTTGCTGCTGGGCGGCAGTCTTTTCCTTCTGGGCGGCTGCTTCCTTCTGCTGGGCGGCAGATTCCTTCTGCTTGGTGGCAGCCTCCTTCTGCTGGGCGGCAGCTTGTCTCTGTTGAGCAGCAGCTTCCTGGGAGGCTGCTTCCTTCTGCTGGGCGGCAGCCTCTCTCTGTTGGGCGGCAGCCCTTTGCTCCTGAGCGGCTGCTTCCTGGGCGGCTGCTTCCTTTTGCTGGGCGGCAGCTTCTCGGGCGGCTGCTTCTCGGGCGGCTGCTTCGGCGGCTGCTTCCTTCTGCCGAGTGGCTGCTTCCCTCTGCTGCTGTTGGGAACGAGCCTGATTTTCTTGGGCGGCTACCTGTTTCACTTGGGCGGCTACCTGTTTCTCTTGGGCGGCTACTTGTCTCTCTTGAGTGATGGTGGGAGGGGGGGAGGAGGAAGGAGGGGGGAGTACCGGAGATGTGGAGAGGGGCTGCACGGGGAGTGGCGAGGGAGGAGAGGGGGAGTTCTGGTCCTGGTGGTTGATGGTAGGAAGGGAAGGTGAAGAGGTGTGGGAAGCGGTGGATGCAGTATCATCACTGTCACTGCTGCTCCTGCTGTTGCTCATGCTTCTGTCGCTACTGCTGCTGCTGCTGGACTCACTACTGCCTGAAGTTTCCCCTTCATCACCAGCCTCAACAGCACGCATCAGAATCAGCATCAGCATCAGCATCAGCAGCAGCATCAGCATTAGCATCAGCAGCAGCATTAGCATCAGCATTCGCAACAGCAGCACCAGCACCAGCAGCAGCAGTATCAGCATCACCACCAGCACCAGCATTATCAGCAGAGACAGAATCTGCTGCAGCGGCAGCAGCATCACCTGTGCCTACACCAGTGCTGATCCTGGTGGTAGAAACAGGAGTGCTGGAAGCTACTGTGGGTGTGCTTGTAGTGCTCGTGGGAGTGACAGTAACGGGTGTTGGTGTGACAGTAACGGTTGTAGGAATGTTACTATCAGTGTCTTTGAGAGTGCTAGAAGGTTGAGTGATAGTTCTGGGGGTGCTGCTTGTGGTAGCAGCAGAAGCAGCATTCCCCTTGCTTGTCCGTACTGTGGGGGTGTCAGTAGGTGTGGTAACAGTAAGTGTGGTAACAGCAGGTGTGGTAACAGAAGGTGTGGTAACAGAAGGTGTGGTAACAGAAGGCGATGGCAGAACGGCTTTTGTAACAACAGGCCTCGGTGTGGTAACCGCTCGGTTTGAATGAAAGGGGGAGGGGGTGACACGAGAATGGGAGGAGACACTAGAGGGGGTGGGGGAGACGCGAGAACGGGAGGAAGCAACACGACCGGAGCTTGATTTACGGCCAGTGGTAGAGAGGTGTGCAGCAGCAGCGTCGAGATGGGCAAAGAAGCTGAACCGCGAGTCAGATGACACGGAAGATGAAACCTTGGTGGTTTCATCTGGAGTTTCATCTGACGAGGAGGAGGAGGAGTGAGGGAAGGAAGACCCGGACCCTGATGAACGCCTTTCATCTGATGAACTACTAGATCTGCCTTTCAACGCGTGGCGTGTCTCTCCTGCTGCGCCTCTTGCACCTCTTGCACCTCTTGCGCCTTCTCTGGCCTTAGCATTGCCCATTCTCCCTCCCTCTCCTCCCTCTCTTCCCTTCGCTCCGCCCCTCCTTCCTTTCCCCACCTTCCCTCCTTGCCCTACTCTCCCTGGCTTTCCTTCTCTCCCTTGGTTCCGGTCTCTCCCCGCCTGCCCTCCTCTCCCTCTTGATTGAGACGAGGATGAGGAGGAAGAGAGGGAGAGGGAGGGTAGCTCTATATCCACGACAGACCCGTCGTCCACGTCAGCTTCTACGTCCAGGTCATTGTCCACGTCAGCGTCGTCAGAGAGGAACTGTGCTTTGCGTGACGACAGCTGGCGGGTAGAATGGCTGACGAGGGCGCAAAGAGGGGGGGGGGGGGGGGGGGGGGGGGGGGGGGAAGGAGAGAAGAGGGGACGGGGGGGAGGGTGAGGGGAGGAACGGTTAAGTTTGAGATCCCGCACTGGACTAAAGAGCAGTAGGAAATGGGGTAACACTGTAACAGGGACTACGAGTCACGAATGAGAAGTTAATCTTATCCTACATGTCAGAATGAAAGTTCAGATTCGCATGAGATGAATCATCAACCCACGTCACGTGTGATAAGTCACCAACTCACATGTGATAAGTCATCAACTCGCATGTCACATGTGATCAGTCAACTCACATGTCATAATTCTTCAGCTGCGCATCAGCTTCAGTCACATGCAAGTGGCAGTTACCCCCAGGGCACGACCTCGCACCGTTGATAATCAGCTCCAGTAGAATCACAGATAGAATCCCATTCACTAAAGTCACACCCCCCACCAGCAGCATACACCGCCGGTACCGCCCTAATTTCCCGCTGAATCCGCGCATCCAAGTCTCAGACCCTCCTCCGCCTCCGCCGCCGCCTCCCCCTCCCCGTCCCCCTCCCCAGGGCGCAAGCGGGCTACCGGATCTTGCCCGCGGGAAGGGGAAACTCCCCTTCCCCCCGCCGCTCTTTGAGGCATTCTGTTGCGCGTTCTTGGCCGCGCGGGATTTGGCAGGCGCTGAGTCGTCGAGTACGTAGCTAGTCGGCTCGGGGGGTTGCAGGAACCACAGAGTGCCGCCTCGATTGACGGTGGTGCTGTTACTGCTGCTGCTGCTGCTTTCCATGATGGCGTGTGCGAGACGTTACAACGTTGTCGCGAGAGGCAGGCTTTCGCAGGTCATCATCACTACAGAAAGCGGGAACTTACTGCGTGTGGTAAGTGGAGCGCCTGGGATTGCCGCGAACACTTAGGGTTTGACGAGGTGAATTCAAATGACAATCTAAGAGTATGTTGATTAAGTTACAACCCAGCGCTTCGCTGCACAACAAAGTGACGTGTTGACTCTCGGTAAATCGCCCTGTAAACGGATAGAACTCCCTATGGCGACCTCATAAGCAGATGCTTGCCTGACAGCTAATCCTTACACCCGTGGATGCTTGCCTTATTGTATCGCAACGGCAGCTCATGTTGTCAACCAGGATTCGCCTAACTAGTGGCGACGAGGAATACATCTGATTCGTACGACCTATTTGAGAAACTTAGTGGTGCTTCTCAGGTCCTATGTGCGGCCGCGGATTAGACTACTGACGGCACAGAACAGGTCAAGTTTCGTAGGCGGGCAGAATAGCCATCCAAACCAGACCTCTCCTCTTGTCTAGTAACCAACACGACGGAAATGGTTGCTCATCAATGGAACTTCGTCGTCAGCCATTGCTTCTATGTATCCATATCTTCAATGCCTGGTGGTAGTGGTGATGGTTCGCTCGCTCGTTTCTCAAGGTTTGTTGGTTGGTTGGTGCCACCGTTTCTTGGGAATGCCGAGGTGGAGTTTGATGCCATTGGCTGGTGGCGGATTCCGACTGGAACTTCGCACCACGAATTTCGCTTATGGGAAAGTGTTACAGCTATGGAACTCGATTTGAACAAAGGAGTAAAATATGTCAATGGTAACTTAAGAAAGTTTCTGGTCCTCAGCAAAGTCTGAATCTACCATTTTACTGTATGGCCATTACAAGCTCTGACATATAAGGTGATATCCTTTCATAATTTCATATTTTTAAATTTTAATTGTCTCAATGAAAAAAGAAGCTTGCGCTTTTTGGTGAGCTAGTTATTCTTTTCGATATTAACAAGCATTCTATAGTACAATGAGTCTGTATAACATAATAATGCAGCATCGAACTCTTACAGGACTGTCCAATAGAGTGTTTCTTGAGTGTCCAGTATTCGCCTCGTTGGCGCGGTCATCTCTCAGCACGTGGACCACTTCAAGATTCTCGATCTGCTGTTGTGGCAGTCCTAACCTCGCGTTCTCCAATCGTACCGCCCTCTTCGATCTCCACGCCCAATCAAACTCCATCAATTTCCCCAAATCTCCGGCCGCTGACTCAGTTCCAGCATTATGAATGTCCCCAGAACCTTGCTGCCTGCTGGACATCCCTACAGATTCAGGGAACCTGCTTCTAGATTCCTGATTCCTACAGCTGGCCCACATTCCCTCCATTTCGCACACTAAATTTGAATTCCAGTGCCGGTACGAGGACCCAGCGCTAATTCTCCTGCCGTCCTCCCGGCTTCTCCTCCTTCACTCGCTGCAGTCGGTAGTCCCAATGGCATCGCTCGCCATGTCGTCTGTTTCCACGGTTCGTCTTCCCCTGCTTCCTTTGATTCCCGTTTTCTACATCCGTGAATCTGATTAGCCTTCCCGTGAAGCGTCTTAGCTCAGTCTCCCGTTCAGAGCAGAGCTCACACTCTCTCCCTCATTTTCCTCACTCCACCTCCCCCACCTTCCCACGCCCCTTTTCCCCCCACCCCCATCCCCTCCCCGTTCGTATCTACGTTCGCCGTCTAATCCTCTCCTCTTCCCTAATCGTCCGCTTTCATCCCCTCATCAGGCTTCGCTTCTCTCTTCCGCGGAGTGGTCTTCCTTCGTGCAGGGCAAGGCCCTTGCTGGTAAGCTCATGACGGGGATGGGCTGGGTTGCACAAAATGTGTGAGTTCGTGCGTGCTGATGCCGAAGTTTGTTAGTCCGCTGCAAGAACATCAGGCAGAGCGGATTGAATGAGCTGGTTGACACATCTCTTGAGACGTTTCAGAAGATTGTTAGTCTGCTGCAAGAACATCAGGCAGAGCTGATGGAATGAGCTAGTTAAAGGTTCACGCATCTCTTCTCTGCTCGCACTCAAAGTTTCCCCTGAACATTTCCGGTATCGCACGTTCTTGAGTTTTCACACCATGGGTCTGCATGTCAATATTCGTCAATTTCTCTGTCTCTCATTCTTATCTCAGTGCGTTTGTACCCGTCGCTTCCTGTGCCATCCCATGCCACACCATACCATCTGCGCACAGGCACTGCCAAGACTGCAGCAGTGAAATCCTTCCAGGTACCGCTTGACAAAGAGCTCCGCAAGAATAGTTTCCGATATAACTAATCTTCGAACAGCGAAAATGGCTATCGATGTACCCCATAAGCTTCATTTGACGCGAAGCACGTTGCGTGAAAGTGGCCATACGCAGTGTTAAAAAGAAGCTGCATTATTCTCCCGCCCTGTCACTTCACTCTCGCAACTCTCTCCTTCCGTACCGCTCTTCTTGTGTTCCCTGGCTTGTTACCCCCGTATCCCTCTGTATCCCTGTGTACCCCGCAATATCCCGCTATATCCCTTTGTATCCCTCTCCGTCGTTCCACTTCTCGCAGCGTGCAGCAGTTCGTTGCCAGGCATCATCCCCCGACGCTTCGTCCTCCTCTGAGTCCTCCTCTTCTCTCGTCCTCCCCCGGCGCCAAGCGATGCTCACTGCTCTCACCGCTGCCTCCGTGAGTACATCCTCGCCGCACGCCGTCTCGTCGTCTATGCTCGCCTTGTGATCTGTACTCTTCAAGTGCTCGATGCGTGCAGCATCCACTTCCCTCCCCTCCCCTCCTCTCCCCTCCCCTCCACTCCCCTCCTTTCCCCTCCCTCCCCTCCTCTCCCCTCCCATCCCCTCCCTCTGCTTATTTCCGCCTGCTACTCTCCCTTCCACTGCTTCTCTTTGCATTGCTGTTGTCTATCGTCATTACCCTCCTTTCATCACTACCCCCTTACCTTCAACCCTGCTCTGGAGAAAAGCGGTATCTAATGATCGCATGGTGTCCCTTCCATTCCCCGCGCTACCCTCCCTCCTTTCCGCCTTTTCTTCCAGAGCCCTCTGTGGGTGCCTCTGCTGACGTCGTCCGACCCGGCGCTTGCAGCCAACATCGTGCAGCGCGGCCAGCGAGCAGCGTACCTGAGTGAGTGATCGGCCTACTTGAGTGAGTGCAGCGAACTTATGCGCTAGGCCGCACACAGGTTGACTTATGCTGCAGGTCATACGTACGTACGGAGTGTCTGAACATGATGCAAGCCGAGAACTCCATGAAACATTCATAAGAAAGAAGAGCACATTGCACTGGCCAGGCCACCTGCGGACCTCCGGTGGCCGGCTGTTTCCCTAACAACTCTTTTTCTTCGTGTTTTCTTCCTCTCCAACCCCTCTTGTGACATGAAACGAATGTGACACTTTCAGAGGGCCTTAAGGAGGACCTCTTCAACACCATCAGTGTGAGCCACTTTCGCTACCCTCCTGGCATCGTGCTTAAATCTTTCTCTGCTTCTCTCGCATCCCTACGCGTCTCTGCCTCCTAAAGCGCCCCTATGTCTCGATTTCATCAACTTACAATTACGTTCGTCCGGTGGTCACACACGGTAAAACATTGTATGGCAACCCTCCCTGCCCTACGATTTCTCCCAAGTAGTGTAATATACAAACCAAACCAATCCCACCTCCACTGGTTACCTATTTCTTGTCTCCCCCGGTTGTTGCAATCCCCTGCCCCTATTCCACGTGGCAGGCCAATAAGGAGCTTGTGCCTGACATCCTGCGATTGGCCCTACGATGCAGCCACGTATGACAGGGTCCGTGCCAGGTGTACTGCTGCTATTGCTGAAGCTCACTTCACTTGGATGCATCATGCACGGATGCTGCAATGCATGCAATTTGCCTGTAGCTAATGCCTCCTTAGTACTCTTCCTGTTTTTTTTTTTTCCTTAATACCTCCATCCTTCCCTCTTCCCCCCAACCACCCCCACCCCATGGTCCTTTCTCGATATCTCTCTGCCTGAATTGCAACAGGAGACCAGGACAGGAGGAGCAAATGGGTCCATCCGATTCAGGTACCGTATCACGCCATGCCGCTGCATCCCATACAGTGCCATATGATGCTAACGATGCCATATGATGCCATACGATGCCATACGATGCCATGCAATGCCATGCAATGCCAGCACCACTCGCGTCCGCACTTTTAACCCCGCCACCCCGCCTTCCCTTCGCGGAGTATGTCCCTCATCCCTAATCCGTATCCCACCCTATGCCCGTTGCACCCTTCTTTCTACCCCGCTCCCAGCGAGGAGCTCTCACGCCCGGAGAACAAGGGCCTCAAGGCGGCCCTGCAGCTGCTGGAGGGGGTCTAGCACCCCCCTCCCTGCCAGTACGTAAAACGACATCATTCACCCACCTCCCTCCCCTCCGCACCCTTCTCTTTATCTCCCCCCCCCACAGCGAGGAGCTCTCGCGCCCGGAGAACAAGGGCCTCAAGGCAGCCCTTCAGCTGCTGGAGTGGGTTGCTCACCTTCCTGCCCTCTGTTCTGTGCCTTCTTCTCCACCCCCTTACCCCCCGCGAGGAGCTCTCGCGCCCGGAGAACAAGGGCCTCAAGGCGGCGCTGCAACTGCGAGAAGCGATGCCCAGACTCCTGCATGTAGTACATCCAATCAAAAGACGCCATTCTCCCTCCTCCCTCCCTTCTGTACCTTTGTTTCTCTCCTTCCCGCCAGCGAGGAGCTCTCTCGCCCAGAGAACAAGGGCCTCAAGGCAGCGCTGCAGCTGCTGGAGGGGGTCTAGCACCCCCCTCCCTTTCAGCATATAAAACGACACCATTCACCCACCTCCCTCCCCTCTGCACCCACCATTCGCCTCTCCCCTCTGCACCCTTCTCTATGTATCTCCCCCCCCTTCCCCCCCAGCGAGGAGCTCTCACGCCCGGAGAACAAGGGTCTCAAGGCGGCCCTGCAGCTGCTGGAAGGAGTGAAGGCGCGGGTGGACAAAGACGCCAAGGGCGGGCCGCTGTCCTACGCTGACCTCATTCAGTTCGGAGGTGAGCTTGTTGTGCCTTGGGCGTGAGCTCGGTCCGGTGTAAAGGTGGTGCTTTTAAGGCGTCTGTTGACGTCTCTCCCTTGCACTCAAGGCGGCCCTGCAGCTGCTGGAGGGGGTGAAGGCGCGGGTGGACAAAGACGCCAAGGGCGGACCCCTGTCCTATGCCGACCCGATGCAGTTCGGAGGTGGGGGTTGACTTTGTGGGGGGTTGAGGGATGTGCTGTGCTGTGCTGTGCTGTGCTGTGCTGTGCTGTGCTGTGCTGTGCTGTGCTGTGCTTGCTCTACTGTTGATCAGTGGATTCCGTGAGGCACTGTGAGCTCTACTGTGCGTGCTGTTTTTGAGAATTCTCAAAAACCAGCTCTACTGTGCGTGCTGTGCTGCTGGATGACTTGAGCTCACTTCATGCCCCCCGCCCACTTCATGCCCCCCGCTTCCCTGCCTAAACGACCCATTTGGCGCCCCAAACAAGCCCCCCACCCTCCCCTACCCTTCCTTGCTGCCTTCGCCATCCTGCTTCCTCACAGCCCAATTGGCTGTGAAGACCACCTTCCTGGCAGCAGCCACGCGCAAGACAGGGGGCGATGAGACCAAGGAGCTTAATTATAGCCTTCTCCCCCTTTTCACAACCCCACTCCTCCCTTCCACGCAGCCCAATCGGCCGTGAAGACCACCTTCCTGGCAGCAGCGGTGCGCAAGGCAGGGGGTGATGCCGAAAAGGGGCTCAACCTCTACTTCGCTATTGGCTCCCCCGGCCAGGTACTGCGGGGGGGGGATACCGCTGGTGGGGTGCTGCTGGGAGAGGGGGTATTGCTGGGGATAGTCCCGCTGGGGGGAACACTGTTGGGGAAGGCTGGGAGAGGGTACTTCTGGGACAGGTACTGCTGGGGGGGGGGGGGGGAGGGGGGGGTACTGCTGGGGCGGGTACTGCTGAAGCAGCTGGGCCTGTCTGCTCTCCTCCAGCCCCTTCTGACGCCCCATTTTTTGAGGCGCCTCAAACTTCTCCTCCAGCCCTTTCTGACGCCCCAGTTACGTTCCTCTCCCTCAGCCTGTCCCCCCTCCTCTCCCCTCTCCCTTCTCCCCCCCCTGCTCCTCCCCTCTTTCATCCCTCCCTTCCCCCTCCCCCTCCCTCCTATCTACCCCTCCAGCTCTGTTGAGCATCTCAGTCGCTTGACTCCCCCTCCGCCTGTCCCCTCTCCTGTTTCTCTCTCCCATCCTTGCTCCCCTCCTGCCCTGCCAGTGGGGTTTCTTTGACAAGCAGCTGGGCCGAGCTGACACCGAGCAAGCAGACCCGGCAGGGCGAGTCCCGATCTGGGAGCAGCTCAGCGCCGCGGAGGTCAAGGAGAAGTTCGCCGCCCTGGGGCTGAGGCCCCGGCAGGTGGTCACCCTGGCGCTGTTCCTGGGGCGGGACTTGGAGGCTGTGGAGGCAAAGCTGGAGGGGGATGAGGAGATGAGCAAGTGGGTCGCCAAGTACCGGAAGAGCCGCAACACCGTGTCCCAGACTGACTACGAGGTGAGTAACTGTTTATCTTTCCAGAAATGATGTGGGATGGGATCAAGGAGAATCTGGTCTGGAGCCCTGTGGATGGGGCTGGGGAACGGGCTGGGGCTGGGGCTGAGGCCCCGGCAGGTGGTGACTCTTGCGCTGTTCCTGGGGCGGGACTTGGAGGCTGTGGAGGCAAAGCTGGAGGGGGATGAGGAGATGAGCAAGTGGGTCGCCAAGTACCGGAAGAGCCGTAACACGGTCTCCCAGACTGACTATGAGGTGAGTTGTGGAGAAATGAGGTGTGATCAAGGAGAATCTGACCGGTCTGGGGCTGAGGCCCAGCCGCACCAGTGTCCCAGACTGACCATGAGGTGAGAAAATTTAGCTGAGCATGCTCTGGTGGGATGTCTGCACGCATGCATTTTGGGGGGGATGGGTTGGGAGCTCGGGACTGGATAGCCAAGTACAGGAAGAGCCGCAGCACAGAGCCAGATTATTGAGGTTAGATCCCTTCAGTGTAATGCGGTATTGAAACGTGCCTATCCCCATTCCTCAATCTACTTGTGTGCATGTATCCCACCACCAGGTTGATCTGATTGGGGCGTTCCTGAAGCTGTCTTGTCTTGGGGCACCCATCAATACTGAGGCCTACACCTATGAACCACCCAGGGTGGAGTTCAGGCTGTAGGATATGTAGTAGTTATTGCGTACAACCATGGACGGTTCCCATTTTTGCTAAGGCGCCATGGCGTGGCAAAGACAATGCATCACCATCTCTGGAATAACATCCAGCTCTTACTTCATATGCAGTTTATTGTACCGTGCCGGTATGTCTCCGTTTAATGTAATCTACAATGTGAATGTCTGGTGGGTGGCAAACGATTATATATAGCCGTGGCTGTGACTTGCGTTGAAACACTATGTAGTATATCCCGGGGGTACCAAACCTCCAACCCGATCTGCATACTGACGGAAGCTGGGTGGTTTTCTTTCCTATGTTCCCATATGTCAGCATTATGTCATGTATTGAATGATTTGAGCAGCTTACAACTCTGCAACTTGTTCTGTTTGATGAATATTAGTATTCAGGGCATTGTCCGGCTTTGCTCGTCCCTCTGCACCTTTTATAATAGAGCATCTGATTTCTGACAAACGCGTCAGTCAATACCGTATGTGAACTTTGTCACATTCTGCTGCTGCTGGGTTCACCTGGCCTGGCAGGGGGAAGCTGGCCTCTCCTGCTGGGCTGGTCGTACATGTACAACTGGCACACTGCCCTCCTCCCCTTCCATCCCGCAAGCCCTTTCCGCTTCCGCAAGTGAGTCACTTCTGCTGCGAGCCCCTGTTTTGCTCTGCCGCATTCCCGAGAATGGCCGACTTTTGTGATGGTCCTTTGAAGGTCATATTTAGAATCTCAGTCGGAAGCGGCACTTTGCAGATTCAACACAGCAGTTTCCGTCCAGTATGAAGCCCCGAAACCATGAAACTTGAAGCGCGGTGTCAGATCCTCGCGGTGGAACGAGACATTGGAAATCCTTTTGATAAAAAATCACAAGCCAACGATTGTCTGCCTGGAAATCGTCGCCAGCCAGGAACCGGCTTTGGAACTCTGAGAACTCCATTCCAGCAGCAGCAGCGCTTCTGTCCGCAGAAACACAAGACCAGCCGCACAGCAAAGCGGATTCATCCCTCCCTTGCTGGCTCGGGATTAGCTGGCTGGGATGACTTGTCACCGCAATTCAGAAGCAATAATTCATGCCCCAGGCCTGCGTGTCGTCACTGGACACGTCCCTACGAGCCTGACTGACCCTGGAGCGACATCGTAGTGGGGCGCGGCGCGGCGCATGCAGCTATTGCTACTAGCATATGTTTTTTCTTGCAGTAAAAGCGGGCAAGCAAGCTGCGAGTCGTCGTGCGCGTCGCCTTGGACGGAGCGTAATTCCCTCCTATTTTCCTTGAGTTCGACTTCTTCAAAACGCTTAGTTTCTACCGAGAGGAAACTGTCACCATGACACGGCCCGTGCGTCTTGACTTTTGAGTCGACCCAGAAGTCAGCCTAGTTCTTACCGAGAGGACACAGTCACCAGCCTTTAACCCGTGACACGACCTGAACGTCTTGTATCGCGCACGCCTCAACTGGAGTCACTGAGAGGACACAGTCACCAGTCGTTGCCCGTGACGCGGCCTGTGCGTCTTGACGCCGCGCCTCAAGAGCAGTTCATCTTGGGTCTTGCTGAGTATCGCCCAACGCTCGTCGTAGAAGAATCCCGTAATCTCTCTCACGCGTGACGTTTAGGTCGACATTTGAAGTCCCGAAATATCTCAGCGAGCAACATATGGGTCGACTCTAAAATCTTCTCCGCCAGCAACCGTCCCAGTTGTCGTTACGTTCACCCCGTCACTCGTTTTCTGTAGCGTGAGCATGGATTCGCCAGACAAGGACTCGTTAAGCGTAGATCCGTTACTGGAGTCCGCGGTTCCGGACTCCGAGTCGCCAGACGTCGACCGCCTTCCGCCGATCCACACACTACCCGATGAGCTACTCGCGCATATTCTCCTCCTCTCTCTCCGCCCGCCATGCCCCTCCCCCCTCCGCTCCTCCCTCCGCCTTCCGCAAACCTTGCTCCCCGCGCACTCCACTCCCCAAGCAGTCTCTTACGCGTATCGCCCCCCTGACTTCGCCTCGTCGTCCGCCCGCCATCCTCCCACTTCCGCCTCCACTTCACATCCCTCCGCGTATTCCCCTTCCCCGCCCGCGCTGGTCTGCAAGCGCTGGCGCAAGCTCTCTCCCGCCTTCTCCGCTCCACGCGCCATGTCTTGCGCGCAGATCCTCCGTGCGCTATCCCGCCTGCCGTACCTAACGTTTCTTGACCTTCCGCGGGGCGCAATCGTTGACTCCGTTGACTCCGCTGATTGCGTTGACCCTATTGACTCCGCCGACTGCGTTGACTCTGCCGACTCGTTATTCCGCGGATTATCCGCTGCCTGCCCGCAGATCCGCTCCCTGCGCATGGCGGAGCAGCCTTCGCTCCGCATGGCGGAAGACCAGCGCGCCGAATCATCTTCCGCGGACACTCCAGCGCTGCCAGTGATTTCCGCGGACCTTTTGGATGCGCTCTCCCGCTGCCGCGCGCTCACCCATCTCCGCCTGATCACCTCCGCCTCGCGCACTTGCGCCCATGATACCGCCGCTTCCGCTGTGGCGGAAGCTGCATTCCCTGCTCCGCCGTCCATGCTTCCGCGTTACTGCAATTCTCCGCCCGTCTTAGATGTCCTCCACGTGTCAGGCCCCGATCACCTCAGCTACCTCTCCCCCGCGCTTCCCCGCTTAACCTGCTTGCGTCAGCTCCACGTCAGCAACGTCTCCAGCCTGCCCGAAGCGCTCAGCACCCTGCGCCAGCTCAGCACCTTAGAGATTAACGCGGAGCGCGGCTTCCAGAGCCTTCCCGACGCGCTGTTTTCCAGCCTACCTGTCCTAGAGACCCTTCGCATACGTGGCGCTTCGGAGTTAATCTCCCTTCCGGAGAGCCTAGGCGAACTTACCTCCTTAAAAGACCTCCTGATACAGTCCTGCAACGTGGAATCTCTCCCCACCAGCCTGGGAAACCTGGGCAAACTGACATCCCTCGTTTTAGTCACATGCAAGCAGCTGCTGCAACTGCTACCCGAGTCGATTAGCGGGATCCGCTCGTTACAGCGACTCCGAGTCTCCGAATGCCCCCGCCTCGCGCCTCTCCCGGACTGCTTCCAGCAAATGGTGACTCTACGGGAGGTGACTGTATCGGGGTGTGACAGAATCGCGTCGCTGCCGTCCTCGTTATTGCGTCTGTCTTGTATCGAGTCACTGGATGTGGAGTTTGATCACGGGCATATGTTTGCTGGGCTGCCACAGAACCCAGAGGCGAGGAGGGGCGGCCAGGGTGGAAGAATCGCCACCAGCCATGCGGGTGGTGGTGGCAGCAGCAGCGACAGTAGCAGTGGCAGTGGCAGTGGCAGTGGCAGTGGCAGTGGCAGCAGCAGTGGCAGTGGCAGTGGCAGTGGCAGTGGCAGCGGTAGCAGTAGAGCCAGTGCTGGCAGTGGGAGCGGCAGTGGCAGTGGTAATGGCAGCGTCAGTGGCAGCAGCAGCAGCGGCAGCAGCAGCAGCAGCAGCAGCAGTAGGGGCAGTGGGAGTGGCAGCAGCGAAATTGACAACAGTGAAAGCAGCAGCAGCAGCAACTTGATTGCTGGGCTGCGGCAAAATCCGGAGGTCAGGAGGAGGAGTATTGATGAAAGAGCCACCACGGCAGCAGCAGTGGCAGCAGCAGCAGCAGCAGCAGTGGCGGCAGCAGCAGTGGCAGCAGCAGCAGCAGCAGCGGCAGCAGCAGTGGTGGTGGCAGCAGCAGCAACAGCAGCAGCAGCAGCAACAGCAGCAGCAGCAGCGATGCAGATGCCAACACAGACGACACGAACAAGCCATTGACTCTCTTAAAATACCTCAAGCTCAGTAGTACACGCACCTCTCTGCCTCCCTGGTTGGGATATTTACCCTCACTTCAACACATTACCCTCGCCTCCTGTTGGAGTTTACAGCATCTGCCACCCTCTCTGCCCCTCCTCTCTCCCTCTCTCCAAACCCTCCACATACATCAGTGTAATTCTCTCACATCCCTGCCCGAAGATTTTGGGCAACTCACTTCTCTTCAGCACCTGGAGATTCGAAACTGCCCGGCGTTATCCCAGCTGCCCGACTCATTCCCTAACCTTTCTTCCCTCCAATCATTGGACCTGTCATCGTGCGGAAATTTGACATCCCTGCCCAGAGATTTCGGGCAGCTGACAGCTCTCAAGCTCCTAAGGCTCGCCTGCCTGTGCAAACTCGTCGAGCTGCCCGAGTCCGTCGGGCAGTTGTCACATCTCCATTCATTTGAGATTCAGGGGTGTCCAAGAATCACCACGCTTCCACCTCTCTCCCACTGCACATCCCTAACCCACCTCCACATTGCAAACTGCAAGTCTCTCTCCTCTCTCCCCTCCGACCTCCACTCCCTCCTCTCACTCCACTCCCTCTACCTCCTCTCCTGCCCAGCCCTCCACTCCCTGCCCGAAAATCTTGGGCAGCTGCCTGAACTCTCATACCTCGAAGTCCGCAGCTGCAGGTCACTCGTCTCGCTGCCCGCTTCCCTCTCCCTTCTCTCCACCCTCTCTTCACTCAAGATCGCCTGGTGCAGCAAGCTCACCTCTCTCCCACCCAGACTGGACCACCTCACTTCTCTCACATCCCTGTCCATCATCGGCCTTCCCAGCCTTCGCACTCCATCGCCCTCTCCCTCGGCTTCTCCGGGCAGATTTTTCCGGCGGCAGCTGCCCGGATGCTTTCCGCAGCTGCCCAAGAGCTGCGTGCGGGTTGAAATTCAGGGGGTGGGCAGGGAGTGGGGCAGGGGAAGGGGCAGGGTGGTGGTGGTAGGGAGTGCGGTGGAGAGGAGTGGAGACCCAGATGCTGAGAGGAGGAGGTCTGGTCGTCTGGCTTTTCTTTCTCCATTTAACCGCAGACAGTGGCAGCAACAGCAGCAGCAGCAGCAGCAGCAATTGCAGCACCGGCCACGACAGAACGAGCAGCAGCAGCCGGAGCAGCAGCAGGAGCAGGAGAGGTATGTTCGTTTGTGGCGGAAGCCCGTGGCATGTATTCGATCCATCCGACGGTTCCTGTCGAATGTGCATCATCGCTCACCCAATGCTGCGCCTCTTGACGCACAGCTTCCAAACTGATACTTGGAAGTGTGAGGACAAGTCTGCAACTTGACATCTTCTGTTCCAGGCCCTCAGATTGGTTTCAGGGTATGCTGATGGATCAGCGTGCCCTGCCCAAATTAGTGACCAAATCAGCGTTGGGGGTCAAGTTTATGCTGATTTTGTCAGGGTAAACTTTCTTTGCTTAATAATTCATAAGTCCTAATACTTAAATTGCCCTCCCTGGGCAGCGCTAGTAGCGTAGCTGTCTCAGGTTCGGCCTGTAACCGGAAAGGTCACGAGTTTGAAGCCCGTATGTGACACGTCCACCTGTATTTTGGGCTTAAAGCCCCATGTACGCGCACCCCATCCCTGTACCCGATACATTTTGCTATACCCGAATCAGATTGACTCGGTACACTGTACTGAAGCTTCAGTGTTACTGGTACACCTACACACAAATTCGTCAGGGTAGTCCTACACTTCAAACTGAAAAATCAGTGCAAACATAAAGAATATACTGAAATTTCAGGGAAAACGAAAATCACGGCTTCAAAATCAGCCTAATCAGCGTGTTTTACTCTGATATCTGAGGGCCTGTTCTGTTCACACCTGCAACGCGTCATGGTTGTTTGGCCTCTATTTGAAGTGCAAAGCCGTGTATTGTATGCATGTTGTAAATTATGTACTTGCAAGTCAGCAATGATGTGCCTACCGTAGGTCAATTAGTGTGTGTTTGGACAGCCATCTAGTGCTTTTAACTATTGATTCACCCCATCTAGTTATAAACGGGATTCATCATAGCGCAGATATACCGAATCGCCTTCGCCATTTCCGCTGTCTTGATTCATCGCATCTTGTTCCTCATTCTTGTGCGTGACTCGTGCCCTATGACCTGTCCTGCCTCGTCCTCTCGTCGTGTCCCGTGTTCGCTCGATCCATTCCCGAGATCACAGGTTCAAGAAGCACCAGCAGAAACCCTCCTTGCCCTCCAAATCCCCGTTGTCACGGTGTGTCAAACGTTTAGTACGGTTCAGAGCTATTTAACAAGTTTCAGAACGTTCTATGAGGGTATTAGCTGTTCCCCGATATTATTTTTGCGCAGGACTAGCTAGGGGAAGCTTTTCCCAGGCAGGGTTACCATACCATCCGCCTCGTCCTTCACTGTTGCACAAGCTCGTTCCTTCATTTCCTCCGCAGAGCAACCATCATGGCAGCTGAATCATATCATCCTTTCTCCATCTGCTTCTTGCTCGCCCTGCAAGCACAGTTGCGGATGAAGCAGCAGCATTTGCGCGTGAGACAAAGACGGGCGACGTGGCGCGGGTGTTTGCGACTCGTCGGTTGTGTCGCTAGTGTGGTCCTGGTTCACTGCATATGCAATGAATATTCGACAAATATCTGTCCGTCAGTCACAGGGAAAGCATCGTTGTAGTCCTAAATAGTCATGCATTGCTTCAGAACGGGTTCTCTTCTCTTCTCCTCTCGTTGCTCTACCGAGGGATACATTCTCAGGCCCTGCTATCGAACAGGGCCATTGTATATCTGAGAGAATCTGAGAGAAAAACACAGCGGTATGACTTTTGAGTTGACTCAAAAGTAAGCTCATAGTATCTGAGTAACAGCACAGCGGTAGCTGAAAAGCAGCAGTGGCTACCATACCAGTGCTCTTACGTCGATCATAAAAAAAGTTCGACCCATTTCTCCCAGGCTAGCCCGCCTCCGCGTCCTCTTAGCTTGAAGACGGAAAGTCCCTACCAGCTCCGTTCAGAAGTGAACGCATTCTTCGTGTTATCTCCGCTTCTGTGGTCCGCTTTTGTGGTCCGCTTTGTGGTCCGCTTTCGCCGTCTAGCGCAGCCGCTCGGCATTATGGCCGCGTCGCCGGCTTCTGAGGTGAGAACATCAGTCTTGAGCTCGACGATCTGAGCTTTATATGAACCCACCCAGTCGTAGAGCGGCGCTTCCCATTATGCTTGAGCTTTTTGAGCGACCGCTTATAACGAGGTCCTCTACTAACCGCCGCTCATATAGCAGAGGACGAGCATTCCTACCGCTTGGTTCTGAACCGAGAGTCTATTATAGTACCGTCGTCCAAAAGTCTCCTCTGGGGCGGTAGGGCCTTGTAGCGTTGTATCGTTTGAGAGGCTTTATTAGTACCATGTGTAGTATTACTGTATGTATATGAAGCACTGTGTGAAGCTGTGTATGCGCAGCTGTCCACGTGATTTTGGGGAGCCGTCAGTTAAGACGGGCGAGTTTCATTCCCTCTGAAACCCACAACCGCCAATCTCCGGCTTGTTTATTTTATTTCCCTTGATATTGACGAACTCTTTCTTCTCTATGTTGTGTTTTATTGTGTGTGTGTGTGTGTGTGTGTGGGGGGGGGGGGGGGGGGGGTGTGTGTGCGTGCGCGCGCTCGCGCGAGTGCGTGCGTGCGTGCGTGGTTGTGTGTGTGTGTGTGTGTGTGTGTGTGTGTATGTGTGTGTGTGTGTGCGTGCGTGCGTGCGTGCGTGCGTGCGTGCATGCATGCATGCGTGTCCGCGCGTGCATGTACATGTGTGTTACTTTCTTTGTCCTTTCCGTTCCGTGTGCTGCTTTGGAGCTGCAGGGCGACGCCCTCGGTACATCAAGTTCAACCCAGTCAACGCATGGTACCGCTGACCAAGCTGCGCCAGATGTCGCGTTGTCCACGTCAGCCACGCCCGCCACGTCAGCTGTACCGGCCACGTCAGCGCCGGAGAAAGCGGCGCAGGGGCAGGAGGCAGGCGTGCCGAGTCTGCATGACATCTCGGATCACAGCAGCGAGGAGGGCGACAACGACCGGGAGGAGAAGGGTGTGTGGGGGACACCGGGTGCTGCTGCGGACGGGGAGAAGGACGAGCAGGGAGCGAAGGAACGGTCGGAGGCAATGACTAATGGCAATGGCACGAATGGGATTGCCGCTGCGAAAGAGGATTCTGGCGCCGCTGCCGATGCGTCTGCTGCTGGTGCTGCTGCTGCTGCTGCTTCTGCTTCTGCTGCTGCTGCTGCTGCGAAGGAGAATGGGAGCGGTGATGGTAACGATGCTGCGAAGCCGCTTGGGCTGCTCGCTGCGTGGCGGCGGAAGGCGGAGCGACTGTTTCCTGCGCTGCTCAGCAAGGTGAGTGAAGGCGGCGCAGATGTTTCGTTTCGCGTCCTCACATGTCTCAACGTTTCGTGTTCTCAGACGATGTCTCAACGCTTGCATGGCGGGCAGGCGTGCGGGTGGGGCTATCTGTTTTTTACGCATCGTGACCATGATTTGCCGTTGTTTGATTCTCTTCGCACTCTCTTCATCCTCCCTTTCATTCCCCTTGGACTCTTTTGCCTTGCAGACCAAGACCACTCCCGAAGACCCTGCTGCCGCACCCACTGCTGCCGCTGCTGGCACTGTTGCTGCTGCTGCTACTGCTGCCACTGCTGCTGCTGCTGCTACTGGCACTGCTGCTGCCGCCACTGTTGGTGCTGCTGCTGCTGCTGCTGCTGCTGCTGCCGGTGCTGGCGATGCTGCCAGTGCTGGCGATGCAGGTGCCGCCACTGCCGCGGATGGCGAGGGGGAAAACCGGGAGGGAGGGGATGGGGACGACGAGGGTGCGAGCAGGGCGATAGTGCCTGCTGCAGCAGCAGGCGTGCCTGCTCTGCCCCAAGTCGTTGTCGAAGACCCTCCCTTGGTAAGCCTCTCGTTCTCCATTACCCGTTTCGTTCTTTCTCCACTCCCTACCTCCTTCAACCCCCCACCTCCTTCCACCCCCGGCCCCCCACTCCCGTCCTCTTCCCCAGCTCCCCTCAGCTCTACTATCCCCCTCCCCCTAGCCTCCTCTCCGCTGTCTTACCGCCTAAATTGAAGTTTGTTTTGAGAAAGTTTAGTTCTGATATCCCAAAGAGTATCCTTGTTTTCCCGTTCCTCCTCGCCACTCTCCCCCACTCGCTTCTTTTCCCTTCGCTCTATCTGCCCACGTGCTGATTACTGGTTTGTCTACTCTTCCCTCCTATCGCTTGCTTTTACTTGCATGGATCGCCTCGTTGGCCTCCCAATGGCCAGGTGCCACGTGGCAGCTACTGGGCGGTCTTCCAGGCGTTCTTCCTGCTTGGGTGGACGGCATTCGGCGGCCCTTCTGCGCACATCGCCATGTACCACAAGCAGTTTGTGGAGCTGCGCGGGTGAGTAAAAGAGGGTTTTGAGTGGTGGGGTGAGATGGATACAATACAGTAAGGCCCCTTGCCCGTCCGCCCACATCGCCATGTACCACAAGCAGTTTGTGGAGCTGCGCGGGTGAGTAAAAGAGGGTTTTGAGTGGTGGGGTGAGATGGATACAATACAGTAAGGCCCCTTGCCCGTCCGCCCACATCGCCATGTACCACAAGCAGTTTGTGGAGCTGCGCGGGTGAGTAAAAGAGGGTTTTGAGTGGTGGGGTGAGATGGATACAATACAGTAAGGCCCCTTGCCCGTCCGCCCACATCGCCATGTACCACAAGCAGTTTGTGGAGCTGCGCGGGTGAGTAAAAGAGGGTTTTGAGTGGTGGGGTGAGATGGATACAATACAGTAAGGCCCCTTGCCCGTCCGCCCACATCGCCATGTACCACAAGCAGTTTGTGGAGCTGCGCGGGTGAGTAAAAGAGGGTTTTGAGTGGTGGGGTGAGATGGATACAATACAGTAAGGCCCCTTGCCCGTCCGCCCACATCGCCATGTACCACAAGCAGTTTGTGGAGCTGCGCGGGTGAGTAAAAGAGGGTTTTGAGTGGTGGGGTGAGATGGATACAATACAGTAAGGCCCCTTGCCCGTCCGCCCACATCGCCATGTACCACAAGCAGTTCGTGGAGCTGAGAGGGTGAGTAAAAGAGGGTTTTGAGTGGTGGGGTGAGATGGATACAATACAGTAAGGCCCCTTGCCCGTCCGCCCACATCGCCATGTACCACAAGCAGTTCGTGGAGCTGCGCGGGTGAGTAAAAGAGGGTTTTGAGTGGTGGGGTGAGATGGATACAATACAGTAAGGCCCCTTGCCCGTCCGCCCACATCGCCATGTACCACAAGCAGTTCGTGGAGCTGAGGGGGTGAGTTGGCGAGTGCTGGTTCAGGGTTAAAGGGACGGGTGGGATGAGATGGATACAATACAGTAAGGCCCCTTGCCCGTCCGCCCACATCGCCATGTACCACAAGCAGTTTGTGGAGCTGCGCGGGTGAGTAAAAGAGGGTTTTGAGTGGTGGGGTGAGATGGATACAATACAGTAAGGCCCCTTGCCCGTCCGCCCACATCGCCATGTACCACAAGCAGTTCGTGGAGCTGAGAGGGTGAGTAAAAGAGGGTTTGAGTGGTGGGGTGAGATGGATACAATACAGTAAGGCCCCTTGCCCGTCCGCCCACATCGCTATGTACCACAAGCAGTTCGTGGAGCTGCGCGGGTGAGTAAAAGAGGGTTTTGAGTGGTGGGGTGAGATGGATACAATACAGTAAGGCCCCTTGCCCGTCCGCCCACATCGCCATGTACCACAAGCAGTTTGTGGAGCTGCGCGGGTGAGTAAAAGAGGGTTTTGAGTGGTGGGGTGAGATGGATACAATACAGTAAGGCCCCTTGCCCGTCCGCCCACATCGCCATGTACCACAAGCAGTTCGTGGAGCTGAGGGGGTGAGTAGGCGAGTGCTGGTTCAGGGTTAAAGGGACGGGTGGGATGAGATGGATACAATACAGTAAGGCCCCTTGCCGGTCCGCCCACATCGCCATGTACCACAAGCAGTTCGTGGAGCTGAGGGGGTGAGTAGGCGAGTGCTGGTTCAGGGTTAAAGGGACGGGTGGGATGAGATGGATACAATACAGTAAGGCCCCTTGCCCGTCCGCCCACATCGCCATGTACCACAAGCAGTTCGTGGAGCTGAGGGGGTGAGTAGGCGAGTGCTGGTTCAGGGTTAAAGGGACGGGTGGGATGAGATGGATACAATACAGTAAGGCCCCTTGCCCGTCCGCCCACATCGCCATGTACCACAAGCAGTTCGTGGAGCTGAGGGGTTGAGTAGGCGAGTGCTGGTTCAGGGTTAAAGGGGCGGGTGGGATGAGATGGATACAATACAGTAAGGCCCCTTGCCCGTCCGCCCACATCGCCATGTACCACAAGCAGTTCGTGGAGCTGAGGGGGTGAGTAGGCGAGTGCTGGTTCAGGGTTAAAGGGACGGGTGGGATGAGATGGATACAATACAGTAAGGCCCCTTGCCCGTCCGCCCACATCGCCATGTACCACAAGCAGTTCGTGGAGCTGCGCGGGTGAGTAAGAGAGGGCTTTTGGGGCGCGTCTTTTGTACGGGAGTGCTGGTTTGAGACGTCTCTAAACTCCTAGTGTAAGGGACTGCTGGTTTGGTTTGGGGTACAGCGGATGGGGCAGTAAGCCCCCTTGCCCGTCCGCCCACATCGCCATGTACCACAAGCAGTTCGTGGAGTGCACACACCCCTTGGTTCCCCACCCACCCCTCTCGCCCTGTTTCTTCTCCAGTGTACCCCCTTATTCTCCCCCGGTCCCAATTCCCCTCCCTTTAACCCCCACCAGATGGATGTTGGAAGATGTCTTTGCTGAGCTTCTCGCCGTATCCCAGGCAGTACCCCGCCCATCCAGCACACAGATGTCATTCTCCATCGGCATCCTTCAGAAGGGCATCACCATTCTCCTGTTTCTGGTCCCCTCTCCCCATGTTGTTCCCTCCCCTCTCCTGCGCTCAGCTGGATGTCAGAGGGCGTCTTTGCAGAGCTGCTCGCGCTCACCCAGGCAGTGCCCGGCCCATCCAGCACACAGATGTCATTCTCCATTGCAGTAACCCCTCGGCCCCGATTCCCACCCTCTGGACCCCTGTTCCATCCCCTCGGCCCTCTTCCCACTCCCAGGTGGATGTCAGAGGACGTCTTTGCAGAACTATTAGCGCTCACACAGGCAGTGCCGGGGCCATCCAGCACGCAGATGTCATTCTCCATCGGCATCCTTCAGAAGGGCATCACGGGCGGGCTGCTGCTCTTTCCCAACCAACCACTGCAGACACCCCTCGGCCCCTCGTCGCACCCTCCGAACCCCCATCCCATCCCTTCGCCTGGCTTTTTCTCCCCTCTCCCTTGTACCCGCCCCTCCCCTCCCCTCCTCTCCCCTCCCCTTTCCTCTCTTGCAGGTGGATGTCAGAGGACGTGTTTGCGGAACTCCTGGCGCTCACACAGGCAGTGCCGGGCCCATCCAGCACTCAGATGTCATTCTCCATCGGCATTCTCCAGAAGGGCATCACGGGCGGGCTGCTCTCGGGCGCATTGTTCCAGTTCCCAGGCGCTCTCATCATGGCCATCGCTGGCTTCGGAGTTGCAAAGGTGAGACAGCAGAAAGGCAGTGCCTGCACGAGCGCCCACCATTCTTCACAAGGGCATCACGGGCGGGCTGCTGTCAGGCGCGCTCTTCCAGTTCCAGGGGCGCTCAACATGGCTATAGCTGGCTTTGGAGTAGCTAAGGTGAGAGAACAGCCTGCACTTGACATTAGTGACTGCATACGCTCTCACCATCACCATCCTGCTGAAGGGCATCACAGGCGGGCTGCTCTCAGGCGCGCTCTTCCAGTTCCCAGGAGCTCTGGTCATGGCCATCGCTGGCTTTGGCGTGCAAAGGTAAGGGCTGTCCCCACTGCCTAGACATCATCAGTGAGTGAGGCGCTTCAGACCCTCATCTTGGCATTCTGCTGCTGCTGCTGCTGCTGCTGCTGCTGCTGCTGCTGCTGCTGCTGCTGCTGCTGCTGCTGCTGCTGCTGCTGCTGCTGCTGCTGCTGCTGCTGCTGCTGCTGCTGCTGCTGCTGCTGCTGCTGCTGCTGCTGCTCATTCAACTCAATTCTTCTCATCACTGCTGCCCCTCTCCCCACCTCCACTCCCCCCCGTTCTCCCGGTTCCTTATCGACCCAGCGCCCTGGCTCTCTGCGCTCTCAGCTGGGCTGGCAGCAGTTGCAGTGGCGCTGGTGGCGGAGGCAGCAGTGGTGCTGGGGAAGAAGATGTGGGTCCTCACCCCCGCATGTGTCCCTCTGTACCTATCTGCACCCCTCCGTACCTGCATTTGCCCCTACCTTCACTCATTCCTACCTGTACCGACACCCCACTCCCCTTCTCCCCTTCCCCCTTCCAGTTCCTTATCGACCCAGCGCCCTGGCTGTCCGCGCTCTCAGCTGGGCTGGCAGCGGTGGCAGTGGCGCTGGTGGCGGAAGCAGCAGTGGTGCTGGGGAAGAAGATGTGCCGCAACAAAGTGACACGGGTGCTGTGTGTGGCGTCTGCCGTGATTACCTTTTACTACGCGACCCAATGGATCTTCCCCACAGTTATTCTCCTTGGTAAGTTGATGATGCTGGGGAGGGACAGAGGCAGCAGTGGTGTGGGTGGGTTGCGGAGGCAGCAGTGGTGCTGGGGAAGAAGATGTGCCGCAACAAAGTGACACGGGTGCTGTGCGTGGCGTCGGCTGTCATCACCTTTTACTACGCCACGCAATGGATCTTCCCCACCGTCATCCTTCTCGGTACGATGAACCTAGACATGCATGTTAGGTGCCACTGGTAAAAGAGGTCGCAGCAGTGGCAGTGGCGGGTGGGTTGGTGGCGGAGGCAGCAGCAGAGGTGTTGGGGAAGAAGATGTGTCGCAACAAAGTGACCCGGGTGCTGTGTGTGGCGTCTGCCGTGATTACTTTCTACTACGCGACCCAGTGGATCTTCCCCACAGTTATACTCCTTGGTAAGTGATGGGGAAGAGAGGAAATGTTGCAATAGGGTTACCAGGGTGCTGTGTGTGGCCTCTGCCGTGATTATTTTCTACTACGCCACGCAATGGATCTTCCCCACAGTTATACTCCTTGGTAAGTGATGATGATGGGGAGGGACAGAGGCAGCAGTGGCGTTGGTGGCGGAGGCAGTAGTGGTGTTGGGCAAGAAGATGTGTCGCAACAAAGTGACCCGGGTGCTGTGTGTGGCGTCCGCCGTGATTACTTTCTACTACGCGACCCAGTGGATCTTCCCCACCGTCATACTGCTTGGTACGACGAAACTAGACATGCATGATAGGTGCTGCTGGTGACAGAGGTCGCAGGGCAGTGGCGGTGGCAATGGCACTAGTAGCGGAGGCAGCAGTGGTGCTGGGCAAGAAGATGTGTCGCAACAAAGTGACCCGGGTGCTGTGTGTGGCGTCCACTGTGATTACTTTCTACTACGCGACCCAATGGATCTTCCCCACAGTTATACTCCTTGGTAAGCGATGCTTCTTACAGGCGGCATGGTCACGAATTTCACGGAGCGCAACAAGCAAGCACATTCTGCAAGAAGAATAGGTGGCCACGCAGCTGGCATGGTCACGAATGTCACAGAGCACAACAAGCACATTCTGTATGCCTTCCCTCCCCGTTCCCGTTCCTCCCTCCCCTTTCTGCTCCCATCGAGGCAGCGTGGCCATCTATTCCACAGCAGCACATAAGCACATTCTCTGTCCCCCCCGTTCCTTCTCCCAGGCGGCGCAGTGACCTATTTCACGGAGCGCAATAAGCCCATCCCGCCGCAGCGCAGCGACATCCAGAGGCTGGGGGTGTCTCCCTTGGTGGGCGGCCTGCTGCTGTTCGCGTCCCTCGCCTACCCCTTCACTTCCGCACCCAGTTGGTTTCCTGACCTGATTCTTCTGGTCCTGAGCCCCCATGAATCCCTTTCTTCTCCCCACCTCCGCTCTCTTCCCTCTGCCCTTCTCCACTCATCCTCTTGCTCCCAGGCGGTGCGGGGACCTATTTCACGGAGCGCAACAAGCCCATTCCGCCTCAGCGCAGTGACATTCAGAGGCTGGGCGTGTCTCCCTTGGTGGGCGGCTTGCTGCTGTTTCCCTCCCTCCCCTCCCCTCCCTCTCGCAACCTGTTGGTTTCCTGACCCTTTTCTCCTGAGCTTGCACCCCTTCCACTCCCAGGCGGTGCGGTGACCTATTTCACGGAGCGCAACAAGCCCATTCCCCCGCAGCGCAGCGACATCCAGAGGCTGGGGGTGTCTCCCTTGGTGGGTGGCCTGCTGCTGTTCGCGTGGATCGGCATTCTGGTCTTCTCCATCGTGTATAAGAACGCCACCAGCTATGAGTCTGCAAAGTGGATCCACTGGTTCGAGGTGTGTGGGCGAGTGTGTTTGATAATGGGGGCATTCAGATGCTGAGCTGGGGGTGTCGCCGCTGGTGGCCGGCATGCTGCTGTTCGCGTGGATCGCCATCCTGGTGGGATCCACCAGGTGGATCCATCATCTACAAGAACGTAACGAGCTACGAGAGCGCCAAGTGGATCCACTGGTTCAAGGTGTGTTGGCGTGGCAATGTAGATGCGTGTGTGTTTGTACGTAGTGTGTCTGTGTGTAGAATGCCATCCTGAAGGGATCGATTATCTACAAGAATGCATCAAGTTGCGAGAGTGCCAAGTGGATCCACTGGTTCGAGGTGGACGTGAGAGCGAGTGTGTGTGACAACGGGGGCGGTTGTTTGTACGTAGTGTGTGTCTCTCTCGCTCCTCCTCTCTTGCCCCTCCTCCCATCTCACCGGTTCAGTGACGTACAGAGGAGGGCAGGTGGTGCGGCCTGCCTGACTGCCTGTCTTTCTGTCTGCCTGATTCACTCACATCCCTCGTGCTCACTGCTCTCTTTTCTTCCCCCCCCCCCCACACCTCTCTCCCTCGCAGGGCTTCTATCTCACGGGCTCAGTGACGTATGGAGGAGGCCAGGTAGTGCTATGCCTTCCACATCCCATGCGTCTCACTCCTCCGTAACTCCTGCCTCTCCTGCCTCTCCTGCCTCTCTCCTCTCTCCACCACAGGGCTTCTACCTGACGGGGTCAGTAACTTATGGAGGAGGTCAGGTGGTGCTGCCGCTGCTGGAGAGCGTTGTCATTGACTGTGTGACCGTGTGCTCTTCCATCCTTTCTTCTCTCGCCCCTCCCTTGCGTCTCACCGCAGGGCTTCTATCTCACGGGGTCAGTAACTTATGGAGGAGGGCAGGTGGTGCTGCCGCTGCTGGAGAGCGTTGTGATTGACTATGAGACCGTGTGCCCCCCCAATGGAGGAAAGGTGAGATATACAGAGGGTCTGAGTGCGATGGGGGGCGATTGGCGAGGCATAGAGTGCAGGGGCACCAGGGAAGGTGGTGCTGCCGCTGCTGGAGAGCGTTGTGATTGACTATGAGACCGTGTGCCCACCCAATGGAGGAAAGGTGAGATGGAGAGGGGTTAAGTGCGGTGGGGGACGATTTGGAGAGGGATAAGTGGGAGGGAACCAGGGCAAGTGGTGCTGCCGCTTCTGGAGAGCGTTGTGATTGGCTATGAGACCGTGTGCCCTGCAAACGGTGGCAAGGATTAGGAATACGGAAGGGGTAAAAGCGTGGTGATTGATTATGAAACAATCTGCCTTTTTGGCCAGTTGTTATCAAAATGTCATCTGTCTTGCGACAACTCATTTGCATGTGTCGCCGAAATGTTTTCCCTGCGTTCGACACGATGTGACATGGATGTGATGTGCATGTAATGTGCATGTGATGTGCATGGTACCCATGGCAGTGCTATCAAGTGGAGGCCAACACATCATGGGTAACTTCCCAGCAGTTTCTCGCCGGACTCGCTCTTGCACAGGCCCTGCCTGGACCACTCTTCAACTTCTCGGCCTACATCGGTGCCATTGTGAGTCCACTGCATGGGTTGGCAACTGGGAGTGTGAATGTAGGCCGTGTGGGTGTGCGTGCTGTGTGGCCATTTCACCTTGCTCAGCACTCGGACACAGGCCCTGCCTGGTCCGCCGGCCGGCATCTTCACCCGGCCGGCATCTTCATCATGTGTCATGTCGTACTGCACTTCTGATGCCGACCCTCCCAGCACTTTCTGCACATTCCTTAGCTCATGCCCATGCCAATACTCGGCGCAGGTGGGGGGCATCGGCAGGGTGATAGCGTGCTGGGTTGGCCTCTTCTCGCCCGGCATCCTCATCATCTACGGGGTGCTTCCCTTCTCATGCACACCCTCCCCCATCATTGTACTTTCTACACACTCCTTTACCCCTGCCTATGCACACAGGTGGGGGTCATCGGTGGGTGATAGCGTGCTGGTTCGGCCTCTTCTCGCCCGGCATCCTCATCATCTACGGGGTCCTGCCCTTCTGATGCTAACCCTTCATTATGCCTGCCCCTGCTCATGCCCATACCCATGCCCATGCCCATGCCCATACCCATGCCCATGCCCATGCCCATGCCCATACCCATGCCTATGCCCATGCCCATGCCCATGCCCATGCCCATGCCCATACCCATGCCCATGCCCATGCCCATGCCCATGCCCATGCCCATACCCATGCCCATGCCCATACCCATGCCCATGGTTATGGCCATGCCATTGCACTTGCACCACACAGGTGGGGGGGATGGGTGGTGTGATAGCGTGCTGGTTCGGCCTCGTCTCGCCCGGCATCCTCATCATCTACGGCGTGCTGCCCTTCTGTTGTTAATCTTTCCACTCTCTGCTCTATGCACCCGCACCACACAGGTGGGGGGGATGGGCGGTGTGATCGCGTGCTGGTTTGGCCTCTTCTCGCCCGGCATTCTCATCATTTACGGCGTGCTGCCCTTCTGGGGCAAGTTCCGCCAGTGGAAGCTGTAAGAAGAGGCGATAGATGTTTCCCATTGTTAAGAGGTGACTTTTGAGTCGACTCAAAAGTCGCCAAGTTCCGCCAGTGGAAGCTGTAAGAAGAGACAATGGATGTTTCCCATTGTTAGTCCTTTCCAGCATTGATGCTTTCCATTATCGAGGTTTCCCATCCTCGTCATCTATGGCGTCCTGCCCTTCTGGGGAAAATTCCGCCAGTGGAAGCTGTAGGTGTGTGTGTGTGTGTGTGTGTGTGTGTGTGTGTGCGTGCGTGCGTGCGTGCGTGCGTGCGTGCATGCGTGCGTGCGTGCGTGCGTGCGTGCGTGTGTGTTGTGTGTTACTTCCTGAATTTTTGTTTTCTAAATTATTACTTTACTTTGAGATTATTATTCGTGTCGTGCCTGCTAGTCCTTTTTATATGTAGCAGTTGAACCGCAATGCTTCTCAACTGTCTGTGTAACCGATTTTCCTTTCGACCACCGCAGGTACAAGCGTGCGACACCGGGCTTTAACTCAACCGCAGTAAGTAATCTTATTCATACTGTCTGCATTGTGTTTTCTGTTAGTATCGCATGGTTCTGCTCCCACCTAAAAGAAACCTTATGCCAAGACCCGAAACCCTGAACTTGCAATCAAGTGGTGAGACATCTCCAAGTTCGAGGTGTCTCAAAACCTGTTAGTAGTAACTCATCAAGTCCAATAACCACGTTGCAATCAGCTCATCGGAGCGTCTGTGTGTTCTTGGAGGTTCAAGCATGACCCGATCCTTTGTCACCTTATGGGTTACCTTGTCATGTGCATCATCTCATGCCCTGCAGTGCCTCATGCCATTTATCATCTCATGCCCTGCAGTGCATCATGCCATGCAGTGCATCATGCCATGCAGTGCCTCATGCCCTGCAGTGCCTCATGCCCTGCAGTGCCTCATGCCCTGCAGCGCCTCATGCCCTGCAGTGCCTCATGCCCTGCAGTGCCTCATGCCCTGCAATGCCTCATGCCCTGCAGTGCCTCATGCCCTGCAGTGCCTCATGCCCTGCAGTGCCTCATGCCCTGCAGTGCCTCATGCCCTGCAGTGCCTCATGCCCTGCAGTGCCTCATGCCCTGCAGTGCCTCATGCCCTGCAGTGCCTCATGCCCTGCAGTGCCTCATGCCCTGCAGTGCCTCATGCCCTGCAGTGCCTCATGCCCTGCAGTGCCTCATGCCCTGCAGTGCCTCATGCCCTGCAGCGCCTCATGCCCTGCAGTGCCTCATGCCCTGCAGTGCCTCATGCCCTGCAGTGCCTCATGCCCTGCAGTGCCTCATGCCCTGCAGTGCCTCATGCCCTGCAGCGCCTCATGCTCTGCAGTGCCTCATGCCCTGCAGTGCCTCATGCCCTGCAGTGCCTCATGCCCTGCAGTGCCTCATGCCCTGCAGTGCCTCATGCCCTGCAGTGCCTCATGCCCTGCAGTGCCTCATGCCCTGCAGTGCCTCATGCCCTGCAGTGCCTCATGCCCTGCAGTGCCTCATGCCCTGCAGTGCCTCATGCCCTGCAGTGCCTCATGCCCTGCAGTGCCTCATGCCCTGCAGTGCCTCATGCCATTTATCATCTCATGCCCTGCAGTGCTTCATGCCCTGCAGTGCCTGCTGGGATGCACCATTGATAGCATGCATCAGCATGGCTCAAGATCCGTCTTGAGACGTATACAGTCAGCTCATTTTCCTAGCCGACCTGTCCCATCCCTCCTCCCACCCCTTCCTTCCCTTCTCCCACCGTTTTGTCCCCTTCCACTTCGTCACACACCCTCCTCCCAACACTTCTCAGATCGGTCTCATTTGGGCGTCAGTGTTCTCCCTGGGCCTCAAGGTGTACAAAGTCAGCCCCTTCCCCATGGCATCACTCTCAACTGGCCTTATTTGCTGTTGTTCTAACCCCCTCCCCCCCCCCCCCCCCCCCCCCCCCCCCCCCCCCCCCCCCCCCCCCCCCCCCCCATTTGCCCGACCCACCTCCCACTCCCCACCCCCTTCCGCCTCCTCCCAACACTTCTTAGATCGGTCTCATTTGGGCATCAGTGTTTTCCCTGGGCCTCAAGGTGTACAAAGTCAGCCCCTTCCCCATGGCATCACTCTCAACTGGCCTTATTTGCTGTTGTTCTACCCCCACCCCCCCATTTGCCCGACCCACCTCCCACTCCCCACGCCCTTCCTCCTCTTCCCAACACTTCTCAGATCGGTCTCATTTGGGCATCAGTGTTTTCCCTGGGCCTCAAGGTGTACAAAGTCAGCCCCTTCCCCATGGCATCACTCTGCATTGCCATGATTGGATATGCTTCTACCAATTTCCTCAAGGTGTGTTCATGTGTTACAGTTAGTTTTGAGTCGTCTCAAAAGCAGATCACTCTGCATCGCCCTGATTGGATATGCTGTGCGGCCAATTTCCTCAAGGTACATTGACGTGTTACAGTTACTCTTCTTAGCCCATTGTAATGGTGAATCATGTGTAAAAGAATGCACATGCAAACAGGAGCCTTCCAATTCTGTGGATGGCAGGGCAGCTCCTTTTGCAATGTTGCGATGATGCCATGGCAATTGCCATTTACCGGTATCCCTTGTTGATTTCATCACCTGTTACCTGCCCTGTGTTTGTGCTTGGATTTGCGATTTCAGATTCCTGCTCCGCTTGCCATCGTTCTTGGAGGAGCGCTAGGGGTGGTAGCATGGGCCACACACATGCATTAGCTTGGACAGCTCCTCCCCTGTTTTGTTTGTTTGTTTGTTTCATTGTGTTTAACCCACGTGCTTCATGTATGCCCCCTTGCTTGTGGATTTTTACCATACTCAAGGCACTCAGCTACCTTGGAGATAATAAATTTCAAGTTCTTGATCTATGTGTGACTATTATATCATTTATCTTTCACGTGTAACGTATCTGGTCTGCGAAATTTGGTCTTCGCAGTGGAGCGCGGCGCCAAATCTACCAATCTGGAACGTGGGGTCTGGGTTCGAGCTTTGTGTCACCTCGAGGTTCCTTCAAGCGTTCAGATTCGTAGTACGAAGACCCTGGCACACCCGAGGGTCGTTTGCTTTGCATCTCAAAACGTACCCGGAAGGTGTTTTTATAAACGTACCAAGAAGGTGGTCAGACAGAAACCGTTTTCTGCTGCACGCCCTCGCCCTTCATCCCCTGGGTCCCTCGAGAATCACTCTGCCTCGAAACCAGTTTCGAGATTTGCCTGTCCCCATTCCGCCTCTCCGTGAATTAATTGCTCTGCTTGCTCTCTTAGCATGCTTGTGAAAAGGTTTCTTGTTCCTGTGCTTTTGTGACTCGCCTCGCGCTAGAGCCGTCGTTCGATCCGCATTTTGTAATCACGTGTCTTTCCCTGCTCGATCTTCCCTCCTGCGTGGAGAGATACAAGGCGAGTGCACCTTCACGGCAATCTTGAAGTCACTAGTTGGCGTTATTGGGTTACAGATCTACATCACCGAGCGACGCGTGTACTGACCTACCTTCTATTCAGGTAAAAGCCACTGAGCGTTTGCGGTTACAGATCCGTCCACGTTCAGAATCGACGGTTCCTTTAGTTCCTTCCTGGTCCGTGATTTTGGTCCGATGGCTGGAGCACTATGTCGATCCATAAGAACCAAGAAATCCAGGATACCGTGGATCGCGCTGCTTCTTGTCGCGTTCCTAGCAACCGCCACGTGGCAGCGCGCCATTGCTTCCGCGAAACAGCTTGAGGGATTCGACGAGGACGAGTTTGAAGACGCAGCTGACGAAGAGGAGACGGAATTCGTCGCCCCGCAGCGCCCACCGACGCGATCCGTCACCCTCGAGCCGGATCAGGGCACAAAAGCAACGGCTGGATCTGATCGAGACTCCAAATCAACGGACACCACCGCACCCGAAGGACCGGATTCCATTGGCGGCAGCGGGGGTAGGTCAGCAGGGCAAGCGGCGGACTGGGATGACGAGGAGTTTGAAGGGGTGACGCCCGGTGCTGGCGCTGGTGCCGGGGGAGCAGCGGCTGGCGGGAAGCCGTTTTTTGGCAAGCCTGGATCCGCGCAGCAGCAGGCGCAAAAGGCTCGCGCGCGGAGGATTTCAGTTCCGCGGAAGCCGTTCCACCCGCGGGACTTCATTGCGGAAGGGGTTTTTCTTGCGTTCCTCGTGATTTTCGCGATCAACTATTTTGTCGGCAAATGGCAGAACGAAAAGATTGCGCTTTCTTTCGCGAATCAGTTTGCGACGGAGGGTAACTTGCTGGCGAAGAACTTCGCCCTGATCGGAACGGGCGACACCAGCGAACCGATCCTCGTCAAAGAAGGCCAGGCGACGTTCAAGCTGTACGCGAGCGGGCGAAGGTTCTGCGAAGCGATGCTGGTTACCCTAAACCTGCGAAGTCGCCACGATCTCGCGACGCTCGCATGGGACGCGCTCCTTACGTCGAAGAAAGATCAAGTCGACGTGGACGTCTACATGAACGACGAGGACATGGCTCCGTTTGTACTCGCTATAGTCCCGCGCAAATCCGCTAAGGCGTTTATAAAAGAAAACGCGGATCTTAAGGAGTTTGCGAGCATGCTTGACGCGGAAGTGGTGCTCAAGGGGGGAGGCGGGAGCGGGAAGAACAAGTGGGCCGCAGACGAGTTGGCTATTATCGGGGATAGCAGGGAAGCGGCGTATGAGCTTCTGTCTGACGTCATCATTGATCAGGTACAACGATGCGAGTGTGTGACACAAATCTTTCTCCGTTTTTATGTTCATCTCATTCCATCAAATTTTGCCGCTCTATTCCCCTCTCTTTCCATAATATTTTTCCCCTTCTCCTCACACCCTCACCCCCTCCCCGCACACCTTCTCCTCCTCGTTAACTCACTCCCTTTTCCTCCCAAGGTTGCGCCTCCGTTCCTCATTTTCTCGCCTCGTGCTCTTCCCCCTCCGTCCCGTTTTTCTCTTCCGCCCTTCCCTCCCCCTCCTTCTTTTCCCCTTCCTTTGTTCAGTTTCACCATTTCATTATTCCTCCCATGACACACACATGAACCGCACGCCCAAAGATTACCCATTTCTCCTCCCTCGCCTCATTCTCATTCCCCCCAGTAATTATTTTTCCCCCACTCTCCCCTCCCTTGTTCCCCCCTTCGCTCCCTCGTACCCCCCCTGCCCACCTCCATATTCCCCTCTCTCCCCCCCCCCGCCCAAGCTCTTTGGTGAGAAATCTTTCCCCAAGCTCCCGCCTCTCTTCCGCGCACTGCACTTCACGGACCAGCAACCCACAGGCGCAGGCGCGCACACCGTCTCACCTATCCCCCTTCCTCCGACCCACCTGCATCCCTTTCCCCCCCTCCTCCTCCCCCTTCCCCCCCCCCCCCCCCCCCCCTTCAGCTCTTTGGTGAGAAGTCTTTCCCCAAGATAGCGCCTCTCTTCCGTGCACTGCACTTCACGTACCAGCAGCCCACAGGCGCAGGCGCGCACACTTTCTCATCTATTTCCTTCCGTCCACAACCCCTGGCACCCCATACTCCCTTTCCTCCTCCCAGCTCTTTGGCGAGAAGTGTTTCCCCAAGATAGCGCCTCTCTTCCGCGCGCTGCATTTCACGGATCAGCACCCCACAGGCGCAGGCGCGCACCGCAAGGTGCTGCGCTTCTCCTTCCTGCTGCCCCGAGGGGGCGCTGCCGAGCTGGCGAAGCTGATGGCGTCCGTGCCATTCTTCATCGATGCAGTGGGGAAATTCCGACTCAGTGCGCAGGTGAGACACTGCTTCCTCTTGGTTTTAAAGCCCACCCAGGTGAGCACACTCCCTTGTGACCGCAAGGTGCTGCGCTTCTCCTTCCTCCTGCCCCGGGGGGCCGCTGCTGAGCTGGCGAAGCTGATGGCGTCCGTGCCCTTTTTCATTGACGCTGTGGGGAAATTCCGACTCAGTGTGCAGGTGAGGCTTTTCCTCCCTCCCGTAGCCCCTAGCTGCGCTCCCCTGCAACTACCCTGTCCTTCGTGTCATCATGAGTTTCTAAGCTGGCGAGGCTGATGGCGTCTGTGCCTTTCTTCTTTGACGCGGTGGGAAGATTCCGACCCTGTGCCCAGGTGGGCTGGCTTTTCTTCTAGCCGCTTCAAGCACCATACTTTGTGTACCCTGTGAAGCGGCTAGAGGAAAAGCCAGCCCACCTGGGAATGCTCTCTCCTTGCTGCCTCCACGCGCTGCTGACCTCACGAAGCTGATTGCGTCTGTACCCTCCTTTCTCAATGACGCCGTGGGGAAGTTTCACCCATTCACCTGCTCTCTACTTTTTTATCCCTCCTCCCCTTTGCCCCCCCGTCCCTCAACCCTTCCTCTTTGCTCATGACGATTTAGGCCAAGAGCAAGGCAGAGGCTGCACGGGCAAAGGCAGCTGAAGCAGCACTGAGGGAGACGAAGGAGAAGAGGCAGGAGGAGCTGCAGCGGCGGAAGGAGGAGCGGAGGAAGACAGAGGGAAGAATAAGTAGGAGTTTTGCTTCCTTCATTCACCTTCTCTCTATTCCAACTTGCCTCCCTCCCTCTCCACGTCCTCTTCCCTTGATGTTGAATCTGCTTCAGGCCAAGAGCAAGGCAGAGGCAGCGCGGGCAAAAGCAGCAGAGGCAGCACTAAAGGAGACGAAGGAGAAGAGGCAGGAGGAGCTGCAGCGGCGGAAGGAGGAGCGGAGGAAGGCGGAAGAAGCGAAGCTGAGCCCAGAGGAGCTGGCGAGGCGGCGTGAGAAGGAGAGGATAAAGGAGCTGAAGCAGAGCGCACCGAGGGCTAAGATCTCAAGGATGCATTGATGGATGGGCAAGGGTGATTTGCACTGGTCTCGGCTCGGGGATGTATTGATTGATCAAGGGAAAGGGGATAGAAGTCGAGAGGGGAGTAGAGGAGGAGCATGTGAAAGCAGAACAGAGCGACCGAATTCTTTAAGCAGTGTGGTGTTGTTGTGTGTGACGTAAGGGCTTGCACTTCTGAGCCACCTAATCAGAAGCTTTTTTGGAGATAGAATGCCAGTAGTGGTTTATACAATAGCCTTTACACGGGGACATGGTAATCACCTATATGGCCTTTTATGACGTGTAGGTTTCTGAACATGGTTAAGTGCTTGGTGAAGCTCCTTGTACGGTATATGATTCTATATGAAGAATGCCCGCAGAAGGTCCATAGCCTGCAAGGAGGAACAGGCAGGACAAATGGCAATGCACTGTTAGTTTCATGTCTATGTTGTAAGTGAAAAGTTGTAACAGAAATGTTCTTGTATGATTTCTGGTGTGCACGTATGTGCGCATGCATGAGTGCACACAGCCTCACTCCTCATGCTCCTGAATTGGATGCTCTTTAGAAAACTCACTTCACCTGCCATGCACTCACCCCCCACCCTCCCATCACACACCAACATATACACGATTTGCCGCGCAAACTGCACCACCCTCCCCGGAGCACACACATCATATCTTTGAGGCGCCTCGAGAATTGCATCACCTGTCCTGCACTCAATTCCTCACCGAACTCACCTGCCCTGCAAACACCACCCCCAGCATTACCTCCCCACCCTGCATCAACTCAGCTTCCAACACCCACCTGCCCCATCTGTTACCCCCTCAAGAACTCATCCTCCCTCACCACCTCCTGCGAGATGCACATCTCTCAGTGCAAACACCGCTTCCTCCCGCAAACTGCACACAGCCCCGCCACACCCCGCCATCACCCCATCTCACACTGCGTCTGTGCTCCGTGCCACACCCCGCCATCACCACCAGCGCCTGCAGCACCGCCCTCACCGCCTCTCCCCTCCCCTCTCCCGTCCCCCTCCATGCGCCTCCAGCACTCACCTACCCCTGCACCCACCTGCTCCAGCACCCATCTACCCCACTAGCCACCCCACCCCCACCCCTGCACTCACCATTCCCTGCACGTCTGTCGGAGCGAATCTCACCACCTCCCGCAGAGCACACACGGCCCCACAGCTCCTCATATTCCTCCTGTGCTCCTCCCCACACCCCGCCATCACCACCAGCGCACGCAGCACTACCCTCACTGCCTCTCCCCTCCCCTCTCCCGCCCCGTACCCCACCATAAGCCAACGGATTCACCTGCTCTGCACTAAACCCGTCCATCGCCCACCTGCCCCAGCACCCACCTGCCGCAGAACTCACCATCCCCTGCACGTCTTGCGGAGCGAACCGCACCACCTCCCTCAAGGTACACACAGCCCCACAGCTCCTCATGCTCCGCCTGTGCTCCTCCCCACACCCCGCCATCACCACCAGCGCACGCAGCACCGCCCTCACTGCCTCTTCACTCTGCTTCCCATCCCCTCCCCCCTCATTTGACCCAAATGCTCTTTCCCACTCTTTCGGGCCCATACAATCAACAGATCCTGCAGAAGCGTATGAGGCAAAGGCTGTCAGCACATGAACCAGGCTTGGAATCGCCTCTCCGATGCTCTCCCTCGCCCCGGCTGCTTCTGCTGCAGAGCTGTACTGAGAGAAAGCTGCTAGTGCAGCGAGCGTGGAGCAGAGAGGGAGAGTGGAACCCCAGTCAGCGGTATTATCAAGTGAGGACTCGAGTGTGAGCGTGAGAATGGGGATGGCGTCGTGAGTCAGGAGGAAGGAGCAGCAGGAGTGGGAGAGCGAGAGGCTCGCCACTGCCTCGGCTGCTGCTTGCCTCGCCATCCGAACCTCTCTTCCCAGACCACTTTTCATACCTCCCTCTTCCCCCCTCTTTCCTGCTCTCTCTCCCGCCTCCGCTGCTCTATCTCCACTCAGCCCTTTCTCCTTGTCCCTGGCCCATCTGCTGGCCCCTCGGGCCAGCTGTTTCAGGAGGGGTTTTAGCGCCCCTGCTTGCACGAGCAGCGAGCGGGCATGTGGAGAGAGTGAGGCCGTGGAGCTGACGATGCTGCTGAGTTTGGTTTGTGCTGCTGGGGAGGATGAGGAGCGCTTTAGACACTGGGGGACGGGAAGTGCATGAAAGGGCAGAAAGGGAGTTGCATGAGAGGGTGGAAGGGAGAAGGAGAGAATCTCTCCGCTCAGCCATTTCTCCTTGTCCCTGGCCCATCTGCTGGCCCCTCGGGCCAGCTGTTTCAGGAGGGGTTTGAGCGCCCCTGCTTGCACGACCAGCGAGCGGGCATGCGGGGAGAGCGAGGCAGTCGCGTTGACGACGCTGCTGAGTTTAGCTTGCGCTGCTGGGGAGGAGGAGAAGCGCTTTAGACACTGGAGGAAGGGAGGTGCATGGGAGTGCACAAGGGAGGTGCATGAGGGGGCAGATTAGGATATGAGATTATGAGGAGAGCGAGGCCGTGGCACTGACGATGCTGCTGCTGTGCGAGGGACAAGGCTCCCTGAATATCACCTGAACCTCACCTGAACCTCACCTGAACCTCACCTGAACCTTATCTGGAGGTCACCTGAACCTTATCTGAACCTTATCTGGAGGTCACCTGAACCTTATCTGAACCTTATCTGGAGGTCACCTGGACAAGCAGAGGAAGGTGGAGCAGCAGCCGCTCCTTACTCTCCGCATCAGCTGACAGCCTCAAGAGCGCGTACATGGCTGCATATGAGCCATTCTCCGCAGCCTCCCTGCTCCCAAACCCACCGCATGAGCCACCACCATGCGCGTGAAGGCTGAAGCTCACCTGAACAAGCAGAGGGAGGTGGAGCAGCAGCCGCCCCTTGCTCTCCGCATCAGCTGACAGCCTCACGAGCGCGTCCATGGGTGCATGCGAGCCATTCTCCGCAGCCTCCCTGCTCCCAAACCCACCGCTTGAACCACCACCTGAACCACCACTATGCGACTCACCACCACGCACCTGCAGCTCACCTGGACAAGCAGAGGAAGGTGGAGCAGCAGCCGCTCCTTACTCTCCACATCAGCTGACAGCCTCACGAGCGCATCCATGGCTGCAAGTGAACTGCCACGTGGACTGCCAGGTGGACTGCCATGTGGACTGCCATGTGGACTGCCATGTGGACTGCCACGTGGACTGCCACGTGGACTGCCAAGTCTGTCATCCCCACCAGCAGCAGCGAGCTGCAGCAGCGCCTCTACAGCTCCCGCCTCTCTAAAAGCCGCTCTGTTAGCAGCAGAAGACGCGCAGAACCACCCTATAACCCTCGCCGCCTTCCCCTGCTCCTCTTTCGTCCCCTGCAGCAGCCTCAGCACCACCTGAGCAGGACCCCTCGGATCAATACACATCACGTCTAGTGCAGGTACATCTGGTGGAGGTTCATCAGGGGGCGGTATTCCTGTGTGCTGTGACCCAGTCCGACTAGGAGTGAGGCTCCTTGAATCCCTGGGACTGGGCAAACCCTTTCTGCTGCTGGCACCATCTCTCGGGCTAGGCAGCTCTATCTTGCTGCTCGCAAGCTCTCTAGAGCTGGGCGACTTTTTTCTGTTACCATGCTCTCTGGGGCTGGGCAGGTCTTTTCTGCTTGTGTGCTCTCTCGGGCTCGATTTCACCTTGTGACTCGCGTGCTCTCTGGGGTTGGTGCGTTCTCTGGGGCTTATGTGCTGTCTGGGGCTTATCAAGTCTCTCGGACTCACATGGTCTCTCGGACTTACATGGTCTCTCGGACTTATCAGGTCTCTCGGGTTCACACGGTCTCTGTAAGAATCAGAACCCGGATTCAAAGGGACGGTCAGGACATAAGGGTCCGTCCCATCCCGTGGGTTTGTCCACCGCCTGCCAATGCTTTGCCCCCTCCGGCTGCCCCTTGAATCGTTCCCAAGAATATCTCTCGAATCTCTCGGGCTGTAATTGGGGCTGTTACTGGGATCGTCCCTTGGGCTGTAACTGGGATGGTTTCTTGGAGGACTGTAACTGGATGGGATGCTACCGGGGTGGTCTCTTGGAGGACTGTAACTGGGGTTGTTCCCCGGGTTGCTCCTGTTGGCGTCTGTGTCTCCCTGACTGCTCCCAGCCCTGTTGCTTGTGTGCGGGATTGGGTCTGACCATACTGTTATGTCTCGAGCGTGAGAGTGAGAGAGGGGGCGTGGATGAGAGTGCGAGTGAGACTGAGAGCGAGAGTGAGAGGGGCGTGGGTGAGAGTTTGAGTGAGATTGAGAGTGAGAGTGAGAGCGGGAGTAAGGGAAGGGATGGAGATGAGATAGAGAGAGCTCTGGAGGAGATTGCACAACAGGGAAGCCATCAAAGGAAGTCTCCTTCTCACCACCAGCACCACCAGCAGCAGCAGCTGCCATTGCTATCTCGTCCCTTACTCTCTCCACCGGCCCTCCTCTCTTAACCCGACGCCTCTCCTCCTCCCGACTGCTCTGCTCTTTCCTAACCCCGGATGCTATCGTCGAGTCAAACATGAACCTCTCCTCTCCCTGACTGCTCCTCTCTTTCGCACTCCCAATTTTTCTCCACACCCCCCTTCCCTCCCTCCCCTCCGCTCCTCGAACTGATCCCGCCTGCTCCAGATGAGCCTCCTCCAGATACACCTGCTCCAGATGCGCGTTGATCTGCGCTAGCTGCTCACTCAAGTCGTCCGCCTGGTTCCCACTGCTGCTGCTGCTAGTCCCGGCACCAATGCTGCTGTTGAATCCATCACCAATGCTGCTGCTCATTCCGGCAATGCTGCTGCCAGTGCTGCTACCACCACCACCACTACTACCAGCAGCAGCAGCAGCAGCAGCGCCAAACCTGGTTGCAGCACCAGGGGAGCGAGGAGACCGCCTTTCCCTCCCTGCTACGCTATGCCACCTGGCATTCGCCCACCCTGCCACGTCATCATGCACTGCAATACCTGGAACACCCCCTTTTTTCCCAACCCCGCCACTCCCACTGCCCTCCCTCCTCCGCCCTACAATCATATGACTCCTGCTGCTCTCACTCCCAGCGTCCCATCCCGAGCCTTCCACAGCTTCCCGAACCTCCCGAGCCTCCCGAGTCTCACGTGCATGTTCCATTAGCCGCACTAATCCCACCTCTCCCACGTCTTTAATCTCCCCTATGTCTTTAATCTCCTCGGGTTCGTCCGGGCCAGTTAAAGCCCATCGTTGGAAGCTCGGGTTCCCGCCCTTTTCCTGGTCTGCGCCGGCCAGAAGTCGCCTCATGGGTGGCAGAAACTTGGCAGCATCTGGCTGGGGACGCGTATTGGTGGTTCTCTCTGTGTCCCCCTTTGTTTTGTCCCCTGTGCTTCTCCTTCTGCCCTTATCTTTCTCATCGAACGACTTGTGATTGCTGCGTCTCCTGCTGCCGTCTCCCCCACCAGTTTCGCCAGCCCCACCAATACCACTGGCTTCCGAGGGAGAAAGGAGAGCGCGGATGGAAAGAGGAGCAGCGGCAAAGGGGTGGAGAGATTGGGAGGACTCGTGTGGTTGCTGCTGCTGCTGGTGCTGCTGCTGCTGCTGCTGCTTGTGCTCGCGCCTCTCCTTTGTTTGTCGGCGGGAGGAGGGAGCAAGAGGGTCCGCTACAGGAATAGATGAAGATGGTGCCAGTAGCGGGTCTGCTAACAACGGAGACGAGCCGGTCTGGGGGGAGAAGTGGTCGAATAGAGCTCCAGCGCTACCACCAGCACCAGCAGCAGCAGCATCGGTCATACCAGTCAGCAGGCCCGGAAACATCAGATCGCCGGATGCAGCAGCTAAAGCAGAATGAAAGATGGAGGGATGAGCGTTAACCACTGCTGCAGCACCTGCCACTGCTGCAGCATTAGAAATTCCTGCAGCACTATCCATGCCTACGGGGCTGAAGAGGCTAGTGTTTACCATAGCAGTGGGATCCCAGGGGGAAGGAGGAACAGCCCACGGGGAGATTGGGGGGCTTGGCTGGGTAGTGGCGAGGGTGAGATGGTCGAGGGTGGAGAGGGGTTGAAGGGGGTCGAGTATGGTGAGACCTGGCAGGTGGTCAAGGTTCGGGAGACCTGAGAAGGGTTGAAGGGGGTCTAAGGAGGTGCTGATTTGCAGCGGTGGGGGCGGGACGAAGCGGTGGGATGGACGAGGCTCAGTGAACGGATGGGCTGTGAGAGGAGTGGTGAGAGGGGCGGTGAGAGGGGCGGTGTGAGGGGCGGTGTGAGGGGCGGTGTGAGGGGCGGTGTGAGGGGCGGAAAGGGGGTGTGGATCTGTAAGCGATTTTCGATCTCGAGGGGATTTGAAGTCTCTAGGCGATTTATGATCTCTGGGCGATTTGAGGTCCCTAGGCGATTTGAGCTGTTCCCTGAGAGGGACATGTTTCTCTGATGCCTTGTGCTCTCTCGACGACACATGTGAGAGTGACCTCCCATCCTTGGCACCTCTCTTCTGACCCCTCACAGCAGCCAAATACTCAGGAGTGATAAACGCCTTCGCTGCTGCTGTCACTGCTGCTGCTGATGGTGACAATAATGATGATGACAGTAATGATGATGCTGGCTCCATCCCTCCTCTCCCTGCTCCTGCCCTGCCATCCCGGTCGGTCGAATTTGGAGTGCTGCCTTCGCCTCTGCCTTCCATATCGCCTTCTCCCCTCTTCAGCTGGCCCACCTGTTGCTGCATGGCGCACAACAGAATGGTCAGCTGCGGGAAAAGAGGGAAGGGGGAGGGGGAAAGGGGGACGGGGGAAGGGGAGAGGGGGATAGGGGAGGAGGAAGGGGGCAAGGAGGGGGGGAGAGGAAAAGGGAAATGTTTGAAGAAGGAAGCGACAGGAGCATAATATTGAGAGCATGGAAGCAGCAGTAGAGGATAATGCTACCCTTGTTTGCTAAATGTCGTCTTTCCCACCTGTTATACCATGCTCGCCCGCTGCTCATCCCCTGCCTCCTCCGCCCATCATGCTTCCAGTGCCAGAGCCTCCTCCTCTTCAAACGACCGCCACGAGTCCAGACCCAGAAGAATCGCCAACCTCCCTGCCGCATACTCAGCAAAAGCATGTGCTGCAATAAACCACAGGCACATCTCACCTGTTCCACCATGCTCGCCCGCTGCTCATCCCCTGCCTCCTCCGCCCGCCGTGCCTCCAGAGCAAGAGCCTCCCTCTCCTCCTCAAACGACCGCCGCGAGTCCAACCCCAGCAGCATCGCCAACCTTCCTGCCGCATACTCCGCCGATTCCTCTCCATCCTTTCCCCCCTCGTCCTTCCCCTTCTCTTCCTCCTCCTCCTTGTCCCCTTTCTTCCTTTCTGCCTTCTCTCCTCCTGCTACACTCTCGCCCTTCTCCTCCCCTCCCAGCCCTTTTCTCCCTCGCATGCTAAGGGCGTTTCCCTTCACCCAGAAGGTATCCTCTACGAACCCTAGAAGAGCAGCCATAGCAGAATCCTTACTGCTTCCTGCCTCCTTGTCAGATTCTTTCTGTGCAGTAGATGCACGTTCGGATGCAGTAGTCCCTCCTCCCTCCTCCGTTTCCTCCTCTTTTCGCCCTTCTTCCTTTCCCTCCTCCTTTCGCTTCTCCTTCCCCCCTTCTTCCCCCTCCTTACCCCCCTCTCCCCCCGTTTCCTTTTCCTCCTCCTTTCCCTCCTCCTTCTCCTTTCCCCTCTCTTCCTTCTCGGCCTCCTTTGAACATTTCTCCTTTGAACTCTCTTCCTTTATGCCCTCTTCCTTTGAGCCCTTTCCACTTGCATCCCCCCCTTCATCTCTTCCTTTCACTCCCTCTCCCTCTTCCTCTCCATTTCCCCTTCCTCTCCCCCTCCCTGCTCCTCTTCCTTCTCCTCGCACCCTTCCTCTCCCTCGCCTTCTTCCTCCTCTTCTTCCTGTTCCACCTCCTCCTCCACCTCTTCTGCTTCCTCCACCGTATCCATGCTTTGCAGGCAGTATCGCCTGCTGCTGCTGCAGCTGCTGCTTCTAAACATCACACTGCTGTTTCCGCTGCTACTGCTGTTGCCGCTACTGCTGCAGCTGCTGCTTCGTCTAAACATCAGACTGCTGCTTCTGTTGCTACTACTGCTGACGCTGTTGCTGGCGTCACTGGCGACAGTACCATCACTGCTGCTACTGCTGCTCAAGCTGCTGCTTCGAAACATCACACTGCTGTTGCCGCCGCCGCTGCTGCTACTGCTGCTGCAGCTGCTGCTTTTTCTAAACATCAGACCACTGCTGCTGTTGACGCTGCTGCTACTGTTGACGCTGTCGCTGGCGTCACTGGCGATAGGACCAGCACTGCTACCACCATTGCCCTTGCGCCGCCTGGCTTTTCTCTCACCCTTACCGCTTTGGCTATTGCTACTGCTATTGCTACTGCCGTTACCACTGCTGCTGCTGCTGCTGCTGCTGCGGCCAGAAGAATCATCATCAGGTGGAGAGGCATCACGGGAAGAGGAGGCACTGCGGGGCGCAGAGGCATCACTGGACTCCAAGGCGTCACAGGAGGCAGCGGCATCACCAGATGCATCAAGGGACGTAGAAGCGTCACCAGAGGCAGAGACGTCACTTTGCACGAGGATCTGAAACTCCCTGTTGACCTGCGGCGATAGTAGATCTGTGAAGCTGGTCGCTTGTATGTGCTGCTGTATGGCCGCCAGCTGGTGTGATGGAGTGCGGGAGGAGGGAGGGAAGGGATAAGAAAGAACAAAATATGATGGGCGGATGAGCTGAGCAATTCCTGGTTGACCTGCGGCGATAGCAGTGAAACTGGCCGCTTGTATGTGCTGCTGGATGGCCGCCAGCTGGGGTGTTGGAGGGGAGGAGGGATGAGACGAGAAGAAGAAAATAAACACGGATGAACAAATGATGAAGTGATAAAAGGGTGTATCGAGGCGGTACAGGGAGGGTGGAAGATCGGTGGCTGGCATTGCCTAGAGACGAGGCTACACCTGTTCGTGTGCGTGAGGCAGGTCTGTGCGGGGACGGCTCAAACGAGAAACTGGACGAACCGAAGTGGCGGTTCATTTCAGAACGCCAAAGGACAAGATTTACCTGTCCTTTTGCTTCAGCAGGTAGGTTGTCGGTCGGCAGAGACGCGAGGCACGCGGCCAGGTCAGCATGGATACTGCTGAAGTGGCTCGCGCTCATTGGCGAGTCTGCTACCAGCTGGTGGTTGGGATGAGACATGGGGGTCGAGGAAACGAGAAGCGAAGAGGAGAAAGGACGAGAAAAAGGCGTAAGCAGGCAGACAGGTCAGCGTGGATGCTGCTGAAGTGGCTCGCGCTCATTGGCGAGTCTGCCACCAGCTGTTAGGGGCGGAGGAGAGGAGAGGAGAGGAGAGGAGAGGAGAGGAGAGGAGAGGAGAGGAGAGGAGAGGAGAGGAGAGGAGAGGAGAGGTTGGGATAGGAGAGGAGAGGAGAGGAGAGGGGAGGAGAGGAGAGGAGAGGAGAGGAGAGGAGAGGAGAGGAGAGGAGAGGAGAGGAGAGGAGAGGAGAGGGGAGGAGAGGAGAGGAGAGGAGAGGAAAGGAGAGGAGAGGAGAGGAGAGGAGAGGAGAGGAGAGGAGAGGAGAGGAGAGGAGAGGAGAGGAGAGGAGAGGAGAGAGAACGTAAGCTCGCAGGCGAGTCAGCGAGGATTAAACGCTGATGTGGCTTGCGCTCATTTGGTGAGTTTGCCACCAGCTGATGGTGGTAAATGGGTCACGGGGGATATGAAACGAGAGGAAAGGAAAGGAAAGGAGGGGAGAGGAGAGAAGAAGAGAGGAAAGGAGAAGAGAGGAGAGGAGAGGAGAGAAAGGGGGAGGGAGAGGGAGGGGAGCAGGAGAAGAGGGAAGGAGAGAGGGGAAACGAGGGAGGAAAGGAGGACGTGATAGGAGGAAAAAAACGAGAGAGGAGGAGATGGGAGAGGGGAGAGGAGACTAAGGAAGCAGCCAGATCCGATCTGCAGATTATGCACTGATGCAGCTGGAACACCAGCAAGAGCTACAGGGTCATACTCTCGAAATTCTCGTTCCCAAGGGCCAAAGCAAACTGTGACATCCGAGATTTCACCTGAGCGACTTTGACTCTTCACCTGAAGCAGCCTGCTCCGCGCGCTGATGCATCGCTGCATGACCCCCGTGCATCGCCGAAGCACGCCTTCTAGCGCATGAAACGCCGCTTTCGCCGCATCCGTGGACTCCCCCCACCCGCGGTGACCCTTGCAGCTCTCCAGAAACGCGTGGATGAGCGTCGCGGTTCGGATGAGAATGTTGAAATTGCTTATGTAAGCGCCGCTCGGATGTGCGTCGTCTTGTAAGTGGAATGCGAATTGGGAGAAGGTCATGCAGCTCGCTATAAGAACAACTAATACCGGGTCGTCTGGCTCCATTATTCGTGGCGGCGAATTGGTGGAGAATTGTGAACGAGTATGCACCAATATCGAATCGACGGCCGTTTCCTACTCGAGAATGTGTCGATAATCCGCAAACGTGCTCACAATGCGGCAGTCCGAAAGTCAATCGCTCGCGTTTTAAACTACTATTATCGTCCACGCCTGGGGATGCGCAAGGACAGTTACCTTTTTGCCAAAAAGCCTCCTGGTCCCTCCCTATGGACACTGGAAAAAGAGTATGGAGCTTGGGAATTTTTGAGCAAGAATAGGCTGGTGAATGTTGGATAAATAAGGGCTTGATTCATCCAACAGCACCGCAGAATAATCCAATCTGAAGTCGACGAACTTCGCCTAACCCAGCTTGACCCAGCCCAAACCAGATCAGACCGCCCTCAACCAGTCCAAACCAGCAGTTCACACCTTGGGGTTAGTGCGTTGTTGTGGGGGAGGACATCCCTTGCGGTACTTTCCCCTCCTCGCTTTTGGGATCAACGGACACTTTCGAACCTGAGGTTCGAAACTGACATGGGTTTCAGGTGGTTTAAAGCGAAAAAGAACGGTTTTGCCCAAATCACCGTGGCTTTCTATTCGTTGAAATGTCGAGCCTCTTCCAAGCCAATAAAGCGCCTTGCTCGGAGGGCAGCAGAGCAGAGCCGACGGTTTGGTCTTGATACCGAAGTAGACCAATCGGAGAGCAGTGCGACGAGAGATATTCCGCCAGTGACGCGGCAGATTCGACAAAAGCATCTGACGGATTGCCAAGATTCCAACAAGAGATGATACAGTGTACACCTTCACAAACCACTCCAGGAGTGCGCTAAATTAAACATATTAACAGGTGATTCGGGGTTGCAAATCCAAGTCTCGACACTAAATACGCTGCTGGGTCTTAGCGAGAAGTATGCTGCTGTTCGAGAATATCCTGATCTAGGGATAACAAAAGAGTGACATGTCGATAGCAGCAGCCAATCTGCTACGAGTTCTTGATACGCCTTTATGTCACTGGCTACGACGTCTGAGGTGGTATTTGTGCTAATGGCGTTGTCACTTAACTTGTTGGAATGAAGAGGAGTGAATGGGGTTGTAACAACCTGCATGTGACACAACCAGGGCACAAGAAGTTTGGAGGGCTGAAGTAAGAGAAAGGCTCAATCATTGATACACAGCAAAACAACCTCAATAGTTTTACGATCGGTCCTCGATAATTTTTAGACAGAGAAGACATGTTAGAAAGAGGGGGAGGAGGAAGGAGAGGGGGGGGGGGGGGGGGGGGGGGGCGGGGGAAGAGGAGAAAGGGGAGAGGAGAAATGGGAGAGGGGGAAGGGAGGGGGGAGGGGGTGGTAGATAAATGAAAAAATTGGTATGCGAAGGTAAAATGAAACTGGCCAGAAAATCCATTACACATTGGTGCAGCCATGTACCCACCTTTTGTTGATACTGTTAACCTATGTCAAATTTGAAAGCAAGGATATATATAAAAAAAAAAAATCGAAATTACCTTATTTTGATACTGTTGATGCATGGCAATCTTGAAATCTATCGAGTTTGTGATAATGAGCCAGCGCACTTCCAGGGGAGGGGGGAACCACCAATCCTCCAGTGCCTGGGGGGGGGGGGGGGTGGGGGCATGGGCGCAGAGTGGGTGGGTAGGAGACAAGAGGATGGAAAGAAGGACGGTAATTCAAAGTTTGTGATAACGAGTCAGCGCACTTGAAGGGGAAGGGGGAACCACCAGGTCTGCACTGGCTGGAAGGAAAGCAGCACGAATCGAGCACAGAGCAGGCGGGAAGGAGATGAGTGCGGGAGGAGGAGGGCCACTATTGGAAGTTAGCGCACTTGCAGGGGAGGGGGGGGGAAACCACCAGTCCTGCACTGGCTGGACGGAAGCACGCGAGGTTCAGACATTTCTCAGTGAGCTGCGTGCGTGCAGCGAAGGCTCACTGAGAAATGTCGGAACCAACAGTCCTTGAGTGGCTGGACAGAAGCACGAGTGTGGAGTGGGTGGGGAGGAGATGATTGTGGGGGGAGGAGGGCACACTATGGAAGTTAGCGCACTTGCAGGGGAGGGGGGAACCACCAGTCCTTGAGTGGCTGGACAGAAGCACGAGTATGGAGTGGGTGGGGAGGAGATGATTGTGGGGGGAGGAGGGCACACTATGGAAGTTAGAGCACTTGCAGGGGAGGGGGAAACCACCAGTCCTTGAGTGGCTGGACAGAAGCACGAGTATGGGGAGGGGACAAGAGGGTGAGGGGAGGGGCAGCAGCAGCTGTAGCAGTTAGTGAATGATTGCTACAGCAGCAGCGCACCTGAGTGCAGCGCAGCAGTGGGCGGGCCACCTGCTTGAGCCGCTCAACCTCCGCCTCGCCCAGCTGCGTGGGGGCATCCTCGCCCTCTCCTGATGCGGTGCAATGGGGTAGCATGTGCAGTAACAACTACAGCAGCAGCGCACCTGAGTGCAGCGCAGCAGTGGGCGGGCCACCTGCTTGAGCCGCTCAACCTCCGCGTCCCCCAACTGCTCGGGTAGGGGGCGTCCTTGCCCTCCCCGGATGTGGTGCAATGCGGTGCAATGCGATAGCATGCGCTGTAGCAATTACAGCAGCAGCGCACCTGAGTGCAGAGCAGCAGGGGTCGAGCCACCTGCTTGAGCCTCTCGATCTCTGCCTCGCCCAGCTGCTTGGGGGCATCCTCGCCCTCCCCTGACGTGGTTAAATGCGGTTGTAATGGGATGGGATGCCATGGGATGGGATGGGATGAACATAAGAGGACGGAAAAGATCACAAGACGCCGACAGCAAGACACCTGGATGCATCCAGTCACTCACTCACTCACTCACTCACTCACTCACTTACTCACTCACTCACTCACTCACTCAATAAATCATCTCTATTACTCACTCACTGTCACACTCACTCGTATGCGAATGAGCCGCAAACAGAACATAGAGCTCCAACAACAAAAAAAGGTCCACCTTACAACAGAACCGATCATGTTTCTAAACCTGAAATGAGCTCGGAAGCACTATCATCAGTCAAGAGCACTATCAAACTTGCTCTGAGTCACAAGCAGTGTTGAACTTGTTGACTCACATCAGATTCACGTAAACAATGCTCCCACCTTCCCACACTGTCCCATCCGTGAATCTGATGTGAACGCCAATAGTTACCAAGCCTGGTGCATGCACCTCCCTCTCCAGGCCCTCCAGAAGCTGCCGAACCTCTTCATTAGGCCTGGGAAGAAACACATAGGGAGAAAGGGAGGGGAAGAGGATGACAAAGAGATCAATCTTACCAGTGCAGGGAGGTGCTTCTGGCTCCTGTCTCCTGTCCGAGCAGGAAGTGAACCTGACTGTACATTCTCCTTCCCACAGGGCGGCACAATGGAAACAGCAGAGACCGGCCGGGCTTGAAGGAAAAAGCGCACTTGAGCAGGAAGCAGAGTGAAGTGAAGTGATGGAGGTGCTGCTGGCTCCTGTCTCCTGTCCGAGCAGGAAGTGAACCTGACTGTACATTCTCCTTCCCACAGGGCGGCACAATGGAAATGGCAGGAACTGGGCATGAGGGAAAGAAAAAAAAAAGAAACTTGAGCAACCTTACTTGCGCAATCTCACTTGAATTGAATCTCACGAGAATCTCACTTGAGTAGGAAGCGCAGGATACAGCCGAGAGCGTACGGTGGGCGCAACCCAGTGGCGCGAAGCCGTGCCGCCCACTCGCTCTGCTCCTCCATCAGCATCCGAGTCAGCACGCCGCGATTCCACGACAGCCTGACGTTGCGGAACTTGCTGTAGGGCGTGAAGGTCTCCTGTGTGGGGGGGGGGAGGGGAGGGCGGGGGGAAGGCGGGGAGAGGGGGGGGGGGGGAGGATTGCGAGGAGAGAGTTGACAATGGTGAGTGCGAGTAAGGAATGAAGTGAACAGAAGCCAACCTGCACGCTCCCGAACTGTGTGTCTTGAATGTCCAGCATCGGCACGTCATCCACGCCCGGCCTTATGAACGAACTCACCTCCACTGCTTCACTGCTTCAGTGCTTCTGAGCACCAAGTCACCCCATCAGGTTACCACTACAACCAGGCAAGCACCATCACTGACACCCACCTGCACGCTCCCGAACTGCGTGTCTCGAATGTCCAGCATCGGCACATCATCCTCACCTACGCCCATGCCCTCCAACCGCATTCAGCCATATGCCAACCAAACATCACCCACCTGAACGCTCCCAAACTGCGTGTCTCGGATGTCCAGCATCGGCACTTCGTCCACGTCCAACCATGGGAATGAACTCACCTCTGCTGCTTCTGTGCTTCTGTGTTTCGAGTGTTTGTGAATCCCACCTGCACGCTCCCGAACTGTGTGTCTCGGATGTCAACCATCGGCACATCATCCACGCCCGGCCTTATGAACGAACTCACCTCCACTGCTTCACTGCTTCAGTGCTTCTGAGCACCAAGTCACCCCATCAGGTTACCACTACAACCAGGCAAGCACCATCACTGACACCCACCTGCACGCTCCCGAACTGCGTGTCTCGAATGTCCAGCATCGGCACATCATCCTCACCTACGCCCATGCCCTCCAACCGCATTCAGCCATATGCCAACCAAACACCACCCACCTGAACGCTCCCAAACTGCGTGTCTCGGATGTCCAGCATCGGCACTTCGTCCACGCCCAACCATGGGAATGAACTCACCTCTGCTGCTTCTGTGCTTCTGTGTTTCGAGTGTTTGTGAATCCCACCTGCACGCTCCCGAACTGTGTGTCTCGGATGTCAACCATCGGCACATCATCCACGCCCATCTCCTCAGTTTCCGGGCTGCCCGCAATCACCGACTCCGTCGAGATTTTCCGGGCAGGTTCGAGCAGAATCTCGTCACCAGGTTCCGCTAATCCAGGATCATCCGATCCAGACCCGGCCGAACCAGAGCCAGCCGATCCAAAGCTCGTGGATCCCGATTGGTCCCCAGCTCCAGATGCTGACGTGGACGGGAATCTCCAGTCGATAAGGTTCGGCTCAAAGGCGAATGGCAGGCAGCGGTGGCGAATCAGCAGCGCGCGGCCAATAGCGCGACAACAAATGTCGAGGCGAGGCCCAGGAGCGTGTCCCCCAGGCCGCCGCAGCCGTGGTACCACTCGTAGGTAAGGAAGCGGGGGAAGGCGGAGGGCGAAGGGGAGGGGGAGGGGGGGGCGGAAGGGGAGGCGGAGGGGAGGGGGAGGGGGAGGGGGGGAGGGGGAGGGGGAGCGGAGGAGGAGGCGGAAGGGGAAGAAAGGGAGTCTGGGGAAGGAGCTGGAGAAGGGGATGAGAGAAGGGGGTTTGATGATGGATGAGAGGATGAAGCTTCCTGGTTGTTGCTCCCTCTGCTCCCTGCTCTGCCTGCTCTCTCGAGGCTGCCTCGTCTGTTTTCTGCTCGGATTCGCTCGTGCAAGGCGATGTACTCGTTATGCCATGACCCGCAAAGCGCTTCAGGGTAGCCGAAATGAAGGTCTGATGAGGACCGCGCGTGTTCTCCCGAGGCCGTGGCTCCCAAAGAGACTAAAACGAGAAGGACAATAACGAAGCATGCTTCCGTCATTGGTTGAAAAACAAATCTCTGTGATTGGCCTCTGTGCGCTACCATCTTGGCGGCCCGCAATCTCAGCTAAGGCCCGTTCCCTCATCCGGAGGTGATGATTTCTGAGTCGACTCGAAACATCACCTCAAATAAACCACCCTGATTGGCCTCCGTGTGGAAACAACTTGGCGACCCGCAATGTGCCACCAACCGTTCCCTCATCCAACAAGGCTTTTAGGAACCATGCCAACTCTCGGAATCCAGCTGATTAGGTTGGCATGGTTCAAACGCTTCTACATAGAGCAGAGTCGGATACTCGGCTATTTTACCAGAAGCATCGCCATCTTTTCTACTGTAATCGCCTTGCACAGCTGGGTGATATTCTATCATAAAAGGCTTCTCCCTAAGTAATCTATTGAATGCAGCTAACTAAAAAAAAAAATTGATAATAAGATGCAATGCTGATAAAGCGTTGGGTTACTTCGACTCATGCGTTCCGTAAAATTACTTCGATTTGTTTATGTTTTACATAAATATATATAAATACAATTATTGAAGTGAAAGAGTGAGGTTCATTAAAACGGGAACGCAATGCCGCGTCAGCCTGGTTTACAGGCCACGCGTCCTCTCCACGCCACGCTGGCCAATCTCAGACCAAACCCGGACGACTAAGTTGAATGAACGAGCCGCGGCGGACTCTCCGCAGCTTCCTCTGCACTCCAATCCCCCGCTTCCGCGCAGACTTTCAAGAAATTGTCAGCTCGCGCGGACAAACCAACCAGTCAGGCTGTCGTGCGGACCAATTCCGCGCCCGCTTGTGCCAGCTCATGTGCAACTCCGAATGTATCCCTACCCCCTCTCACCATTCTCAAAACAGCGTAACCGTTAGTTGTTTCACCCAACACCGCTTTTCCCAGCTCACACCCCCCATAATCCTGGCTGTGTCTGCGCCTGCTCTGCCAGCGCATTGTTCATCCCCGTAAACAGTGAGCAAGGGGGGAGTCCGTCAATTCTTCCTCTAGTGCGCATCACGCGCAACATTCCGCCTTATTGCGCAGCCCAGTACAGTATCCGTCCCACCACCCCACCCTGTCCTCGCATCCTTCCTTTTCCTCCTTTCCCCTCCCCTCCCTTTTTCCACCACCTCAATCGAACATCCTGCTGTGTTTCTGTTACTCATTATTTGAGCAAGTTCGAACTACGAGGTAGAATCTGATCCTTGGTCGTTGTAGATTACTCACCGCCTCAAGAAGAGCTGCAATCAGCACTCTGTAGCGTTTTTTTAGCGTCCTCTATCGTCTGAAATATTTCGAGTTCTTTTCTTTTTAATCTCTGCGCGTTTTCTAGAGCGTCACAAGATCCTAGGGTTTCCGTTTCCAGCCAGGACCTTTGTTTTTTTTTCAAAACCGGATTCTTCAATCACAGCGCCAATAAGATACGACAGCAACAATCAAGAAATTGCGTACAATATTAGACAGAAGTAGTTTCGAAGTTCGGCCCTTTTTTTTCCGCCGAAAGAGCAACTTGCGTCTAAATAATTAGTAGTGCATCTGAAGTATATAATAGCTAGCACTTACCGTAAAAGAAACCACCGTGATTCACCGGATGATGGCGCGGTCGACGCGAGTATTGAGCTCGGCGCGAATATCGAGTTCCGCGCGAGCTTTCCGCCTCGCGATTCTCCTCCTCTGCTCCTCCCTCTTCGTCACCTCCGTGACTTCAGCGGATTCAGCTTCGATGAAACTTCACGAATCTCAATGTACGCGCATGCGCTGTCGATTACCTCCATCTGTCGATGATCACTTTCGCGTTCCGGACACGTGGTTTCAGAAGCCTGCCAGGCGATTGGCGCCAGGGACAGTGCAACAAGTGAACCGGTCCCATCGAGGCGTTTCCGCATTTCTCAGTGACTTGAATCTGAGCTCTTTCCACCTTCCCTCCCCCCACGCCCCCAGTGCGGCCGCTACAGGCGCTGAGCAAGGCTTGGCGGCTACCTCCGTTTGAGCAGTGCGACTTGCGGGCAGGCCTAACGTGCGACGCGCAGGGCATGGTGACGGGCATGTGAGTGCTGAGGGTGCGAGTAACAGTGAGGAGACGTTTTGATTCGACTCAAAGCTACCACCGCTTGATCAGTGCGACCCGCGGGCAGGCCTCACGTGCGACGCGCAGGGCATGGTGACGGGCATGCGAGTGCTGAGGGCGCGAGCATGTTAGGAGCATGTGTGAGGAGCATGTTAGGAGCATGTTAGGAGCATGTGAGGAGCATGTGAGGAGCATGTGAGGAGCATGTGCGACTAGCATGTGAGGAGCATGTGACTAGCATGTGACTAGCATGTGACTAGCATGTGACTAGCATGTGACTAGCATGTGAGTAATGGCCTCTCGTGCGATGCGCAGGGCATGGTGACGGGCATGTGAGTCCCGAGCCATGTCTACTTCTATGCTATTCTACCCCCTTCTCTCACACTTTACCTCCGTCACTCTCTTGTGCTCCCTCACGCTCTCTCGATCACCCCATCTATTTCATCTTCCCATCTCACTCCCGCCCGTGTCCCCCACTGCAGCAACCTAGCCAGTCGCAACCTCTCAGGAGTCATCCCCAAAGAGATCTCCGCTTTAGCCAGCCTCCTTACACTGTAAGGCCGCAGAAACCTGCTTCCCGGCACCCCCCTTCTCCACATCTGCCTCTCACGATTATAAAGAAAGCGTGGCTTTCTTGTTGCATAATGATGATCACCCTCTGTCCTCCCCCTTCCTCTCCTCCTTGTCCCCTTTTTTCCCCCTCCCTCTTATTTGTCCGTCCCCTTTCCCTCTCCCTGTGCGTGTGTGCGTCCAGCTCGCTACACGACAACCACCTCCGTGGCCCCCTGCCAGACATGGGGAAGCTGACGCTGCTGAGAGAACTGTGCGTGGTGTGGGAACCGGATGAGGTGGAATGGGATGGAATGGGATGGAATGGGGTGGAGTGGGGTGGAGTGGGGTGGAATAGGTCCAGGTCGCTACACGACAACCACCTGCGCGACCCGCTGCCTGACATGAGGAAGTTGCCATCCCCTGTTGAGAGAAGAGTATTGTGCGTGGTATGGGATGGTAAGGGTTGGTGTGGGGTGGCATTGGATGGTATGGGGTGGCACGAACTGTACCTTCGCATCTGCATATGTATCCAGTCGCCCTTCCACTTATCCATCCTCACACCCACCCGTCCATGCATCCACCCATGATTACAGGTACCTGCATGGCAACAACCTCACTGGCCCCATCCCTGCTTCCCTCGGCCTCCTCACTAACCTCGAAGCTCTGTGAGTCGTGCTTCACTCCCCACCCCATCCCTGCACCACTGCACAGCAACATGTCTCATTCTTTTTACTTTGCCTCCTGTCGCTCCCCTTTGCATCCCTGCTTCCCTCGGCCTCCTCACCAACCTCGAAGCTCTGTGAGTCGTCACTTCAATTCCCACCCCGTCCCTACTCCATCCCACACCCCATCCCTCCTACTCTCCCTCCTACTCCTCGTATAATCCCCTCTTATAATCCCCTCCCACTGCTCACCACTCCTCATCCCTCTCCACTCTCCCCCACCACCACGTGCCCTCCCAAGCTCCCTGCATGCAGGGCTTTCGGTCAGAACGCCCTGTCAGGACTTCTGAGTCGACTCAACACCGCCCCCCGCCTCCCCCCCACCTAACCACCGCGTCCCCTCCTTCCTGACCGCTCTGCCATGCAGGAATCTCGGTGAGAACGCCCTGTCAGGGCGCATCCCTGTGGAGCTCGGCAATCTCAAGGCACTTATCCTCCTGTAAGCCTCCCCTCCCAGAATGCAACCCCCCCTGCGTAAGGGAGGAACAGAAAACAAGCATCTCAAGCCGCTCAGTTTTCATTCCTCCTCGATGCTTGTCTGGCAGCCCTTTCTTCTTCTGCTCTTCTCTTTCCGACCCTCTCCATCCGGCCCTCTCTTTATGACCCTCTCCTTCTGAACCGCTCCTTCCGACCCACTCCTTCCGACCCTCTACTTCCATCTCTCTCCTTCCGTCCCACTTTTTCCACCCCCGTCCCCCAATTTCCATGACTGCAGCAACCTCAACAGCAACCGTCTGGTTGGGAGCATCCTGATCACTCTCAAAAACCCTCTCCTCTCGTCCCTTTCCCGTCCCTCTCCTTCCGTCCCCTTCCCCTTCCCCGCCCTCCATGACTGCAGCAACCTCAACAGCAACCGTCTGGTTGGGAGCATTCCTGAAACTCTTAAAAAGCTTACCAATTTGCAGCACCTGTGAGTTTCTGCACCCATCCCCACCAGTCCATATCCCATCCTCACCCTTTCATATCCCATTCCCACATATCCACCACCCCCTATATGCCATCCTCCCCCTTCATTACATCCCTCTCTTCCACTCTACCCGACCTTTCATCCTCTCGCACTCTTTTCGTTCGGCCCTGTGAACGCAAAGAGTGGGAGACACTGTGCTCCTAGGCCGATTTCAGATGCTTGTTGACTGTACTTCCACACCCATCTTCACCCTTCTCCATCCACTCCTTTCCATCTGCTCTTCCTGTTCGTTCCAACAGGGAGCTGGGAGGCAATGCGCTCACAGGGCCGATCCCGGATTCGTTCGCAACGCTTACAAACCTGCTCACACTGTAAGAAAAGCACTGCACGCCACCGCACTGCTCTGCACCGCACTGCACTACTCTGCACTCGTGCCTGCATGTGTGCCAGTCAACATCAGCTGTTCTGCTCTTCAAGCAAATGTCTTCCACGTTCTCCATCCGTTTCCCCATCCGGCTTGGATGATTGGTGTTCTCCCGCCCCTTTCGTAGTGCTTGCAGCGCCCTGAGTCCCAACCAGCTCCACGGCTCCATCCCATCTTGTTATAGAGCGATGGTGTCCCAACCAACTCCATCCCATATGGTGTTCTTTGAAAAATCCCAAGAGTGCTCCGTTTCTCCTCCCTTCCTCCCGCCCATCTCCTTGTGCGTGCAGTGACCTGAGCCCGAACCAGCTGTCTGGCCCCATCCCCCCTGTCATCGGTGCACTCAGGAAGCTCAAATGGATGTGAGTGGTGGGGATGGGTGGTGATGGTTGATGGTGGGTGATGGTGGATGGTGCTGTTCTGGCTGCATTCACTAGTAACCGTCATCATCGTAACTAATCGTCCTCTCCACCCACCATCACCACTGTCTGCTTTCTGCAGGTACCTGTCGGGGAATCAAATCAGCGGCAGTCTGCCGCCCGCAATCGGCGACCTACATGACTTGGAGCACCTGTAAGCCATACCATAATGTCACAGTTGTGCTCTTTTTTTTTTTTTTTTTTTTTTTTCTTTTCTTTGCAAAATATTAATTCACTCTTTTGTTTCCCACGTGTGAGCTTCTCATGTTGCTCCTGTCACCTCATCTGCATGCCACTTCTGCTGCTTGTGCCACGTGTGCAGGTGGATAGAGGATAACAAACTCACTGGCCCACTCCCAGCCGAGATCGGCAACTGCACCAGCCTGCAGATACTGTGAGCATCCAATCGGATCAAAACACGTGTATATGTTTGACTAACCTCTCAATCGCATCAAACCTCTTAAACAAAACTGGACTAGCCTCTTATCTGATCTCTCCACGTACTTGTTACCTCTTACCGTTTTCAACCCATTCTCACCTTCTCCCCATTCCCTCCGCACAACAAACCAAATCTTTCATCTCCTCCCCTCAGTCTCTCATCTCCCCCAACCTTTCCCAAACCCTTGAATTCCCCCTCCCCATACCGGCTACCTACCCAACAACAACATCAGCAGTAGTCTACCAGACAAAATGGTTCACCTGCTGGCTCTGGAGTCGACTCATAATTCCAACCGTCCCTCCTCCTTCTCCTTACTCCCTCTCTTCTCCCTACTCCCCCCCTCCCCATACCAGCTACCTATCCAACAACAACATCAGCGGTAGTCTACCAAACAGCATAGGTCGCCTGCGGGCTCTTGCGTCGACTCAAAAGTTCAACCATCCCTCCTTCTCCTTACTCCCCCACTTCTATTCACTCCCCCTCTTCTCCTTACTCCCCCCCTCCCCATACCAGCTACCTATCCAACAACAACATCAGCGGCAGCCTACCGGACAGCATAGGCCAGCTGCGGGCCATGCGAGACATGTGAGTGTCGGGTGGAGGGGAAGGGTGGGAATGGGTGGAAGTGGGTGGAAATGGGTGGGAATGGGTGGGAATGGGTGGGAATGGTTGGCAATGATTCCTTTAGTTTCTGAAGAGTAAGAGTACTAAGCGCTGTTTATCCTTCTACCTCCTCTCTTCTGTCCTCTCCCTTAACATTCTCCCTTGAGTTTGTTCTTTGAGAAACCTCAAAAAGCAGATATTTCCTAAGCGCTGGTTATCCCTGTCCAACTACTCTTGCCTTCTTTCTTCTGTCCTCTCCCTTAACATTCTCCCGTGAGTTTCCGTTTCTGTTCTCCCTATGCCCATCCAGGCGGCTGGATCGTGTTTTGAGGCGTCTCAAAATCCTTCTGCCTCCTCTCTTCTGTCCTCTCCCTTAACATTCTCCCTTGAGTTTCCGTTTCTGTTCACCCTACGCCCATCCAGGCGGCTGGATCAAAACATGCTCTCAGGCGCCCTCCCACCATCCATTGGCGCGCTCTCCAACCTCACTGTGCTGTAAGCCTGCATTCCAGAGTAGAGTGTCATTGCGAATTCTCAAAAACCCTCCCACCATCCATTGGCGCCCTCCCACCGTCCATTGGCACGCTCTTCAATCTCACAGTTCTGTAAGCCTGCATTCTGCAACACCTTGCCAATGCTCTCGCTCCCTGCTCCCTTTTCTTGCCCTGCTCTTTTCTCTCTCTCCCTCCCCTCACTCACCTCTCCCGTCCCACCACCCCTCCTCTCTTTCCCAGAACACTGCACTCCAACCAGCTCTCAGGAGCCCTCCCGGCCTCTCAGGAACAGCTCTGCCTAATCTTGTGTGAAATCAAAAACAGATTCTCCCTCCTCCCTCAGCTCACCCTTCTCTCCGTGCTCACTCTTTTCTCCCTGTTCCACTCACCCTTCCCTCCCCACCTCCTCCCTTACTGGTGATACACCAGTAAGGCACGGCCTCATTTTTAAGGCGCCTCATAAGACACGGCCTCATCTATACTTCCTGTCAGGTCGTCTCCACAATCAGAATCGTCCCTCAACTTCTCTCCCTCCCTCTTCTCCCCTTCCCGCTCTCTCCCTCTCCCCAACCCACAGAACCATCAACTCCACAGCCGTACCCTGCCCTGCATCCTCGTCCCCCTGCCAAGTCAAACAGACCGTCTCCTCCCCCTTCTGTCACCTCTGCCCCGAGTTCTGCGCCTCCTGCCAGCCCCCTGAGGGGGGCAACGGGGGAGATACGGGGGGAGAGAGTGGAGGGACGAGTGAGGAGAGAGTGGGGGAGAGAGTGGGGGAGAGAGTGGGGGGGAGAGTGGGGGGGAGAGTGGGGGGGAAAATGGAGGGGTAATCCCAGTAGAAAATGGGGGTGAGAGTGGGGGCGATGGCAGTGGTGGCAGTGGTGGGCTGAGCACGGTAGCAATCATTGCGGTGGTGTGCGGTTCTCTGTTCTTAGTCACGGCTGTGCTTGTGGCATTCCTCGTCTGGTGCTGCTGCCGACCAGGCTCCAACCCTTTCAAGCACGTCAAAGTCGTTGGTGAGTCTTCCCTTTGAGTGTTCCCTTCCCTCCCTGCTGGTCGCTACTCCCTGTGCTGCCGCTACTCTCTGGTGGAGATTCCCCGCCCCACCAACAATTGGAGTGAGGAGAACCGTATAGGCACTCGCTCTCTGCTCTCACTTCCATTCGCCCTCCTTCCTCTCCGCCCGCCCACCACACACTGCAGACCAGGAGGAGTTTGACCGTGCAGGGCTGATCCCCTCGCTGTGCTGCCGGTACTCCCTGGTGAAGATCCGCCGGGCGACCAACAATTGGAGCGAGGAGAACCGCATAGGCAATCACCCCCCCCTCTCACTTTCACTCTCCCTCCTCCCCCTCCCCTCATGCTGCAGACCAGGAGGAATTCGACGATGCGGGGCTGATCCCCTCGCTGTGCTGCCGGTACTCTTTGGTGGAGATCCGTCGTGCCACCAACAACTGGAGCGAGCAGAACCGCATAGGCAGTGGGCAGCACAGCGACGTGTACAAGGGCACATGCCCGTATAACCCCGCCAGCACGTGGGCTGTGAAGCGATACAAGGAGCGGTCGAGTCACTTTGACAAGGAGGTATGTTGGGGAGGTGTTGGGTGTCCAGTTTGAGGGGTTGATTTGAAAGATGAGGTGCGGTGGTGGCACTAGTAAGGGATGGTGCAGGTGGAGGATCAAACCGTCTCACTCACTCCTGTGTTTGCGCTGCGTCTTGTCCCCTTGCTTGCCCGTTCCATCTCCCCCATCAGGTAGAGCAGATAGCAAGCAAGTGGCACCCGAACCTCGCCCACCTGCTGGGCTACTGTGTGGACTCGGACACGCGGGTAGAGGGCGGCCGGATGGTGCAGGTGGAGGAGAAGATTGCAGTGTACGAATACGTTCACCACGGGGACCTCAGCCGGTACTTATATCAAGGTGGGCCCTCAGCCGGTACTTATATCAAGGTGCGTTATATGCGAGAGCTGTCAGCAAGCGTCACCTGCAAGGTATCCCCCAGTCAGGTGCAAGGGAAGGGATGGTGCAGGTGGAGGAGCAGATCGCAGTCGCTACTTATACCAAGGTGAGCCCACAGCCAACTACATGTATCAAGGTGAGGTTGCTACTTGGATGCAATGTGTCCAACAAGGCATGGTGCAGGTGCAGGAGCAGATGGCAGTGTACGAGTACGTGCACCACGGGGACCTCAGCCGCTACTTGTATCAAGGTACGTTATATGAGAGAGCTACCTGTGTGGGCTGCAAAAAACTCAACAGCCATGCCATGCCAGGGCAGCAGCAGGTGCAAGGCAAAGGTTGGAGCAGGTGCAGGAGCAGATGGCAGTGTACGAGTACGTGCACCACGGGGACCTCAGCCGCTACCTCTACCAAGGTGAGCCATCTGTGTGAGCTGCGTGCAAGCCCGCCAACATCCTCATCGACAAGAGCAGGCAGGCCAAGGTCGCCAACTACGGGCTGCTAAGCTAACGCGCAACCAGCACACCCAGTCACCGTCCTCTCCCCCTCCCCCTTTTTTGCCCCTCCCCCTGCCGCTGCCCCTGCCGCTGCCCCTGCCTCTCCTCGCTCCAACAGAGACCTCCCGGGCGTCCTTTGCCCTATGGGAGCGCGTGGACATACCGATAGGCATGGCGCACGGCGTGCAGTACCTGCACTCGGTGGGCATGGTGCATGGGGACCTCAAGCCCGCCAACATCCTCATTGACAAGAGCTGGCAGGCCAAGGTCGCCAATTACAGGCTGCTGGAGGCTGCAGCACAGGAAAACAAAACCCTCCCCTCCCCCCTGCGCCTCCCCTCCCCCCTGCGCCTCCCCTCCCCCTTGCTGCCCCTGCCCCTGCCCCTGCCCCTGCCCCTGCCCCCTGAACAGAGACCTTCCGTGCATCCTTTGCCTTATGGGAGCGAGTGGATATCCTAATTGGCATGGCGCATGGCTTACAATATTTACACTCGGTGGGCATGGTGCATGGGGACGTCAAGCCCGCCAACATCCTCATTGACAAGAGCTGGCAGGCCAAGGTCGCCAACTACGGGCTGCTGCAGCGGAATGAACAGAGCGCTGTGAGCGCTGGAAGGCTGTTTGGCACTCCGGGATACGTTGACCCTGTGTATCTCACCTCTCATATTGCCACCAAGGCTTCTGACGTGTTCAGGTGAGGCTCGGTCCTGTTCCGGTGATCCCTCATGTTGTGAGCACCAGATGTGGGTTGGGTGGGTGGGTGGGTCGGTGAGTGGGTAGAGTAATCCTAGCCTGCTCTAGCAGGGAGCTGAGAGCTGGCAGGCCAAGGTCGCCAACTACGGGCTGCTGCAGCGCAACGAGCAGAGCGCCGTGAGCGCTGGAAGGCTGTTTGGCACCCCGGGATATGTGGATCCGGTCTACCTGACTTCTCACATCGCCACCAAGGCTTCTGACGTGTTCAGGTGAGGCAGAGGTAGAGGGCGGAATCTCTGTAAGGGACATAAGTTGGTTGGCCTTGGCCTACTTGCGCAGTTTCAATGCTGTATAGTTCTATTGGATGCATCCTTAACTTCATCCCTCCCTCCCTCCCTCCCTCCCTCCCTCCCTCCCTCCCTCCCTCCCCTTTGTCACGCCGTGCAGCTTTGGCGTCATATTCCTGGAGCTGCTCACAGGGCGGCCGCCGTTCATCCAGGTGCAGGCCGAGCATGGAGAGGACCACGTGCACATTGCAGACTGGGTGAGTGCTGCTGCTTCTGCTGCTGCTGTTGCTGAATGTGTTTCTCAATGGTTTAGAGATTCCACCTGGAAGAGCCAGAATCCTGCTTCCTTTGCCCTCGCCCACTCCTCATTTTCTCCCATGCACGTTTTCTCTCTTGGCCTTCTCACCCCACCAACCAGGCGGCACCTCTAATCGATGAGGGCAAGACAGAGGAATTGAAAGACCCGCATCTGGACGTGCCAGAGTCCTCCTTCCTCTCTCTCGCTGAGCTCGCCATTCGCTGCACCGCCATGCCCTTCACCGACCGCCCGCCCATGGGGGAGGTGCTGGCGACCCTCAAGGCCATTCGGACAGACTTTTTCGGGCTCACGGACCCGGATGATGTGTATGGGGGCGAGGGGAGTGGCGGTTTGGAGAATGGGTTCGGTGGCGATGATGGTGATGTTGATGGTCGGCCGGATTGGGGTGTTTCAATTAATAATGTGTGATATGGCTAGGGATAACTTACGGTGTATGTTTCTGTATGGTGCTGCGTGTTTTGGTGTTTCCTTTCTCAGTATGTATCAAAGTGGTGTGCTGCCAATAATGTAGAACACATGAACAAGGGGTGGTAAAAACCGTCCAACTAGGTGATCAATAGGTATACAGATATGCAGTTTAAGGTTGTAAGGTATAAAACTTTACCCCGCTAGGATGCACGCACTAGGCTACACAATATTGTACACTTAGTAAAGTACGTTTTTTTTATAAACTTGTAGAGAATGTATTTGTCCAGCAGCAGAATCAGCGAATTTGAGGGGGTAATGGATTATAGTTTGTACAAGCATTCGCGCTTGTTGCAGTCAACGAAGTCCGCGACACAAGCCCCGCTGGCAAATCTTAGGGCGCGTGTGATCCGTGAAATTCGTGAAAGTTTACATTTTTTGGGCGAGTTGTGCGAAGTGAACATAAGTCGAATCAATCTCGACTTCCTTTGTATCGGGGTTCGCACATCTGGACCACAACACTGCAGAAAAGCACACACACATACAAGGTCGAGTGCGCGTATTCGAACTTGTAAAATCGCACCGAGCCGCATTTCTACAACGTAGGTTACCCGGTTCAGACGTCTTGACAGTGCGCCACGCGGCCGACGTGCGCCTCGGTTTCGGATAGCCTAGACCTCCAGCTCACCTTCAACACTGGGGTACAAATATCAGAGGTTGCCCACCTGGAGCTCTCGTCATTCCCCAAACATGACGATTCTCGCCACGTGGCCTCTATTCAGTACACGAAGGCTGTGGTGAGTTCGTTGTGCCACTGTTGCTACTCGTGAGTCGCTCGCACATTTCGCCCGATGACTGAACGTGCGGGAAATCACACACGTGAATGTGAACATGCCGAAGCACGTTCACAACTAAAACTCGAGTCTTGTTCAAGTTTGCAGTTCGCATGTTGCCAAACCCAAAGTTGACGAATTTTCGCTAATAGCTCCATGCGATATTGGCGAAACGGGTAACCACCCAAAGTTCGCACTTTATTTTGAACTGCAAAACCGACCTCACACGCCCTTACATGCCAGCGTGACAGGGGAAGCGGACTGGCGACGAAGGCTATTGGTCCACGACTCTGTAATTGTGGGGGAAGCACATCCGAGAAATCGCTGGGAGAGGTAAATTTGATAGTAGAAACAATTTGAAGGGCATGGAAGATTTTTCGGATGTTCGACAAATATTGTCATTGAAATACCTCGTTATAGCTCAGTTCTCGTCATTAGAACCTTCGCATACCGGAGTCGTTTTGAAGATACCCGTCGCGTCCTTGTACCCGTTTAATTACACCTACGTTTGAATCATATCCCACCGTCATAATGGAGCCTGGCTATGATAACGCGCCACCGTGCCTGATCTATAAACCTGAAATTCGTATATTAAGTGCTCGTCCATAAGAACCCCACAGAAGAGTGGGAATTTCTGGGAGAGGTAGAATTAATAAAGCAATTTGAAGGGCATGGAAGATTTTTCGGATGTTCGACAAAACATTGTTAATGAAATACCTCGTTATAGCTCAGTTCTCGTCAGTAGAACCTTCGTATACCGGAGTCGTTTTGAAGAATACTCGTCGCGTCGTTGTATCCGTTTAATTACACCTACGTTTGAATCATAGCCCACCGTCATAATGGAGCCTGGAAAGATTCCGCGCCACCGTGCCTGATCTATAAACATGAAAATCGTTTATTAAGCGCTCGTCCATAAGAACCCTGCAGAAGAGTGGGAACTCCTGGGAGAGGTAGATTTAATAGTAGAAACAATTTGAAGGGTATGGAAGATTCTCGGTTGTTCGACAAACATTGTCATTGAAATACTTCGTTATAGCTCAGTTCTCGTCAGTAAAACCTTCGTATACCGGAGTCGTTTTGGAGATTACCCTTGCGTCCTTGTAACCTTTTTATTAGACCTACTTTTGAATTATAGTCCACCGTCGTAATGTGGCCTCGCTATGATTCCGCGCCACCGTGCCTGATTTATAAACCTGAAATTCGTTTATTAAGTGCTCGTCCATAAGAACCCCACTGAGGAGTGGGAAATTCCTGGGAGAGGTAGATTCAATAATAGAAGCTATTTGAAGGGTAGGCAAGTATTTTTCGGATGTTCGCCAAACACCGTCATTGAAGTACCTCGTTTAAGCTCAGTTCTCGTCAGTAGAACCTTCAGAAACCGGAGTAGTTTAGAAGATTACCCGTCACCTGCTTGCACCCCTTAAATTACACCTCCTTTTAATGCATAGCCCTCCACGAACCCGTGAATTCGTTGCTCCTCCACAAATTACGTCACTGGGGAGTGGGAATTCCCTGGGAGAGGAAAATCCTCAGATGAGGATGTGGTGAAACCAGGAACCGCATGGAAGGATTCTCTTCGCTGAGTTCGAAGTTCTCTTGGTGGTATACCGTACCTAACCATTCTAGATTGTTATCTGAAGCGGTAAAGCGTGAATTCGTCTCACTGAACCACATTCGAGCGTACCTAGAACACACCCTCGAACACGAGACACGTGGACTATCTAAGTTGCATTTGGCGAGACGATAGGACCGTGTAGGTAGTACTACGAACTTTTAGTAGCTCGCGCACTAACGTCGACTTACACGCCTGATATCTAAGAATCCTGATATATATATTTTTTATTTTTTCCTATCTCGAGACCTACTACATCGTACCGAATCACGTGGAAAGAGACCTCGCGTCGCTATTACCCGCGCCGCTGATAAACTCAAACCCTTCCGAACGCCGCCTCGAGTCGCGGCTTCGCCGCAGCCTCATCATCTTTCGCCGCTTCCACGATGGCGACAAATCGCGATTGGCCGACGGTGGCAATGCTTCTTCTATGCAGTACGCTGACCTTATGGGGAGCGATGACCGCTCCGGCGCAGGGACAGACGATTGATAAAAGCCAGTGTGAGTGCAACGGGAGGCCTCAGGTCGTGCAGCCGACGCAGAAAGAAGGGGGATCTTGGTTTGAAAGCTGGAGTCGTCATGGTCTTATCATGAGCCATTTGAAGTCATCCCAAGCTAGTTGAGCCAGTTTAGCCAGTTGAGCCACAATGAGCCATCATGGGCCATCGTGAGTCATCATGAGCCATCATGAGCCATTATGAGCCATCTGAGCCATCATAAGCCACCATGAGTCATCATGAGTCACCATGAGTCATCTTGAGTCATCTTGAGTCATCTTGATTCATCATGAGTCATCTTGAGTCATCTTGATTCGTCATGAGTCATCATGAGTCATCATGAGTCATCATGAGTCACCATGAGTCACCATGAGTCATCTTGAGTCATCTTGATTCATTTTGAGTCATCTTGAGTCATCATGAGCCAACATGCGTCACCATGAGCCAACATGCGTCACCATGAGTCTTCATGAGTCATCATGAGCTATCTTGTGTCATCATATAAGGCATCATTAGCCCTCAAGAGCCATGTTCAGCCATGTTGAGACATCAGAAGTCAATACGAGACTCGTCATGAGTTGTGACTCGGCATGACCCACTCCTCTCCCGCCTTTCCCCACAACGTCTTTACTCCCTTTCTTCCCCCCATGGTCTCCCGATCCACCTCCCCAAATTACCCCATTCCCCCCACCCTCCCCTTTCTCCCTTTCCTTCATCCCCTGCCCCCCCATCCTCCCCCCACCCAACACGCTCCTCCATCCTGCCTGCCTCATGTCGCATGCTGACGTCAGTGCAAGCACTGTGGGACATGCAGACGTCATGGGGGGTGACGTTCGACCAATGGGACACCAACGGGGACTGCAGCGTTGCCTACAACATATCATGCAATGCTAAGGGCATGGTGTCGTGGATGTACGTGGTGCTGACGTGGCATGTGAGGCCGCGACTTTGGTTTGGTTTCTGCATGGCCGTGGTGGACTGTGGCATGGTGCGTGTCGCACGCAGGGTATGTAGTAGTGGATCAGATGACGTGGCATATCGTGACATCGCATGAACTCGATGACGTGGCATATTGTGACATCGCATGAACTCGATGACGTGGCAAGCTGCTGTGACCAGCATGTATTTGTCGGTTGTGTGTTGCTCCGGAGCCAGGCCCATTTGGCAGTTGCATGGGTGCATGCATGCATGCATGCATGCACGCACGCACACACGTCCATGAACACACACACATACATGCCCATATGCATGCATGCAAGTATTTTCGTCCTGCATGGCCCCACCCCCAGTCCCAACCCCGCACACGACCCACAATGCAGAGAGCTGACAGGGCTGAATTTTGAAAGGCCGCTGTTTGTTGCCACTCCCTCTCCTCCCCCACTCCCACCCCCCTGCACACGGCCGTAAAATGCAGAGAGCTGACGGGGATGAATCTGGGAGGGCCCCTGCCCGCCACCATTGGTGACCTGGTGGCTCTCTCGCACCTGTGAGTTCTGCCGCTTGTTTCATGCTGCTGCAAATGATTGTGGCTGTTGTTTGCTTTTTGCTGCTGCTGCTGCTGCTGCTGCTGCTGCTGCTGCTGCTGCTGCTGCTGCTGCTGTCTTGCTTGGTGGCAGCATCCGCCATTGGTCAATCACCAACTCGCTGACCATTGCCCGCTGTCGCCCGTTCGCCGTTGACCATGCCCATCCACAATTGACCATTGACCATTGACCATTGCTTGCTTGTTTTGTGGGACGATGGTGGTGCCAGGACATTGGATAGGGACGGCATCACAGGCCCCATCCCATCCACCATTGGCCAGCTCACTGCCCTCACCTGGTTGTGAGTGCTGGTACTTAGCGACAATATCTGAGCCACTTTTGAAGCAACTATTCACTAAATCCACTTGCATGCGAGTGCCTGAGCTGCTAGTGGCAGCAATCGTGAATATAGTGACTTTTGAGTCGACTCAAAAGTCACCTCGTGGCAGCAATTGTGAATATGGTGTAAATGCGCGGGTGGAGTGAAATAATTATAAGATGCACTCCTCCCTCCTCCCCCCTCTCCCTCCCCCCCGTACCAGTGTTGTCTTTCTAGCCCTCTCCCCCCTCCCACTCCTACTCGATGTTCCGTTCCCCTTTCCCACGCTCACAACAGCCACTTTCTTTACGTCCCACATTTCTCAGCCCAAATTCCCAACTCCCTCCTCCCCGTCCCTACTTGGGGTTCCCCCATCCCCGTCTCCTCCAATCAGCTCTATGGCTCGCAACAACTTTACGGGCAAATCTAATTTTGAGTCGACTCAAAAGTAGACTCGCCTACTCGCTCTCCAATCCCCCCTCCTTCGCCCCGTCTCCTCCAATCAGCTCCATGGCTCGCAACAACCTCACGGGTAGCTTTCCAAAGACCTTCACCAACCTGGTCAACCTGAGAGACGTGTGAGTCAAGTCAACCCAAGTCAACGCAAGTCAATTCTAGGCAACGCAAGTCAACTCAAGTCAACTCAAGTCATGCGTTCTCTTGTCTTTTCAGCCTGCCTACAAAAACTTCATGACAAGCGCACACTAACCTTGCCTCTCTTCTCGCCTCTCTCCCCACCTTTCTCCCCACCAATCCCGTTTTGCCTCCCTGATCCCTTTCCACGATTCCCTCTATGCCAACCAGGTCAGCGGTGGGATCAGCGGCCCACTTCCCACCTCTCATCTCCTAGCCTAGTTCTCTCCTCCCAATCCCAATCTCCCCCTTGCTCGATCCTCCCCTCCCCACTCCCGATCCTCCATCGCAGTTCCATATATGCCAACCAGCTCAGCGGCCCTCTTCCCGACTTGAGCCTCTTCCCCAACCTGCTCCAATGGTGCACATCCTTTCTTGGATCCAACCCAACTAGTTTGGAACATTGTTTTTGAGTCGACTAAAAAACCAACCCCTCTTCCTGGCTTGAGTTTCTTCCCCAGGCTGCTCCAATGCCATGGTGCGAATCCTTCATCGTAACTTAATCAGGGTAATGAGTTTGCAAGACGAACGAACCATATCTTTATGTAATTTGTCCAAGTCAAATCTTCCAACTATGAAGGGCCCAACTGACTAATTCCCTGTAAGACATTTTTCACTCTCCGTTTTGAGTTTGAGTCGACTCAAAACTTGAAAGTGATTAGATGGAGGCCTCGGCTGACTAATTCTCTTTAGGGTTTTCTGCAATCTCCGTTTCGTCTCTTCCAACTCGTTGCTGCCACTCAACTCAACTCAACGGAACAGTCACAACGTGTACACACACACACACGCACGCACGCACGCACGCACGCACGCACGCACGCACGCACGCACGCACGCACGCACGCACGCACGCACGCACGCACGCACGCACGCACGCACGCACACACACACACACATGCACATGCACATGCACATGCACAGGCATTTACTTCTCACATACTTCTCTGCACTTGTGCTCGTAACGGGCGTGCCTATGGCAGGGGGTCATCAGGCAACAGTCTGGCAGGGCCGATACCGTCACGCATTGGCGCCTGCACTGAATTGATAGCCCTGTGGGTGGCGTGCGGTAACCTGTGGTAGGGTGCGGTAGCCCACGGTAATGCATGGTAGCCTGTGGTAATGCGCCTATGGCAGGGGGTCATCGGGCAACAGTCTGGCAGGGCCGATTCCAACACGTTTTGGCAACTGCAGAGAAATGATTGCCCTTTGGGTGATGTGCGGTAGACTACGGTAGTGTGCGGTAACCTATGGTAATGCGAGATAGCTTATGGGTGCGATAGCCTATGGTATTGTGCGGTAGCCTATGGTAATGTAAAGTAGCCCATGGTAGTGTGGTAGCCCATGGTAATGTACGGTAACCCATGGTCATATAAGTTATTCCACTTCAAACTCTCTGCCGAACTCTCTCTTGCACCTCCAACTCTCTCCACCTCTCGCCTCCCCAGTTACTTGTAGAGAAACTGACGGGAAGGTAACATTGCACTCCCCTTATTATAGGGCACCTCAAAATCAAACCTTGCATACCTCCCCTCCCCTAACAACCCCATGTTCTCCTCTCCCCAGGTACCTGCAGGGTAATTGTCTGTAAGAATTGCACCCAGCATTGCACTCTCCCCAGCATTGCACACTCTGTTTCGAAACACCTCAATCAGACTCTCGCTACCCTCCGCCCGCCCCCCGTTCCAACCCTCCACTCGTCTGTCAGACGAATCCCTTCCCATCATCCCCGCCGTGTTCTCCCCAGGAACCTGCAAGGGATCCGTCTGTCAGGCTGCATTGCATGCTCTCTCTGTAGTTCCTTGAGAAATCCTAAAAACACGCGGACTCTGTTTTGACGAGCCCCAAAATCAGACTTCCCCTCTCCCCCCTCTCTTCCCCCAACCCCCCCAACCCTCCCAAACATCTCCCCCCCACGTTTTCTCCAGGTACTTGCAGGAGAACCGCCTGTCAGGCAGTATTCCAGAGCTGACTTTTGAGTCGACTCAAAAGGTGACTTTTGAGTCGACTCAAAATGACTTTTGAGTCAACTCAAAATTTTTCTCCAGGTACTTGCAGGAGAACCGTCTGTCAGGCAGTATTCCAGACTCTGCTTTGGTCTGGGATTGCCTTAAAAACAGGCTCCCGCACAACCACCCTTTCTCCCCTCCCCAACCGATATCTCCCCCAGGTACCTGCAGGAGAATCAGCTTTCAGGAAGTATCCCAGACTCCATCACAGCGCTAACCAGTCTCACACACATGTAAGAAAGGTGACTTTTGAGTCGACTCAAAAGACTCCATCACAGCGCTAACAAGTCTCACACACATGTAAGAAAGCAGACGCACCCTATGGCCTTATCAGCCTATGGTACTATGCGTCTCTTAACCCTCTACCCTTCTTCACACCCCAGGACCCCTTTTTTTCCAACAACATCTCTTTCTAAAACCCACCCCCTCCTCTCCCTCTTCCCCCCGTACTATTCTCCCCACTACTACTACCCTCCCCCCTATTACTCCCCTCCCCCCTACTACTCACGAATACCCCTCCTTCCTCCTCCTCTCTCCTCGTGCTCTTCCTGCCCCTCAACCCCACCCCACCCCACCCCACCCCACCCCACCCCACCCCACCGCAAGGACCGTTCATACAACAATCTCTCTTGGGAAATCTCTAGTATCTTCCCTTCCCCCTTCGCTCTCACTCCCCTCTCTTCGTGCTCCACCCCACCCCACCCCACCCCACCCCACCCCACCCCACCCCACCCCACCCCACCCCACCCCACCCCACCCCAGGGACCTTTCATACAACAGTCTCTCTGGCAGCATACCTTCCAGCATTGGCAACCTTAGCTGGCTCACCTCTCTGTCAGTCAACTTTTTGCTAGTTTACAGGGCTTGATCTCTGTCAACGCTTTTGCTCTCAGTCTTAACAATAGTCCCTGCTCTCTCTCTCTCCCTTCTCTGCCTTCACTTCCCACTCTGAGTCTGTGACAATCTCAAACAGCGTCACCTTCCCAACCAACTTGGCTTGTCCCTTTTTCTCCCCTCCGCCCCTCCCCTTCTCTCCCAACTCCCACTTCCCCACCACCCCTACCAGAGCATTGAAGGAGAATCGCATTGGTGGCACCATTCCGGATTCTCTGACCAACCTTGTAGCGTTGTCCCACCTGTGCGTATTCACACCACTGTTGATTCTTGACGCGCCTCAGAAACGCACAGGAATTGCACGAGCGGCGTCGTTTAGAATTCTGTCAGCAACCTTGTAGCCTTGTCGCACCTGTGCGTATACCACACCATACAAAAAATGTGCATCAAACATTGTTGAAAAGTGCCTCAAATATACACAGCAATTGCATCGGAGGCATCGTTCCAGATTCTCTCACCCACCTCGTGGCCTTGTCGCACCTGTGCATCTGCGTCTCACCTTCTTGAAGCTGTAAAGCAGTAACTTGAAAATGTAATTCATTAGCTTGAAGATGTAACTCACTAAGCTAAAGATGTAACTCACAAACTTGAAGATGTAACACAGTAACTTGAAGATGTAACTCACAAACTTGAAAATGTAACACACTTACTTGAAGATGCTACAGACTCACTCACCTATTGTACAATCTCTCCTGAAAGCCTTTTTTCAAATGCAGTGACCTCTGTAAGAAGTCACCTACCCATCTTTTACAAGAAGTTTTCCTCCCGAACCCTCGTTCACATGCAGTGACCTATCTTACAACAACCAGCTCTCAGGGACCCTCCCCTACAGCATTGGTAACCTGCAGAAGCTCGTCGACCTGTACGTAATTTCCTTTCCCTCCTTTTCTGAGAATTCTCAACGCGTCTCAGCGGCCCTGCCTGCCTGCCCTACAGCATTGGTAACCTACAGAAGCTCGTCGATCTGTACGAGAATCCCCCCTTTCTCTATTTGAGGCGCCTAAAAAACACCCTTTAAAATTGCTCTTCGCAGGTTCTGAGACACCTCAAATCTAAAGAGTACCTTCCGGATCCCTAAAAATATTGGCAGCACAGATTCGCAAAATCACGCCATATCATCTTCGTGTGCTGCATTATACGCCCCCCACCACCAACCCCCATCCATCCCCCCTCCCCAGCTATGTCGGCAACACGGACATGCAAGGGAGCCTGCCCGAGACCCTTGCGACAATGACCAACCTCGAAACCATGTAAGGCATGACTATCCATCTCGCCCTCCCTTGCAACCCTGTAAGCCTGTAACCCTATGAACTTGTAACTTTGTGAACTTGTAACCCTGTGAACCTGTAACCTTGTGTACCTAACCCTGTAACAAAAGACCTTGTTGAACACATCTCCATCGTCGCTTCCCGTGCCTGTTCTTCTCTGCCCTCTCACATTTCAATGCACATCCTATGCCCTTGCCCTTGCAACATCCTATAGCGGGTCGTGGGCGTGCCATTTGCCACGTCCCACCATGCCCCTACCCTACCTCACCCCCACCATGCAGCTGAGGCGCCTCAAAAGAGGCCATGTAGCCCCGCCACTGCTATTACCAGGGTTACTAGAACCCCACTAAGCCAGTACCACGGGCTGCCCATGCCATGCCTGCAGGTCATATGACGGGCTGCCCATGCCGTGCCCCACAGGGCGTGTACCATTGTCACCACCACTACCTACTTCTGCTCCGACTGTTTTGAGACGTCTCAATCCTGTTACTCTACCCCTCTTTACCCTACCCCTCTTTACCCTACCCCTCTTTACTCTACCCAACCACTGCAGGTCATACGATGGGCTGCTCATGTCGTGCCCCACAGGGCCGTGCACCGTTGACGCAGTCAACACCACCTCTGTTCCGACCCTGACTGCTGTAAGGCGTCTCAAAACTGCTCCCTTTCCCAATATCCCACCCTCCACTGCAGGTCATACGACAGCCTGCTCATGTCGTGCCCCACAGGTCCCTGCACCGTTGATGCTGTCAACACCACGCTCTTCTGCTCTGACTGCTCCGCCTTCTGCTCCTCCTGCAGCGCCACGCCTGGTAATGGCAGCGCCACGCCTGGTAATGGCAGCGCCACGCCTGGTAATGGCAGCGCCACGCCTGGTAATGGCAGCGCCACGCCTGGTAATGGCAGCGCCACGCCTGGTAATGGCAGCGCCACGCCTGGTAATGGCAGCGCCACGCCTGGTAATGGCAGCGCCACGCCTGGTAATGGCAGCGCCACGCCTGGTAATGGCAGCGCCACGCCTGGTAATGGCAGCGCCACGCCTGGTAATGGCAGCGCCACGCCTGGTAATGGCAGCGCCACGCCTGGTAATGGCAGCGCCACGCCTGGTAATGGCAGCGCCACGCGTGGTAATGGCAGCGCCACGCCTGGTAATGGCAGCGCCACGCCTGGTAATGGCAGCACAGCACCAACAACAGTAGCAGGTAGCTGTAAGAACTTGAGATAGAAGTGATCCATTACGTAATGAGCTTAAGGCGCTTAAGTACATCAGAAATGAGCCAGGAATGGATGGGGAGGGAATCAAGGACAATTCCGATGAGATCGGGTGACATCCCCGATTGGTGGGTTGAAGATTTCGCTTCATCACATCTGGATTCTGGATGGGGTTGGGATGTGTGTGTGTACGCCCAACCCACACAAACTATAAACTACGCTGAACTAGGATATGAAAAGTGCAAGTACAGAACCTGAGGTTGAGGGCTAGTTGGAACATGGTTGTGAGCTAGTCCTTCCTGTCCTGAACATGTGAACATGGCTGTGAACATGAGTCTACGCACATGTGCTCATGTCGGGAAAACGTCCTTTTTCTTTTCTCTCCTCTGTTCCTCCCCCCACCTCTTCCCCCACCTCTTCCCTCACCCCTTTCCCCACCTCTTCCCCCACCGTTCCCCCCACCTCTCCCCCCACCAGCGCCACCCTCCACTTCAGCCCCGGTTAGCCCTCCGCCCCCCCCCCATCTTCCTTTCCGTCGCTGCCTGCCCCGTAAACAACCTTCCTTTTTCCATTTCTCTGCTCTGCTCCCCCCCCCCCATCTCTTCCCCCACCTCTTCCCCCACCGTTCCCCCCACCTCTCCCCCCACCAGCGCCACCCTCCACTCCAGCCCCAGTTAGCCCCCCGCCCCCACCATCTTCCCTTCCCTCGCTGCCTGCCCCTTCCCCCTCTGAGGGGGGAGGGGGGGTGTCGACGGGGGTGGTGGTGGGGGTGGTAGTGGGGGCTGTGTTGCTGCTGCTGGCAGTAGTGCTTGTAGCGGCGTGCTTGTATCAGAAGAAGCGCAAGGCGAGAGCAGCAGCAAATGAAGGTGAGGCAGAGAGGAGGGTGAGACAGGGAGGGTGGTGAGGCAGAGAGGAGGGTGAGACAAGGAGGGTGGTGGGGTTGGTAGTGGGGGCAGTGGTGCTGCTGCTGGGAGTAGTGCTGGTCGCGGTGTGCTTGTATCAAAGGAAGCGCAAGGCGAGAGCAGCAGCGATTGAAGGTGGGGAAGAGAGGAGGGTGAGACAGGGATGCTGGTGGGGTTGGTAATGGGGGCAGTGGTGCTGTTGCTGGGAGTGGTGCTTGTAGCGGCGTGCTTGTATCAGAGGAAGCGCAAGGCAAGAGCAGCAGCAAATGAAGGTGAGGCGGGGAGGAGGGTGAGACAGGGAGGAGGGTGAGACAGGGAGGAGGGTGAGGCAGAGAGGAGGGTGAGACAGAGAGGAGGGTGAGACAGGGAGGGTGGTGGGGTTGGTAGTGGGAGCGGTGGTGCTGCTGCTGGGAGTGGTGCTTGTAGCGGCGTGCTTGTATCAGAGGAAGTGCAAGTCGAGAGCAGCAGCAAATGAAGGTGAGGCAGAGAGGAGGGTGAGACAGGGATGGTGGGGGGGTGGTGGTTGGAGCAGTGGTCCTGTTACTGGCAGTGGTGCTGCTTGCGGTGTGCTTGTATCGTAGGAGGGTCAAGGTGGAGCATAGGGGTAGGTGAGGCAGAGAGGAGGGTGGGGCAGAGAGAAGATTGGGGCAGAGAGGAGAGTGGGGCGGGGGGGAATGTGAGCGAATATCTCAAAACACATAAAAGTGTGAAGTAGCTGCTCTGAACGATTACTTCTGCACTTGTTCCCATCCCCTCCTCTCCCTCACAACCCCTTTATCCTCCCCACCCCGGCAGCAGCAGCAGCAGCAGCGGCGGGGATACAAGGCAACCAGCAGTGCCAGCGCTACCCCTTGGCTGACGTGCAGCAGGCGACCAACAACTGGGCGGAGGGCAACCGGCTCTGAAGAGTCACTCTAACGCCACTGTTACTTATTCCCTGCCACTGCCGCTACTCTTGCACTTATTCCCTTCCTTCCTCCAGCGGCAGCGGCAGGCATACAAGGCAACCAGCAGTGTCAGCGCTACCCCTTGGCGGACGTGCTGCGCGCAACCAACAACTGGGCCGAGGCCAACCAGATTGACAGAGTTGTTTTCAGGAGTCGGCGTTACTGCTGCCCTAACTTCCCATCGCCCCTCCCTTTTCTCCCCCAGCAGCAGCAGCAGCAGCGGGGATACAAGGGAACCAGCAGTGCCAGCGCTACCCCTTGACGGAAGTGCAGCGGGCGACCAACAACTGGGCGGAGGCCAACCGGCTTCAAAGAGTCGCTTTCACCGTTGCTGTTTCATTTGTCCCCCTTCCCTCCCACCTTTCATCCTCCAGCGGCAGCGGCGGGCATATCAGATGGTGGGCAGTGCCAGCGCTATTCCTTGGTGGACGTGCAACGGGCATTGAGGCGCTTCAAAAGTTGTACCATTTCTCCCATACAACCCCCGACAGCAGCAGCGGCAGCTGGGATATCAGGCGGCGGGCAGTGCCAGAGGTACTCCTTGGCGGACGTGCAGCGGGCGACCAACAACTGGGCTGAGGGCAACCGCATTGGCAGCGGCGGGTTCGGGGATGTGTACAAGGGAGTGTCGCCGCACGACCCCTCGGTGGTGTGGGCTGTGAAGCGAGCTACTGTGATTACAAGTGACTTTCGCCGAGAGGTGCATGGTGTTGTGCGGTATGGAGTGGTGCCGTGTGGTGAAATGCGGTTCGGTGTGGTGCGGCGTACCACCTAGCTAGTGTGTATGGGATTTCAGCCAGACTGGCAGCGGGGAGGTTGGGAATGTGTTCAAGGGAGTGTCGCCTCATGACCCATTGGTGGTGTGGGCTGTGAAGCGAGCCACTGTGATCACAAGTGACTTCCGCTAGGAGGTGCGCTGTGTGGTTGGGTGCGGTGCTGTGCGGTGAGGTGAGGTTTTGTGTGGTCTGGTGGGGTCAAGGGTTCGGGGACGTGTTCAAGGGAGTGTCGCCTCATGACCCATAGGGAGGTGTGTTGTGGTGCGGTGCGTGGGTGTAATGCAGTTGTGTGTGGTGTGGTGTGCCGTGCACTCTCCTTCTCCCTTCCACCCTCCACACCTCGCCCTCCCCCAACCCCTCTCTACCTACTCCCTCCCCCCTCCCATCTTAGATCAACGAGATGGCATCAAAGCACTACCCCAACCTCGTGCGGCTATTGGGCTACTGCATCGAGGTGGACAAGGCGGCTGAGAGCACTCAAGAGGGCATATTCCCACTCTCTCCACTCTCTCCCTCCTGTTTGAAGAAGTGTTTTGAGACGTCTCAAAACACTTCTTCAAACACGTGGCTACTCTCTCTACTCTCTCTACTCTCTCCTTCCTCCCTCCCACCACAGATCAACGAGATGGCATCAAAGCACCACCCGAACCTCGTGCGTCTGCTGGGCTACTGCATCGAGGTGGACAAGGCAGCTGAGAGCACGGAGCAAGTACTCATCTATGAGTTCATGGATAACGGGGACCTCGAGCGGTGGATCGGACCAGGTGTTGAGAGGCCGCTGACCCTGCGGCAGCGCTTTGACGTGCTCATTGGGGTGGCTCAGGGCCTGCAGTACCTCCACAGCTTCAACATTGTGCATCGTGACATCAAGCCCGCCAACATTCTTCTTGACAAGAAGATGCAGGTAAGACATGGGGGTGAACAGTGAATCGTAGACTATTGGGGTGGCTCAGGGCCTGCAGTACCTCCACAGCTTCAACATTGTGCATCGAGACATCAAGCCCGCTAACATTCTTCTTGACAAGAAGATGCAGGTAAGACATGGGGGTCAATGGTGAAGGTAAATTATCGGGGTGGCTCAGGGCCTGCAGTACCTCCACAGCTTCAGTATTGTTCATCGCGACATCAAGCCTGCTAACATCCTGCTCGACAAGAAGATGCAGGTGAAATATTGAAAGAATCGGTAGAGTTTTAGAATATAAAGATATAGAAATATATTACGAGTCTGTCCCCCGCTCCCTTCCCTTGTCTCACATCTCCCCTTTCCTCAGGCCAAGATAGCTGACTTTGGGCTCGTGAGGATGGGCGACGGCACTGCCGTGGGTCATACGCGGGTGATGGGAACACCAGGCTATGTGGATCCTGCATACTTCAAATCACAGAAGGCCACGCCAGCAGCCGACGTGCACAGGTGAGAACCTTGTTGACTGTGGGTTCAGGGTGGTATAAGCCGGTGGAGTGGTGTGGTGATGTTGAATGTGATCAGATTTCTGCCCGCAAGGCTCAGGACTGCTTGGAAAGCCGTCACATTTGATAGTCAAACCCATGCCACTGTGCCCGTGCCCACTCCCCAACCTCCCCTCTGGCTTCAGAGTGGTGTTGCTGCTAGTGATCAGGTCACTGCACGCATTGCACTGGACTGCTTGAAAGAATGTCGGAGGTAACAATCCGTTTCATGCCACTGTGCCCGTGCCCCTCCCCACCCTCCTCTCCAGCTTTGGAGTGGTGATGCTGACAGTCATCACGGCCCGCAAGGCTCTGGACTCCTTGGACGACAATCAAGTCAACCTCAAGAAATGGGTGAGTTCATACTCGATGGAGAGAAGGCAATGTTGTTGTCGTTGTTGTCGTCGTTGTTACATGTGAAATTGATTACTTTTATAATTCTCACTATTGATACAATGATCATGAATATTTGTTTTACTGTCATGACTAATAATGTTATTATCACCACGATTGCTATTATTAGTACTTTCAATCATGTCATTCCATTCATGCCCTTCCCCACCTTCAGGTGGAACCATTGTTGGAGGCCGGGGATGCAGATGCCATCAAGGATCCGCGTCTAGACGCTCCCAGCGACCTCATCCTCAAGCTCGCCCGCTTCGCCCTCTCCTGCACCGCCACGCCCGTCGCCACCCGCCCCTCCATGGCGCGCATTCTCTCCGACCTCATCGCCATGAAGGAGGAGTTTCTCGGCGCTGACGTGGACCCTGTATTGGTGAATATTGATAGTGGCTTGGCGGATCGCAAGGCGTCGAACTTCTCGCAGGAAATTCGGCGGGCACATGAGGTGGCCTCGGAGCGTGAAGGCGTGTCGGGTTTGAGCATTGGGATGGTGTCAATTGGGGAAATGGGTTCCTCTGATAGTGGTGTATGAGTGTGGTGTGTGGTGTACAACGCTACATTTAGAGCAGGTTTGACCTGAGCCCTTTAGAGAGCTTGAGATTCTCCTGGTACCGTAGTTTCGACTAGCAGGTGAGGTCTGGTATGTAGCTTTTATTGATGTGTGTAATCCTCTCGTTACCTGAAGTTGTGCAAGGCCCAGACGGAACGAAATGCAGGGAGTCTGAGGGCAGGCCTTGCACACCAAGTTGGCCATCTGCTTCTAAACACATAATATAATATATTGCTGGATTTTTCTATCGACAAATATATTCAGTTAGATCCGTTACAAGCTAGCAGACGGGCCCGCTTCCAGCCAGTCAACGAAGTCGTGACGACAAGCCTTGCTGGCTGTAACACGTGTCGCCACCGTGGTTGACAACGCAGATTGGTCACCTTATGATTTTGCTCCACAGAGCTCGGAGTTTTCCACGCTTGGGTGGAAAGCTGGCACGCGGTGGTTCGCGGAGCCCCAGCTTGGTTCCCCGCTACTGTACTCTTCCCCAGCTGTACTCTTCCTCCGCGACCCCACCAAACACCTGCCCCTCGCTCCGCCAACCTTCCTTCCCCATTCTCCCCGTTCCCCGCTCCCCGCCCCTTCACCCGTTTCCGCCTCCCCCGTTCCCGCTCTTCCCTTCCCCTCGCCGCAGATCTACCCACCAGCGCAACAGCAGAACGCACATACACACCAACACAAGCGCGGGGAGGGCGCAACTGTCGAGTTTGCCCCACGGCGGCTTTTCCTCCCCGGCTCGGCCTGAATTGGATTCTTTCATCAGCTGTCAGCGACGCTCGTTCCATTCCAGCATTTCCCGTGGCGAAGGTTCTGCTGTCCTTCGCCGCGAGCTACTATTCGTCGCAGCCTTCGCAAGAAATTACAGCGGCATTCGTAGCAGGCAACAGCCGCCCCCCGCCATACATCCCGCCGCGTTTCGCGCTGCATCCTCCGCAGCCCAGGCAAAACACCCCGCCGCCGCATAACACGCTACATCCGCCATCTTCCACGCTGCCATCCCGCCTAGTCGCGGGGTCTCTCCACAAACCGCAACTCGCGCTACATCATCGTCCCACGCGCCGCGGCGCCACTCGCGCAAACAGTTCGTCACTCGCCCATTCGCGTTACATCCCGCCCATTTTGCGTTACAGACCGCCCATTCTAGCGAGTCGCTACAACACGTCTCTCGCGATACAACCCGCCACTCTCTACAACGCCCCCGCGCCGCCCTGCTCGAGCCGCCACGCGGCATTCGCGCTACAACCGGCCGCCCGGAGATGAGGACGAGTCGCGGCATGTCCGCGACACTACTTCTGGCCGTGCTGACGTCATGGAGCGTGTTTTCCGCTCCGCTGATGACGCACGTGCTGGGACAAACGATTGACAGCAGCCAATGTGAGTGTAACGGGGACACGTGGCATGAGTTCAAAAGGCGTCCTTCCTGCTAATTTCAGTGGCAATGATTTTATTCGCACATGACATGAGTGGACACGCATGGCGAGGACACGTGGCATGAAGTGGACGCGTGGCATGGCGTGGACACGTGGCAGCATGATGTTGGCGTGCACCCGCGTTTGCCCGCATTCCGATAAGCACGAACCCCACCCCCCCAACCACCCTGCGCCCTTGTCCCTTCCCCCTCGTCTCACCCTCCCCTCTTCCCCTCATCCACCATCCTTTCCGCCCCTCCCTACCCCACACCCTACTCCTATCTACACTCGCCCTTTCCCCAACCCCATGGCCCATCTCGCCTACACATCACGTACCTTCCTTCCCCCTTCCCTCCCCCTTCCTTCCCCCTTCCCCCTCCTGCTGCACCTACTCCTCCACACCATGCCACCTCATCCACTTGGCACGTCCACGTCATGCTGACGTCAGTGCAAGCACTGTGGGACATGCAGACGTCATGGGGGGTGACTTTCGACCAATGGGATACCGGCGGTGACTGCAGCACTGCATACGGCATATCGTGCAACTCAAAGGGCATGGTGACGTGGATGTACGTGATGGTGACGTGGATATATGTGATTGTGACGTGGATCTATGTGATGGTGACGTGGATGCACAAGATAGTGACGTGGATAGATACACGCGCGCACACATACGCCCATTCACGTTCTCACATACATATGGATGCGTGTACATACATACAGACTCACGCACGTGCGCTCGCAAGTGCACACACACACACACACACACACACACACACACACACACACACACACACACACACACACACACACACACACACACACACACACACACACACACACACACACATATGCACACACATACACGCGCGCACACACGCATGCATCATACGCCCACACACCCACCCACCCACACGTGAGCCCATGCAAACAAACCCACAAATACCAACTCACACGCACCCACACCCACCCATTCCCGCCATATGCTCCTGCTGCCGGCATGCCAAACCACACTTCCCACCGTACCGTCCTTATTACCCCACTCCCACCCTTGGCCCTCGCACTGCAGAGAGGTGACAGGGCAGAATCTGGGAGGGTCGCTGCCTGCCACCCACCCACCCACCCACCCACCTACCGTACTCAAGCCAACTCCCTTTTCCCTGTGCTTCCCTTTTCCCACGCACACCCACCCCCCTCTACGGCCCTCGCCTGCAGCGAGGTGACAGGACAGAATCTGGGAGGGCCGCTGCCTGCTACTATTGGTGACCTGGTGGATCTATCGCACCTGTGAGTGACTGCCGCTGGGTGCATGCTGCTTGCTGGTGCATACAATCGTGCCTGCTGCGTGCTAGGGCACCAATCGCTACCATCGGTGACCTGGTGGGTCTCTCGCACCCGTGAGTACCGCAGCATGCTGTGTGCTGCTTGCTGCGTGCATACAATTGCGAATGCGGCGTGCTGCTTGCTGCGTGCTGTTCTTAAAGCCCCACTCAAGGCACTGCCACCATCAGTGGCCTGGTGGCCCTCGCCTGCACTTATTGCCCGCAGCACATCCACACCATATTAACTATGCTCCAGCTTCTAATCCCCGCGTCAACCCCCCACTCTGACTCACAAAACTCATTCGGCCACAATCCTTCCCTTCCTCTCCCGCCTGACCCAGTGATTTGGATTCAAACGGCATCACGGGCGCCATCCCATCCACCATTGGCCAGCTCACTGCCCTCACCTGGTTGTGAGTGCTTCTCTTCAGTTTCTGAGTGCCAAGAACGAGCTTTGAGTGCTAATGCCGAGGGTTGTCTGTAACTGTTACGGTGTTGTGCGTGTTACGGTGCATGCGTGATTTCCATCCCATCCACCATTGGCCAGCTCACTGCCCTCACCTGGTTGTGAGTGCTTGCTCCAATTCCTGAGTGCTTGTTCCAATTCCTGAGTGCTTGTTCCAATTGCTGAGTGCAAATGACGAGTTGTGAGTTGCAGTACCAAGTTGTAAGTAATGATTTTGGGTTGCGATTGCAATCAACGTGTTGCGCGCATCCTTCTTTCCCTCCTCGTTCCCCTTCTCTTCCCCCCCTCCTCTCCTCTTCTCTTCTCCCCCCCCCCCCCTCCCCCCATCAGCTCCATGTGCTGCAACAGCCTCACTGCCCACTCTTCTCCCTTTCCTCTTCTTCCCCTATCACTCCTTTTCTCTGCTCCCCCCACTTCCCCCATCAGCTCCATGTGTTGCGACAGCCTCACTGCTCTCTTCTTCCCCATTCCCTCCTCTTCTCCCCCTCCTCTCCTCTTCTCTGCTCCCATATCAGCTCCATGTGCTGCAACAGCCTCACGGGCAGCTTACCAGCGACCATGAGCGACATGGTTGCCTTGAAAGACGTGTGAGTCAACCCAGTCAAACTGGTCAACGGACCTGCGAAATCAGTTAATCCATGTCACACAGGTCAAACCAATGCAACAGCTTCACGGGCAGCTTACCAGCGACCATGAGCGACATGGTTGCGATGAGAGACGTGTGAGTCAAACAAGTCAAGCAAGTCAACAGGCCAGCTCAACCAGTTGAACCAGATCAGTCAAACAGGTCTGAGGAGTACAACGGCCTTACAGGCAGCCTACCAGTGACCATGAGCGACATGGTTGCCCTGAGAGACGCGTGAGTCAAACCAGGTCAAACCAGTCAAACCATTCAAACAAGACAAGCCACTTGCGCGTCAAAGCTTCCTTGTTGGAGGCTATATTCTTAGATCTCTCAAGAAATCAAGACTTCCTGGAAATATGGCAATACGATTTAAGCATCCCGTGTGTGTGTCTGGTCTGTGTGTCTGGTGTGCTATGCTGTGTCCCTTGTGCCTCTCTCACAGTTCTCTCTTCTCCAACCAGCTTACAGGGGAGCTTCCCACGATCAGCGTCCTTCCAAACCTAGAAATATGGTGATTTTTATTCATTCCTTCAGTGAGCATTGATCTCGGGTGCTTACGTGTTTCTGAGGGATTTCTGGGACCTTAGCGCAAAATGGGGTCTTTGCCCGTTTTAGGTACCTTACAGCGCCTTTGCACCCACTGTCACCACTTCCAACCACTTTGTACCACTTCTCACCAATTGTCACCACTTCTCCCAACTTTTCACGACTGCTGAGTGAGCACTGCATATAACAGCTGTCACGTGGTGGTGTGCTGGGTCGAATCAGCAGCACCGTTTGAGTCTCCTTATAACGGGGATAAGGGGTTGCTCGCATTGCATCCATCCATCCAATGAGCCTTTTAACAACAGGGGACCATCTGACAACAAGCTATCAGGGCCGCTGCCGTTCTACAATGAGTGGCACTTCTCTATAGCAGATACCTGTGTATCGAATCTGCCTATAACAGGGATGAGCGGTGCTTGCATTGCATTGCATTTGAATCAACCTTTCAACAACAGGGGGTCGTCCGACAACAAGCTATCAGGGCCGCTGCCATTCTACAATGACACTTCCTTATAACAGATGCCTACTTATTGAATGTGCTTATAACAGGGATAAGCGGGTGCTTGCATTGCATTGCATCCATCCATCCATTCAATGAAACCTTCCAACTAACAGGGGATCATCCGACAACAAGCTATCAGGGCCGCTGCCATTCTTCTCCGCAGCGTCTCCTGTACAGCAAACCACCGGGATCGCCTCGACAGCCATGAAAGCAATGTGAGCACAATGTAGCCTGGTCCCGGTCAATTTAACAGCCCAGCAGCATATTGGTATTTAATATCCTGAATTTAATTGCATTCTGAGTTCATTCAAAACGCCCTTTTTTTCCCCTCCCCCTCTTCCCTCCCCTCACCAGCTACTTACAGAACAACATCTTGGAGCTTGGCATTCCGGATGCAATCACCCTCTTGACCGAGCTCACGCACGTGTGAGTGTGCTTCAGGCTTGCTGGCTTTTGGGGCGCCTCAAAAGCCACTCAACTATCACCCTTTTGACTGCGCTCACGCTCGTGTGAGTGTGCTTCAGTCTTGCTTGGCTTGTGGGGCGGTAAACGTGTGTGTGTACAACAATGCTTGTTGAAGCTGCAACAATGCTTGCGTCAGTCTTGGGAGACTTGTTGCAGCTCAGTGACTGCATGCATTTCTCCCAACAATGCTTGCATTGCTGCAGCTCCATGCCGTTATGCTCGTGCGACTTATCAAACAACCAGCATGCAAGATCTAAAGCTACTGAAATACCTACAGTGAACTCTTTTCAAGTCTTCTCTCCTCTCCACTCCTCTCGCCCCTCCTCTCCTCATAGCGAAGTTACTATCCTCCCTCACCGCCCAGTTCCCCTGAACAATCCCATCAGATCGTTTCTCGCTCTCCTCATTTCCCTCCTCTCTTCTTCGTTGGGAACCCTCACCAGAAATCGTTCCGCTCCCGTTCATCTCATGTCCGTCCAGTGATTTCGGCAACAACCGGCTCACAGGGGAGTTGCCGGCCGACATTGGCAACCTGCAGCAGCTCACCTACCTGTGAGCTGTTTTCGTTTACTCTACCTGAATTTCAGTGGTTATGTTAGAATTCCTTTGGGTTCAAAGTGATTTCGGCAACAACCGGCTCACAGGGGAGTTGCCAGCCGACATTGGGAACCTGCAACAGCTCACTTACCTGTAGGTTGCCTCTCACTGGTTTGCTTACCTGTTTGCTTTTCCATTGAACGGACAAGGAGTTGCCAGAGAAACAAAGTGATTTCGGCAACAACCGGCTCACAGGGGAGTTGCCGGCCGACACAGGAAACCTGCAGCAGCTCACTTACCTGTGGGTGGTTTGCTCTCAATAGGTAATGAAACACTAGCAGATAATAATAATAATATTATTAGTATTATTACTATTTCTACAGTAATAACCTGCAGAAAGCTCACCCACATGTGGGTGTTTCAAGCGCGTGTGCACCTGAGTACATCTCGCACATCGATATGCAGTGCTACTATCTCATCTGCCGCCCATTCGTCCCTCACTTTCCTCTTCCCACCCCTCCACTCCCCTTTCCTCCCCTCCCCTCCCCTCCCCTCCCCTCCCCTCCCCTCCCCTCCCCTCAACCCCCCATACTACCCTCTCCTCCCCCGTTCTCATTGTACGAGCAGCAACATTTCGCAAAACGAGATGCAGGGATACCTCCCCCAGTCCATGGCCACCATGGAAAGCCTTGCCACATTGTGAGCTCCCCATGTATCGATGCACACACATACCGATGCATACCTGCACCGATGCAACCATGCACCCATTTTCTAGTCAACTCAGAGATACAGGGATACCTGCCCCAATCCATGGCCACCATGGAAAGCCTTGCCACATTGTGAGCGCCCATGCACCCATGCACCCATGCACCCATGCACCCATGCACCCATGCACCCATGCACCCATGCACCCATGCACCCGTGCACCCATGCACCTGTGCACCCATGCACCCATGCACCCATGCACCCATGCATCCGTGCAGCCATGCACCCATGCACCCATGCACCCATGCACCCATGCACCCATGCACCCATGCACCCATGCACCCGTGCAGCCATGCACCCATGCACCCATGCACTCCTGGCCTCCAATCCATCCCTGCGCTCCCACTTTCTGAACAGTGACTATGACTTGAACCTGTGGTCGTGCCCGCCACGTGGCTCATGCACTGTCACGCCCACCAAACCATGCACCCGTCCACTAATCCTCCCCTGCCCTCCCAATTACGACCTCAACTTGTGGTCATGCCCGCCACGTCGCTTATGCACCGTCACACCAATCAATCCATGCACCTTGCCCTCCAACCCACACCTGCCTGCCAATCCAACCCTGCCCTATTATCCTTTTTATGTCAAACAGTGACTACGACCTCAACCTGTGGTCGTGCCCGCCACGCGGCTCATGCAATGTCACACCCATCAACCTATTGCGCCCCACCCTCCAATCCACCCCTGTCCACCCATGCCCTCCTATCCTTTTTATGTCAAACAGTGACTACGACCTCAACCTGTGGTCGTGCCCGCCACGTGGCTCATGCACGGTCACGCCCATCAACACAACTGTCCTCTGCACCGACTGCTCTGGATTCTGCATCTCCTGCTCCTCTGCAGGTAGCAACTACTGACAACTCCTGCTCCTTAAGCAGGTAGCACCCACACCAGCAGGTAAACAGGTATTTGTGTTGTGCTGCGGCCCATTGGGTTCATGCACCGTCACGCCCATCAACTCAACTGTCCTCTGCACCGACTACTCTGGATTCTGCATCTCCTGCTCCTCTGCAGGTAGCAACAATAGCAGGTGATGAGGGTAATAACTGTAGCATTTGAAGCAGGTAGCAAGCACACCAGCAGGTAAACAGGTAGTTGTCCCACGGCCCATTGGGCTCATGCACCGTCACGCCCATCAACTCAACCGTCCTCTGCACCGACTGCTCTGGATTCTTACAAACTCGGCTCCTGTGTACCATCAACTGAACCATGTTTGAGGCGCGTAAAAACAAGTGCTTTTGAGCCGAATTTTGAGTCGACTCAAAACCTGGCTCCTGTGTACCATCAACTCAACCATCCTCTGCTTCTGACTCATAAAACCAGATTCTGAGTTGGGACTGAACAATCGAGCCATCTCTGACAAGTGGAATCAAAATGAGATGGGAGATAGTGATGACATAGTGTCAAACCCGATATCCTTGCCATGAACCTTTTCTGGTTAATCACCCATTTGTATGCTCATGTGTGTTTCTGTGTTTCTCTGTCTTCATGTGCGTGCGTGTGTGCGTGCTTGCGTGTGTGCGTGCGTGCATGCGTTCGTGCGCGTGTCTGGGTGCGCGCATGTGTGTGTGTGTGTGTGTGTGCGCGCGCGCGTGTGCGTGTGTGCATGCATGTGCATTTTTGCGCGCATGTTTTGTTCCCGCCTTCTCTCCCTACCAGCACCCCCGCCAGTAGAACCTCCTATCCCACCACCTGTAGTCGATTCTCCCCCTCCTCCACTCCCCTCCCCTCCCCCTCCAGCCGCCCCACCTCCTGCCCCTCCGCCTGCCGAACCTCCCACGTATCCTCCCCCTCCTCCTCCCTCCCCTCCTCCCGCTCCCCCTCCCGCTGCCCCTCCTGCCGAACCTCCCTCTCCTCCCCCTTCCCCCAAGCCTAAACTCTCCCCTCCCCCTAAGCCCAAACTCTCCCCTCCCCCTATTCCCAAACCCTCCCCTCCCCCTTCTTCCCCCCCTTCTTCTCCCTCCCCACCTCCTCCCCGTGCCATCAGCCCTGCTCCCTCCCCCAGCACTCCCCCTCCCCCCAGTGGCAACGCTCCCACCACTGGCGCAGCCCCCCCTTCCCCTTCCACCGCCCCTCCTCCCACTGGAAGTGCGGGATTCTCTCCCCCTTTCCCCCAAGGGGGGGGCGGATCCCCCCCTCCTCCCCCCCAATCTCCCCCGCCCCCCGCTTCAGGGGAAGGGGGAGGGGTGTCAATGGGGGTGGTGGTGGGGATAGCAGTGGGAGCGGGGGTCGTGATTCTGGGAGTGGTGGGTGTGCTTCTAGTGGTGTGCTTGTATCAGAAGAGGAGCAAGGATGGAGCAGGAGGAGCAGCAGGAGCAGGAGGCGCAGGAGGTGGGGCACAGGCGCCTGCACTGGGAGCTGGTGAGTCGAGATTGGGGCTGAGAAGATTGGAGTGGGTGGAAGAGCATAGGTAGGTAGCGAGTGCAAGGTGAACACATTGCCACTTCGCCTTTACATTGTACAATTTTTGAGTCGACTAAAAAATCGACTCATCACACGCGGATTGGGGCTGAGAAGATCGGAGTGGGTGGAAGAACACGGGTAGATAGTAAGCGTAAGGTGAACGAGGTACCTCCAATCGAGGCACCTCAAAACTGAGACGATTATCGAGGCGCCGCAAGAACACAGGTAAATAGTGAGGTGGGGTGGCAGGGTTGGATACGGTGGTGAGCGGTGGGGCACTTCAGCCAGAGCTGGTGATGAGGGTGAGATCAGCAGGGCTAGAGGTGGTGGCGAGTGGTGGGATGGCAGGGTTGGATACGGTTGTGAGCAGTGGGGCATTTCAGCTAGAGCAGGTGGTATGGAGGAGGTGGGAAAACCCCTCTGCTCCCACCTCCTCCATACCACCGGCTCTGGCTGAAGTGCCCCACTGCTCACCACCGTATCCAACCCTGCCACCCCACCGCTCGTCACCACTTATAACCCTGCTGTTTCCACCCTCATCACCAGCTCTAGCTGAAGTGCCCCACCGCTCACCACCGTCTCCAACCCTGCCACCCCACCGCTCGCCGCCGCCGCGTCCAACCCTGGTGCGCCGCTCCTGCCTTTTGGATGTGATCGCGGCTGCTCTGGCTGATACAGGGCGTGGACCAAACAGACTGATGAGGTTGTGGGCGGACGGGTGTGCCAAGGCGTGGAAGGTGGATGGGGATTCAGTCGGGAATGGGAAGAGCGGGATGATTCATCAGGAAGCAGCGACAGGATGAGCGGTGGGATGACACACGGGCTGTTTTAATCCCCTACCCACTCAATTTTCCTCTTTCCATTCCCACTACCTCCAGTATCAGCAGCTGAAGCAGCTGCTGCAGCGGCAGCTGCCGCAGCCGTGCCATCAGGAGGCAGTGACGGGATGAGCGGTCGGATGACGCACGGGCCGCTGCTGTGTCAGCAATACTCATTGGCTGTTCCAAACCCTTACCCACTCAAATTTGTCTTTCCATTCCCACTATCCCCTCCCCCCCCCTCCCCCCAGTAGCACCAGCTGAAGCGGCCGCTGCAGCAGCCGCAGCGGCTGCCGTGCCTTCAGGAGGAAGCGACGGGATGAGTGGTCGGATGACACACGGGGTCTTCCAGTCCCTTACCGAGTCAATTTTCCTCTTTCCATTCCCACTACCTCCAGTATCACCAGCTGAAGCAGCTGCTGCAGCGGCAGCTGCGGCAGCCATGCCTTCAGGAGGAAGCGACGGGATGAGCGGTCGGATGACGCACGGGCCGCTGCTGTGTCAGCAGTACTCACTCGCTGACGTGGCGCGGGCCACTGGTGAATGGGCGGAGGCAAATAGGATTGGCAGCGGCAGCTTTGGGGATGTGTTCAAGGGAGTGTCGCCTTATGATCCATCGGTGGTGTGGGCTGTGAAGCGAGCGCGGGTGCTGACTAACGACTTCCGAAGAGAGGTGTGTGGTGCGGTAGGGTGCAGTGTGGTGCGGTGTGGTATGCTGTGGTATGGTGTGGTGTGGAGCGATGCAATGCGGTGTACTACCACCTAGGTATTGTGGATGTTATCAATGGATTGGCAGCGGCGGCTTTGGGGATGTGTTCAAGGGCGTGTCGCCTTATGACCCATCGGTGGTGTGGGCTGTGAAGCGAGTGCGGGTGCTGACTAACGACTTCCGCCGGGAGGTGAGTGTGTGGCACGCAAGAGAGTTGGTGGTGTGGGTTGTACGTGTGAGGGAGTGTTGCTTCGCAGTGTCGTCGCATGATGCATGGGTGCTGTGGGCTGTGAAGCAGCACACCCAAGAGATCACATTCCTGTCGGTCTATTCTCTCCCCTCTCCACCCCTTCCAGGTGAACGAGATGGCCACGAAGCATCACCCCAACCTCGTGCGTCTGCTGGGATACTGCATTGACGTGGATGTGGCAGCAGAGCGCACGGAGCAGATCGTAATCTATGAGTTCATGGAGAATGGTGACCTCGAGCAGTGGATCGGCCCAGGTGAGGTTTTCCCTTCCTGTGGTGGGTGGGTGCTGCGTCCAGCCTATGCTGGGTGGACGGCTGGTTGGGATACTGCATTGACGTGGACGTGGCAGCAGAGCGCACGGAGCAGATCGTAATGTACGAGTTCATGGAGAACGGTGACCTGGAGCAGTGGATTGGACCAGGTGGGTGCAATGGTGCTTGCTATTTAGGTTTTTAAGAACGGGCAAGGTCGCGCAATAATTTCCTCCCCCCCCTTCTTCTTCTTCTTCTTCGGCTCCCAGCATACATTTATATAACTTCAGCTTATTTTCTTGCTCCTACTACCACAAACACCAGGTGTGCCTACGCCCTTGACTCTGCGGCAACGCATTGACGTGCTCATCGGGGTGGCCCAGGGCCTGCAGTACCTCCACAGCTTCAACATCGTGCATCGCGACATCAAACCCGCCAACATCCTGCTCGACAAGAAGATGCAGGTATAAATGAAGGGAGAGAGAGAAAAAATTCCAGGAAAATTTGAAAATAGAACAGGGACATTGGGTTGAAGGGAAGGCTAGAAAGAGAGCGGAAGTGGAGCGGAAGTGGAATATTCCAACATGTACTGATGAATGGGTTTTACCTGCTCCGAAGGCTATCAACATTATATTTTCCTTATTTCCCTTTTCACTGAAAGTTCAAGGAATCCTGTTTTGCTCGCCCCACGGTCCAATTTTCCCCCCTTATTTTATCCGTTTTTCGTTTTGTCATGCAGGCTAAGGTGGCTGATTTCGGTCTGGTGCGGCTGGGAGAGGGAACCACTGTGGTCGCGACGAGAGTGATGGGAACACCAGGCTATGTGGACCCTGCGTACTTCAAGTCACAGAAGGCCACCCCCATGGCTGATGTGCACAGGTGCGAATGTCAATCGTGCAAGCAAGCACAAAACATCTTTGTGTGTGTGTGTTTTTAAATAAAGCACCCGTTAAGAGTTCCCTCAAACAAAAAAAAAAGACTACCTTTTCTTCTTATTCCTCAGCCTACATTTGCTCGTTCAATGCCCTCTTCGATTGCAGTTTTGGAGTGGTGATGCTGACAATGATTACGGCCCGGAAGGCTCTAGAGTGCTTGGACGAAGGTCAAATCAACCTCAAGCAATGGGTAAGCGCACGGGCGAATTGATGGGTGGGCGGAGTGGGAGGATGAATGGATTGATAGTTGAATAAGCAAGATAGTACAGCACATTCGTAATACAGCCATACAAGCAAGGCAAGGTAAAACTAAGGCATCTCGAGCTCGGGCTCGAGCACGTGCATGAGATCTCCCGTGCTCAGGGCCTCCCCCAGGAAGGCCGTGGGGGCCGACCCGGCCGTAAACGCCGTCAAGGTCTTGGCAGCTAGCGCGGTTGCTTGCGCGCGTTGGAGCGTGATTGAGAAGCGCTGCCGGTAGGAGTGATAGATTTTTGCTGCTTCCCTCGAGGACGGCTCGGCGTTGTGGAGGCGCTTAGCGGCGAGGTTGGCGCACAGGCGGAGGAACTCCAGCACTCCAGGAGAGCAGTACCCATATGTCTCCACGGCCATGGCAAGGAAGCCGACCCATGCTGCTCGGTTGCGGTACTTGTGTTCCTTGCCCCGGGCCGCAATGGTGGCAGCGGTGCCGGGCGCTCTTCTAGCCAGAGGGTCCTGGCGGGAGATGGGGTCTGTGACAGTGATGTCGCAGAGCCAGACCGCCGACGTATCCGGGTGACGAATGGCGATGTCCGCCTTCAGTCCTTCGACTGGTGTGTACACCGTCGTCTCCACCAGCACGGCGAACCCTGCCTCGGCTGCGATGCTCGCGCATTCGTCGCGGAGGGCATTGTGTGTGCCTGTGCGACCCGATAGTTGTAAATTGGTGGATGAGTGGATCACTTATGGATTGGTGGATGGGTTTTTTTGACCCGACCCAAAAGGCTCCTCAAGCTCATGCCACGCCGCTTGTGCTTGTGGCATCTCTCCTCTTCACCTGTACACCCCCTCCCCTCTGTCCCTCAACCAGGTGCAACCCTTACTCGCCGAGAACAACGCGCAGGCCATCAAGGATCCACGTCTGGATGCTCCAAACGACCTCATCCTGAAGCTCGCCCGCTTCGCCCTCTCCTGCACCGCTACACCCGTCGCCACCCGCCCCTCCATGGCCCGCATTCTCTCCGACCTCACCGCCATGAAGGAGGAGTTTCTCGGCCCGGACCCAGACCCCCTGGTGGTTCGGATTGATAGTGACTTGGAGAACCGCCGCGGGCCGAGCTTCACGCAGGAGATCCGGCGGGCGAATGCGGTGGCGTCGGAGCGGGAAGGGTCGAGTGCAGGGATGGGATCGATAGGGGAAATGGAGTCTGTTGATAGCGGTGTATGAGTGTGTGTGTTGTGTTGCCTGGCCCCGTCCGCCATCCGCCCCTCTATGCCCCACCCGCCCGCCCCTCCATGGCTCGCATTCTCTCTGACCTCATCGCCATGAAGGAGGAATTTCGTTGATAGAGGTGTGTGAGTGTGCTGTGCTGCATGGCCACCCGCATCTCCATGCCTATAGGTGGGATGGTGTTGAGCAGGGCTATGGGATCAATGACGAGCTTTGATGTGTGAGGTGTACATTTTTTGCCATGGGGATTTGCTGATGAGCCGCTGGTAGTGGTAAAATATTGTCTTGCATTGAATGTTGGGATGTTGACCTACTGCTATGTTGCCATAGCCCTTCGGGTCATAACACCTTTCGGCCCACTTTTGTATCAAAGCAAGACTGACTTGATGAACCTTGCAGTGCTCACAGACGAATTGATCTCAGCGAGTGAAAAGCTCCACGCATGCACTTGAAGATTATTTTCAGACAATCTACACGCCATCAACAGACAGATTGCTGTAAGATGGGTCAGCACTCAGCACAACAGTGAGAGAGAATATACAAAAAAAGCACTTCAGGATATGAACTGCCTGGCATGCAGTCACTTTCTTACACTGCCTTGAGCTTCCACCTTCCTTATCCGACTCAGCAGCGACGAACCTTTTTCTTCTTGGACACATTCCGAACACTAGCATCACTCCTAGGAACTTCACCAAAGACATCATTCAATGCAGAAGATGACGTCAGTGCAGCTTGGACCAGAGCTAGTGCATGCAAAGAGAAAATGGAAAAAAAAACCTTGAAAATGGTAATCCATAATTTACATGGTTAAGAGGAATTCAGAGGAACAGCTCAGCCCATTCGGATGATAGAGAAATCCTTACATGGTCCCTGGTGACAGTTGCCTCACAACTCTCCAAATCACTCATGGACTTAACGCCCAGCTTGTTCAGCAAATGGATGCTCTTGATCGTTGAACTGGGGAAGAACTCGAGGTCGTCAGTAACCATGAAGGTGACCGCCTCCTTAACAAACCCTCCTGAAAACTGAGCACCAGTGCCTTTGTCGACAAGAGAAAGATCAGTTGTCATGCAGCAGTTACAATCGGGACACGGAGAGTTGTACTCATTCCCCACTCTATGGCGACCAGGACATGTGTACAAGTCCTCTGAGATGTCCAGAGGTTCTCCTCTGTAAGGTTTAATCCCTCGAGACATAGCCGCACTACAGTAAGGACAGCTTGCTCCTGAAACCAAAGATACATAAAAATGATTTGCGGCATGGCACGTAAAAAGCCCGCGCTTCTCCTGGCCATCAGGAAGGCACAGTTGAGCAGACCCTTCTAACGGTGAGGGATTAAGGATATTGTCCTTATCCACTTTCATGTACGAGTCGGCAAGCTTGTCTGTACTGGAAAATATGTTCAGAATCCCAATTCGGCCTTTGATCAAAATCCCGCTTTGGATGAAAAGTTTTAGCAAATTGGCCGTGGGCATTCTAAGGAGAGCCATCAAGAGATCAATGAAGTCCTTTCCAGCCTCAAGATACAGAATTTTCTTGGTTTCCTGGTAGCATAGACACAGTTAACCAGCACGTCATAGGAGAACGGACGCCTTGAAAGCAATGTGCACTGGTGGAGGCTAGGATCTCACCTTGCTGAAGAGGATACTGACATTCATCGACGCTGTTTCCGAATCGGCCATATTGACAAGGATTATCTGATAACGAAAAGATGTCACCAACCCTTTGAAAAGGAAATCACGTCGATTGTACGCCTATATACATCGGTTCCTGCTTATTGTCGACTGGCACGCCCTTACTGCTCCTATTGTTCGGAACCTGCTTATTGTTCGCCCTTACTGCCCTTAGCTCTGTTCCATGGCTCGGCTTTGCGAGCATCGGGCTCTCCAATGCCGCCGATGTTCGGTTCATCCAGCATAGTAGCTACTGAATGTCAGAACATATATTGCATATGTTTTGTATAAGTGCATGCAATCTAGCTCTAGTGTAGTCGCAACTGTATTCTGTGTGGTGGTGCACCACTCCTAGCTTGCTTCTCTTCTATTTGTACCCAACATTCCATAGTGCAAGCCCTTCTTGCTTGGACATCTCTCTTGTGTCTAGGCTAAGCCCTAGCTCCTACTCCTAACTATGCTTTCTAAGCCTAAACCTAGCTCTCTAGGTGCTTAGTATCTTGACATGGTAACAGAGCCGTTACGTCCTTGGCCTGTGGGCCCCACGATGCTTCCGCTGCTACTTCCTGCTATTTCCTGCCTGCCGCGCGCCCCGGGCGCGCGGCGATTTTTCTTCCCGCCGCGCGCTCGGGGCGCGCGGCGGTTTTCTGCCCCGTCGAACCGCGTGTCGCCCCCCGTCGCCCGTCGCGAAGCCCCAAGGGACCCGCGCGTCGCCCCCCGTCGTCCGACGTGGCCCGCGCGACCTGCGCCAGGCCCGCGCGCGGCCCGTACAGGCTGCGCCAGGCCCGCGCGCGGCCCGTACGGGCTGCGCCAGGCCCGCGCGCGGCCCGGGCAGCCCGCGCGCGCCTCGTCCGGCCTGCGGCAGGCCCGTGCGCGCGCCTCGTCCGTCCCCCGAGCTTCTGCCGGCGCCCCACCCCCGCTACTGCCCGCGTTCCTGTGTTAGGGTTTGGGGGTGGAGGGTATGGGGGTGCCGTGTGTGTGAGCCGTTTCCTGCTCCTCCTCCTCCTCCTCCGTCTCCCACTGCTGCAGCTGCCGCTGAGGGGGGTGGATGTGTGGGAGCCGAGGGTTTAGGGTTTAAGGGGGGTGCCGTGGGAGTGGAGCTAGGGGTTCAGCAGGGGGTGTGTGTCGAGGGGTGTGGGACTGTTGGGGGAGGTTGAGCGGAGGCCGCCGTCGTGTCGTCTGCAGCGCCTGTATTCCGGGGTTCTGATAGCCACCGGTAGCTCAGAGAGCCGGTTGCACCTGTCGCCCGTGGGTCCGTTGCTCCTGTCGCTGCTGATCAGACGCAGAGCCTGTTACTCCTGTATTCCGGGGCCCTTGCTCCCGGTAGCCACTAGAGCTGCACCAGAGCCGTCTGTTGCCCGTGTGTCTGCAGCTTCAGTCGTCGCCTCCACTCCTCTTCTCCTCTCACAGTCACTCCTCCTCCTCACTTCGCCTCTTCTTCTGCTGCGCCCTGCAAGGTGTACCACTTCTGGGGGTGTTCTGCACAAGGGCTATTCCTGCATGCACTTAGGGGGTGTGTCAGAACATATATTGCATATGTTTTGTATAAGTGCATGCAATCTAGCTCTAGTGTAGTCGCAACTGTATTCTGTGTGGTGGTGCACCACTCCTAGCTTGCTTCTCTTCTATTTGTACCCAACATTCCATAGTGCAAGCCCTTCTTGCTTGGACATCTCTCTTGTGTCTAGGCTAAGCCCTAGCTCCTACTCCTAACTATGCTTTCTAAGCCTAAACCTAGCTCTCTAGGTGCTTAGTATCTTGACACTGAAGGGTCAACAACGAGAGCTGGGGTATATCGATGGCTGCATGATGTACGAAGTTGTGGAGTCGTTGCCCCAGCGTATGCAAGACAACCAATGCGGCTGCGAACTCGATTGAGAGTCTAGACTGGATTCTGGGGTACGTTGGAGCCACAAGTGGTTTGGGTTCGCTCTCATTTGTTGGCACATATAAGGTGAAAAAAGGAACATAAAATGGAATATTATAGGTTCTCTGGGGGAAGGTTGCAGAGAGGTGGGAGTGGGTTGGTTGCAGAAGTAAAAGAAACAAATGAGACATCTCAAAAGAAGTACCATGCCAAGACACACGAAACCCACAAAAATCTAAACAAACTCCTACGCAAAGTCATACAGAGATTCCGCAACACGTCTTGAGCCTTGCCACACCTTGCTATTCGAAGGCATACGGATCGTTGTCAGCATCAGCGGCAGGTGGTGGAGCAACAGCAACAGTGGCCTGCTCTTCAGCCTTCTGAGAGGACTCCAGGGCATAGGGATCGTCTGAAACAACTTGAGAAACAGCTGCAGGTAGGGGCGACGGTGCTGCTGCTGTTGCATCATCAGGACCCATCGTAACAGACATATCAGCAGCACCTGCTTCATCCTCAGCAGCCGCAACAGCAACCGTTGCAGCATCTGCTGTAGCAGAGGGCTCCACAGAGCCACCTCTGAGCTCTTGATCTTGCTGATCCGCACCATCTTTGAGGTCAGCTGGGGCATTGGGAACAGCATTGGGGGCAGCATCAGGAGCAGCATCGGGAGCAGCATCCGAAGCAGCAGCGTCGGTAGCAGCTTTGGCGGCAGCATTGGTGGCGACATCGGGAGCAGCATCAGGAGCAGCATCAGGTGCAGCACATGGGGCAGCATTGGGAGCAGCAACTGCATCAGAAGAACCAGTAGCAGCAGCAGGAGCCAGAGCTTCAGCAACAGGAGCAGGAGCATCAGCATCAGCAGGGGCAGAGGCAGCAGCATCATCAGGCACCACCAGCAGCAGCAGCAGCAGCAGGAGCAGGAGCAGCAGCAGCAGGCAGCACTCGCGTTTGCCCCAAAGCAGGGTGGAAGGCGGAGGCCTCAGAGGACGAGTGCAGCGGTGCAGCAGCAGTGAGACCCACACCCAGGGGAAGCGATGCAGTGAAAAGCGGGGCAGTGCCCGGGAGAGAGTGGGACGGAGGGAGAGCGTGCGTGGCAGCAGGGGCGATCACACACACGTCACCTGCCCCAGCAGGTGCAGCGGGATCAGCAGCAGCAGCAGCAGCAGCGTCGGGTGGAGTGGCAACAGCGGCATCACCAGTAGCAGCACCAGCAGCATCAGGTAAAGGGCCACCAGTACCCGGAGCACTTTCCTCACTGGCCACAACGCCCTCCATGGGCTCAGCTGTATCAGCACCTGTGCCTTCAGCTGTACCGTCAGCCGTAGCAGTGCCTTCAGCTGTACCTTCAGCTGTAGCAGCACCTGTGCCTTCAGCTGTACCTTCAGCTGTGGCAGCACCTGTGCCTTCAGGTGTACCTTCAGCTGTGGCAGCACCTGTGCCTTCAGGTGTACCTTCAGCTGTAGCAGCACCTGTATCCTCAGCTGTAGCAGCACCTGTACCTTCAGCTGTAGCAGCACCTGTATCCTCAGCTGCAGCAGCACCTGTAGCATCAGCTGTAGCACCAACTGCAGTATCTGTAGCATCAGCTGTAGCAGCATCAGCAGGCACACTATCCACGTCCATCAAGTCTGCATTTCTGGAATCCGTAACCAAGACACCTGCTACAGGCGTAGCATCTGCAGCTGTACGCTGCTGTTGTTCTCCCCCACCACCTCCAGGCGCCAGGGTCTCTGTGTGCTGCTGCGCTGTCAACTCTGCATTGACAGCTGTAGGTGCAGGGGTTTCAGTGGCAGGGGCAGAAGCTTCAGTAGCAGGGGCAGGGCTCTCAGTGGCAGGGGCAGGGCTTTCAGTAGCAGGTGCAGGGCTTTCAGTGGCAACAGGTGTTTCCACTGCAGCAGGAGCAGAGGTAGGAGCGCTAGCCTCAAGAGGGGCTGCAGACGCTGCAGCAACGGCAACGAGAGGCTCACCGTCAGGAGAAGGATTGACTGGAGTGTCCGTGGCGTGTGCAGTGTCAGCCTCAGCAGAAGCAGCAGCATCAGCAGGAGCTGAGGCAGCAGCAACAGCATCAACAGGCGCAGCAGGAGCAGCATCGACAGGCGCAGCAGGAGCAGTGTCAACTTGAGCAGCAGCATCGGCAGGAGCTGCTGCACATTCATGAGCAGCAACATCCATAGGGGCTGCAGACGCATCTGCAACAGCAGCATGTTCTGCCTCGGCAGTGGGATGCGCAGGAGCATCAGGAGCAACAGGAGCAGCATCTGTGGGAACCGCAGCAGCATCAGCAGCAACATCCATGGCAGCTGTGTCTGTATCCATCGCACTATCAGCGGCAGCAGCTGCTGCTGCGTCGGCACCATCAGCAGCGCCAACAGCAGCTTCAGCTGCTGCTGCGTTGGCGCCAACAGAAGTAGCACCTTCTACCACACCTGCAGTAACACCAGCTGGAGCAGACTCAAGGGCTGGTGCTGGTAATGCCTCGGGACCAGCGTCAGCAACAGCGGCAGGGGCAGCATCAGCGTCAGCGGCAGCGGGAGGGGCAGAGGCAGCGTCAGCAGAAGTGGTAGGGGCAGCGTCATCAGCAGGAGTAGGGGCAGCGTCAGGAGCAGGGGCAGGGGCAGGAGGGGAAGGAGGGGCCAGTGGGGGAGGAGGGGCGGGAGGAGCAAAGGGAGACTCAACAGCTTTCACTGCTGCAGCAGCCCAGCTAGGAATCAACCCAGCAGACGCAGCCAGACCCATCATTCTACTCGCCCCAATACTCCCCGCAATCCCCCCCACACCAGCGCTGCTCCCCCCACGCCTGCCTGCTCCCCTCCCTCCCCGCCCTCTTCCCCTGCCGCCTCCCCTTCCTCTTCTTCCCCTGGTGCCATACCCTGGACCAGAGTTGTAACCGTACTGCCCGTACCCCTGATTGTAACCGCTGTGGTTGTAACCGGGTTGCCACATGTGACCTTCAGGACCCCCTGCTGCAGGTGCCCCCATGCCCGGTGTTACAGGGGATAGTCCTGGGGTTACTCCTGGCGTTGCAGGGGTCAGAGGGGTTACTTCTGATGCTGCATGCATTGCTGCTGCTGCTGCTCGTGCAGGAGCCGAAGCTGGTGCTACGGCCGAAGCTGGTGGCACAACCGAAGCTGGGGTCACAGGTGTTACAGGTGTTACGGGTGCCACTGCAGCTCCTGCAGGGGGGGCTGGGAGAGGAGAGGGTGCATGCTCTTTCGCTTGAGTATCAGGAACAACAGGCTTATCTCCTGGAACCAAGTGGGTAGCAGCTGGTGCTGTTGTTGCACTGCCTGGGAGAGGCGATTGCTCTGTCGATTTCTGTGACGCATCTTGCTGCTGCTGCTGCTGCTGCTGTTTCAGCAGCCTTGGCGGGTTGAGGTTGACCATCATCGCCAGCAACTGGAGTGTCAGCCGCAGAAGCAGCAGCAGCGCCAGGAGCACCAGCAGCAGCAGCAGCCGCACCACTACCAGCAGCAGCGTCCCCTGCAGTGGCAGGTGCTTCCTTTTCCCCAGCCTTCACCTCTCCTTCCACACCTTTCTCTCCGTCCTCTGCTTGCTTCTCCCCTACCTCCCGCTCACCTGCCACTGTCCCTCTTCCTTCACCAATGTTCTTTTCACCGCTACCATCAGTGGCATTTGCAGCACCAGCAGAGGCAGTAGCAGGGGCACTAGCAGCAGCGGAAGCGGCAGCAGTGGCATCGGGAGCAGCAGGGGCAGCAGCGGCAGCATCAGCCATAGGAGTCACACCTGTGCCGCCAGCAGCCACCGCAGCAGCATCACCCTGCTGTTCCTCCCCTCCTTGCGCCCCTGCTTGTTCGGCGCCTTTTGCACCATCACCAGCAGCAATGCTTGCATCAGACGGACCAGAAACAGCACCACCAGCAGAAGCAGCAGCAGCAGCAGCGGCAGCAGCAGCACCAAGAGCAGGAGGCGCAGCAGTGGCAGTGGTGTCAGCAGCTGCTGGACTGGCAGCAGCTGCTGAGTCAGCCACAGCAGCAGCTGTGTCTTGCTGTCTTGCAGACGCGAGTGCATCTCCCTCTTTAAGCTTTCCATCACCCTCTGCTACTTCCATCCCAACGACCCCCTCCTCTGCTTTCACCTCCCCACCATTCCACACTCCCCCCTCCGCTCCACCCTGCCCCCCTCCTCCTTCTCCCTTCCCTGCCATCTCCGTCACCATCAAATCCCAGAAGTGCGACCTCGACCTATTATGCAACGCCAAGTCACCAGGCCCGACCCCAAACCTCTTCCTCTTCCTCATCCCCCCAGCACCCCCGCCCGAAGCATACTCCCAAGCCGCGGCTGCAGCTTCGGCCGCAGCTGCAGCTTCGGGCATGCGGATAATTCCGAGCCTAGCCGCAGGAACACCCACCGCAAATGGCACCTGCCCAGGTGTGCCTCCCGGGCCTGCCTCCCCTCCTCCATATCCCCCATATCCACCTCCCCCATACCCACCTCCCCCATGTCCCCCTCCTCCATACCCCCACCCATACATCGCCTCCATTCTCGCCTGCTCAGCCGCCTGCCCATCCACTATACTCAACAACTCCTGCAACTCCCGGTCCTCCCGCTCCTCCCTCCCCTCCTCGTCCCCATTCTCCCCAGCCTCCCCCTCATCCCCGCCCCCATCCCCCCCCACAGCACTCCCTCCAGAAGCCACCACCCCTAGAACCCCGTTCTTGAGATGCTTGCTGCCGAAGCCCCAGCGCTGCAGGAAGCGGCAGACCCACCCCTTGGAGTAGCGGAATCCGGGTGCCACGCCTAGCAGAGGGCCTATGCGCTTGGCGTGGTCGAGAATCGACTGCACTGTTACTGTCCTTGCCACTGCTGGTGCCGATGCTCCTGCTGCTGCTCCCTCCGATCCCCCTCCTGCTCCTCCTGCTCCTTCTCCTGCTGCTGAAGTCCCAGCAGCACTATTCTCCCCGCCCTCCCCACCTTCTTCCCCCACACCCTTCGCCCCCTCCCCTCCCTCCTTCACACCTTCCCCTCCCCCACCACCCTCACCACCCTCACCAACCCCGCCGCCCTCACCCCCCTTCGCCCCTTCACCAGCCTCACCAGCAGCGCGGGCCAGCGCCCGTCTCACAGCCGCCGCCAGCACCTCTTCTAGCTTTGAGTTCATACACGACCGTACCCGGCACGACGCTGCCGCGCCAGCCTGCTGCCACCGCTCATCATACTTCAGAATCCGCGGCACAGCCGACGGGGGGAGGTCCACTCCGTACTTAACCCTCACTGCATCGATGATCTCCCTGCTAGTAAGCTCCGGCCGCGCCCGTTTCAGCGCACACACCGCCCGCTTCACCTTCACTTGCACCATCCTCCGCCTCCTGATCCCATCCGTGTCCACATCCAGTGCATCTCCCGCCCCCTCACCGCTCCCCATCCCTCCGAACACCCCCGCGCCGTACCGCCGCCTCCTCTCTCCCCCACCTTCCCCTATGTCTGTCTCGTCCCCAGTATCCTCACCTTCACTGGACCCGCCCTCTCCTGCTCCGCCCTCTCCTGCTGCTCCGCCCTCGCCCCCTTCGCCTCCTTCGCCCCACATGATTGCAGCCCTAGCTGCTTTCCCGCCTGCCTTTTCAACCTCTGCAAGCTGCTCCTCTACCAGACGAAGGAAATTATCCTCGTCACTGTCAGTCCCAGTAATGACGAAATCGTGCGAGGATATGACCAGGTCGCTACCAGTGTCGTTCCCTGCTCCAGCTGCACCAGCAGCGCCAGCACCCCCAGCTGCCCCGGCTGCCCCAGAAGCTCCACCGGCCCCAGAAGCAGCCCCCGCCCCAGGAGCAGCACCAGCACCAGCAGAACCTGCTTCAGCCTCCCCTTCCGCATCAGCATCAGCAGGCATTAAAGCCAGAGGACCCCCACCAGTCCCAGCACCACCCCCCGCATCTCCGCCAGCACCCTCCCCTTCACCACCCCCTTCCCTCCCTTCCCTCCTCGCCGCCTCCCTCTCCTCCTTCGTCTGCAACCCCCACCGCCATAAAAACCGCGACAGCCACCCGCGGCTGTACTTAAACCCCGGCTGAACCCCCAAACCAGGCCCAATCCTCTTCGCATGGTCAATCATATCGTCTCTGGTAACCATCGCCTCGCCATGCTTCGCCCGCATCTCCTTCACCCACTCAGCTAGGGTTTCCTCTAACGCCGCGTTCTCAGGGTCGCGCACGCGCTTGACAGCGTTTGCGTTGGTCTGGGCGCGCATCCAACGGTCACTATCCTGCAGGATCCGCGACACCTGGTGCGTGCTTAGGGAGATGCCCGTGCTCGCGCGCACGGCCTCTATGATCGCGGACGCGCGCAGGCGCGGCTTGGCGCGCTTCAGCACGCAGATGGCGCGCTTCAGCTTCACTGTGATGTTGCGCCGCCGCTGGGGGGGCGGCGGCGGGGGCGCGAGCGCGTGCGGAGGCGCGGAAGAGAGCTGGGCGAGGGCGGAGGACGTGTATGGGCCTTGAGAGGCAGAGAAGGCGGTTCCGGATGGCACAAGCATGTGTGAGCCAGGCGCGTAGGAACCACCAGCACCAGCAGCAGCAGCAGCACCAGCAGCACCAGCAGCACCGGCACCAGCAGCGCCAGCAGAAGCACCAGCAGGGCCGGGCGCGCGTGCTACAGATCCGTCCAGCCCCAGCAGCACCTCCTCTGCTACAGCCTGCAGCTGCCCCTCCCCAACGGACTCTCCCCCACCCCCCATCCACCCCACACCAGGAGCATACTGTCCGCCCCGGGAACCAGCCACAGCCGCCACAACACTACTCCCCACGGCAGGGATACTGGCCGCAGCAGCCAGAATATCCTCATCTGCCAGCTCAGCGAGCAGATCCGACGGCTCAGATGCGCGGCGGGCGGCTTCCTCCAGATCGAGCTGTTCGTCTGCAAGCTCCAGTAGGCTCCTGCTGTCGATGATGTGTGCCGCGCTATCGGTGCCTCCCCCTCCGCCGCCGTGCGAGGGGCCCGAGGAGGGGTCGAGCGGGTTGAAGTTGGCCTCCCTTGCTGCTTCCACTGCCTTGCGTGTGAGCCCCCAGCGCCTTAAAAAGCGAGAGATCCACCCGCGGCTGTACCTGTTGGGTTGCGTGAAGGCACAGGGACGAGAAGTGTAGAAAACGGAGCAGAAAGAAACGGATTAAACACATGCTGCAAGCTCCAGTATTAGACTACTCCTGTCGATGATGTGTGCAGCGCTGTCGGTGCTTACAACCCCTTCCTTTCCACCGCCGTGCGAGGGGCCCGAGGAGGGGTCGAGGGGATTGAAATCGGCCCCCGTTGCTGCTTCCACTGCCTTGCGTGTGAGCCCCCAGCGCCTGAGGAAACGAGAGATCCACCCGCGGCTGTACCTGTTGGGTTGCATGCAGCCACAGGGACGAGAAGGGTAGGAAACGGAGCAGAAAGAAACGGATTAAACACATGCTGCAAGCTCCAGTATTAGACTTCTCCTGTCGATGATGTGTGCTGCGCTGTCGGTGCCTCCCCCCCTTCCGCCGCCGTGCGAGGGGCCCGAGGAGGGGTCTAACAAAATGAACTTGTCTTCCCTAGCTGCCTCTGCAGCCTTGCATGTGAGTCCCCAGCGCCGGAGGAAGCGAGAGATCCACCCGCGGCTGTACCTGTTGGGTTACAGGCACAGGAACGACACGAAAGTAATGGATCGGAAACATCACCAGAAAACAGGAGAGGTAATCCCAAAGCTAACATTGACTCTCCTTACGATCCGCCGCAAAGAGCACCAGCAACGCACGAACCTTAAGGAAACGGGAACACCCAGAGATGGGCCAATGTCTCTCGCATGCTCCAAGATGCAATCGCACGCATTTTCAGCCGTCTCAGAACTCACCTAAAAGATGCGGGAACGCCCAGCGACGGCCCGATGTCCTTCGCATGCTCCAAGATGCGATCGCACGCCATTTGAGATCTCAGAAGAACTCACCTGAAGGAAGCGGGAACGCCCAGCGACGGGCCAATGTCCTTCGCATGCTCCAGAATGCGATCGCATTGAGACGTCTCAGAACTCACCTAAAAGATGCAGGAACGCCCAGCGACGGCCCAATGTCCTTCGCATGCTCCAAGATTCGATCGCACGTCACTCGGAAGTCCCCTCGCGCCTTCATATCGCGCACCCACACCGCCAGAGCCTCCTCCAGGCGCACGTTGTGCGGCTGCCTCACGCGCTTGAAGTTCGCGGGCGCGCGGCCCCACTTGTGCTCGTCGCGCAGGATGCGCGGGATCTCCAAGGTGCAACCACACGCATTTTCAGCCCTCTCAGAACTCACCTAAAAGACGCGGGAACGCCCAGCGACGGCCCAATGTCCTTCGCATGCTCCAAAATGCGATCGCACGTCACGCGGAAGTCGCCTCGCGCCTTCATATCGCGCACCCACACCGCCAGAGCCTCCTCCAGGCGCACGTTGTGCGGCTGCCTCACGCGCTTGAAGTTCGCGGGCGCGCGGCCCCACTTGTGCTCGTCGCGCAGGATGCGCGGGATCTGCGACTCTCGCACGGTGGAGTTACCGTATTTCGCGCGCAACACCTGGCAGATCCCCGCCGCCGTGATCTTCGGCCGCGCGTTCTTAAGCGCGCAGATCTCCTGCTTGATTATCAGCTCCACCGCCTGCCGGTTCTTGCTGCGACCGCGAAGCATGATCGTCTCCTCTTCCCCTTCCGACTCGCCTCCAGTTAAGTCCCCTTGCCCGCCGCCGCCGTCGGCGGCCATGGTGTCTCCGTGGGTTGCGACCAAGGCGAGATCTTCGTTATGCCCGCCGTGATGTGCGGCGTGATCGCCGCTGTGGTAGCCCCCGTGATGCGCGCCGTGATGGGCTGATGCGGTTTGATGCTCTGGCATAGCCGCATGGCCTTCGCGCTCCTGCTGCTGCTGTTGCTGCAGGTGCTCCTGCTGCTGTTGCTGCAGGTGCTCCCGCTGCTGGATAGACTCCTGGGCAGAATGATGCTGATGCTGCTGCTGGTGATGCTGCTGGATTTGCTGCTGGTGCTGCTGTTGCACGGACTCGTGTTCCGCCATGGCTGCATGGTGGTGGTGTTGGAGGTGGTGTTGCTGATGATGCATGTGTTGCATCGACGCGTGCTGGTCCTCCCCCGCATAGTGCGGCATCGGAGGCCGTTCTTGTAACGAATGGTGCTGTCGCAACGCCGCCGCAGCAGCGGCGTGCTCTTGTAACGCCGCGTGGTGCATCGCCGCAGCGTGTTCTTGCATCGAGGCGTGGTGCATCGCGGCGGCGTGCTCTTGTATCGAGGCGTGCTCCAACGCGGACGCAGCGGCGACAAGCACTCCCTGATTGGTCAGAACACTTCCATCAACGGTCACCATTCTCCCATCCGCTGTCATCATGACTTGACCATGCGGAATGCCCCCGGCAGCCATTACCCCCTGTGTAGTCACAATCGCACCAGGATGACCGTGAGCTGCGGCCGCTAGTCCTCCGCTCGTTAGCATCACCTCGCCCCTGGCATTCCCAAGCATGGCGGCGACGGCGTCGGCTTCAGCGGGAATCATGACCGTTGATTCGTCGAGAGATTGCTGCACCAATCCGGGATGGTGATGATGGTGCTGTTGTTGCTGCTGCTGGTGGAGATGATGGTGATGATGTTGATGATGCGAGGCGTACGGGTCCATTGCAGGAGCTGGAGCCATCACCATTCCGCCTGGCGTTTGCTGCATCAAGGACAACTCGTCGACGCCTTGCTGCTGCGCCATGGTCTAGATTACTGGACGGACCAAAGAAATTAAAAAGAAGAGAACTAGTAATCTCAAAAGAAGTTAGTGACAACTAACGAGGGGATTAGAAAAGTTAGCGCTCCGTAATCGTTGGACGAACTACAGAGATAAATTCTGAAGTCGAACCGCGGATAGGAGGATTCGATATTGGAAGTGAAAATTTGGGGGATACACACCTCTAAGAACAGACTCACTAGTGACGCGCTACTAGTGTTGTACGAGAGGAGATTCAAGATGGTGAGGGAATGAAGAGAAGAAGGATCTGTGAAATGGTTCTTTCCCTTACCGCGTCAAGAGCTCAATCTGGTGCTCCGATATGGGCTGTGTCCCTCTTCTCTGCGCTAGCTGTTGAGGATAAGGTGGATGGAAGAAACGGAACGGAAAGGTGATGGGCAAACGGAAGGTGGGAAATGGAAGTTGGCAAAACGAGGATGAAGCAGAACGAGGGTTTCATTGGTGAACGGAGGAACGTGATTGGTTGAAAGATTCGAGATGCTAGGGTTTCTATCTCAAACGGGTTCCCAACCAATATCGAAGACCGGCCCCCGGCAGAGCCAATTTTCGTTATGCGAAAGTCAGCGACGAGGGTTACACGTGGTGGGGCAGAAAGACAGCTGGTGAACATCAGAGGACCATAATAACCGTCCGATAAGAGCAGGGCGGATCGCTTCCAGGTGCGCAAAACCGCGAGATTCGCTGCGAGCAGTGCTGTGAAATAGACGTATTTGGGGCCATCTACCAAGCGTGACCCCCTTGTCGCACCAGCCAAAAGCACAGCAGCCCAACAAACCCGAGCTGAGAGGCGACGGCTTATCGAGGTTGGGCTTCGCGAAGAGTCGATCCCCCCCCTGGCTGGTTTGGACTAAGAGTTACCAAGCAGTTGAGCCCTGATTGGTGCAATTTATACAGTACCACATGCTCGTCACCGTCCGATACGTCGAGCAAGAAGTGCGGTGAACCGCAAGATTGTAAGGGAAGCTCAATTCCCCGCCAAGTATATACAATTTAGGAATATATCATTTACAGTTCTATTTTATTCTGTAAATTTGTTTTCGACTACTGGAGTGTAGCTCGTCAGAAAATCGTTCGCCTGTCAGGGTCTACCCTGCTCGTTTCCCGCGATGCTCTTGCAACTTTGACCTCGCTTTCATAGCCGTTTTACTCGTGGAAACACTGAAGTTATTGCTGGCTTGAGTAGTGTCTCCACATCACCCGTTCAGCTTCGGTTCCATAATGGAGTCGCTCTGCCGAAGTTGCTGGTGTCCATGTTGCGATTAACTTGCAAAATAGCAGCAGAATAGATTCTATCAGATTGTAGGCCATGGCTCAGCAGAACTCTAACACGTTCCATTTCTTTGGTTCGTCAGTCCCCACAACTACGTCCACCCAGGCCGGTGCGTTTCAGCAGCCGGCTCTTACCGCTTATCAGCAGCAGCAGACTCAAGCCGTTTATCAGCAACAGTCGGCGCAAACCTCTTATCAGCAACAGCCGGCTCAAACCGCTTATCAGCAGCAGCCGGCCCAAACCGCTTATCAGGTCTCGCCGTCTCTGAACGCGTATCAAGTCCAGCAGCAGGCGATTCTAAACGCCTGGTCCGCTGCTCGCGCCGGAACTACCGCCGCAGCCCAAACGGTCGGCTCGCTCCTACCTGTCACAGGATCAGTACAGCCAGCACCCCAGTTTTACGGAAGTTCTCAGGCTGCGGACGGCGGCAGCGGACACGTGGCACAGAATCAGACCCTGAATCAAGCCGCCGCCACGTGGTACGATTCGGCAGGGTTAAGCGGTGCTGCTACTGCTTCGACTGCAGCAGCTGTTACTGATTACAACTCCCAGGGTGTGTTTGGTGGAAATGAATCCACACGCGCGGCTCAGTACCAGTCCAGGCAGGTGGAGCCTGTGCGACAGTCGCAGGGCGTGCGACAGCAAGCGACTTCCGTGCGACAAACGACGGCTGGGCGACAAGTGCAGGCCGAACGGCAGCAGCGAGCGCACGCGGTGGAAGGTCGAGTGCTGCCCGTGCGACAAGTACAGCAGCCTGAACGACAAACGCAAGCGGTGCGACATGCGACGCAGGCGGAGGAACAGTCGCAGAGGCAGGCCCTGCGACAGGGTCAGCGACAGGAGCAGCGGCAGGAGCAGCGACAGGAACAACCTGTGCGACAGACGCAGCGAGAGTGGTGGCTGGATGCTCTCGAAGGGCAAGTTGCAAGTGCGAATGTTGCAAGTGCGAATGTTGCGAGTCAGGAGCAATCGCATGCGCAGGAATGGAATCGCACCATTGCTGCTGTAGTATCCGCTCACACTCACGTGGAGAGTTTCGACCAGGGGAGTTTGCTGCCGGTGGGTGGTGGTAGTAACGCTGGTTACACCAATGATGCTGTTACGACAGCCGGGCAGCAGGGTTACCATGGGTACGAGGCTGCGGCTGCTGCTGCTGCTGCTGTTGCTGCGCCTGCAGTGGTTACCACAGCAGCTGTTACAACGCCAGCAAGTCTTTCGTACCAGCAAGTCCAGGGGGGATACGATTTGGGGGTAGTGGCAGGGGGTCAGGTACAGGCACAGAATGAACCAGATGCAGTGTATGGGGACACGGCACAGCACGGGCAGGGGTACGGGCAGAGGCGTGGGCGTGGTAATCAGAGGTATGCGCATGCTGATGAGCAGGGGGGGACAAACGGGCAGGTTTATGGAGGCGGGCAGGGTTATCAGCAGACGCAGGGGCACGACCAAGGGCAGGCGAACCAGCAGGGGCAGGGTTACGGGCAGGGACAGGGTTACCATCAGACCGCAGAGTATGGTGATCAGGAGTAGTGGTGGCCAGCAGCAGCAGCAGCAGCAGCAGCAGCGTCAGAGTATTCGCGCTAATGCAGCTGCTGCTACAGCTACAGTGACTGCAGCAGCTGCTACAGCCGCAGCTACAACTGCTGCTGCTACAGATGTTATGACCGGGGCTGGGGGGCAGAGGGCAGGCGCAGGAAGAGGGGCGGCGAGGGGGAGGCGCGCGGGTGGTGGGGCAGGAGCGCAAGGGAGGGGGAAAGGGTCACGGCAAGGGAGACGGGCGGCAGTAGGGGCGGGACAGGAAGCAGCAGCAGGGGGAGAGGTGAGGGCAGTAGGGCAAGAGCAACTGGTAGTAAGACTGCCAGAGCCGGCAGTTGCTGTTCCTGACCCAGTGCAGGCTATAATGGGGGGGGGAACTGGGCTTCAAATTCCTCTAGAAGGGGTGGGTGGGCAGGAGACGGTAGGGGGCGGAGTGGGGGGAGATGATGGTATGTCTGCAATCTACGCTGCTGGGTATGCGGCAGGACTGGCAGCCGCCCGGGCTGCTGCTGCTAGAGCCGCAGGTGCTGCCGCTGCTGGTGCTGCTGCTGGTGCTGCTGGTGGTGTTGGTGCTGCTGGTGGTGTTGCGGATGGGGTTGGAGCAGAGGTGGGAGTGGCGGTGGCGGGAGAAGCGGGGGCTATTGAGGGGGGAATGGCTGAAGGGGGGTTTGATCTTGACGCGACAGGCTTTGCAGATGGTGAGATGGGGATGGGTGGTGGGATGGAAGGAGAAGAGTTTGGAGCTGAGGCGGTGCCAGCAGGAGGGGGAGGAGAGGAAGGAGGGGAAGGATGGGGAGGGGGAGGAGAAGGGGAAGGCGGAGTGCTGGCGACAGCTGCAGCAGGAGAAGCAGGTGCGGCTGCGCCTGGCCCTGGCACAGCAGCGGCGGCAGCAGCAATAGCTGCAGCGGAAGCAGCAGCGGCGGCGGCAGCAGCAACAGACGGGTCTGATACCGATGTGGACGGGGAGTTCCGGCCGGTGCGACTGAGGGACCCTGAGAGAAAACGGCGCCATTTCATCCCAGTGACGCTAAAAGCCGAGATTTGCGAGCTTCGGCGCGACCGTCCGGGAATCACGCTGGTGAAGATTGTTCAAGTGCTTAAAACGAAGTATCCGGGGATCAGGATTTACTCGACTCGGGTGGCGGATATTATTCAGAAGCCGCACAAGTGGTTGGGGATGCTGGGCGGGAAAGGGCACAACCGAACCAACCAGCCGCCGGACCAGTCTGGTATGGAGGGAGCTTTGGCGCGGTGGTTTGGGGAGGAGCAGCAGAGGCTCGGCGTGGTGCCGAGCGAGCAGGTGATTGAGAAGGCCAAGGAGCTGGGGTATTCGTTCGGGTTTCCCCCGACTTTTAAGTACACAAGGGCGTGGGTGTACCGTGTGTTGTCCCACTTGGGATTCTCCCAGGAGGCTATAGATGCTGCTTGTGAGGACTACCCTAACGAGGATGACTCTGCTGGACCTTCTCTAATCGAGCTAGCGGATCAGATGTTTGGGCAGGAGCTGTTTAAGTCACGGGCGAACCAGAAGGGACGGAAGCCTAGAGACTGGTGGTCGGAGAATTTGCTGGGGAGGAAACCGGGGAGTGGGACGGGGAGAGGGAGAGGGAGGGGGAGAGGGGCGGGGAGGGGCGATGGGGGGGTTTTGGGGGAAGGGGCGGAGTGGGAGCAGCAGCAGCAGCAGCGGCAGCAGAGGGATGTGTATGGGCAGGTTGGGGGAGGGATGCATGGGCAGGAAGTGGTTGGAGGGGGATATGCACAGCAAGGGGGGTATACTCAGGGAACTGGATACGGGCAGGAGGTAGGGCAGGGATACGGGCAGATGACAGGGCAGGCGAATGGGCAGGGCCAGGGTTACGGGCAGGGGACAGGGCAGGGGGCCGGGATGGGGTATGGGCAGGAAGGTGGGATGGGATATGGGCAGGAAGGGGGGCAGGCGAGAGTGGGAGAGGGGGATCAAGATGACGTTATCCCAGGTGATTTATTTGAGGAGCTGGAGGGAGGAGAGATGGTGGTGGTTCGGACAGCTGATGGTGCTGCTGGTGATGGTGGTGCTGGTGCTGATGGTGGTGATGGTGCTGGTGGTGCCGGGGGTGTTGGTGCCGTTGGTGTTGGTCCTTCCTCCAACCAGCCACTCGACTCAGCTGCTTTTGGAGCGAGCTCTTTGAACGAATCAGCCCCATTCACTGCTGCAAACAGCATGATCGGAGGAACCGCCAACACTGCTAACACTGCCAACACCACAAACACTGCAAATTCGCTAGACTATGGGGACGACGGGGAAGACTCGGAGGGTTACCAGCCCGACCCGAAGCTAGTCGAGCTCGCCATGGCTGAAGCGAGAGCTGCGGCGGAGGCTCGGAGGGTTATTACCGAGGCTGACCTCGCAAACGCGGCGCAGATCGAGGTTCTACCCCGGAATCCGATCACGGGCAGGGTGATTAGTAAAGAGGAGCTGCAGACTAACCCGGTGTATACGGAATATTTCCGGCTGCTGGAAGAGCAGAAGCAGTTCAAAGAAAAGCACAAGAAGATCACAACCTGTGTGCGAACGATCAAGATGCGGAAGGCAATCTGTCTACTCAAGGAAGCTCGGCCGTCGCTCACCAACCAAGAAATCATCCATATCATACTGGAATCCTGCGGGCCTGTGATTGCAGCGAGTATCTCCCCTGCCGCCCTCCGGTACACCCTCAAAAGGAGCTACCAATACCTAAACGCCGACCTGAACAAGCCGAAGAAACCGGTTCCGAAGCGGGTTGAGTTTCCGGAATTTGAGGAGGCGCTTGCGGCGTGGGTGCGGGAGATGCGGGCGAAGTATGGGAAGGAGAATCTTCTGTACGAGGATATATTGGTGTATGCGCAGAAGCTGGCTCCGAGTTTCGGGATTGCGGAGAAGAATCCCAAGTTTAAGTTCCACATGTCGTGGCTTTTGAACTTTGCCGGGAGGCACGGGTTGAAGTGGCGAACGAAGGAGGATCTGCGTGCGAACCGCAAGGGTGGGGGGGGTGGGGATGGTGGTGGTGGTGGTGGTGGTGGTGATGGTGGTGGAAGGAGCAGTGGGAGAGGGAGAGGAGGGAATACGTCTGGAGTAGGAGAGAGTGACGGTACAGAGAGTGACAATGGCGGGCGGGAGGGGTATGGCGAGGGCGGTGGGACAACGGACGGTGGAGATGGGATCACAACGGACGGTGGCGAGGGGAACACCACGGATGGGGGAGGAGAAGGGACGGACGTGGAAGGGGAAGAGGAAGGGGTGGGGGAAGGAGGGGGGTTTCTAGGCATGGATGTGAACATGCATCTGGGGAATATAGTGACTGGGCTGGTGCGAAAGGAACGGGATGAGAAGACAATAAGGAGAAACAAGATTTGGAACACTGCAGCAGACAAGCTTCTTAAGGTGGTGGCTCAGTTTGTGGCTGAGAGGGAAGAACGGGTGCGGAGAGGGGAGGAGGAGGGAGAGGGGGACGAGCGGTGGGGTGGGGAGGCGGGAGTTGAAGATTTGCTAAAGAAGAGGTGGAAGAAAAAGAGGACCGGGCGGCCAAGGAGGAGGGTAGGGACCGTAGGGGCGGGAAGGAGTGGTGGAGCAACGGCGGGGCAGGGCACGGGGAAGAAAAGGGGGAGGAAGAAGAAGCAGCAGAGTGGGGAAGCGGAGGGGGGTGCAGGAGGAGGGGGGGAGGGCGGTGGTGAGGGAGGTGGTGGGGAGGGTGGCGGGGAAAGCGGTAGGGAAACTGGACCGGAGAGTGGAAGGGAGAGTGGGAGGGAGAGTGGGAGGGAGGGGGGAAGGAAGAAGCAGCAGCGCAAGCAGTACCAGGAGGTGCTTGTGACTTGGAAGCTTGCTCTCATCTCCCTCGCCCGGGCCAGGCAGGACCTGCCGCACACTGCTGTCAAACGCGCCGTTCAAGCCAGGTATGATGATAGCGGATTACATGTCACTTGTTTTGAGTCGACTCAAAACCAGGCAGGACCTGCCGCACACTGCTGTCAAGCGGGCCGTTCAAGCCAGGTACGTCTTGAAACACCTGCTGGTCGCTGCTGTCAAACGGGCCGTTCAAGCCAGGTGCGATGATAGCGGATTACATGACACAGAGAAGAAGGTGCGGTGGCAGGCTTTCGTCTCTTCTCCCAACAACACCACCTCCCCACCCCCCTTACCCCTGCCTCTTGTGTTGGTCAATCCAGGTACGGCGTTGATACAAGCCAGGTACGATGATAGCGGATTACATGGCACGGAGGAGAAGGTGCGGTGGCAGGCGCAGGTGATGCGAGTCCCTCCCACACCGCCTCTCCTCCCCCCTCCCCACCTTTGCCTTTGCCCCTGCTATCCCCCTCTGTCCTTCCCTGTTGTCTGGTGCAGGTACGGCGTCGATACAAGCCGCACGGTTATCGCGGATTATATGGCCCGGGAGGACAAGGTGCGGTGGCAGGCGCAGGTGATGCGAGATGCATACAGAGAGGGGCGAGAAGTGCTGCCCAAGATGAAACAGGTGAGTGGTGGGTGGGTGTGGGAAGATGGGAGGAGTGCGTTGGGGGGAGCATCGGCACTGGGCACTAGGACTGGGCACTGGGCATTGGGCACTGGGACTGGGCACTATACCACGCGTACAGAGTGGGGCGAGAAGTGCTGCCCAAGATGAAGCAGGTGAGGGAGGTTGAGGAGAGGAGTGGAGTGGTGTGTCTGAGATGGTGAGTGATTTGAAGGCCCTGGCGGATTTTGTAAGTTGTTTCTGAGAATTCTAAAAAACAACCCACAGCAGAGTGGTGTGTCTGAGATGATGAGTGATTTGAAGGCCCTGGCGGATCTGAACGCCCTTCCTTCCTTGCACATCCATACATACATACACCCATCTCCTCTTCCCCTTTCCCACCCTTCCCCTCCCCCCCCTGGCCAGTACACCAAGTTCATGTGGCTGGAAAAGGCAGTGGCAGACGCAATGAAGAAGGCCCTAGCGGATGAAAACTTCCTTCGTGCAATGCATACATATCTGCATACATACACCCATACCATTTCCTCTGCCCCTCCCCCCCTCTCACCAGTACACCAAGTTCATGCGGCTGGAGAAGGCAGTGGCAGACGCAATGAAGAAGGCCCTGGCGGATTTGGACAAGGAGGAGGCGCAGGGCAGTGGGGGGTTCGCAGCAGCAACACATTTTGAGACGCCTCTAAAGGCGCTGGCTGGCGGTCTTGGACAAAGGGGAGGCATTTACATACACATATGCCTACACCCATTTCCTCTGCCCCTCCCCCCTCACGCTGCGCAGTATACAAAATTCATGCGGCTGGAAAAGGCAGTGGCAGACGCAATGAAGAAGGCCCTAGCGGATCTGGATAAGGGGGAGGCGCAGGGCAGTGGGAGGGGCGCAGCAGCACAACCGGGCGTGCTGGGTGGAGGAGTGAGGATGGGCTTTCAGGGCGCAGGGGAGGAAAGGGATGAGGAGGAAGAAGAGGAGGAAGAGGCGGGGTTGCCGCGGCAGATAATGGTGCATCCCGAGGCGGTGGTGGATTATGCCAACAAGGTTGCACCGTTGTTTGGCTTCCCCCCTTCCAAGTGAGCATGCAGAGAGAGGTGAGGTGGGTTTCAAGTCAGTATGCGTTAAGAAGGTGCCTCTTTGGCTTACCCCCTCCAGGTGAGTGCGGGATGGTGGTGGTAGGTGCCTCAAAAGAGACGGTGGTAGGTGGGCTGCGGTAGGTGCCTTGAGAAGGGTTGTGGTGGCAGAACAGATCAGATCATGGTGTACCCAGAGGCGGTGGTGGATTATGCCAACAAGGTGGCGCCGCTGTTTGGCTTTCCCCCCTCCAAGTGAGCATGCGGCGGGCGGTGGGCTTTGCGTGGAGCATCACGTTCGCATGGGTGGCGGGGCTCATGCATCACCGGGGCTTCATGAATCACTGGGTCGTAAAGGTGCCTGTGAGATGGAGGAATCATTGTGTGCAAACCGCCGAACACCACTCCCTCCACCTTTTCCAACCACTCTCTACCCCACAGGAGCATCACGTTTGCGTGGGTGGCGGGTCTCATGCACCGGTGGGGCTTCATGAACCACTGGGCCGTTAAGGCATCTCCCAGGTGGAAGAAGCACTGAGAGGCTCCCATACCATAACCTGACAGAATCCACTCCCTTCAACCTTTCCTAACCCCTTTCCACCTCACAGGTCGATCACCTTCGCGTGGGTGGCGGGGCTGATGCACCGGTGGGGCTTCATGAACCACTGGGCCGTAAAGGCGTCTCCCAGGTGGAAGAAGCATTACATACCCAACCCCACAGAACCTCAACCGACCCCTCTCCGTCCCACCTTGTCCCCCCAACACCACCCCCATGCCACGTTACCTACAGATCGATAACCTTTGCGTGGGTGGCGGGTCTCATGCACCGGTGGGGCTTCATGAACCACTGGGCCGTAAAGGCGTCTCCCAGGTGGAAGAAGCACTGTGAGGCTCCCTCATTCTCCCCTACTCCTCCTCCCCTACCCCCCCCAGGTCAATAACCTTTGCGTGGGTGGCGGGGCTGATGCACCGGTGGGGATTCATGAACCTCTGGGCCGTGAAGGCGTCTTCCAGGTGGAAGAAATGTTGCAAGACTCTCGTGCCATAACCACACTTAACCCCTCTCTACCCGCAGGTCGATCACCTTTGCGTGGGTGGCTGGCCTAATGCACCGGTGGGGCTTCATGAATCACTGGGCCGTAAAGGCGTCTCCCAGGTGGAAGAAGTGGGCCCCGCTGTTTGAGAGTCAGGGGGATAAGGAAGGTGGGGATGGGGGAAGGAGTGGGGGAGAGGGGGGACAGACTGGGGGGGAAGGGGGCGAAGGGGGGGAAGCAAGGGGTGAGGCGGGAGGGGGAGGGGGGGGAGGAGGAGGAGGAGTTACTGCAGCTACAGCTGCTGGTACTGCTACTGGCGCTGCCACTGCTGCTGTTACTGGCGCTGCTGCTGGCGCTGGCGCTGGCGCTGCTTCTGCTGCTGCTGGTGATGCGGCAGCTGCAGCTGCAGCAGCAGCAGAAGCAGGGGAGACACTCGTACCAGCAGAGCTCTCCTGGGACCTGTTCGACGAGGGCTTTAACCTGATACCGGGGGAGATAGAGGCGCTGGGGAAACTGGCGGAGGAGCTGGAGGTGCAGCGGCAGCAGCGCTTCCGCGAGGTGGTGCTGGCCGGGGCGTTCAACAAGCGGAAGAAGAAGATGATGCAGATGCAGGAGAGGGCGGGAGGAGCAGGAGGAGGTGGGGGAGGAGGAGTGGAGGGAGGAGGAGAGGGAGGAGCGGGAGGAGGTGGGGAAAGGGGAGGAGCAGGGGGAGGAGAGGGAGGAGGAGGGGGAGGAGGAGGGGGAGAGGGAGGTGAGGGGATGCAGTCGGCTGGGGAGAGGGATCGAGGCGAGGGAGGGGAGAGAGGGGAGGGAAGGGAAGGTGCCGGAGGTTTCGGAGGGAATGATTCTGATGACGATGGCGGTGGTGGTGGTGATGATGGTAGTGACGATGATGGGGGTGGTGGTTTCGGCCTGAGTGTTGGGGCAGGGAGGGAGGGCGGGCTAGGGGAGGGAGAGAGAGCAGCAGCAGAAAGGGGGGTAGGGGGAGCAGCAGGGGGAGCGGCAGGGGCAGCTGCAGGGGAAGGGGTAGGGGGAGTGGCAGGAGGGAGTGTAGCAGCCTCGCTTCTGGGCTCTCTCAATCTAGCCAACTTGCCTGGACCAATCCCAGCGTATCTTCAAGATATTGTTGCTGAGCTGGCAGGAATTCGGGTCGGCGGAGCCTCGGATACTCTTCCGAACCTGCAGGCAGCGTGGGGGAACCTCGACAAGGCATCTCCCGAGCCTGTTTCGACGGGTTTTAAAACCGGTTCGGGCACAGGTTTGGGTAAGGACAGGGGCAGGAAGAGGAAGAGGAGGGAAGGGGAGGGGGGAGAGGAGGGGAGAGGTGAGGAAGAGGAAGCAGATGGGGAAGAGGGAGGAGGAGAGGGAGAGGAGGGAGGGAGGGAGGAGAGAGATGCTGCAGTGGCAGCTGTTATGGCAGCTGGGAAGATCAAAACGCCTGAGGAGTTTTGGCGGTGGTGGCAATTCTCCGGACTTGTAGGGGTGAGAGACATGCGGGATGCATGGAGTGTTCTGGAAGATGCTTCTGTGATTGCTGTAGAGGAGGAGGATGAGGAGGAGGATGAGGAAGAGGAGGAGGTGGAGGAGGTGGAGGAGGGGTATGAGGAGGAGGAAGAGGAGGTAGAGGGGGATGAGGAGGAGGAGGTGGAGGAGGTGGAGGAGGTGGAGGAGGTGGAGGTGGAGGAGGATGCAGAGGTTGAAGAGCGGGGGACTGGTGGAGGGAGGGGAGGGAAGGCAACAGGAGGAGGGACAACTGGGGGTGAGACAGAGACAGGTGGGGAAACGGAGGGAGAAGCAGCAGAGTGGGGTGATCATACAAAAGAGGAGGAGAGGGAGAGAAGGAGGCAGCAGAGGAAGGAGCGGAAAGAGAGGAAGGAAAGGAAGAAGAGGAAGAGGGAGAAGAAGAAAGAGAAGGAGAAGAAAAGGAAGAGGGAGAAGGAGAAGGGGAAGGAGAGGGAGAAGAGAGGAAAGAAGGGAAAGGAGAAGATGGGTGGAGGTGGAGCGGAAGATGCACTTGCAGCTTTCACCAACATGCTACAGCAGCAGGCACCAGGAGTAGTGCCGATGCCATCTACTTTTCTCCAACCCGCCATCCCGCATCCTACCTTCCCTCAATCCGCCTTCCCCCAATCATCCTTCCCTCAACCTCCTTTCCCTGCCGTTCCTGCTGCTGGTGCTGCCCCTGCTCCTGCTGCTCCCCAGGCCCAGGTGACCACGATCCAGTTCGGGGCACAGCAGGAAACGCCGTATGGCACGCGGTTTGCCACAGTGACTCAGCATACATACAACACTGCACCGCCAACAGCAGTAGCACACCCGCAGCAACACACCAACAGCAATCAGCATCAGCAGCAACAGCAGCAGGGTCTTATGGGGGGACAGGTTCCTTTGGGGCTGCCTCCTCTTCTCGCACAGTTTCTTTTCCCGTCCTCTCAAGTGTCACCCGCTGGTGCCTCTCGCACTGATGCTGCTGGTTCTTCCAATGCCCTTTCGAATGCTCCTTTTGGTGTTCCTTTCAACAGCACCGCTCTGTTTTCCAACCCCACCGCTCCGCACACCACTGGTACCCGTCTCAGTCTCACTGAAATTGGTGATGCTACAGATGCTGCTGTTGCTACAGGTGCTGCTGTTGCTACAGATGCTGCTGCTGTCACAGGTGCTGCTGCTGCCACAGGTGCTGCTGCTGCCACAGTTTCAGCTTCTGCAGCAGCAGGTGCAACTGCTGCCACTGATACTGCTGCTGCTGCTTCTCCTGCTGCTGCCACTGCTGCTGCTGCCCCTGCCACCCCAACTGATCGTGCTTCTCCTGCTCCCGCTCATGCTTCTGCTTCTGCTTCCCCTGCTCCTGCTCCTGCTCCTGCTTCTGCTCCTGCTCCTGCTCCTGCTCCTGCTCCTGCTCCTGCGCCTGCTCCTTCTCCTGCTGCTCCTCCTGCTCCTACTCCTGCTGCTCCCAGTTCTGCTGCTGCTCCTGCTGCGGCTGCTCCTCCCATCGCTGCTTCTGCTTCTGCAGCCAATCAAACAACAGGGAATCCATCAGCGAGTCAAACAGGAGCAGGAAAAAGAGATGCTGCAACTCTCCTTAACCACCTTCTCACAAACCAACTCGCAACCGCCTCAGGGCCCAGCCAACCAACCAATTCCGAATTGCTGTCCCTGGCACGCAACGTCACCCAGTCCTTTGGTCCCGAGTTCGCACTCGCTCTGGGGTCACTGCTGGTGCAGCATCAGCAGCAGCAGCAGCAGCAGCAGCAGCAGCAACTGCAACACCAACATCAGCAACAACCACGCCCTAATGCTGCTGCCGCTTCTCTTCCCACGCTCTTGCAGCAGATCGCCTTTTTAGCCTCACAGGCAACTGCTCATTCCGCTCAGCTGCAGCAGCCTCCCCGTTCTGCTGCCGAATCGGGACAAAATCCCACAACTGCTGCTGCTGCTGCTGCTCTTCTACCCGCCCTGCTGCAGCAGATTGCTTCCGGGGTTAACCAGTCCCAGCAGCAGATGCCAGGCCTACAGCAGCTGATTGCATCTCTCGCCACCCAGCCTACTCACTCCACACGCGTGCAGCCTCCCCGCCTCTCTGCTGTTGCTCCTGCTACTGCTCCTGCTACTGCTCCTGCTACTGCTCTTCCTACTGCCGCACCTCCTACTGCCACTACTCGCCCCACTGCCGCTACTTCTGCTGCTGCTGCTGCTCGTCAGGCTGCTGCTGGTGCTCCTTCGACCGCCCGCCCTTCACTTGCACGAATCCCTGTCGCAGGGGGGTCTAATCAGCCTGCTGCTGCTACTCCCTCTGCTGCTACTCCCTCTGCTGCAGCCTCGCTCCCCTCCCGCAACTCCCTCCTGAGCTTCCTGCACGGACCCAGAGGCCCTCTCTCAAACTTCTCGTCCAGAAATTCTCCTGCTGCTGGTGCTGGTGAAACTGCCGCTGCTACTACTGCCACTCCTGCTGCTGCTGCCACTGCTGCTTTTCGTCCTGCTTCTGCTGCCACTGTTGGCACTCCTGCTGCTGCTGCTGCTGCTGCTGCTGCTGGTCGTTCTATTGCACCTGCTCCCTTGGGTCATACCAGAGCCTTTCAGGAGAATCACTGGGAGCCTCCTTACGGTATCAGGGTGCGCAGGCGACGTGCAAACTACAACGCCCCTTCTTCTGCTGCTGCCGGTGCTGCTGCCGGTGCTGCTGCCGGTTCTGCTCCCCGCGTGCCAGCCAATCCGCCTTCCACTGCTGCTGATCGAAACGACTCAACTTCTAACCATTCCTCTCTGCATGCTGGCCGTCACTCTTTAACTGCTAGCCGGCTCAATCTGCCTGCTTCTCTGCGTGCATCAGCAGCAGGGGCACCAGGAACAAGGGCACCAGGAACAGTAGCAGCAGAAGGGGTGAATTCCCCGTTGTCCCAAAGGTCTGGGGTGATTCTCGCCCTCCCAGCCGCATCGTCCCCCACCTTTGCGTTCCGTGCACCTGCTGCTGCACCTGCTGTTGCACCTGCTGCAGCTACACCCAGCGCTGCAACCACCGCTGCTCCTGCGCTTGTGATCAGTACTGCTCCTGCTCCCCCGACCACAATTGAGCTTGTCACTCCTGATTCTACCGCTGCTACAGCCGCATCTACAGCTCTGCCAGCCGCTACAGCTGCGCTTGCTGCTACAGCTGTCTCTGCCCCTACAGCTGATCCTGCTGCTACAGCTGTGCCTGCTGCTACAGCCGTGGGTGTGTGGACACGCGCTGCTGCTGCTGCTGTTACAGCAGCTGCTCGTGATACTGCGGATGCGGACGCACCTTCTGCTACAGCCATGTCTGCCCGAACCCGTGCAGCTGTCAAGGCAGGGTCCCGTGCTACAGCCGTGACTGGAAACACACGTGCTGCCGTCAAGGCTGGGTTCTATGCTACAGCCTTGACTGGAAAGGCTGGATTTCGCGCTACAGCCGTGAGTGGCCGAACCCGTCCAGCTTTAAAGGTTGGGTTCTATGCTACAGCTGCCACTGGAAAGGCTGGATTTCGCGCAACGGCATCAATGCCCTACACCCGTGCTGTGACTGCTGCTACTGCTGCTGGTGCCGCTGCTGGTACCGCTGCTGGTACCGCTGCTGGTACCTCTGCTGGTACTGCTGGCCCTAGTGCAAGAACTAGGTTTGCCTCTACAGGTATTGCCACCAGGACCCGTTGCTGCTGCTGCTGCTGCTGCGGCTGTTAGAGCTGCCATGGCTAGGCGGCATCGCACTGCTGCTGTTGCTGCCGCTGCTGCTGCTGCTGCTGCTTCCGCTGGTGATGATGATGATGGTGGTGGTGGTGGTGCTACTGTTCCTGCTGCTGGTGCTACTGCTGGGCTGTCAGCAGTTGGACAGGTGTCAGACAGAAGGCAAAAGGGGAGAGTAGCGATCGGGTATCAAGGGCGAGTTTTGATGAGCCAAAGTCAAAGTGTGGGTCAAAGCAAACGGGAACGGCGTATGAGGGCATTGCGTAGGGCTAGGAAGAAGGACGTGCAACCGCCTTGGGCACACAGTATGATTGCGCAGAGCATCGCGGCACAAGCTGCGATGGCGCAAAATGCTATAGCAGAGAGAGGTATAGCGGAGATTCCAGTGGGGCAGGGTATGCTAGGAGAGGAGGGAGAGGAGGAGCAGGCACTCAGAGACGGAGAGGAGCAGGCCTTGAGATGCAGTGAAGAGGAATCGTCGGAAGGTCACGATAGCCCCGCAGATCAGCCTCATACCGCCACTGGCACACCCCAAGCCACCCCTTCAACACAACCTCCTCCCTCGCTACCTCTAACACACAGCAGCCCATCTAGTTTGCCTCCTGCCTCGCAACCACGAACGCAGAATAGCCCCTCAAAGCTTCCTCCTGCTCAGCCGCCATCAACTCAAGCTAGCCCAGATGGAGCAACTGTGCATGCCATGCCACGACCGCAGTCGCAGGATAGCCCTGCAACTCGGGCCGCAGCCGTAACGCGCCATGCCATGCCACTCGCACCGTCCATGTGCACGCTGCTGGCACTTCAGCAGGATACCACAAGCACTGGTTCTGCTGGTGCTGGTGCTGGTGCTGGTGCTGCTGCTGCTGCTGCCTCAGGGCTAAATGTGGCAGGTGCTTTGGGTGATGCCCCTGCACCAAGCTCCATGTCCAAACTGCTGCTTGGCCAGTTTTCTTCCTCGGCCCCCCTTGGTCGAGCTGCGGCTGCTGCTCCTGGTGCGGCTGGTGATGATCTTGATGCCAGTGGTGATCTTGAAGACAATGACGACGATGATGTCGTGGAAGTGGACGGTGGTGATAATAATGTTGATGACTCTGCTGCTAATGGTGGGTCCACGGCTGGTGATGATGATGTGCTAATAGTTGCCGATTGATGTTAGCCATGCTTGCATCACGACGGTTTCTTAGGGTGCTTTGTCTTGTCAAAAACTAATTTGTAGTTAGTTCTAAATTGTAGTAGATGTGCAACTACCAATAACTTGTTAGGTGAAGTGGATTTAGGTCTTCCGTTCCGTCTCAAATTCTTTCTGGATGCTTCCTTCTGGCTCTCTGGTTCTGGTTCACCCAAAAGCCCACCCCAAAAAAACCACCGCCACGAAAAAAACCATCCTTTCTGAATATTCTCGATCCATCCACAGTTTCAAACGCACGGATGCCGTCGATCACATCACGACTCACATCACGAGTCCTCAAGAATCTTCAAATAACCGTCGATGACATACGCTCACAGGTGCCAAAAAGGTTTCGACTTTCGTCTAGAACGACGAAATTATCGAGGTTTACCACCTCGTCCTGCGAAGGCGAATTGTGAGGTTTTTTTTTGCGGCGAAGCAGGAGTTTATCGCTCCACCTTGAAAGTGTCTGGTGCTTCTTTACCGTCAACTTCATCCACTTGTCATCAGAGGGGTCATGCCAACCGTCGATCTTCTTTTCCCGCCCATGCTGAGTGGCTCTACAGCATTTTCATCTTGTGCGACGGAATTATGGAGAGATCTGTCACCCCTTCATCAGAAGGCAACTTCTTTTCCTGTACAATTGCTGAAGGATCCGTATGTCTCCGGTTCTGCCTGATAATGAGGCCAACGTCAGGTTTCTTCTCTGTTACTTGTTCCTCAGCTGCTTATCTCCCCTATCAATGTTCCCGCCAAACCCATGGTTGTTTGAATCATTCTCAAGTCGCTCCCAGTCAGCTGCAATTCTGACACACAGCCGAGCTTACCTTGAAGTCTTAGAAGTGGCAAGCTCGTTCATTTGTTTTAGGCTCGTCGTCGTGATTCTAGTCCAGTCGTAGATTTAGTTATGTCGTAGGTCTATGCTCGTCCATATTTTAGCTAGGCTCGTCCTTATTCTATTTAGGTTCGTTAGTATTTTAGACTCGTAGTAACATTAGTAATTTACATATCGTCGCGACTGTCCGCTGGAGTGCTATGATTGCGTTGAAGTTGTTATCCTCCTGAAAAGTACCACGATTCATCATGACCGTCTGTCTCTCTCTCTCCCTTCGTCGTCACATTTGACAGTTTTGTTTGACTCTTTTTTTTGCTTCAAGATGCGACAGCAGGAGCCGTCAAATTTCGATCACAATGGCGGCTCTGGTGGAGGTGAAACGCTGGCTGATCCTACTGCGCCTTCGTCAGCCAATCCATTTCAGCACAACCAACAGCAGCCAGCAGCCACGTCAGCAGCAGCGACAGGCTCGGCAGGCCCTTCCGAACCGCCGTCCGAACCTGTGGCTTCGGGGTCCGAACCTCGTCGGAGGAAGCGGAAGAACAAACGAATCGTGGTGGACCAGAAAATTGAGCGGGAAATCTTGGCTCTCAAAAAAGCCCACCCCATTCTCACCAGCGAGCAGATCGCACGTGCAGTCGCGAAGCGTTTCGGAGTGACGCTGAGGGAGGCAAAGGTGGAAATGATAATCGTTCGCGCCAAAACCGACCCGTCCGCTATAAGCAAGTGGCACAATTTTTGGCGCAAGCGTTACAAGAACCCGGAATTGGAGGCAGATCTGCTGCAGTGGATACGCGAGAGGAGGCGCCGGGAGTCCCTGAAAGCGCAGAATATTCTAAACCGAGTTAAGAGGTTCGTGACGTTGAAAGAAATGGTGGATTATGCGATGGCTATAGGGCCTTCGTATGGCGTCCCGGCAGAGCATATTTACAGCAAGGATTGGATGCTTCGGCTATTAAAGGACCACGGGTTGAATTCGAGAGGGGAGGAGATTAATCTGGGCGAAGGCGCAGGCTCGGGGACTGATGCCGGGCCTGATGGAGCAGGTTCGGGGGAAGAGGGTCCTGCTGCTGGTGGTGCTGGAGGCGGGGACTCAGGTTCGGGGCGTGTTCCTTGGAACGATATTCCGTTTGATATTCGGATTCGGTACGAGATTTCAGTGGTCAAGCGTGCACGGCCGAACCTAGACAATAAGGTGATTGCTGCAGCGATTACAGCTAAGTACGGAAACGAAGCGGGGATGAACTTTCGGTCGCTGGACAGAATAAGTACGTTTTATGACAAGTGGTTCGGGATTGTTACTGCAGCGGTGCCAGATCCGAACCTGTTACGTACGGAGGAGGCATTGGCGGAATGGGTGATTAAAAAGGAGGAGAGTGAGAAGAGGGAGGTGACCAGAGAGGAGATTATAGCGAAGGCAAAGCAGATAGGGCCGGGGTATAGTATCCGGCCGGATTTCAAGTATGGCAGGCCGTGGGCGATGCGGTTTATGAAGAGGTTCGGGCTGCTGCTGTTGTCGGAGTCTAGTAACGAGGATGCTGATAACGAGGATGAGGGAGGCGCGGGAGGAGAGGGAGGAGCGGGAGAGGATGGGATGGAGGGAGACGAAGAGGAGGGAGAGGTGGAGGGATGGGATGGTGGGTTGATCAGTTTTGTGAACATGCAGATTCGGACTGCTGAGTGGGCTGCCTGGCAGGTGTTGCATAAGTCGGCAGGGGGTACAGCAGCGGGACGCTCTTTATCGAGTACAGGGGTAGGAAGGGGAGGAGATGAAGGAGGTGAAGGATTAGGAGGGGGCGTTGCGAGTATTCCTGAGCCTGATCGTGGAAATGTAGGAGAAGGGGATTTTTCAAGGGTAAATAACCCTTGGTCTGCGGATGCCTTGACTGAGTTACTAGAAGAAGAAGAGGGGGTTGACTTGGATGACAGAACAGGGTCCGGGAGGGATGGAGGAGGGGGGTTGCACACAGATGGGTATGGAGATGGGGAGAGCACAGGAGGGGCCTTGGGGGTAGAGGAGCGGATGACTGATGGTGATTCTGATGGTAGTGGTGGTGCTGACGCTGATGATGATGATGATGATGTTGCTGTTTCTGATGCTGATGATGCCTGTGTTGCTGGCGGTGCTGGTACTGCCGAGGGTGTTCGTGCTCCTACAGCTGCAACAGGAATGAGGAAGAGAGGAAGCAAGCGGGTTAGGTGGGAGGACGATGCTGGTGACGATGGTGGTGGCGATGGTGATGGTGCTGATGATGGTGGCGATGGTGACGGTGCTGGTTGTGGTGGTGATGGTGTGAAGAAGCGAAGGCTTGGACAACTCACTTCCACCACAGAGGCTGCTGCTGTTGAGTCCATCTCAGTGACCACATGCACTGCCTCCCCAGCCACGGGTGCAGCCCCCAGCGCACCTACCAGCGTCTCTTCCCGCGTGCCCATAGTCATTGGCCTTGCCGCTCCCAGTGATCCCAATTCCCCCGCCGCCCCCCGCACCACCACCCTCCTCCACCTCCCCTCCCAAGCCACCCTGGCTTCCCGAACCACAGTCCCTTTGCACTCCTTTCAGGGCGGCCTAGCCGCCCAAGCCACCCGAGCCACCCAAGCCCATGCCACCCAAGCCCATGCCGCCCTAGCCGCCCAGGCTGGTCAGACCACGCCTCCCCCACATCCCTCCAAAACGCCGCCCAAGGAGGGGAAGGAGCGCCGGGCCAAGTATTCCGTGCTGACGCCGGGGCAAAGGCGAGCCTTCTGCCTCGTGCAACGGGCGCTGCCGAACCTGCGCCAAGCCTACCTTGCCAGAGCTGCGCTGCCGGCTTGGGGCGTGCAGATATACAGCGCTACTATAGCGTACATAATCAGGGATAGGTGGTGGTGGATGAGCATTCCCTGGGGGAAAGAGGAGCAGATGGGCAGAGTGCCTTGGAAAAAGAATATGGGGAAGAAGAAGAAGAGGAAGAGGAGGAAGAAGACGCGGGTGGTTGGTGCGGGGGTGGGGAGGTGGAAGAGACTGGAAGAGGCGTTGGGGCGGTGGTTTGAGGAGATGGGGGCGGAGGAGTTGGTTTGTCGGGGAGGATTAGAGAGCGGAGGTTGGTGTTAGAAGAACAGGGGGAGGATGGGGGGAAGGATGGGGGGAAGGATGCGGGGAGGGATGGGGGAAAGGATGGGGCACCTCAGAAGGGCACCTTTCCTGTGTTTCTGACATTGGAAATGGTATCAGACATGGGGAGAAAACTTGGGCCTGCTTTAGGCGTTTCGAGTAACTTTAAATATGGAATTGGGTGGGCAGAAGCGGTGGTGGCGCGATATAGGGTGAAGAAGACTGGAGTGGTTGGGGAATTGAGGGAGCAGGGGGAGAGGGAGTAGGAAGAGAGGGGGCAGGGGAAGGGGAACTGAGGTGGGAAAATGGAGAGGGAGGGGAGGGGGAGAGGGCGGAGGGGAATGAGGAGGCGGAGGAGGAGGAGGAAGATTCAGATGGGGAGGATGATGATGGAAGCGACGAGGAATCGGGAGAGGGGGAAGAGGAGGACGATGAGGGAAACGAGGAAGGGGGGAACGAGAGGAACGAGGGGAATGAGGGGGAATGTCGGGATCCGGATGTGTTACGGAGGCGGTTTGAGGAGTCCGAACTCTCAGCTTCATACAGCAGTCGAGACGAGGACCCGTATGCTCTCGACAAGTGGGTGGACGATCCACATGTGTCAAGTCTTATGCGGGCCATTCTGGGGCCGGATTGGCTTAGTAAATACCATGGTGGTGCTACTGGCTGCGGCATTTACCTCGATGCTTCTGGTGCCAGCAGTGCTGCCCCTGCCTCTACTGCTGCCACTGCTGCTGGTGCTGGTGCTGGTGCTGGTGCTGGTGCTGGTGCTATGGGTGGGCATGGGCATGGCAGTGCGTTTGTCAGGAGCCCGTCTGCCCTCGCTTCGCCGCTCATGCAATGCATGCCGCTCTCTGCAGTGCCCATGGTGCAGCAGATGCAGCAGAGGTACGTGCAGCAGCAGAAGCAGAAGCAACAGCAGCTGCTCCAGTCACAGCAGCAGCAGCAGCAGCAGCAGCAGCAGCCAGTCAATGCATGCCAGCAGTCACTAACCAGTTCGTCACCTCAGCAGCAGAAGAGCTCAAGCTCCACGCCCCTGCTGCGCTTACCTGACTTCCTCTTTACCCGTCCCACGTCCCAACCGGCATCTGCACAGCAAACACCTGAAACTGTACCAGCACCTGAAACTGTACCAGCACCTGAAACTGTACCAGCACCTGAAAGTGTCCCAGCACCTGAAACTGTACCAGCACCTGAAACTGCACCTGTACCTGTACCTTTACCTGAAACCTCACCGACTCCTGAAACTGTACCAACACCTGAAACCGTACCTGTATCACCTGAAGCTATATTACTAGCACCTGAAACTTTGTCAGAGGAAGAAGAAGAACCTCCTTACTCCACCTCCACCCCACCCACCTCGCATCCCCCTGGCCTATCTATCGTCCTTGCCCTCCCCGCCGCAAACGCCCCTCCCATTATCACCCCCGACAACCACTCCTCACCAACCTCGCACCCCTCTCAACCCAGCGAAACCACCCCAACTCCCGGTGTGCGCAAGCGGATACACGGCCCCCCTCTGCCCGTGCAGCTCCGCCGCTCCTTCCAAATGACCACGCACCAAAAGCGGGCGCTTTGCCTCGTCATACACTCCGTCCCGAACCTCTCCAGCTTGTTCCTTGCCAAGGCTCTGCTCCAGGCTTGGGGAACGCCCGTGTTTGAGTCCATGGTTCGGAAAATCAGGCAGCATAGTGATTGGTGGATGAATATTCCGAAAGGGAAGGAGGAGGAGTTCAGGGTGAGAGGGAAGCGGTGGGATTGGAAGAAGAGGAAGTATTATGCGGTGGAGGGCGGTGTGGATGGGCGGGTGCAGTGTGTGAGGCTGGAAGCGGCGCTTTTGAGGTGGATTGAGGCCATAGGGGCGGGGGATTTGGTGCGGAAGGGGACGATAAAGGAGGGAGTGTTTGTGATGGAAGGGGAAGAGGGGGGTGGTGAAGAGGAGGAAGGGAGGGGAGGAGGGGGGGAGGCGGGGGTAGGAGGAGGAGGAGGAGGAGGAGGAGGAGGAGGAGGAGGAGGAGGAGGAGGAGGAGGAGGAGGGGGAGGAGGAGGAGGAGGAGGAGGAGGAGATGGGGCAGTTAACAGGGTTGTGGTGGAGGATAAGTTGAAATATAGAGGGCGTTTAACGGTGCAGATGCTGTTGGATAGGGCAGAGATGATAGGGTGGAAACTAGATGCCCCCTCTGACTTCGAATACACAGAGGAATGGGTGCTGGAGGTTCTAGAGCGGTATAAAACAGGGAAGAAGGCAGAGGGAGCGGGGAGTGAGAGCGATGGCGCCGGGACGGGGGAAGGAGGCCGGGAAGGGGAGGGAGGAAGGGAGGAGGGAGAGGAAGGGGAGGGGGGAAACAAGAAGTCTGACCGACTGTCTGAGCGACAAAGTGAGCGACAGTCTGGCCAACAGTCTGATTTTGAGTCGACTCAAAAGCAGTCTGGGCGAAAGTGTGACCCATACAACCTACAGAAGCGGGTAGCACCGTTGGTGAACCACTTCCCACACGACCGGCAGTCAGACCCGTATGACCTGGAGAAGTGGGCAGATGATACGCATGTGAAATCGCTGATGCAGTCAATCTACGGGCCGAACTGGCTCCGTAAGTATGCGTACCCGCGCTCTGTCAGGCAGGCTTCTGTTGCTGCTGTTGCCGCTTCTGCTGCTCGTGCTGATGCTGCTGCTGCTGCTGCTGCTGCTGCTGGTGCTGCTGGTGGTGGTGCTGCTGGTGCTGGTGGTGCTGCTGCTGGCGCTGATGGTGGTGCCGCTGGTGCTAGTCGTGGTGATGGATATCCCGAACGCACTGCAAGGCCGCCGGCCAAGCCCGCCCACACTGCTGGTGGTGCTGGTAGTGGTGGTGCTGCTGCAGGCATTGCTGCCCCGCTGCTGCCAACACCCTGGGCCAGTAAAGCCAAACTCCGGGCGTTTCAGGAGCAGGAGGAGCTTCAGAAGCAGCAGAGGTTTCAGGGGCAGCAGAGGTTTCAGGGGCAACAGAGGTTTCAGGGGCAGCAGAAGTTTCACGGGCAGCAGAAGTTTCACAGGCAGCAGAGGTTTCACGGGCAGCAGACCCCATGGGGCAGTGATGATGATTCGTGGGCAGAAGAGCTCCCAGTCAACCGCCCTGATTCTCCTGACTCCCTCAACCCTGTTGACTCTGTTGACTCTGCTGAAGCGCTTGATGCTCTTGACGCTATTGACTCTCGTGGCTTCACTTCTTTGCCGCCTCGAAGCGCGCCTCCTCCACAGCACATGAGTATGCAGCGCCAACAAAGGGCGTGGGGCAGGGATGGGTCCTGGGCAGGTGAGCTTAACCCTCCCGTTCCTCGCCGGGCAGGCGAGTTCAGCCCTGCTTCGACCATGCCAGCTGCGCGCACGTCAGCACAGCAGCGGCGGCGAGGGTTTTCCAGCAGGGATGGGCCCTGGGCGGCTGGTCTGCATGCACCTCGTGCTGTTGCCGGCTTCTCTGGCTCTCGTGTTGCTGATAATGTTGGGTCTCGTGTCCCTGGTTTCCCCGGCTCCCGTGCTGCTGGCCCTCTTGCTCCTCGTGCTCCTGTCATGGGTTCGGAGGAGTGGCAGCAGTCGCTGCAGAGGCAACAGAGGCAGCAGGGGGGTTCAGGCGTGAGGGGTTCCTCTTGGGCAGGTGGATTCTCTGTCCCCCCACCTGGTCCCGGCCTCACCCCTCCTCGACCCATGCCTGGAAACGCTTTCACTGCCACACCACCCCATGGTACCGGTCTCAACCGTTCTTCACACACGCCTGGGCACACTTTCGCTGGTCCCCATGCAGCTGGTCTCTCTCCCAATGCGGCCCCTGCAGGCCCCAGCACACGTGGCAAGCGTTTGCCCAAGTGTGTGGTGAGACAGGATCAGAGAGGAGGAGCTGGTGGTGGAGAGTGGTTGGGAGGGGTGACTGGCGGTAGTGCTGCTCTTCCTTACTCCTCTGGGAACGCGTCTGCGTACATGTATGAGCGGGCGGAAAGAGCATTTGGTGGGAGTGAGTGGGGGGAAGGACTGGGAGGAGGGGGAGAAGCAATGGGATGGGGAGGAGCGGGAGGAAGAAGAGGGGGAGGGGGGGAAGATGGAGGACCAGACTATGGGGCTAGGGGATTGGGTAATGAGGAAAGGCAGGGAAAGAGGAGGAGGATGGAAGAGGAAGATAGAGTTAGAAAGGAGAGAGTGCTGGGGAAGGAGAGAGTGAGAGAGGAGAGGGCACGAGAGGAGAGGTTGAGAGAGAAGGTGAGAAGTAGGTCAGAGGGTGGTCGAAGTCTTGAAACATATCAGTCGAAAAAAGCACTTCAAAAGAAGGGAAAGAGCGGAGCAAAGACAGGTATTGATTCGGCTGGTACACAGGCTTTTGAGGCGCCTCAAAAGCAGGCTGAAAAGCGGTCTAAGAAACGAAACGCCTCCTTTCACACCGCATGGGCCATGCTGGTTGGTGGGGGCGCTGTTGGAGAGAAGAATTTGGAGAATAATGGTGAGAAGAATGGTGAGGGGGAATGTGAGCCGTCTGGGAACGCCATGCTGGTTGGTGGGGGCGCTGTTGGGGAGACTCAGAAGAATGCTGAGGGTGGAGTTGAGACGACTAGAAACACCATGCATGTTGGTGGGGATGTAGGGGTGGAGACGGATGGTGAGGGGGGAGAAACAGGGAGACAGGCGGGAGGGGAGGGGGGCGAGATGGGCGGCAGTGACGGGGAGAGGGGGCGGCGGTGATGGGGAGAGGGGTGGCGGTGACGGGGAGAGGAGCGGTGGTGATGGGGAGAGGGGCGGCAGTGATGGGGAGAGGGGCGGCAGTGATGGGGAGAGGGGCGGCAGTGATGGGGAGAGGGGCGGCAGTGATGGGGAGAGGGGCGGGAGTGATGGGGAGAGGGGCGGTGGTGACCCAGTCTTGATGACTCATAACGGTGGAAAAAATTATGGAGATGAAGGGGAGAGGAGTGGTGGGGAAGGGGAGAGGAGTGGTGGGGAAGGGGAGAAGGATGGCAGGCAAGGGGAAAATGATAGCAGCGAAGGGGATATAGATGGAACTAGGGGGGTAAAGAGCGGGAATAGGAATGGGGAAGAGCGGGGTGGTAAGGGGCGGAAGGCTTTTGGGGCGCCTCAAAAGAGTGGGAATAGGAAAGGGGGGGAGCGGGATGGGAAGGGGCGAAAGGAGGAGGTGATTGAGGTGTTGGTGAAGGAAGAGGAATTGAGTGGCAATAGTGAGAGTCGGAGTGAGAGTGAGAGTGAGGAGGATGGTAAGGAGATAAGAAGAGGGAGGAGAAAGGGGAGGAAACGAGGGAAGAGAAGAGGGAACGGTAGCAAGGGTGAGAATGAGGGTGAGGATGAGAGTGAGAGTGAGGAGGATTCTGAAGATGTAGAGGAGGTGAAAAGAAGACGGAGAGGAGGAAGGAGGAAGGGTGGGAAGGGCAAGAGTGAGAGTGAGAGTGAGGAGGGTTCTGAGGATGTCGTGGAGGTGAGACAAAGAGTGGGGAGGGGAAGGAGGAGGAAAGGCAGGAAGGGGAGAAAGAGGGATGGGAGGATGAGTAGAGGGAAGAAGCGGAGGAGAGAGCGGGAGAGGGGGAGTGCAGGTAGGAGAAGGCGGAGGAACGGGAGAATCAGCAAGTCAAGCGACGAGGATGACGATGATGATAGTGACGACGAGAGTAGTGACGCTAGTGATAGTGACAGTGATAATAGTGAAAGTGGTAGCGATGATAGTGATAGTGATAGTGCTACTGACGATTCTGGTAGCAGTGATAGTGCTGATGATACTGATTACGATGAAGATGAGGGGGCGGAAGAGGCAGATGATGACAGCAAAAAGAGGAAGAGGAAGAAGAGGAAGCGCTTGCATGGAGAAGGAGCCAGCACAGGAGTAGCAGGATCACCTGCAGCAGTTGAAGCTTTGGTGGCGCAGGCAGCAGCGCAGGCTGTATCTGGGGTGGGCTTACCTTTTCCAGCCTCAGTCACGCCTGAAAGGGCCGCTGCTGCTCTCGCTGCCGCTATTGCAGCCGCTACCGCAGTTGCGAATGGCGGGGTAGGTGCTCCTGTTCCTGGGGTTGGTCCAGTCGCTGTTGCTGGCACTCCTGCTTCTGGAGCGGTTCAAACTGGTGCTGCTGGGTTGGGAGGTGCCGGGTTGGGCCAAGTACTGGGTGCGCTAACTGCGGGTAAAATGCTGAATGCTGGCGGAATGCTTGACACTGGTGGTGTGCTGACAGCTGGTGCGGTGCTGACAGCTGGTGGGGTGCTGAGGGCTGGTGGGGCATCAAATGTTGGAGGGGGGAGAGCTGGTGTAGCTGCCGCCCAGTTGGGTCAGTTTTTGCTGCAGCAGAATGAAGGAGGTGCTTCTGGCCCTTCTGGTAATCAAGCATCACTGGAGCAGGCTGTTGGGTCGAGTCAGAGGTCTGCTCGGTTGTTGCTGGAGCAGCAGAATCAAAGAGGTGCTTCTGGTCGTTCTACTGTTCGAGCGTCACTGGAGCAGCAGCTAAAGCAGTTGCAGCTGGAGCAGGCACAGCAGAGGCGGCATGTGGAAAATTTGCAGGGGCAGTTGCGGCGGCTAGAGAGGGAGGAAGAGCAGTTCATGTACCCAACCCAGCAGCAGCAGTGGCAGCGGCAGCGCCTGGAACAGCAGTTGGAGCAGGCGCAGCGGTTTGCAGTGCAGCAGGAGACGCAGATACAGCGAATCAGAAGGCAGTTGGGGTGATAGCAGTAGGCGCTGTGGTTAGGCTCTGTCGTTTGTGGCACAGCAAGAGGCGCTCATGCAGCGAGGTGACTTTTGAGTCGACTCAAAAGTCGCCGCACGGCAGTTAGGGCAATAGCAGCAGGCGCTGTGGTTTGTGGCACAGCAAGAGGAGCTTATGCAGCGAATGAGGACGACTTTTGAGGCATTTCAGAAGTTAGGGCGATAGCAGCAGGTGCTATGGTTTGTGGCACAGCAAGAGGCGCTCACTTAGCGAGTGAGGGGGCAGTTTGGGTGATAACAGCAGGGACAGGCGGTTAGGCGCTGCGGTTAGGCGCTGTGGTTAGGCGATGTGGTTAGGCGCTGTGGTTAGGCGATGTGGTTCGTAGCACAGCAAGAGGCGCTCATGCAGCGAGTGAACTTTTGGGAGGCCTTAAAATAACGCAGTTAGGGTGATAGCAGCAGGCTCTGTTGTTTGCAGCACAGCAAGAGGCACTCATGCAGCGAATGAAGACGCAGCTAAAGCATTAGTTGCTGGTGTAACACAAGCTTGAGAAAGTGTAACACAAGCTTGAGAAAGTAAGTCTTCTTACACTGGTGGATCTGCTGTAAAAGGTGTACAAAGAATTAACCAAAGCAGTCTGGAATATCCACAGGGACTGGTGACACAAACAGAGTTTTATACCACAAATTGCAAGCAACTATATTTAGCAAGCATGTAGACATGCAACGAATAACTACTGCAGCAACACTGCTAGCACCTGCATCCTCTACTTCCTACACCCCACCCTCCATAGCCTTACCCTCCATAGCCTTACCCTCCATAGCCTTACCCTCCATAGCCTTTCCCTCCGAAGCCCCACCATCTGTAGCCCCACCATCTGCCGCCCCACCATCTGTAGCCCCACCATCTGCCACCCCACCATCACGTACTGCATCATCATCTCCTCCATCCTCCTCATCCATTGCGTCCTTCGCTTGATGCTCTTGACATTCCGCATCCATAGGCACCCCTCTCGACTTCCCACCATCTGCAGCACCATCGCCTGCAGCACGATCACCTTCAGCACCACCATTTGCAGCACCACCACCTGATTCGCCGTCACCTGTTGCACCGCCATCTGTAGCACCATCGGCTGCAGCACCACCACCACCATCCACTTCCATATCCTCTGTAGCTGTTGCTCTGGGCTCCTGTGGGTGATCATTTTCATGTGTATCCTCACCAGCTGTAGCTGCTGCTGTAGCTGCTGTAGCTGCTGTAGCTGTTGCTGCAGCTGCTGCAGCTGCTGTATCATCTCTTGGCTCACCCACTGCAGCAGCACCACCACCGTCCACTTCCATATCATCTGTACCTGTTGCTCTGGGCTTCTGTGGGTCATCATTTTCACGTGTATCCTCAGCAGCTGTAGCTGCTGCTGTAGCTGCTGTAGCTGTTGCTGCAGCTGCTGCAGCTGCTGTAGCTGCTGCAGCTGCTGCAGCTGCTGTATCATCTCTTGGCTCACCCACTGCAGCAGCACCACCACCATCCACTTCCATATCATCTGTAGCTGCGGCTCTGGGCTTCTGTGCTGGGCCAACTTCTTTAAGTGACTTCCCATCTTCTGTGACAGCTACAGCTACAGCCTCAGCCTCAGATGTAGCAGCAACAGCCTCAGCCTCAGATGTAGCAGCAACAGCCTCAGCCTCAGATGTAGCAGCTACAGCCTCAGCCCCACACTTAACAGCCAAATCCACATCCCCAGTAGCTGCCACATCCCTATCTGATTCAGTTTCAGGAAGATTGCCACCGGCTGTAGCGGCTACAGGCGTGTCAGAACCCTTCCCTCCAAGGATCTTGCTGACGGTGCTCTCAACTGCATCCTCCTCAGCACCTGTAATCCCAGCCTCTGCAGCCGTAGCTGCTACAGCCTTAGCCGTGGTTGTAGCAGGTACATCGTCACCAGCTGTAGCAGCCACAGGCGTGTCAGAATCCTTCCCTCCAAGGATCTTGCTGACGGTGCTTTCAATTGCATCCACCCCAGCATCTGTAATCCCAGCCTCTGGTGAATCAGGTGATGCGGCTGTAGCTGCTTTGGTCCCAGCCTCTGGTGAATCAGGTGATGCGGCTGTAGCTGCTACAGATGCGGCTGTAGCTGCTACAGATGTGGCTGTAGCTGATTCAGATGCGGCTGTAGCTGCTACAGATGCGGCTGTAGCTGATTTGGTCCCAGCCTCTGGTGAATCAGGTGATGCGGCTGTGCCTGCTGGGGATGTGACTGGTGCTGCTGTGGCTTCAGCCTCAGGCGATTTAGGAGAAGCAGCTGTAGCAGGTACATCAGTAGCAGGTGCATCTGAGGCAGGTGCATCTGTGGCAGGTGCCTCTGTAGCAGGTGCATCTGTAGCAGGTGCATCTGTAACAGGTGCATCTGAGGCAGGTGCATCTGAGGCAGGTGCATCTGTAGCAGGCGCCTCTGTAGCAGGTGCATCTGAGGCAGGCGCCTCTGTAGCAGGTGCATCTGCGGCAGGTGCATCTGTGGCAGGTGCATCTGTAGCAGGTGCATCTGTAGCAGGTGCATCTGTAGCAGGTGCATCTGTAGCAGGTGCATCTGTAGCAGGTGCATCTGAGGCAGGTGCATCTGTAGCAGGCGCCTCTGTAGCAGGTGCATCTGAGGCAGGTGCCTCTGTAGCAGGCGCCTCTGTAGCAGGTGCATCTGTGGCAGGTGCATCTGTAGCAGGTGAATCAGCAGCAGGAGCAGCTGTGGCAGGTGCATCAGCATCAGCAGGAGCGACAGTAGCAGCACCAGAGTCAGCAGGAGTAGCGGTAGGAGCATCAGCATCAGCAGGAGCAGTGGTGGCAGCATCCGCATCAGCAGTAGTAGCAGCTGCAGGAGAAACAGTGGTAGCAGCACCAGGGAGAACAGTGGCAGCAGTACCAGAGTCAGCAGGAGTAGTGGTAGGAGCATCAGCATCAGCATCAGCAGGAGCAGTGGAGGCAGCACCAGCATCAGCAGTAGTAGCAGCTGCAGGGGAAACAGTGGTGGCAGCATTAGGGAGAGCAGTGGCAGCAGTACCAGGGGCGGTAGCAGCAGGAGTAGAGGAAGCGGCAGCAGAAGAGGCTGCATCAGCAGGTGGGGCACTTTGCTGCTGCTGCTGCTGCTGCTGTGCCTGTTGTTGATCCTCTATCTGCTTCTTCAGCAGCTGCATCTCACTCTGCTGCTGCCATGCAAACCGCTGTGCCTGCTGCAACTGGTTCTCTATGTGCTTCTTCTGCCACTGCTGCTGGGGAGAAGGTGCCTTGAACTGCTGGTGCTGCAGCTGGTGCTGCAGTTGCCCTATGAGCTGCAGCTGCTGCTTGTGCATCTTCTCTAGCTGCTGCAGAAGGGACGCTCTAAACCCAGAACCACCTCCTGCTGCTGCTGCTGCTGCTGTTGCTTCTGCTCTTGCTTCTGCTTCTGCTTCTGCTTTCGTTGCTTCTGCTGTTGCGGCTGCTGCTGTTGCTGCTGCTGCTGCGGCTGCTGTTGCTGCTGCTGCTGCTGCTGCCACTGCCCCTGCTGCTGCACTTGCTGCACTAACCGATCCCAATTGGCAGCACCAGCAGCCCGGCTAGCTGCCGCATTCGCATGACCAGCTACACTCTGACCAGCCGCATTCGCAACAGCAGCAGTGGCGGCAGCAGCAAAGGCAGCAGCGGGAGACGCTGCGGCAGCAGCGGGAGCAGAGGGAAAACCAGGAGCAGGAGCCGGAGCAGCAGCAGGAGCATTTCTGAACCCAGAATAGAACTGTGGAGGATAATACGGGGAGAAGTATGGTTGCCCTAAAACAGCATTACCCGGTCCATGGGCGTTAAACAGTCCACTAGTACTGGCATTCCCCAATCCACCAGCATTTACCATCCCACCAGCATTCCGCATTACACCAGCACTAATTGCACCCAGTAACTGCCCAAAACCAGCACCTCCCACCGCAGCAGCGCCACCAGCCAACCCCCCACCAGACCCACCACCGACCCCTCCCCTAGTAGCACCCCCCCACCCAGCACCCCCACCACCACGGGTACCAGCAGCAGCAGTGGCGTTGTAAGCAGCAATATTGGGGGAGTCACCGCGGGCCACTGATGCAGCAGCTGCAATAGCGGCAGCGAGAGCAGCAGCAGCTCGTTCCTGCGTGACTGAGGCGGGAAGAGGTAAGCCCGCCCCAGATGCAGCCTGTGCCACCAGAGCCAGTGACTGGCCCGGAATAAGTGGGTTGCCCGGATGGCTCGGATGGCTCGGAAAGCCACTAGCTCCGGCCGAACCTGCTGCACCTGTGCTGCTGCTCCTGAGGTTCCTCCTGACATGCTCTATCCCGTGTCCATTGCTGTTATCCTGCTCCTCCTCCTCCTCGTCCTCCTCATCCTGATAATCCTCATCATCATCATCATCATCATCATCGTCGTCGCTTGAGCTGTCCTTTCGTGATCGGCCCTTTCTGCGACGATCTCTTTTCTTCTCCTTCTCCTTCTCCTTCTCTCGCCGTCGCTTCTTCTTCCCTCTCTCTCTACCACCACCCTTAGCACCTTTCCCCCATCCACCCCCCCTCACCTCCACCACATCATCATCCGACCCCCTCTCCTCCTCTTTGTCATCATCTGACAGCTCAATCACTTCTGCCGCCCGCTTTCTGCTGCCCACCTCCCTCACGCTCCGTCCTTCACCCCTCCTCTTCCCGTCTCCGTCCCCACTCTCGCCGCCCGATCCCGCACCAACCAGCACATGCCACGCACTCTCAAACGACGCACGCCGCACACCTGCCTCTGAACCATGCTTCTCTCCCTTTGTCCCTTTCTTCCCTCTTTCCCCTTTGTGCCTTTCCCCCTTTTCCCCATGCCTTTCACTTCTCCAATCCCTCCAGTCACTCCCACCCTGTTTCTCCGCTCGTCTCCGGGCCTTCTCCTCTGCTCTCCTTCTCCTCTTCTCTCTCTTCCGCTCCTTCTCTCGCCGCTTCCTCTCTCTCCTTTCCTCTCGTTCACTGACCACTACCCCAGCCCCCCCTCCCAAACCTCTTGCTCCTGTTCCGACCCCTCCTGCTCCTCCAAGCGTTGCTCCTAGACCCACACTTCCTCCCACACCCCCTCCGGCACCTCCTCCTGCTGCCTGTGCGGCCAAGAGGTTGAGCAGCATCAGCAGCTGCTGCTGGTTACCACCTCCTGAGCCTTGATTAGCCCCTGCATTCACCAGGGCCCCCAGATTGCCTGCACCGGCCAAACCACCGCTCACACCAGCACCACCAGCAGCACCGTTACCAAACCCACCAAAACCGCCCGCACCACCAAAACCACCACCCAGAGCACCGGCTATACCACCAGCAGCACCACCACCACCAGCGCCCAGTGCTGCTGCAAGCAGTGCTGCAGCTGCAGCAGCCCCTCCTGCTGGCGGGCCAACACCTGGCATAGAAGAAGGTCCAGCAGCAGCAGCAGCAGCAGCACCAGCAGCAGCAGGTGAAGCGGCCGCAGCAGGCTGTGTCTGAGAAGCGAAGCCATACGTGTGGGAGTGGGGTGAGGGGCCGGTGTGCTGTGGGGTTGCACGCAACTGTTGTGGTCGGGGTAAGTTGAGCTGCTGGAAATTGAGTGGCGATCCTGCTGCGTCCCAGCCCCCTGCTGTGCCCCCTGCTGTGCCCCCTGCTGTGGCAGTCACACCTGCTTTGCCTGCTTTACCTGTGATACCTGCCATGCCTGCTACACCCGCTCCCCCTCCTCCTCCTCCTCGTGGTGCTATTTTTGCGAAAGCCTGGCTCCTTGTGACTCGAGCACCAGCGGCGACAGCTGTCCATGAATCCCCATGCGGATCATAACGGTACATAACGGTACCGCCACCGGCCGCACCAGCCGGGGAACTGCTGAACCCAGCAGCAGCAGCAGTAGCAGCAGCAGTAGCAGCGCCAGCAGCAGCCGCAAGGCGACGGCGAGGAGGAGGGGAGTCAGCGACAGCAGCATCAGCATACAAGCTGCCGTCGTTCTCGTACGCAATGCCGCCGCGCTGTATGTACTGTGTGAGCCAGTTTGGCCCGAGCACGCACCGCATGAGGCTGGAAAGGTCGGGATCATCAGCCCACTTGTCCAGCGCATACCGGTGCGGATTTTGATCAGCTGGATTCTTATCAGCCCCGGCACCAGCAGCACCAGCACCAGGAGCAGCAGCAGCACCAGCAGCAGCAGAAGGTGCAGCGATTTTCCCTCGTTTCCCACCCCTTGCATGCTCCGATTCCTGCCCTGCTGTCTCCCCGCTCCGCCCTCTCTTCGTCCTCCCTTTCACTCCTCCTTCTCCCCCCACCTCCACCACATCATCATCCTCACTTTCACCCTCGTTACTCTCATCCTCCTCCTCCTCCCCCTCATCACTCTCCTCATCACCAGACGACTCCTCCTCTGACCACTCCCCATCCTCTCCCTCCTCCCCATCCTCACCCTCCTCCCCATCCGCACCCTCCGCCCTATCCCCACCCTCCGCCCTATCCCCATCCACCCCCTCCGCTCGCCCCCCCTCCTCACTCCTCGCCCTCGCCTTCCACCGCGCTACAACCCTCCGCACCCAGTTCTCTGCGTATTTAAATCCAGGAGGAGCGTCTAGAGTCGGTCCTAGCTCCTTCGCCATGCCTCTTATCATCTCCAGCGTCAGAAAAACAGGAGCGGACAATTGAGGGTTTTGAGAGATCTCAGACGAGCAATGCCGTCTCCTTCTCCCGTCTCCAAACTTCCCGCCTGTCCCACCCCTACCCCGCTCCCCCACTTCCATCACCAACATCCTATCCTTTACCCTTCCTTTCGTCACCAATTCCGCTGCTCCTATCCCCTCTATCCACTTCCATAGCGCCTCTTCCAGCTTCGCGCACTGCCCTGTGCCCTTCTCCTTCCTACTCCTCCTCTTTTTCCTTGGTTTTTTCTTCATCTCCTCCTCCTTCCCACGAGGAATCCTCAGCCACCAGCTATCCCCAACCACATGCCTTACAGTCTCAAACGACACACGCACTCCCCAAGCCGGCAGCGCAGCCTTGGCAAGCTCGTGGATGTTGGTTCGGCGCAGGTTCGGCAGGGCGTGGCGCACGAGGCAGAAGGCGCGCTTCTGACCCACCGTCAACTCCCGAGCCGTGCAACGCTTGGGATCAGGAACAGCTTTTCCAGAAGAAGCATCAGAATACGGTGCCTTCTCTGTGGTTTCGGCAGCCTGGGCTGCTTGGGAGGAATTGGGGGGTTTCGTGGCTTGAGACGCCAGGGCAGCTTGGGAAGAGGTGGAAAGGGTTGTGGAGGGGGGTGTGGCGGGGGTATCAGGGTCCCTGGGAGCAGCAAGGGCAAGAACGATAGCCATGGGGAAAGAGATAGGCATGCCGGTGGGTGCGCTGGTGGCTGCACCCATCGCTGGTGGGGCAGCATCAGTGAGGCCTCCCTTGTCGGCTGCATCCAACACTACAAGCTCCACTGCGCCTGGCTCTGCTTCTGCTTCTGCTTCTGCTTCTGCTTCTGCTTCTGCTTCTGCTTCTGCTTCTGCTTCACTGCTGTCCTCATCCAGTGCTTCCCCCTCCGCTGTGAGTGTCATGACAGCAACAGCTTCTGTGTCTGCACTCTGTGGCTCACTGTGTGGCGCACTGTGTGCTTCATGCCTTTGTTTCTCCGCACCACCATCACCCTCACCACCACCATCCCCATCACCACCACCACCAGCAGCACCAACAGCCGCGGCACCATCCTTATCACCACTATTACACGCACCACCATCACCATCCTTATCACCACTATTACACGCACCACCATCACCTTCCCCATCACTACTGCCACTGCCATCACCACCAGCATCCCCATCCCCATCACTGGCCCCTATAGCCCCCTCACGACCACCCTCCTGACCTCCATCCCTTTCTCCCGCCTCCCTCCCCCCAGTTTCCCTCTCCTTGTCTCCCCCCTCCTGCTGCTCGTCCACCCACCTAACCCGCTTGGTTCCTCTCTTTTTCATTCCAGCTGCAGCAGCAGCACCACCCCCACCAGAACCGTCATCAACAGCAGCAGCAGCTGCATCACTACCACCATCATCAGCAGCAGCAACACCACCACCACCACCATCAGCACCATCGACAGCAGCAGAACCATCAGCGTCAGTAGCAGCTAGATCAGAAGCTTGTCTCACAGCCTCTGGCTCCTCTTCTCCTGCTCTCTCCTCACCTCCCTCGTCCGCCCTCCCTCTCTCTATTCCCTCATCTCCTCCCTTCTTCCCCGTCTTCCCCCGTCTCCTCCCCCTCCAACATCACCATCTGTGCCAATTCCATCTACCCCCGCTTCTTCAAACAGCTCATTCAAAATATCCGCAGACCAAGGGCTATTTACCCTTGGAGAAACCTCTTCTCCTGCATCCCTATGATCAGGCTCAGGGCTACTCACGCCACCTCCCGCTTCCCCTTCCCCGTCCCCTTCCCCTTCCCCATCCCCTTCCCCTTCGCCTTCCCCCTCCCTTTCCCCGTCCCCGTCTTTTCCCTCCCCCTCCCCGGCCCCGCCCCCTTCTCCTTTCCCCCCTCCATCTCCTTCTCCCCCGTCTCTTCTCATACCGCGTCCCGCCACTGTACCCGCGCCTCCCGCCCCTGTACCCGCGCCTCCCGCCCCTGCACCCGCGCCTCCTGCCCCTGTACCCGCGCCTCCTGCCCCTGCCGACTCACACAACACCTGCCTGGCAGCCCGACTCGCGGTTCGCATCTGCAGATTTACAAAGCTAACTAGCCCACCATCCACCTCCCTTCCCTCAACACCATCACCCTCTTCCTCCCCCTCTTCCTCCCCCTCTTCTCCCCCTTCCTCCTCGCCTCCCCACTCCTCTCCCTCCCTGTCCTCATCCCCCTGCCCTTCCTCCTCTCCCCCAGACTTCCTATCACCCCCTTGCCTTCTTCCCTCGCTAGCCTCATACCTCCCTGCCTGACCTCCTCCTCCACCTCCTCCTCCAACTCCTCGCCCTCCGAGTTCTCTCTCAAACCAGTCGTCATCATCATCGCCTCCCTCTCCTCCCGCTCCTCTCGCCCCTCCCTCATCCTCGTTATCAGCTTCCTTGGTACTAGTCTCCGACAACAACAACAACCCAAACCTCTTCATAAACCGCGTCGCCCACGACCTGCCATACTTGAAATTCGGCCGCACCTTATGCCCCGGCCCAATCTCCTTCGCCTTCGCTATAATCTCCTCTATAGTCACCTCCCTCTTCTCCGTCTCCTCCTCTTTAATCACCCACTCAGCTAAAGCCTCCTCCATTCGAGACTGGTCAGGATCTGAGACCGCACCTGCAGCCAACCTAAACCACTTATCGCTCTCCTCCCCAATCTTCCTTATCGCCCTTGGGGTCATTTCCACTCCGTACTTAGCCCTGATAGCAGCAGCAATCACTCTATTCTCTAAGTGCGGCCGAGCGCGCTTAACCACAGCAATCTCGTACCGAAGCTGGAGTTCAAACGGAATCTCGTTCCGAACCACAGGACGCTTCGGCTTGGGCTTCTCCGAGACTGTCTTTTCCGAGCCTGGGATCCTGCCTCTGTCCAATCCGTCAGCACCACCTTCCCCCAAACCTGCTCCACTGCTCCCACCGTCATTATTCCCCGAACCTTCACCTCCCGTCCTACTAATCTCCTCTCCTTTCTTATTTAACCCGTTTTCTTCTAAAACCTTCTTAATCCAATGATCGCTGTACTTAAACACGTCAGGCACGCCATGCGACGGCCCCAATTTCATCGCATAATCCCGCATCTCTTTGACTGTAAGTTGCTTCTTTATCCCCTTAATCACTCTCATCGGATCCCGCTCCTCCTCGCGCTTCCTCTCGCGCACCCACTTCACCAGCGCCTCCTCCAGCGGCGCGTTCTTATAACGCGTACGCCGCCACCTGGTCCAGTCGCTCTGAACGGACCTGTCTACAGTGGACCTCAGTATAATCATCTCCACCTGCGACTCTTTTAGCGGGATGCCGTACAGCTTTGAAACCGCGCGCGCAATATGTGCGCTGGTGAGCACGGGATGAGCCTGCTTCAGAGCCACAATCTCCTGTTGAAGTTTCTGGTCTATCACGTTCCGGTAGTGTGGCTTCTTCGCTCCCCGAGGCTTGGATGCCGAACCAACTGCTGGTTCGGTCGCCGAGCCACCAGCAGATCCGGATGGCGCCTCAGGGGGATCTTCCGAGCCAGATGCCGCGGCTGCTGACGTGGAACCTGGCTGTTGCTGCTGCTCCTGAGGAGAACTAGCTTCCACCTGCCTGCCTGCTGCCTGCATTCCCTCTCCTCCCGCCTCGCCATCACCGCTGGAGTCGGAAATCGTCGTCGCCTCGAGCATTTCGAGAGTAAAGGCCGGACGATTGGAGCTATCGCACGGTCGGCGCTATCGCACGGTCGGCGCTATCGCACGGTCGGTGCTATCGCACGGTCGGTCGCCACGACGGTAACTGTACTCCGCGCTGGGGGCGAACAGAAAAATATCTCACATTGCCACCGTTGTGCATGGCAAATTTCAAACGTGTGCCTCACTTCCCGAAAAATCGTAACCAACCACGCTTTTTCCTTAGCTTTCAATTATTCGAATCAGAGATCGCTTACTGAAGAACCTAATCAAACGCCTCCTCGGACGGCCGAAAGAGTTGAATTACAGGCGTTGGCCGAAAGTTTCAAGAGTGCCGCAATTTTCTTAATCGCACTTCCAATCAGATCGAAGGGGGCTCAAACATTGGAGTCAAATATGGTACGCGACTCGAGGATTATTCAAACAAAGGCTTGCAGCAGTGGCTTATGTGGGAATAAAACACTAAGCTCGGCTTTCAAGTTTCGCCTGAATCATTGAATGTAGCAGTTGCTGTGAGGATATTCTCTGAACGGATATGTGTGTTCTCCAAGGAGGAACGCTGGCTATATTGCAGCTTGCTCCTTTAGCAGAACGGGTGGCATGGCAAATCTGTAGGCTCTTTCTTTCTGCTTTCTTTGGCTCCAGCTGGCCATAACCCCGAGGTGAGGCAACACGAAACCCTCGTTCCAAGCAATGCAGATCGACTCGACGGTCGGGGTGGCTCGGATTCAGTGAAAAAACAACATCGACGGATTATACATTGCTTCGGTGTTATTGGAGCTGACGCAATTCTTCAAGGTTATAACAAAACGACGAGACACTGCGAAAGGTATGGAAGCATCTGGAGATCACAAATGACGGGCCAGAAATCGAACCTCATCCGTGGATAAAGAGGCGAATGTAGTGTATACGTGAACCGCATCCGCAGTTTGTGCAGCTCAAAGTTTGAGCAGCAGCTTCAAACATATAAAAACACCAGATTCACACCCACTCCCTAGACTGGTTATTGGTTCGGCTGAACATATACACACAAAAAGTCAGCCATAGACTCATGTTCCGCTAAACTTCCTGTATTGTGTATTTTTTTTATATATCATTCTTGGTACATGTTACGATATGAAGTTTTATGAGAAGGCATTCCTGTATGCTGCAGGAGCCGACTCTACCGAGTACGAAGTCGAGGAGTCAGAAGAGTCGAAGCGACACAGCAACCGTCTGACCAAGACCGATGCAGGCAGAAACATTTGAAGTGAAAAGAGCGGGAACAGGTTTGAAACTGATTCCCGCGCCGCACGGTTTGAATTTCGCTGCAATAAGGGAATGTACCCCTTAGAGTACATGGCTAGTCTAGGGCGTTTTGCATTCCTTTGTATTTCCTATATAAACTCGATGTATGCATGCTATTATCATCTCAGTCATTTACATTCACTCTGACCTGAGTTCACTACTTCCGCTGCGACACTACCTGCGATCAACCCTGAACGATCCTCTTCGCTAAGTCACACTTCAGATTGTAACATGGTATGAGAGCTGCTCAGGGATTCTTCGCAACGTCAACTCCGTAAAATTCGCCAAACCAAGATCTGGCGAGCGGCACACGTTCCAAGACCAAGATGGCCGGAGGATCCGGAGGCCAAACAAATCTAACGGCCGAAGGACAAACCAACCCGGCTGCGACAAATGAAGCGACAACTACGATATTTTGGGGCACAGAGCAATGTAGGTGATGTTCCAAATTATAAGGTGATAATTGCTAAATGATTGTTCTCAGCCAATACGCCATTGACCCTTTAATGTGTGTGGGTTTTGTGTTATCTGGATATTCTCGCTGTGCAGTGATTTATATATTCTAGGGCAACTGTACAAGGCCCTGTTTATTAAGTAGTCATGCTTATGTTGTTATTTGACATTCTGTTGTTATATAAGGAAATATATATTATACAAATTAAACAAAAATGCTTATTCCAAAAAGAGAACACACTGTAAAGGGGATAATATCAGGCCATGTGCTGGCCACGTGTGACCCGACTGACCCTAAACTGACTTTTCCCGCCAAATCTTAACCCGTACCTGACTTTTCCCGCCAAATCTTAACCTGTAACTGACCCGTACCTGACCCGTACTTGACACGAAAGTCACTTTTGGGTTAGCTATCTGACTTCAGACTAACCTAAAGTGTCAGTTCCAAAAGTAACTTTTGGGACAGATTCCCAGATGACCCGAATCTTGCCTGCAAGTCACCTGGGGGTCCCTTTTGGGTCAGTACAATTTAGAGATGACGATCGGCGGCAATCGCGTTCATGCAGCGTGTACAGTAATAACTCCGTCGCTCAGGGCGGCGAGCAGTTGTCAACGCCACGAGAAGCAGCGGCAAGCAGCGGATTTATTCGGCCACAATCGATCTAGCTCTCACTTCGAACCTGCGAGCTGCCAGCTCACTTTCGGGATGGAAGGTCACCTTGGGAGCGCGAGCTTGGGAGGCGCGAGCTTGGGAGGCGCCGCGGCGAGCCGCAATTCGAGCTGCGAAGCTGCGACTCAGCTCCCATGCAGGCTGCATGATCATCGGGTGTTTTGCGCGAAACCGGTTTCGTCACTACCTTTTCCGCGACAAATTCGTTAACGCATCATCGGATCATCCTCTCCGCGGAGATGCGGCTACATGATGATATGCTGCGAAAGACTGCGAGGTCGGCTGCGACATGTGCGACCTGTGCGACCTGTGCGAGCTGTGCTCTTCCCCTTGAGATTTCTCAAAAGCGGCACCCAACAGTGCCTGGTTGGTAGGCCCGGATGAGCGTCGCTACTAGGGCTGCTGAACTGAAGCGCTCCTAATAGGTGCGCCTCACAGCAGGGTTATTTTTCAGGACTTTAACTTTGTCAACGCCACTGATGCATGGCGCACCACGCATCACTACAAACAAACACTCATATCACTGTATTGCCGTTTACCTCCGTTCTCTACTCCGAGTAGAGTCGAGAAAACATGTAGAGTGCAAGTGTGACACTTCTAGCAGCGCCTCAGGCTGAGCAACCGGCGGAGTTTACTACCGGCGTCTGAGGTAAACTCCGGACAGTGGTAGTCTTTCGGAGGGCCAAACCCTGGGAGTTTTCTTCAGGGAGTTTTTTTCAAAGGCCCAAATTCTGAGAAGGGAGCTTTGCAAACTGCGGGCGTTGACGCTGCTGTGCCAGGAGCTGCTTCTGAAGCAGAATTCTCATGAGACGCCTTGAAAGGGACTCCGTTGACACACGGCAGTGGCACTGCCACCGTGCTGACTTTTGAGTCGACTAGAAATGGGAGCTTTGCAAAGTGTGGGCGTTGACGTACTGCTATGCCAGGAGCCGGTTCTGAAGCAGAAATTCATTAGTAATGAGATGCCTTGAAAAGGAGCTCAATCACACTCCGCTGACACACGGCAGTGGCACTGCCACCAGAAGAGGGGGCACCTGATCCGTGTGTGGTACGAGCTGACTTTTGAGTCGACTCAAAAGTCAACTCTGATCCTTGTGTGGGAGCTGTTTCAGCGCATTTTGAGAAAGCCGCCTTCTGCAGAGACACGGATCTGAAGTGGAAGAGGGGAGGTTTGAGTCGAGTCAAAGCTCTTCTGATCCTTGGGTGGCGCTGCTTCTTCAGCGCATTTTGAGAAAGCAACTCGTGCCGTTCTGCGGAGAAGCAACCCGAATACAGCCTTTGCCTGAGGCCGCGCCTTGCCTGCACTCTAATCTGAGCAACCACGGCGCGTACGATAGCAGTATGGCTGCGGTTTAGGGAACGGTAGACAGTAGGTTGGGGAGAACGGTAGAGGGTACGGTTGAGAGTACGATTGAGAATACGGTTTACGGAACGGGTGAGCAAACGCCTGTGAGAACGGTTGAGAGTCCGGTTGGGAGTGAGGCTGATATTCTGGTTGAGAGTACAACGGTTGGGAGTGCGATTGAGAGTACAGTTGAGGGTACAATAACTGATCACTATGGCTGACAGAGCCGCCGTGGAACACACCTCTTCCAGTCTGCTCGATGGTCCAGCCCTGACGCCCTCTGCTAGTACTGTCAGGAGTCTTGACATGCCGGTGACTCCAACGGCTGACAGTGCCAACGGGAAACACACCTCTTCCAGTCTGCTCGATGGTCCAGCCCTGACGCCCTCTGCTAGCACTGTCAGAGTCTTGACATGCCGGTGACTCCAACGGCTGACAGTGCCAACGGGAAACACACCTCTTCCAGTCTGCTCGATGGTCCAGCCCTGACGCCCTCTGCTAGTACTGTCAGGAGTCTTGACATGCCGGTGACTCCAACGGCTGACAGTGCCAACGGGAAGCACACCTCTTCCAGTCTGCTCGATGGTCCAGCCCTGACGCCCTCTGCTAGTACTGTCAGGAGTCTTGACATGTCAGCAGTAGTCACAACTACTGCTAGTAGTAGTAGTAGCAGCAGCCGAGCTCAAGCTCCTGCTGATTATCTGGTGACTCTGGCTCCTGGTGATCATCTGGTGAAGAAGCGCGCTCAGGCGCCTAAGCTGCAAGCACATGCGGGGCGGAAGAACCGCGGCGAGATCATGGTCACAGAAATACGGGTGGGGTCGGCGGAAGCAGCCTTCAGGCAAGAAAGAAGCGGAGGAGACCACCGGCGGCAGCGGCGGCGGCAGCGGCGGCGGCGGCAGCAGCAGCGGAAGTGGATCATCGGTGCGGCAGCGCAGGTGGGGACGGCGGAGGCAACCTTGGGGCGAGAAAGAGACGGAGGAGATCAGTGGCGGTGGCGGCGGAATTTAATTCTTGTGGGAAGAGCGACCAACAGTGGAAGCAGCGGCAGCAGCAGCAGCAGCAGCAGGAGCAGGAGCAGCAGCAGCAGCAGCAGCAGAAGCAGCAGCAGCAGCAGCAGCAGCAGCAAGCAGTTTCAAGAATCTGGAACGCTGGTTCTGCCGACAACCCTGCTGCTGCCCCTGCTGCTTCTGCTACTGCTGTCAAGGCTGCTGCTTCTGCCGAAGCTGCTGCTGCATCTCCTGCCGCTGTCAAAGCTGCTGCCATGGCTGCTGCAGAGGAGGCCGGGGGTAGCAACCAAGAGGCAGGAGGCAACAACGAGGATCACAGGTGGTATCGGTGGAAGAAGGGGTCTCACAAGTGGCTGGCTGGGAAGCCGGTCAAGAGGATCTACTACTGGTGTGCGTGCAAGGCTGTGACAGGGTGCAGAGCACGTAAAGTGGAGGACAGACTCGCGTTGGATAAAACCGCTGCTGATGGTGGCACTGATGGCGGCGGTTCTGCTGTGTTGAAAGGTGGTGGTGATGGTGAGAAGCAGAGGAAGGTGATCCGAGTGGTGCTGATGGGCCATCACAACCATTCGCCTTTCGCAACTGAACGATACTGCCAGCACACCTTACAGTATAAGCTGGACAATCTGCTGTCAAGCACACCTCCTGAGCTGCCATCGCTTAGAGTGACAGCTCACATGAAAACATCTCCTGAGGAGGCTTGGAGAACACTCAAAGGCGATATTAATCAACCACTTCCCAGCCAACCGCCCTCAGCAACAGCAGCCGCAGCAGCAGCGGCAGCAACACTAATGGCGGCGGAAGCGGATACAGCAGCAACAGCAGCACGAGCAGCAGCACCAACTGCAGCAGCAGCCGCATCATGTCCGAAGTCCACTCGCATAACAAAAGAACCCTTCTCTAAAATTCAATATAAGCCACCCCAGCAGCAAGCAGAAGGTCAGTTTGTCGGGGAAACCACGTATGAATCACGCAATGTGCTCCCGCCCACCCAGAATCCCTTCGTGGACCCTTGCCAAGGCCCTGACCTGTCAATTCAGCCAAACCTAGCTTCACCCATTAGGTTGCCTTGGCCGAACCTGGGTTCATCTCCTGATCTGCCCCAGCCGAACCTGGATTCTCTTTCCAATCTGGCACAGCAGGTTTGGACGGGGTTGATGCTGAGAGAATTGGTGCAAGCAGCAATCCTGAATTTGCTGTTGGAAGGGCTTCAGAACCGCCCCCCAGGTTTGGTGAATGCTCCTTGGCTTGGAGTGCAAACGGCCTCGGTAAAGCAGCAACAGCAGCAGCAGCAGCAGCAGCAGCAGCAGCAGCAGCAGCAGCAGCAGCAGCAGCAGCAGCAGCAGCAGCAGCAGCAGCAGCAGCAGCAGCAGCAGCAGCTGCAGCAGCAGCAGCAGCAGCAGCTGCAGCAGCAGCAGCAGCAGCAGCAGCAGCAGCAGCAGCAGCAGCAGCAGCAGCAGCAGCAGCAGCAGCAGCAGCAGCAGCAGCAGCAGCAGCAGCAGCAGCAGCAGCAGCAGCAGCAGCAACAGCAGTAGCAGCAGCAGCGGCAACATCAGTGGCTACAGCAAGAGCAGCAGCAGCACTCTCACTTCCAGGCTTTCAATGCAGTTCCATCTCCTGCCCTTTCCCCAACTCCCCTCTCCTCTGTTAACTCCACTACGGTTCATCTGGCTACAACTACTCCCTTTCCTCCTCCTCCCACTGAAGGCCCCCCTAGCACTCACCCTCTCATGAAAAGCAACAGCACTCTGCACAATAGCAGGGCAGCAGCAACCCAAGCCTTGCTACAACCAATGATGTTGCAGGGATTTGTTGAGAATTCTAAGAAAATCACTGCACTCATGAGCAACAACAGCACTCTGCACCAAAGCAGGGCAGCAGCAACTCAAGCCTTGCTACAGCCCTCCAGGGCGCTACAGCCCCCCGAGATGCAACAACCGGCCAAGATGCCACTGCCCTCCAAGGTGCTACAACTGAGAAGGGCTGCTGCTGCTGCTGCTGCTTCTGCTGCTGCTGCTGCTGCTGCGCTTGAGTCAACCCAAGGGGCAACCCAAGTCATGCGATTGATGCTTGAGGCATCCCCACGGGAAGCACTGGTACCTACTAGATCGCTCCAATGTAGGGCGCTGGTGCGTGAGGGGCTCCAACAGAGGGCACCAGTGTCTGAGGGGCTGCAACAGAGAAGTGCGACTGTTGCTGCTGGTTTCCATTCGATCCAAGGGGCAAATCAAGTTGTGCGACCAATGCCTGAGGCGCTCCAACAGAGGGCACTGGTGTCGGAGGCGCTTCAACAGAAAAGCGCGGCTGTTGCTGCTGTCCATGCGCTGTTGGGAACCCAGGGATATGTTTTTGAAACGCCCCAAACGCATTGCAGAGCTGCTGGTGATGCCGATGCTGCTGCTGAGTTGTTTTTGCAAACGCCCCAATCGCTCCACTCTCCTCCCATTCCTTCCTCTATCACCTCTCTCAATTCTCCCCCTCTTTCCTCTCTTCCCACTCTAGCCCCTCTGTCCCCTCCCTCCCCTCTCAACCTTCTCTCCCTTCGTTCCACTCTCTACCCTCTCTCCCCCCTCTCTGTCCACCCACGAACGGTTTCGGTGCCTGCTTCGGGAATGCTCAGTACACTTCAAACAACATCCGCAGCTCCCTCAACGCCTCTCCTGCTGCCTCTGGCGTAACATCTTCCACTCCAGCTGCTGCTGGCATGACACGCCCTGTTGCTGCTGCTGCTGCTGCTGCTGCAACTGCCCCAGCTACCACTGCTGCTTCTTCAAGGCAGCGTGCCAACATATGGCCAGCTGGGAGACTTGAGCCGCTTTGGCAGTCGGTTCCATTTGCCCCAGCAGTCAATGCTGCACTTATCAGCCCAACAGAGGCAGGTCCTGCTGCAGCAGCCTTGTTCGGCACTGAGGGGGAACTTACTGAAGCTACCAGTTGGGTGCAGCTAATGAGGCAGGCGATTCTTGATGCACCTGAGGATGGAGGGATGGGAGGAGGGAAGGGAGGAGAGAGGGGATGGAGGATAGGTGGTTGGGGTGACAGCCTCCAGGGGTTGACAGATAATGCAGAGGAAGGGATTGGCGAATGGGAGTTGGGCCCGGAGAGTGATTTAGCATTCATCTTAGAGGCATTGCAGCCAGACTTGGACCAGGAGCAATAGTGCGTGAATCGGGGTGACTGCCTCCAGGGGTTGATAGATGATGCCGAGGGATTGGCGAATGGGAGTTGGGCCCGGAGAGTGATTTAGCGTTCATCTTAGAGGCATTGCAGCCAGACTTGGACCAGGAGCAATAGTGCGTGAATCGGGGTGACTGCCTCCAGGGGTTGATAGATGATGCAGAGGAGGATTGGCGAATGGGAGTTGGGCCCGGAGAGTGATTTAGCGTTCATCTTAGAGGCATTGCAGCCAGACTTGGACCAGGAGCAATAGTGCGTGAATCGGGGTGACTGCCTCCAGGGGTTGACAGATGATGCAGAGGAGGGATTGGCGAATGGGAGTTGGGTCCGGAGAGTGATTTAGCAATCATCTTAGAGGCATTGCAGCCAGACTTGGACCAGGAGCAATAGTGCGTGAATCAGGGTGACTGCCTCCAGGGGTTGATAGATGATGCAGAGGAAGGTATTGGCGAATGGGAGTTGGGCCTGGAGAGTGGTTTAGCGTTCATCTTAGAGGCATTGCAGCCAGAATTAGGGTACATTCCTGTGGGGGCATTTGGGTTCGGTTCGGTACAGAGCGGTACCTTGTCTTTGTGACACAAATGTCCCCACAGGAATGTACCCTTTTTCCGGGAGCAATAGTGCGTGGATTGTACACCATCCTTTGGAAGCATGTGGAAATGTGTATCGGTGCTGATACAGCAGGAAACTTGGCATCAAGAAACCTCACTCGTGTTGGTAAGCACACGGTCTAACTCCATGTCGACACCCGGGGATAAGAAGTAAACGTCTCAACACATCAGTTTCTGGACTGCACAATATACCCAATCACTGCGACGCGCAACACAAGTTAATGCCCTTTAGATGTTCCCATGCAAAGCGACCTCGCTATAATCACAGGCACAGGCCAGCGCAGCTCAATGCCAGGCCCCTTTGTGGTGCGAGAGGCAGCAACGCACATGTTACAAAATGAGCTCGGACTTCCCATCATTTCTCCACCACATGTATTCAAGCCCGCTGCTACTGATGGTGGTAGTTACTCGTCGAGCCATTCTAGTTCTTCTGGAGATGAGAGGGAAGGGAATGGTAGCGGCTCGCTTGTTTCCGAAGAGAAACCCTGGGCAATGGGTTGTTCCCAAGGCGGCTTTGAATGAGTGGTTGCAAAAGAAGCGCGCCTAACATTGTGGTATACATTTATGGTTCATTACTTTTGACTGAATAGTTGTGCATGATAGGAAAATATCGTTGAAGATGACAAACTTATACACATATCAACGCCAAAAATGGCAAGATTGGTGGTAGATAACTTTTAATATGATGTATGCCACTTTTACCAATTGAAACTATAGTGGAGTTGGTGCTTATTGTTATGAATGAACTTGTCAGAGTGCGCAGATATCGAATAACGAGAATGAACTGATTACAGAATGACTGAACAATGAAGTAGCGAGGCCTAAATAGGGGAAAACCTAGCTAGGCGGGGGGTTCGGGATGGGATGGCTCGGTGATGGCCACGATTGGAGCGGAGGCCGACTCGGGGGTGGTTCGGTGCGACGAAATAGGCCGAACAGGTTCGTCGCGATGTACTCGCTAAAGTGCGAGTACAGTAAGGAATTGTAATTCATTACACTTATTGAATGGGGAACACTATATAAGAGAGGGCTAGTTACCACCGTAACAAGAATGCAAACATTGACGGTGCACCCAATTCAATTCTTCAAAAGCAGATGTTGCCAATGGACTACCCCAAGCGATATTCGTTTGCAGTTGTGTCACTGCCTGATGTTAGGGCGGCATCCGTTTTTGTGCCCTTGGCTAACTGAGGCAGTACAGTTCAAACGTATCGATTTCATATTTTTGAACTACACGTTTGGACGTCAGCTGTGTTGAAAAGAAGCTTCAGATGTTATGAATGAAACTAGGAGGCAATCAATATGTGTTTCCCTCTCGGGATCGCTCAACATCCTAACGTCCATCGACGGCGGGGGTCACTACACCTTAGAAAACGAAGGTGAATCTGGGTAGCGCAAGGACGACGGACTTGTCGTTTTCGCCTACTATCATTAAACTCGGCAAACAACACAGGCTCCAAACCTCGCTACACGACGCGCGCAACACCAAATGGAGTGGGCTCCGGTCTCGATGAAAATGTGTTGGCTTGTCTGGGTATCCCGAGTCGTTGTACGAATAAATCTTGGGTCCAAGGGAGACCGCTCAGAGTATACTTACGTCTTCCACTCGCCTCCGATTGAAAATCCCACAATTTACCTAAGGCCACATGAGTTGACACTGGTAAGGGATAGCTGAATATAATTATCACGGGTCGGAATAGGAGGGCTAGAAAGAGGGTTTGAGTGTACTCGTTTCATCCACGAGGTGAACAGCTCAACCTTCCGTCCTTCCGTTCTTTGCTCCTGTGATGTGGGTCAAACCTAGCAACTCACATTTGAGAGCGATGCGGTGCCAAGTGTTATCGCAATGTGATACTGTACAGCGGGTCACAACCTCGGTCAGTACACCCGTGACGGAACAAAATGTTTCTGTAGATTAGATACAGTCGATGCTCAGCCTATCACAAAAATTTGCTTATCACAATTAGAAAATCAGTCACTCGCGAACGTTTTGCCTGTGAGTGGTGATTGTGCTGATTTCAGGGTACAGTCACCAAGTCGAGGAAGAAAAACATCTACAGTTCATAAACAACAACGGCTGCCTGTCATCAGAATTGTTTACCTGGTTACGAACTTAAACCCCCAGTCTCGTTTCACATTCCAATTTCATTTTACAATCACATTTTTGGTTGTGGCGACAAGTTCGAATGTGGCGAAGTGTCCAAAACTCGTTTCATCCACATGCCGCCCGCCTACCTGGTGTTCTTGAAATGAGCACCGACTGTACGGTTTAGCAAAACGGGCAGGTGACGACAATTCTTGGTGTTTGGCAGGAGCTTGTAACTCCTTCCCTCCCCCCCACTCGCCAAATGAGGCAGGAGGTCCTCTCGACTCGACTCGTCGTCCTCGACTTTGTCATTGAACTTGCAGGAGCTAGCAAAGAAGCCCCTAAAAATATATAATGCAAGAATGTTTGCAAGATATTTTATGTTTCTTTATTGGGCATTGGCCACGCCAACTTTAGAAAGATATAGATGGAGAAAGAGCGCTAACTCTAGCAACATAATAACCCGAAGGTGAACGCAACTAGCACAGTTGTTGTCCAACAATGAAAGTGCAAGATCGACGAACCGCCATAGGTCCCAGATTTGTTGTCCTTGAACGAATCCTTGCTGTTTTGTTTTCTTTTCTCGAATGGAACTCCCCAGAAGGACCATCCTGACCGTCTGCAACAGTAGTTATTGTGCAGTGTTGTCAAGTCCAAATGCAACGAGAGAGCTCCCGCAGCTGGAATCATCATCACCATCAGCCCTCCATAACAAGCTGCCTAACGTACTGTACTGTACAGTGCCATTCCCTCGAAATTCATTCATCCATCCCGCCACCCATCCACCTCTGTATTGTTCTGCCTCCAGAGAGTCCCGCCCCTCATAAACACACCTGTCAGCCCCCAATCTACTGGCCCAACCAGTCTCTGGCTTTGGATGGATTTGAAGACCTTGCTGCGCTGGTTACCCTAATTCATGCTCCCTCGTGTGTGCGTGTGTGTGGTTAGCTCATCTGCGTTTCACCGAGTAGGTGTGCTCCTGTAGTGCAGACGTTTCTGCAATGCCGCAGTCTAACGTACATTGCTACTCGACCTCGTCGCCGCTTCGTTCGTTGCTTTTCTTGCGAATGCGAATCGGATCCAGAAACGGACTGCCGCGGCTGTCGGAATGCGGTTACTACTTATAGCTTGGTAATGCTGCGGATTCTATACGTATTAACTACCACTATTGCTAGTCCTCGTCGCCGGCGGAAGATTTGGGAGTATTTAAAGAATCTACCAATAGGGGAGTGTTGTCGCGCAAAGTTTCAAGGGAAAGCGCGGACGCCGAGAAGGTGGATGCAGCTGAAAGGGTGGCATAAGATCCGCCGTCGTGCGATTCGAATCCGTAGTTGGGTGTAGGCTCCTCAGGTAGCAGACTTCCTGAAATAAGAGGTCAGCACTTACTAGGATTCCTGTAAGTTATCCAACGTCCATCAGGGGAACGACTCGTATCAGATACGACGATCAGTAGAAGTAGTAGTATAGTAGTGGACGACTCGTATCGGAAGCAAGCAGTCGGAAGTTCCGACGACGGCGGCAGCGAGGGGCCGGCGAACATGCCGCGCTGCTGGCGGAGTATAGTCGATTTCCCCTTTATGTTAGGTGTGCGTGCGCTGTTTGACACGTCTCGCGTCCCGCTGGAGTGCCAGTAGTCCGTCGCCGGACTCCCTGCGACGCATCGTCGTCCCGTTCGCACACCACTGGTTTGTCGCAGGTACCCTAATCGCACACCGTCGCACAGTCACCTCATCAGGATCCTGCTGCCTACCTAGTCGGCGTCGGTTGCGCTACTAGACCACTAGCTTCCGCGGCGCGGAACTACTAATTTGACTCCAGGCGTAACCTATTTAGGGCGTGTTCTGTCCGACGACTGAGTCATAACACACTCCCGACGATGATGCCGCGCGCGGCGCGGCGATTTGGACGCCTGGTCGCACTCGTCGCATGGGTCGCCGGATGGGTCGCACTGGCCGTGTGGATAGGGCTGTACACGCGGCGAGCGGCCGAAGCCCCGCGACAGACGGCGATCGCCAACTGGTGCGCGGAGCGCGTTCGATACCTTCACGCGGAGTTCGACTCGAATGTGAAACAAGTGGAGGTGGGTGTGTGTGACTGTAACGAAAGCCGCCGAGCAGGGTGCGACGGGTGACAGTTAGAGAAATATTGTAACATTCAGTGAAGATTCAGCAGGCTAAACGATCTAGCGAAACATCCAGTGAATATTCGCAATAGCCTGACAGTTCCCGCCCCATTGTCCCCATGATCCCACCCCTTCGGTACAACTGGATCAGATTTTGGCGGGTCTGGTCAACCAGTTCAACGGCTTCAGCGAGTTTTGAGACGTCTCAAAAGTCACCCCTTCCCTTGCATACTTTGCATCAGATTTTGGCGGGTCTGGTCAACCAATTCAACGGGTTCAGCGCGACTCCGGGCAACATGTCGTACTGGGGCTACTCGGGCTGCGTGGATAAGGTCACGTGGGAGGTGCACCGTGCGGTTACCGGTTTCGCCAGGCCGTGGGTCACTTCGCTGTGGGGCGGTGTTATCGCGGATAAAGATAGGTGCGAGGAACGTGGGTGGGTGGGCGGGAGGGTAAGTGTGTTGTGGGTGGGGGAGTGGGTGTGGGGGTGCATGGGCAGGGGGAGAGGCAAGGACGAGACGACTCAGTTCTGAGAGCGCAGTTTCAGAGCGTTGGAACTTTTTAGTCGACTCAAACCCACGACCTAACTTGTCAACCCACGACTAGGGTTGACATGCGTGTGTGTGTGTGTGTGTGTGTGTGTGTGTGTGTGTGTGTGTGTGTGTGTGTGTGTGTGTGTCTGTCTGTATCTGTCTGTGTGTGTGTGTGTGTGTGTGTGTGTGTCTGTGTGTGTGTGTGTGTGTGTGTGTGTGTGTGTGTGTGTGTGTGTGTGTGCGCGTGCGTGTGTGTTCGTGTGTGCATGCGAGCGTGTGCGTGTGCATGTGCATGTGCATGTGTGCATGTGTGCATGTATGCATGTGTGCGTGTGTGTGTGTGTGCGTATGCGCGTGCGAGCGTGTGCGCACACGCGTTCAGCATCAAATACCTCCCCTTCCCTCGCGTTTGTCCTCCCTGTCCCCTCCTCCTCTCTCCCCCCTCCTCCCCTTCCGCCCTTCCCTCTCCAGGCCATGGGTAGAAGAGCAGCTGGGCTTCCAGTTCCGCTCCCCCAACGGTTCGCTGGCGCCCAGGAACCCCCGGCACAGCATCAACTTCTTCTCCTTCAAGTCCATCCTCTTCCCCTCCCACCCTCCCCTCCCCTTTCCTAATTCTGTTCCCGTTTCCCCCCCACCAGGCCATGGGTAGAAGAGCAGCTGGGTTGCCAGTTCCGCTCCCCCAACGGCTCCCTCGCGCCCAGGAATCCATGGTACAGCATCAACTTCTTCGCCTTCAAGTCCATATTCGGCCTGAGCGCGTGCCTGGACTTTGGCGCGGCCTTCCCCGCGCAGATGGCGCAGATGATCGCCACCGGCCGCGCCGTCAGCTCCCCCGCTGTGCTTGCCCCCAACGGACGGCTGGGATTCTGTGAGTGGGGAGTTGGGGGGAAGGTTGGGGTGAGATGGGGGGTGAGATGGGGCTGAGACGGGTGAGGTGGGGCTGAGACGGGTGAGATAGCGCAGATGATCGCCACAGGCCGCGCCGTCAGCTCCCCCGCTGTGCTTGCACCCAACCCAATGGGCGGCTGGGATTCTGTAAGTCGTGCGATTGGGGTTTGGACATACCGGGTGCATCGGGCAGGCAGGCAGGCCGCCCCGTTAGCTGGGATGAGATGGGCTGGGCTGGGATGCTAACATTGAGATGATTGTTTCTATTCTCACTTATGGGTGCTACGGGTGTTGCATTGAATCCGTCCCCCCTCCCGCCAGTGTACGCGTTTCCAATGTTCCGAAAGCCGATAGCTGAGGGGGCGAGCAGGGAGGAGGTGGAGGCGAGTGTGGCGGGGTTCATCGGTTGCGGGCTGGATGTGGGGCTGCTGGTTTCTCATGCCCTGGTCGACGTGCTGCACAACGGTGAGTTGCGGTGCAGAGTGGTGCAGAGCGGTGCAACGCTATGCAGAGCGGTAGAGTGCAGTACAGAACGGTACAGAGTGGGCGGGAAAGGAGGGTGCGAGCAGCGAGTTGGTGGAGGCGAGTGTGGCGGGCGGGTCCCATCGGGTGCGTGTTTTGAGTCGACTCGAAACACGACTCATTTCTCGGGTGCGCCGGCGGGAAGTGGGGCTGCTCGTGTCCCACGCGCTTGTTGCCGTGCTGCACCACGGCGAGTGGCGGTGCAGAGCGGTGCAGAGTGGTGGGAATGGAGGTGATGCATAACGGTGTGTGCCTTGACTCCGAACTGTACGGCCCCCTACCACTCCACTCCGCAACAACCTCCCCAGCAAATACTTGCCCCCCTCTTCCCCCTCTTTCCCTTCCCCCATGTTCTCCCCCCCTTTCCCTCTCCCCCCTCCCTCCCTTCTTCCCGCCCCCCCTCTTTCCATCTGCGCCCTCCCCCCTCACCTCCCCCCACCAGATTCCGACATATTCTCTCTCGAGCTATTCGACATCACAGAACCAGCCCAGCCCGTGCCACTCAACGCCCCCAACTGCTCCACGCCACAGCACCCCCCCGATCACCTCTTCACCACACCCAACCCCGCCTTCCCCCACTCCCCCCCTCAATCCCCCCCCTTTATTCCCCTCTCTCCCCACCAGATTCCGACATATTCTCTCTCGAGCTCTTTGACGTCACCGAGCCAGCCCAGCCTGTCCCGTTCAATGCCCCCAACGACTCCCCTCCCACCCCCCCCTCCCCCTGACCCCTCTGCTCCCTCTCCCACTTCCCGTCTCCCACCCCCTCTTCACCCCCCACCAGACTCCGACATATTCTCTCTCGAGCTCTTTGACATTACCGAACCAGCCCAGCCCGTGCCCCTCAACGCCCCCAACTGCTCCACGCCACAACCCCCCAGCAACCTTTTCTCCTCGCCCAACCCCGCCTTCCCGAGCCTCAACTACAGCGTCGCCGAGCCGTTCCCCGAGCCTGTCGTGGGCCGGCAGATCCAAGCCTACTGCTCGCACCTCGTGCCGGGAAGCTCCTGGGCGCTCCTCTACGCGCCGCTCCTCCTCTCCCTCCTCGTCCTCCTCGTCTCCGCCCTCCTCTCTGTGATAATCCTCGTTCTTCGGCGGAAAGGCGCGGCAATCAGAGAAGAAATGCGCGCTGCAGAGGAGTACACTCTCCTCTTGGAGCGCGCGGAGCGCGCCAAAAGCGAGAGCATCGCGTGTTTGAGCCATGATCTGCGCACACCTTTCAACGGCATGCTGGGGATGATGGATGAGCTGCTGGACACGCAGCTGGAGGAGTGGCAGATGCGGGATGTGGTGGACGCGCGGACGTACGCGGCATCGGTAATCGGGCTGCTGAGCACCATTCTGGATTTAGCAAAACTCCAGGCGGATATGCTGGAGTTAGATTCTGTGCCCTTCAGCCTGCATCAGTGTCTGGAGACGGCTGCTCGCTCGCTCTTCTCCGACGCGCAAGACAGACACCTCGAATGTGAGTCGAGTCCAGGGGATGCTGGGGTGGGCATGCTGGGGATGATGGGGGATGCAAAACTCCAGGCGGATATGCTGGAGTTGGATTCCGTGCCGTTCAGCCTGCACCAGTGTTTGGAAACGGCCGCTCGCTCGCTCTTCTCCGACGCACAAGACAGACACCTCGAATGTGAGTCCATGGCATGCTGGGGATGATGGGGGATGCAAAACTGCAGGCGGATATGCTGGAGCTGGACTCCGTGCCGTTTAGTCTTCACCAGTGTTTGGAAACGGCCGCTCGCTCGCTCTTCTCCGACGCACAAGACAGACACCTGGAATGTGAGTCGAGTCGAGAGGGGTAGGGGTTGGTGAGACGAGGGACAGGCGTGTGGCATGTGAGTGGAGAGGCTGTTTGCGGCACCTCCTTCCTCTCGAGGCGCCTCAATATCCCCCACCCCACCGCTGAGGAAGGTAAATAGCTAGCCCTGTTCCTTTGCTCCTTCTTCTCGTCTATCCGTTTCTCAGATCATTTTGTGCCTGTCTGTGTGTGTGCCACCCACATGTGCTGTGTGCCTCCTGTGCGTGCCCTGCCAGTTTTCTGCCACGTGGACCCCAGCGTGCCGGACATTCTGATTGGCGACCCCACCCGAGTCACCCAAGTCATGCGTGAACTCATGGGTAAGTGGTTGCCTGTCACTCCTTTCATGGGTACGTGGTGTGAAATGGGACGGGTTTTGAGACGCCTCAAATCTCGTTTTATTTCACATTTCAAATGGAGACCCCACCCGAGTCACCCAAGTCATGCGCGAACTCATGGGTACGTCTTTCGGGTGGCTGCATCTCATTCTCTGCCACCTATTGGCCTCCCTTTTCTCTTCTCTCAGGACCATGTCTCCTCTCCTCGCCTCTCCTCTCTCCTCTCCTGCCCTCTCCTCGCCTCTCCTCTCTCCTCTCCTGCCCTCTCCTCTCCCCTCCTCCTTTGTCCCATCATCATTTCATCTGAACCTTTCTTGCTTGCAGTTTCACCCACCTCCTGTCCGTTCCTCCGTCTTGAGCGAATTTAACACTTTCAACAATGCATGGCCATCTTTATCCCACAATACCCCTCAGTATCCCTCTCCATCCCTGAACAAGTATCTCGTCCCACATCCTTTCCCTTCTCACATCCCCTCTCACTTTCCACATATCTCTCCCTTCCCTCCCCCTTTGTGCCCCATGCCACACCCCTCAGGTCACGCCATCAAGAGCACTCTATCCGGCCATGCAGCCTTCCATATCTGGTGTTTGCCCGCCCATCCCTGCACCGCCACTCCCAAACCTGCTGCTCCCACCGCTGCCGCTGCTGCTGCTGCTGCCTCTGAGGCTGTAGCAGGGGCGGCTGTAGCAGAAGCGGCTGTAGAAGTCTCACCAGGAAGAGTCACCGAGCATGTAACCCACAGCATGAGCCGCCATCTGCAGCAGCAACCGCAGGAGAAGGGACAGGAGGAGGAAAACCAGCAGCAATTTCTACAGCAACAGCAGCAGCAGCAGCAGCAGCAGCAGCAGCAGCAGCAGCAGCAGCAGCAGCAGCAGCAGCAGCAGCAGCAGCAGCAGCAGCAGCAGCAGCAGCAGCAGCAGCAGCAGCAGCAGCAGCAGCAGCAGCAGCAGCAGCAGCAGCAGCAGCAGCAGCAGCGGCAGGGGGAAGTAGTAGGGCAGAAACAGCAGCAAGGAGAGCAAAAGCAGGTGACAGCGCTACAGGCATGGCTGGCCACGTGGCTGGCAGCAGCACAGCAGAAGGCACAACGACCCGCCTCCCCCTCCTCCGTCTCCTTCCCCTCCTCCTCCTCACCTTCCTCATGCCCTCTCAGCCGCAGCAGCACACGCTTAGGAAGGCTCGTATCCCAACGGATAAAAAGGCGGCACCAGAACAAGAAAATTGAGAACAGCAGCAGCAGCAACAGCGGCACCGGAATTGGCGTCGGCAGCAGCGGCGGCGGCGGCGGCGGCGGCAGCAACAGCGGCGGGGGTGGCAGCGGCAGTGGCAAGGGGAAAGAGGTGGTCTCTCTGTCGCCCGAGGCTCAGCAGGTGTGCGAGCAGTTGGAGAGGTTTGTGAGTCGGTTCCAGGAGAATGTGGTGTTTGCTACGGTTCCCTCTGGGCGAACGAGGTGGGGGAGAGAGAGCAGACGCGTATGGGGGCGAGGGACGGGGCGGGTGTGGGGGAATAGGAGTAGGGGTGAGGGTGGAGGTAGGGGGGGAGGTAGGGGGACAGGTGGGGGGGAAGATGGGGGAGGAGGTGGGAGGAGGCTGGTCCGAGGGAGGGATAAGGGGAGGGAGGGAGAGAGAGGGAAGGGAGATGGGAGGAATGGCACAGGGCAGCACTGGGAAGGATGGGGTGTGGTGAGGGATTGGGAAGGATGGGGTGTGGTCAATGTTCTGAAGCCTATCGTCTCAGCTCCTTTGAGTGTTTTCCAACGCTGGATGAATAATCGTGGTGTTTTTTCTGATAGGAGTGGTGGTGGGGGTGATGGGCGTTTCTTGAGTGTTCGTGGGAAGGGGATGGTTGATGGGGGTGGGGTGGAGGAGGAGAGAGGGGACGGCGTGGGGAGGAGGGATGGTGGCGATATTGAGGAGGCCTTTATGGGGGATGAGGCGTGGAGGGAGCAGGAGGGAATGGGGAGGGCTGGAGAAGAGGAGGGGTTGGGATTTGCAAGCGCAGGGGAGGAGGGAGATGAGAGCGAGAGAGAAAGAGAAGAGGGGGAGGATGAGGGGGATGAGGATGAGGAAGAGGAGGAGGAGGATGAGGGGGATGAGGATGAGGAAGAGGACGAGGAGGATGAGGGGGATGAGGATGAGGAAGAGGACGAGGAGGATGAGGGGGATGAGGATGAGGAAGAGGACGAGGAGGATGAGGGGGATGAGGATGAGGAAGAGGAGGAGGAGGATGGGAAGGAGTTACGTGGAGGTAACCTGCCCCCCAGCAATCATCCATCGAAAACCCCTTACAAGCCTCCTGAGTCAACCCAGTCAAGGCAGTCAACGGGTGCCACACTGGGGGTTTCAGGGGCACCGAGGGGGGGAACGGGGGGAGTGACGGGGGGAGAAAGGGAAACGGGGCAAAGAGTGGCGGCAAAGGAAGAGGAAGTGGTGGTGGTGATGGTGTGTGAAGATACGGGGTGTGGCATTCCGTCTCAGGAGCTGCTTTGGGTACTGGACCCTGCCGGGCAGACCACCACTGGCAGTGGCAGCAACAGCAACAGCAACAGCAGCGGCGACGGCGACGGCAGAAGAAACAGCAGCGGCAGCAGCAGCAGCGGCGGCGGCGGCGGCAGCAGCAGTGGGGTTACTGGTGCGGCCAGTGGCAGCAGCGAGAAAAAGGGGGTGCAGAGCGGTGACGCGGCGGTGCAGGGTGCGAAGAAGGGGATGCATAGTGGTGGAGAGGTGTTGCAGGGGCAGGCAGAATGGAGCCCGTATCCTGTTCGATTCCTCCTATCCACTGGGCTGGTTCGTCTTATGCGGGGATCCATGGGAGTGGCTTCAGAAGAGGGTGTAGGAACCACCATCCTAGTCAGCCTGCCAATGAGAGCGCGACACCTGGCAGGAGAAGACACCTCTCCTGTGGATGAAGCCACGGTTGGGGATGCCGGGCCTTGGCTGGAGGCTCGGCGAAGCGTTCTAGGTTCGGTCCGAGGCAAGCGCGCGCTGGTTGTGGATGGGATGAGGCTGAGACGAGAGGCTGTGTGTGAGTGTTTGAGGTACCTTGGGATCTCCGTGGCTGTAGCTGCTACAGCCGCGCAGGCAGGGTTTCTGTTGATGGGTAGTAGTAGCTGTAGCAGTGGGAGGAGCAGCTGGAGGGGTGAGTCCGGGAGGAGGAGAGTGAGGGTGGGGGATGGGGAAGAGGAGGATGAGGAGGAGGGAGAGATGGGGGAGGAGGACGAGGAGGAGGAGCAGGAGGAGGAAGAAGGGGAGGGGAGGTTTGAGGAGAGGGATGTGGGTTGGCAAGAAGAAAGGCAGAGTTATGAAGTGCACAAAGGCAGCAGCAGTGGTATTGGTAGTGGGAATCATATCAGTAACGGTAACACTGAAAATGTCAATAGTAGCGGCAACAGACGTGCTTCTGTTGGTGTTCCAAAACGCAGCAGCCACCGAGTGACTCTCGCTGTTCCCACAAGTTCCTCCAAGCTCTTTGCAGCAACGGGAAGGCCGGGTGGTTTCAGTATAGACGAAGGCGAGGAGATGAGTGGTGTGGCGGGTGAGGAGGAGGAAAGGACGGGAGAGAAGGGAAGGGAAGGAGAGGGGAGAAGGGAGGGGAGAGGGGAGGGAGCAGAGGGAGAAGGAGGGGAGGGAGAAGGAGAGGAGGGAGGGGAGGGAGAGGAAGGAGAGGAAGGAGACGAGGGAGATGAGGGAGAGGAAGGAGGGCAGAGGCGTTGGGATGTGGTGTTCATAGAAGCAGACGCGTTCGGCCCGGCGACAGGGTTTGGGTTCGGCAAGCGGGTGATTTCCCACTGGCAGCACCAGCAGCGCCATGGGGGGCGAGAAACGCCGCCACCGTCCCCCACCACTCCGCACCCCTCCTCCTTCCCTTCGAGCTCGTCCGGCGGCCCATCGGTTTCCCCGCCGCCTGCACTGCTTCCCACACCGCTGCCGCTGCCGCTCCCATCGCCGCACCCAACGCCACACCTGCCTACCGCACCAGACCCACTGCTACCCATGCCGCATCCGCTTCCCACGTCAGACTCGCTTCCCACGCCGCGGCCGCTGCCGCAGCTGCCTCCGAGTGTGTCTCTCCCGCCGCTGGTGCTGACGGGGAGGAGTGCGTGTGAGGTGGTGCAGGCACGGGCAGCCGGGTTTAGCGACGTGCTTTCACGCCCATGGATGGCCAGCGATGCTGCTCGCCTGCTGCAAGAGGTATGCATGTTAGGTGCATCAGGTAGGGATGGTGCCTGGGGTGCATCAGACAGGGGTGCTGGGGTGCTGACGGGGAGGAGTGCGTGTGAGGTGGTGCAGGCTAGAGCAGCTGGGTTTAGCGACGTTCTCGCTCGCCCATGGATGGCCAGTGATGCTGCCCGCCTGCTGCAAGAGGTAGGCATGTTAGTTGCATCAGGTGGGGGTGGTGCTGGGGTGCTGTCCGGGAGGAGTGCGTGTGAGGAAGTGCAGGCACGGGTAGGCGGGTTCAGCGACATGCTCGCTCGGCTCTGGATGGCCAGTGATGCCGCTCGTCTGCTGCAAGAGGTAAGTGTTAGGTGCATCAGGTACGGGTGCTGGGGTGCTGGGTGCAAGAGGGTGGGGTGCGAGGGCTGTTGGATATGCGTGGGATGTTGGTTGCTGGTTGGCATGGCATGGTAGCACAGAATAGAGGGAGGAGTGCGTGTGAGGTGGTGCAGGCACGGGCAGCCGGGTTCAGCGACTTGCTCGCACGCCGCTGGATGCCAGTGATGCCGCCCGCCTGCTGCAAGAGGTAAGCTGCCCGGGGTGCTGGTTACCAAAGGTCGGGGTGCGGGGTGGGTGTGTGTGGCATGGCATGGCAGCAAAGAGGGAGGAGTGCGTGTGAGGTGGTGCAGGCACGGGCAGCCGGGTTTAGCGACGTGCTTTCACGCCGCTGGATGCCAGTGATGCCGCCCGCCTGCTGCAAGAGGTAAGCTACTAGGTAGGGGGTGCCTCAGCTGCCGGTGCTGTGTTGTGTCACACCCGCTGCTGGTGCTGACGGGGGAGGAGCAAGAGGAGGACCTCCCAATGCCTCTCTTCTCCCGGCTAGCTTGGAGTATGCATCGGCAGTACTAACTGTGCTGGGGAGGAGGGGCGTGCTGGGGAGGAGGGGCGTGCTGGGGAGGAGGGGCGTGCTGGGGAGGAGGGGCGTGCTGGGGAGGAGGGGCGTGCTGGGGAGGAGGGGCGTGCTGGGGAGGAGGGGCGTGCTGGGGAGGAGGGGCGTGCTGGGGAGGAGGGGCGTGCTGGGGAGGAGGGGCGTGCTGGGGAGGAGGGGCGTGCTGGGGAGGAGGGGCGTGCTGGGGAGGAGGGGCGTGCTGGGAGGCTGGGGGGAGGGGGGCGTGCTGGGGAGGAGGGCGTGCTGGGAGGAGGGGCGTGCTGGGGAGGAGGGGCGTGCTGGGGAGGGGGCGTGCTGGGGAGGAGGGGCGTGCTGGGGAGGAGGGGCGTGCTGGGGAGGAGGGGCGTGCTGGGAGGAGGGGGTGCTGGGGAGGAGGGGCGAGCTGGGAGGAGGGGCGTGCTGGGAAGGAGGGGGCGTGCTGGGGAGGAGGGGCGTGCTGGGGAGGAGGGGCGTGCTGGGGAGGGGGGGGGCGCGTGCTGGGGAGGAGGGGCGTGCTGGGGAGGAGGGGTGTGCTGGGGAGGAGGGCGTGCTGGGAAGGAGGGGCGTGCTGGGAAGGAGGGGCGTGCTGGGGAGGAGGGGGCTGGGGAGGAGGGGCGTGCTGGGGAGGAGGGGGTGCTGGGGAGGAGGGGCGTGCTGCTGGGGAGGAGGGGTGTGCTGGGAAGGAGGGGGGCGTGCTGGGAAGGAGGGGTGTGCTGGGGAGGAGGGGGTGCTGGGGAGGAGGGGCGTGCTGGGGAGGAGGGGCGTGCTGGGGAGGAGGGGGTGTGCGGAAGGAGGGGCGTGCTGGGAAGGAGGGGCGTGCTGGGGAGGAGGGGCGTGCTGGGAAGGAGGGGCGTGCTGGGAAGGAGGGGCGTGCTGGGGGGGAGGGGCGTGCTGGGGAGGAGGGGCGTGCTGGGGAGGAGGGGCGTGCTGGGGAGGAGGGGTGTGCTGGGAAGGAGGGGTGTGCTGGGAAGGAGGGGCGTGCTGGGGAGGAGGGGCGTGCTGGGGAGGAGGGGCGTGCTGGGGAGGAGGGGCGTGCTGGGAAGGAGGGGTGTGCTGGGAAGGAGGGGTGTGCTGGGAAGGAGGGGCGTGCTGGGAAGGAGGGGCGTGCTGGGGAGGAGGGGCGTGCTGGGGAGGAGGGGCGTGCTGGGGAGGAGGGTGTGTGCTGGGAAGGAGGGGCGTGCTGGGAAGGAGGGGCGTGCTGGGAGGAGGGGCGTGCTGGGAAGGAGGGGCGTGCTGGGAAGGAGGGGCGTGCTGGGAAGGAGGGGCGTGCTGGGAAGGAGGGGCGTGCTGGGAAGAGGGGTGTGCTGGGAAGGAGGGGTGTGCTGGGAAGGAGGGGTGTGCTGGGAAGGAGGGGTGTGCTGGGAAGGAGGGGCGTGCTGGGAAGGAGGGGTGTGCTGGGAAGGAGGGGCGTGCTGGGAAGGAGGGGCGTGCTGGGAAGGAGGGGCGTGCTGGGAAGGAGGGGCGTGCTGGGAAGGAGGGGCGTGCTGGGAAGGAGGGGTGCTGGGAAGGAGGGGGTGTGCTGGGAAGGAGGGTGTGCTGGGAAGGAGGGGTGTGCTGGGAAGGAGGGGCGTGCTGGGAAGGAGGGGCGTGCTGGGAAGGAGGGGCGTGAGGAGGGGCGTGCTGGAAGGAGGGGCGTGCTGGGAAGGAGGGGTGTGCTGGGGAGGAGGGGCGTGCTGGGGAGGAGGGGCGTGGGGGGTGGGGGGGAGGGGGCGTGCTGGGGAGGAGGGGCGTGCTGGGGAGGAGGGGCGTGCTGGGGAGGAGGGGCGTGCTGGGGAGGAGGGGCGTGCTGGGAAGGAGGGGCGTGCTGGGAAGGAGGGGCGTGCTGGGGAGGAGGGGCGTGCTGGGGAGGAGGGGCGTGCTGGGGAGGAGGGGGCGTGCTGGGGAGGAGGGGCGTGCTGGGGAGGAGGGGCGTGCTGGGAGGAGGGGTGTGCTGTGTGAGGGAAGGAGGGGCGTGCTGGGAAGGAGGGGTGTGCTGGGGAGGAGGGGCGTGCTGGGGAGGAGGGGCGTGCTGGGGAGGAGGGGCGTGCTGGGGAGGAGGGGTGTGCTGGGAAGGAGGGGGGCGTGCTGGGAGGAGGGGTGTGCTGGGGAGGAGGGGCGTGCTGGGGAGGAGGGGCGTGCTGGGGAGGAGGGGCGTGCTGGGGAGGAGGGGCGTGCTGGGGAGGAGGGGTGTGCTGGGAAGGAGGGGCGTGCTGGGAAGGAGGGGCGTGCTGGGAGGAGGGGCGTGCTGGGGAGGAGGGGCGTGCTGGGGAGGAGGGGCGTGCTGGGGAGGAGGGGCGTGCTGGGGAGGAGGGGCGTGCTGGGGAGGAGGGGCGTGCTGGGGAGGAGGGGGGTGCTGGGAAGGAGGGGCGTGCTGGGGAGGGAGGGGCGTGCTGGGGAGAGGGGGGCGTGCTGGGAGGAGGGGCGTGCTGGGGAGGAGGGCGTGCTGGGGAGGAGGGGGGCGTGCTGGGAAGGAGGGGCGTGCTGGGAAGGAGGGGCGTGCTGGGGAGGAGGGGCGTGCTGGGGAGGAGGGGCGTGCTGGGGAGGAGGGGCGTGCTGGGGAGGAGGGGCGTGCTGGGGAGGAGGGGCGTGCTGGGGAGGAGGGGCGTGCTGGGGAGGAGGGGCGTGCTGGGAAGGAGGGGTGTGCTGGGAAGGAGGGGTGTGCTGGGAAGGAGGGGCGTGCTGGGAAGGAGGGGCGTGCTGGGGAGGAGGGGCGTGCTGGGGAGGAGGGGCGTGCTGGGGAGGAGGGCGTGCTGGGAAGGAGGGGCGTGCTGGGAAGGAGGGGCGTGCTGGGAAGGAGGGGTGTGCTGGGAAGGAGGGGTGTGCTGGGAAGGAGGGGTGTGCTGGGAAGGAGGGGCGTGCTGGGAAGGAGGGGCGTGCTGGGAAGGAGGGGCGTGCTGGGAAGGAGGGGGCGTGCTGGGAAGGAGGGGCGTGCGGGAAGGAGGGGTGTGTGTGGGAAGGAGGGGTGTGCTGGGAAGGAGGGGTGTGCTGGGAAGGAGGGGCGTGCTGGGAAGGAGGGGCGTGCTGGGAAGGAGGGGCGTGCTGCTGGAGGAGGGGCGTGCTGGGGAGGAGGGGCGTGCTGGGAAGGAGGGGTGTGCTGGGAAGGAGGGGCGTGCTGGGGAGGAGGGGCGTGCTGGGGAGGAGGGGCGTGCTGGGGAGGAGGGGCGTGCTGGGGAGGAGGGGCGTGCTGGGGGGGAGGGGCGTGCTGGGGAGGAGGGGCGTGCTGGGAAGGAGGGGCGTGCTGGGAAGGAGGGGCGTGCTGGGGAGGAGGGGCGTGCTGGGGAGGAGGGGCGTGCTGGGGAGGAGGGGCGTGCTGGGGAGGAGGGGCGTGTGCTGGGGAGGAGGGGTGTGCTGGGGAGGAGGGGCGTGCTGGGAAGGAGGGGCGTGCTGGGGAGGAGGGGCGCGTGCTGGGAGGAGGGGCGTGCTGGGGAGGAGGGGCGTGCTGGGGAGGAGGGGCGTGCTGGGAAGGAGGGGCGTGCTGGGGAGGAGGGGCGTGCTGGGGAGGAGGGGCGTGCTGGGGAGGAGGGGCGTGCTGGGGAGGAGGGGCGTGCTGGGGAGGAGGGGTGTGCTGGGAAGGAGGGGGTGTGCTGGGAAGGAGGGGCGTGCTGGGAGGAGGGGCGTGCTGGGGAGGAGGGGGTGCTGGGGAGGAGGGGCGTGCTGGGAGGAGGGGCGTGCTGGGGAGGAGGGGCGTGCTGGGGAGGAGGGGTGTGCTGGGGAGGAGGGGTGTGCTGGGAGGAGGGGGGTGCTGGGGAGGAGGGGCGTGCTGGGGAGGAGGGGCGTGCTGGGGAGGAGGGGCGTGCTGGGGAGGAGGGGCGTGCTGGGGAGGAGGGGCGTGCTGGGGAGGAGGGGCGTGCTGGGAAGGAGGGGCGTGCTGGGAAGGAGGGGCGTGCTGGGAAGGAGGGGCGTGCTGGGAGGAGGGGCGTGCTGGGGAGGAGGGGCGTGCTGGGGAGGAGGGGCGTGCTGGGGAGGAGGGGCGTGCTGGGGAGGAGGGGCGTGCTGGGGAGGAGGGGCGTGCTGGGAGGGAGGGGCGTGCTGGGAAGGAGGGGCGTGCTGGGAAGGAGGGGTGTGCTGGGAAGGAGGGGTGTGCTGGGAAGGAGGGGGCGTGCTGGGGAGGAGGGGGCGTGCTGGGGAGGAGGGGCGTGCTGGGGAGGAGGGGTTGTGCTGGGAAGGAGGGGCGTGCTGGGAGGAGGGCGTGCTGGGAGGAGGGGCGTGCTGGGAAGGAGGGCGTGCTGGGAAGGAGGGGCGTGCTGGGAAGGAGGGGGCGTGCTGGGAAGGAGGGGCGTGCTGGGAAGGAGGGGTGTGCTGGGAAGGAGGGGTGTGCTGGGAAGGAGGGGTGTGCTGGGAAGGAGGGGTGTGCTGGAAGGAGGGGTGTGCTGGAAGGAGGGGTGTGCTGGGAAGGAGGGTGTGCTGGGGAGGAGGAGGTGTGCTGGGGAGGAGGGGCGTGCTGGGAAGGAGGGGTGTGCTGGGAAGGAGGTGTGCTGGGAAGGAGGGGCGTGCTGGGAAGGAGGGGCGTGCTGGGAAGGAGGGGTGTGCTGGGAAGGAGGGGTGTGCTGGGAAGGAGGGCGTGCTGGGAAGGAGGGGCGTGCTGGGAAGGAGGGGCGTGCTGGGAAGGAGGGGCGTGCTGGGAAGGAGGGGCGTGCTGGGAAGGAGGGGTGTGCTGGAAGGAGGGGTGTGCTGGGGAGGAGGGCGTGCTGGGCAGGAGGGGCGTGCTGGGAAGGAGGGGTGTGCTGGAAGGAGGGGGTGTGCTGGGGAGGAGGGGCGTGCTGGGGAGGAGGGGCGTGCTGGGGAGGAGGGGTGCTGGGGAGGAGGGGTGTGCTGGGGAGGAGGGGTGTGCTGGGAAGGAGGGGCGTGCTGGGAAGGAGGGGCGTGCTGGGAAGGAGGGGTGTGCTGGGAAGGAGGGGTGTGCTGGGAAGGAGGGGTGTGCTGGGAAGGAGGGGTGTGCTGGGAAGGAGGGGTGTGCTGGGGAGGAGGGGGTGTGCTGGGGAGGAGGGGTGTGCTGGGAAGGAGGGGTGTGCTGGGAAAGGGGGGTGTGCTGGGGAGGAGGGGTGTGCTGGGAAGGAGGGGTGTGCTGGGAAGGAGGGGTGTGCTGGGAAGGAGGGGTGTGCTGGGAAGGAGGGGTGTGCTGGGGAGGAGGGGTGTGCTGGGAAGGAGGGGTGTGCTGGGGAGGAGGGGTGTGCTGGGAAGGAGGGGTGTGCTGGGAAGGAGGGGTGTGCTGGGGGGAGGGGCGTGCTGGGGAGGAGGGGCGTGCTGGGGAGGAGGGCGTGCTGGGGAGGAGGGGCGTGCTGGGGAGGAGGGGCGTGCTGGGGGTGGGGATGGGCGTGCTGGGGGGGGGGAGGGGCGTGCTTGGGGGGGGGGGAGGGGCGTGCTGGGGGGGGGGAGGGGCGTGCTTGGGGGGGGGATGGGCGTGCTTGGGGGAGGGGAGGGGCGTGCTGGGGGAGGGATGCATCAGCAAGACTAAGGGACATGCTGGCGGGCAGGGAGGTGCTGGTGGTGGATGACAACGCCGTCAACCGCCTCGTGGCCCGGAAGAGAGCTTCCTTACCCCTCTCCTCCCTTCCCTTTCCCCTCTCTCCCCTTTTCTTTCCCCCATTTTCCTGTCAGATTTTCGCCCCGCCTGCAGCTCCCTCTGCGCCCAGCGCGCAGGCAGAGGCCTCAGAGCAACGGGACGACCTTCCACAGCAACTGCTTTCCCGGCTCGCCCTGGAAGACGCATCGGCCGTGTTAAGATCCATGCTGGCCGGCAGGGAGGTGCTGGTGGTGGATGACAACGCCGTCAACCGCCTCGTGGCCCGGAAGAGCCTCGTGGGGCTGGGGCGCGCGTGGAGCTGGCTGCCAGTGGGGAGCTGGCGCTGCAGCGCTTACTGCACCCCCACTCGTTTGTGCTCGCCCTCGTGGACATCAACATGCCTCCAGGAATCGACGGGTGAGTTTTGAGCCTTGGTGCCCCTTCTGCTACTTCTGGTATTTCTTGGAGGGGTTAGGAGGAAGAGCCTCGTGGGGCTGGGGGCGCGCGTGGAGCTGGCTGCGAGTGGGGTGCTGGCCCTGCAGCGCCTGCTGCACCCCCACTCGTTTGTGCTGGCTCTGGTTGACATCAACATGCCCCCGGGCATTGATGGGTGAGTCTCTAGCCAAGCACCTTGGTGCCCTCGCCCTGCAGCGCCCGCCTCCTGCTGCACCCGCACAGCTTTGTGCTGGCTCTTGTGGACATCAACATGCCCCCGGGCATTGACGGGTGAGTATTGAGTCTTGATGCTTGGGTCTTGGTGCTTTGTCCTTGATGCTTGGTGCTGCCTCTGGGGACCCTTCCCTGCAGCGCCTGCTGCACCCGCACAGCTTTGTGCTGGCTCTCGTTGATATTAAAATGCCCCCGGGCATTGACGGGTGAGTCTCAAGCCAAGCACCTTGGTGCCCCTCGCCCTGCAGCGCCTGCTGCACCCACACAGCTTTGTGCTGGCTCTCGTTGACATCAACATGCCTCCAGGGATTGACGGGTGAGTTGCATTGCGTGGCTCTCCTGGTTATTTCGGTGCTTCTTCTGCTTCTGCTGCTGCGGAAAGGCTTGTGATAAGTTCCTGCAAGCAATGGAAGCGCATGGAAACAGCAACCACAGCTTATGTTCTTCTGCTTCTGCTGAAGGGGTTTGTGATGAGTCTGTGCAAGCAAGGGAAGGGCATGGAAACAGCAACCACAGCTTCTGTCCTTTTTCCGTTTCTCCCTCTTTCCTATTTTTCCCCACCACAGTTTCGAGACGTGTCGCCACATCAGGGCACGGGAAGCTCTGGCCAACCCTCCCCCCCTTCAGCTGCTGCTGCCGCTGGTGCTGCTGCATCTGCATCTGCCGCTGCTACTGCTACTGCCCCTCCGCGGCTGTGTGTGGTGGCGCTGACAGCGGACCTGGATGCGAGAATCCGCAAGGCGTGTGAGCAGTCGGGATGGATGGAGCGATATCCAAGCCCATCGTGGCACAGGACCTGCTCTCTGTGCTCCGAGCTGCTGGTTTCGCTGCTCCCAATGCTGCAGCCTGCTCTTGACTGAGATTGGGGCCCTCACAGCGCAGCAGCGCGTCAGGCGTGTGAGCAGGCGGGCATGGACAGGGCGATTTCCAAGCCCATAGTGGCCCAAGACCTGCTCTCCGTGCTCAGAGCTGCCGGCTTTGCTGCTCCCAGTGCTACACTCAGCTCTTGATTCGGGCCTGGAACTTGCCTGGAGCTTTCTGCATCTACTGCTGCTGGTACTGCTCCTCCTCCTCCTCTGCCTCCTCTTCCCTCTTTCCCTTCTCCCCCCCTCCATGGCTGTGTGTGGTGGCGTTGACAGCGGACCTGGATGCGAGGATCCGCAAGGCGTGTGAGCAGGCGGGCATGGACGGGGCCATTTCCAAGCCCATTGTGGCACAGGACCTGCTCTCCGTGCTGCGAGCTGCGGGCTTTACTGCTGCACCCTCTGCTGCAGCCAGTTCTTGAGTGAGCTACTTACTGCTTGGAGCCCTCACAGCAGCGAGTGCAAGGCGTGTGATCAGGCGGGCATGAACGGGGCCACCGCCAAGCCCATTGCTGCACAGGACCTGCTCTCTGTGCTCAGAACAGCAGGCTTTGCTGCTCCCACTGCTGCTGGCGGCTCTTGAGTTGGGTACTGGCTTGTATCCTCCTCCTTCTGCTGCTGCTGCTGCTGCTGCTGTCTCTGCTGGCGGCTCTTGACTCGGGTGCTGGCTTGGATCCTCCTTCTGCTGCTGCTGCTGCTGCTGCCGCCGCCGCCGCCGCCGCCGCCACCACCACCACCACCGCCGCCGCCGCCGCCGCTGCTGCTTCTGGACGGCATTTGAGCTGTGGCGTTCGCTGCAGGAGCACCGCGTGAAGCAGCAGCGGCGATTTGAAGCAGCAGCAGCAGCAGCACCTGGGTTATCACCTCTTCCTGGGTCACCTGCAGCAGCACCGCGGTGGTAGAGTTTCATACTCCCCAGCTGCCTCTCCATTTTGTGGAATCTCTACCTTAACTGCAAGATATGCGGCGGTTGGGTCTATGGACGAAAGTGTCACATGTTTATTTAACAACCTCAAGAGTGGACAAAGCCAGGGTCGGGTACTGGTCATGACTAATGACTCGTGAGTCTCGATAGCATGGTCCGAGCATAACCATAATACGGTAGCAGGAGCAACAAGCCTCCTCATAGGCTTAAACACTTGTAAGTCTATACACCTTGGATTTTAGAGACTCAAGTTTGTACATCAACCGCCTCTTGATGGTGCTACTGGCGCGATACTCTTAGCATGCTTTGTACGGTAGTTCGACTTGCTTGATTTTCAGTCAGCTATTGTCAACATCAGACTTGTAGAAATTAGAGATTATTTAATTGTTATTATTTGCTTTATTTCAAAACTATAATGTACAATCCTCCCCCATTTGTATCAATGCTTTCTCCGGATGTGAAATCTGTGTAGTCCGCCCACCACCGAGGCCACCCTCTAGAAGCGGAACCACTTGAATTGGAGATTTCGCCGTGACTCGCGCCAGGTTCAATTGCGTTCATAACGGTTTACAGCTGTGCAAAATCACGCTTGAACGCGACCCAGTAAAGCAACTTGATGGAACCATTGAAACAAACTTGCTAAGGACCTACTCCGTAACTGGGATGAGTTCAAGTGAGCTAATCAGCTTCATAACCATCTTGAGAACTCCCCATAAAGCCATTAGGATGATGGTTGCCATGGAGGCGACATCACATCTTAATTCCTCACCCCTTTTTAATGCTGTTATGACATCCTAGGTCGAAAAAAAAAATGCGGTGTTAAATGCCATAAAAGCATCAAGGTGCAATGTATATTCACGTCTTGTACCTCGTCTAAAAAATATTTTCATCGAAACGAGGCATGCATGCATCATCACCAGTTGAAGAAACTTTGTAAGCTGGCATGCCAATTGATTTATATTGAAGGATGTAAGATGGATCGACGGTAATGGTTCAGCTACAGGTCGCCCAATTTTGCACATAATTATCCTTCTCCCTCAATCCTTAGTTGATTTCTACAATAACGTCAACCAACAGATTAATACTGAAAGGTGGCATCATTGGAGAACGTGTGTGTGCGATCTTGGCAGAGCATGCTGACAAACACCACGCTTCTTGACCAAGTCATGAAGTGGGACGCCGTATTAGCCCCGAATCAGGGTGAGAGCAGGGGGAAGATTAGATGTTGGTCTACAAATGAGGTAATGATGGCTCATGATAATTATGCTTTCACAGAAAGGTTTACAATCCCACACACACATTACTCTGCGCCTTTCTCTTGCTGCAATGCCTCTAAGAGGATTGCTAAATCCCTCTCCGAACCTAACTCCCCTTCGCCAATCCCTTCCTCCACATCTCCTATCCCCCCCTGGACGTTCTCACTCAAATCACCTATCCTCCATCCCCTCTCTCCTCCCTTCCCTCCTCCCATCCCTCCATCCTCAGGTGCATCAAGAATCGCCTGCCTCATTAGCTGCAGCCAACTGGTAGCTTCAGTAAGTTCCCCCTCAGTGCCTAACAAGGCTGCTGCAGCAGGACCTGCCTCTGTTGGGCTGATAAGTGCAGCATTGACTGCTGGGGCAAATGGAACCGACTGCCAAAGCGGCTCAAGGCTCCCAGCTGGCCATATGCTGGCATGCTGTCTTGACGAAGCAGCAGTGGTAGCTGGGGCAGTTGCAGCAGCAGCAGCAGCAGCAGCAGCAGCAGCAGCAGCAGCAGCAGCAGCAGCAGCAGCAGCAGCAGCAGCAGCAGCAGCAGCAGCAGCAGCAGCAGCAGCAGCAGCAGCAGCAGCAGCAGCAGCAGCAGTAGCAGCAGCGGCGGCGGCGGCGACAACAGGGAGTGTCACGCCAGCAGCAGCAGGAGTCGAAAATGTTACGGCAGAGGCAGCAGGAGAGGTGTTGAGGGAGCTGAGGCCGTTGTTTGAAGTGTACTGAGCATTCCCGAAACAGGCACCGGACCCGTTTGTGGATGGACAGTGTGGGGATGGAAGAGGAGGGGGAGATGGTAGAGACTGGAACAAAGGGAGAGAAAGTTGGGAGGGGATGGAGGGGACAGAGGGGCTAGAGTGGGAAGAAGGGAGAGAGGGGGAAGAGTTGAGAGAGGTGAAAGAGGAAGGAATGGGAGGGGAGTGGAGAGATTGAGCAGCTGCAGCATCAGCAGCAGCTCTGCTATGCGTCTGGGGCGTTTCAAAAACATATCCCTGGGTACCCAACAGTGCATGGACAGCAGCAACAGCATTGGCATCTGCAGCAGCACTGCTGTGCGTTTGGGGCGTTTCAAAAACATATCCCTGGTTACCCAACAGAGCGTGGACAGTAGACACAGCAGCGCTTCTCTCTTGAAGTGCCTCCGACACGGGTGCCCTCTGTTGGAGCCCCTCAGACACCAGTGCCCTCTCGGAGGGCAGTGACATCTTGGCCGGCTGTAGCATCTCGGAGGGCAGTGACATCTTGGCCGGCTGTAGCATCTCGGAGGGCAGTGACATCTTGGCCGGCTGTAGCATCTCGGAGGGCAGTGACATCTTGGCCGGCTGTAGCATCTCGGGGGGCTGTAGCGCCTTGGAGGGTTGTAGCAAGGCTTGGGTTGCTGCTGCCCTGCTTTGGTGCAGAGTACTGTTACTGTTCATGAGTGGGCGAGTGGTAGGAGGGCCTTCAGTGGGAGGAGGAGGAGGAGGAGAGGGAGTGGCCGCAGCTAGATGAACCGGAGTGGAGTTAACAGAGGAGAGGGGAGTTGGGGAAAGAGCAGGGGATGGAACTGCATTGAAAGCCTGGCAGTGAGAGTGCTGCTGCTGCTGTTGCCGTTGCCACTGATGTTGCTGCTGCTGTTGCTGTTGCTGCTGCTGCTTTACCGAGGCCGTTTGCGCTCCAAGCCAAGGAGCATTCACCACACCTTGAGGGTGGTTGTGAAGAAGCCCTTCCGACATAATATCTTGAGCGTGGTTGCTGCTTGCTCCCAACAGTGAAGGCAACAAGCGTTGCGCTCCAAGCAAAGGAGCATTGACCACACCTTGAGGGTGGTACTGAAGCCCTTCCAACAGCAAATCTTGGATTGCTGCTCGCAGCATTTCTTGTGGCACCAACGCCATCCAAACCTCCTGTGCCAGGTTGGAAAGAGAATCCAGGTTCGGCCGAAGCAGGTTAGGAGATGAGCCCATCTTCGGCCGAGGCAGGCTAGGAGATGAGCCCAGGTTCGGCCGAGGCAACTCAAACGATGGAGCTAGGTTCGGCTGAAATGGCAAGTCAGGGCCTTGGGAAGGGCTGATGAAGGGATACTGGGCAGGCGGGAGCACATTGCATGATTGATATACGGGTTCCACAGTAGAGTGACCCTCCGCTTGCTGCTGTTGTGAGCTCAGAAGAAATCCAGCAAGGGGTCCTTTCGTTGGCTGAGTAGGTATCTGACTGGATGCGTATGCTGTTGCTGTTGGTGCTGGTGTTTCTGCTGCTGCCACTACTGCTGGCGTTGCTGCTGGTGCTATTGTTGCTGCTGCTTCTGTTGCTGCTGCTGTTGCTGATGGCCGTGGGCTGGAGAGTGGGTGTTTGGGATCGCCCTTGAGTGTTCTCCAAGCCTCCTCAGTCGACGTTTTCACATGAGCTGCCACCTTAAGGGGTGGAATTTCAGAAGGCATCCCCGTTAGAAGATTGCCCAGCTTGATTTCCAAGGCATGCCGATGGTTTCGTTCGGTCGTGGAAGGGGAATGGTTGTGCCGACCCATCAGCACCACTCGGATCACCTTCCTCTGCTTCTCGCTGCTTCCAATTCCAGCCAAACCATCAGCCAAGCCGGCGGGGTTCCCATCATCACCAGCGCCACCATCACCAGCAGCGGTTTTGTCCAGTGCAAGTCTGTCCTCCACTTTACGTGCCTTGCACCCCGTCACGGCCTTGCACGCACACCAGTAGTACACTCTCTTGACTGGCTTCCCAGCCAGCCACTTGTGAGACCCCTTCTTCCATCGATACCACCTGTGATCCTCGTTGCTGCCTCCTGCCTCTTGGTTGCTATCGCCGGCCTCCTCTGCAGAAGCAGCTTCAACCGCAGCAGCAGCAGCAGCTTTAACAGCAGCAAGAGCTGCAGGATCGTCAGTAGAACCAGCGTCCCTGCTTCTTGAACTTGGTTGTTGCTGCTGCTGCTGCTGCTGCTGCAGTTGCCTCTGCCGCTGCCTCTGCGGCTTGTTCTCTTCACAAAGACCCACTTCCGCCACCACCGCCGCCGCCACTGCTGCTGCTCTCCTCCGCTTCTTTCCTGCTTGAAGGCCGCCTCCTCCGGCCCCACCTGTGCTGCTGGAATGGTGAGCTTGCTGCCAATGCAGGTCGCTCTCTCCACAAGGATCCACTTCAGCTTCCGCTTCCGCCGCCACCGCCGCCGCCGCCGCCGCCACCACTGCCGCCGCCGCTGCTGCCACCGCCACCTCTGCTCTCCTCCGCTTCTTTCTTGCTAGAAAGCCGCCTCCTCCGCCAGCCCCATTCTCCGCCGCTCTCTTCCGCCGATCTCTCTGCGACGCTTCACAACCGCCTTGCAGCTGGCCCACCTCAGACCGCCTCTTCCGCAGAGGAGGAGCAGCAGGGACCAAAACCTTGCTGCTGCCGCCGCCCCCACCAATGATACCACAGCTTTGATCTCGCAGCAGCGCCTCAAAGCTGTCTTGCAGCTGCCCGCCCACCTCAGACCGCCTCATTCCCAGAGGAGGAGCAGCAGGGGCCAAAACCTTGCTGCTGCCGCCGCCCCCACCAATGATACCACAGCTTTGATCTCGCAGCAGCGCCTCAAAGCTGTCTTGCAGCTGCCCGCCCACCTCAGACCGCCTCATTCCCAGAGAAGGAGCAGCAGGGGCCAAAACCTTGCTGCTGCCGCCGCCCCCACCAATGATACCACAGCTTTGATCTCGCAGCAGCGCCTCAAAGCTGTCTTGCAGCTGCCCGCCCACCTCAGACCGCCTCATTCCCAGAGAAGGAGCAGCAGGGGCCAAAACCTTGCTGCTGCCGCCGCCCCCACCAATGATACCACAGCTTTGATCTCGCAGCAGCGCCTCAAAGCTGTCTTGCAGCTGCCCGCCCACCTCAGACCGCCTCATTCCCAGAGAAGGAGCAGCAGGGGCCAAAACCTTGCTGCTGCCGCCGCCCCCACCAATGATACCACAGCTTTGATCTCGCAGCAGCGCCTCAAAGCTGTCTTGCAGCTGCCCGCCCACCTCAGACCGCCTCATTCCCAGAGAAGGAGCAGCAGGGGCCAAAACCTTGCTGCTGCCGCCGCCCCCACCAATGATACCACAGCTTTGATCTCGCAGCAGCGCCTCAAAGCTGTCTTGCAGCTGCCCGCCCACCTCAGACCGCCTCATTCCCAGAGAAGGAGCAGCAGGGGCCAAAACCTTGCTGCTGCCGCCGCCCCCACCAATGATACCACAGCTTTGATCTCGCAGCAGCGCCTCAAAGCTGTCTTGCAGCTGCCCGCCCACCTCAGACCGCCTCATTCCCAGAGAAGGAGCAGCAGGGGCCAAAACCTTGCTGCTGCCGCCGCCCCCACCAATGATACCACAGCTTTGATCTCGCAGCAGCGCCTCAAAGCTGTCTTGCAGCTGCCCGCCCACCTCAGACCGCCTCATTCCCAGAGAAGGAGCAGCAGGGGCCAAAACCTTGCTGCAGCCGCCGCCCCCACCAATGATACCACAGCTTTGATCTCGCAGCAGCGCCTCAAAGCTGTCTTGCAGCTGCCCGCCCACCTCAGACCGCCTCATTCCCAGAGAAGGAGCAGCAGGGGCCAAAACCTTGCTGCTGCTAGTAATAGTTGTACCAGCAATAGTAGTAGAAGTTGTGGGGCTTATTCCATGAGTCATTTGCACGTGAAGAGAGCTGACAGAACTTGCTGTGGGCATCGGGGCTGGATCATGGAGCACGCTGGAAATGGAGGTGTGCTCCCCGTGAGCACTTTCACTTATAGCCGTGATCTGAATTTGTACTCTCTCAACCGTACTGTAATTCCAACCGTGGTACTTTTGACTGTGCTCTCAATTGGACTCTCGACCGTATTCTCAACCGCGCCCTCAACCGTACCCTCAACTGCACCCTCAACCGCTTCAGCCGTTCTGAAACCCTCACTCAGGCTTTGGTCGTTGGGAGGGGAGCACGTGGTCGAAAGGGCCGCACGCTTTCTCAACAAACAGTGTAGTGTCGTGTTTGAAAGCTCCTAAATCCAAGTGATTGAGAAATGCAGCAGAGAAGGCTAGAATAGGGTAAAGAAGAGTGGGAGAATAGTAGAAAAGAGTAGCGTAGAGTAGAGTAGAACTGGAGAGTGATTCAGGTCAGAAGGATGATCGAATGCCCTTGAGTCGACGCAGAGACTGAAAGACACCGTGACTGGAGAGTGATTTGGATCAGTGTATAACCAAATGCTCCTCCTCCTGATCAGGAGAGCCCAACGCCACACATTCGCAACCACCCATTTTCTTGCCAGCACCACATGCCCTCCCTTTCTTCCGCTGTCAAAATGGAGCCCCCCCGCCTTCCCTCCTCTGAGCTAGGATTTTTGCCCACTCACCTATTGCGCCGAGCCAACCACATTACCGAGACCATTGTCCTTCGGTTCATTCTACCCAATAGTTGGCCTGCTTCAGGTAAGGAAAGTTCGCTCTGCTCTGACGTGTGGATCACTGGTTGGGCCTTTGTTGTATGTTTATCGCAGGTTTTTTGGAGTCCTCAGAAGTTGAAGCCACCTGCCTCCCCAGTTTATGGTTCAAGTGATGTATGGGGTTGGCTCTGCTCTCTGGTTGGTTGGTCGTTGTTCCGTCAAGAATGGGGTCTCGTTACGTCATCCAAGCTCTCCTGTGTCTTGCATGATCTCCTGGTGTCCCTGGTCGACGCTGCTCGTTCTGGTGCGGCGGTTTCTCACGTCAGTCTCGCTAGTGGACGCCTGGGCCATAGCCCAGGCTTACGTTTCCTCACGTATGCTCCGTCTGTTTCTCGGCATGCATGCTTCGCGACTCCATTCTGCTTATCTGGCAAACTACGTCTCCTCGTGTGCTGCGGCCATTGCCAAAGCCACGCTTCGATTTTCAATGTCTTAACAATTTTTTGGATCTGGCGGCTCGGTGTTTCTTTTTCACCTTGGCCTGACGATGGGCCTGACGTTCCCAGCTATAAGTTTCTCAGTCAACTCTCTCTCTCCTCACCACCAAGCGCAATGGCCTCCCAGCATAACCCAGACGAGTTCATGGCGGACGGGGACCTGGACCCCTCCTTCTCGGTCGAGTCTTTCTTTGCCGAGGATGCTGCGCCCCCTGCTGTCTCCGCGCCGCCTCCCGCCAAGAGGGTCTGTGCTGCCGCCTCTTCCAGCTCTGCGCCAGTGGCTCCTCCGGCTGTCTCCCAGAGGCCGACGGTCGCTCATCCTATGGCCCCGGTGGCTGGACCGTCTAACGCCGTGCCTTCCACGTCTACCTCTACCCAGGAAGTAGCCCCGGTTCCCGCCCTGAACCTCACTGGCCGCTTTCTTCGCCTCCGTCGTAATCGGGAGACTGTCGGTGTTGTCGTGGAAAACCTGGTCCGCGATACTCAGTCGGTTGTCGTCGTGCTGTTCCCTGAAGCCCTGGAGCCTCACCGCAGCCGTATTGTCACTCGCGTGCGCAGTGTGCTGCGCGGACGAGATTTTGCTGGTGGTCGTGTGCCGGCCTTCGAGGCTTCTGCCGGCGAGCTGTTGCGTCTCCCTCGCCGGTCCTATGCTCGCCACGTGTTCCAGTGGCCTTCGCGGGATGATGCCGCTCGTTTCCGTGCTCTGCTGCCGATTACCTACCATGCGTCTGACGGCCCAACTGCGGAAATCAAGGCCTTCACCGACCCTGTCCCCGATTTCACTGCTGCCAAGGCTCGGGGTGAGCCGGTATTGGTGATTCGCAACATCCCTATCGGCTACGCCACGCAGGATGTCAAGGATCTGCTCGTCACTCGCTGTAACGCGGATGGTGCCAGGTGGTTGGGTGACCTGCAGTTTTTTCATAAGGTGTTTGACCCGTATGAGGAATCTTACCTTCCCCAGATGGCTGGCATTCCGGTTGCTCCTGTGAATGACCCGCGGTTTGAGAACATTCCTGCAGTGATCTGGCTCCCCGCCGTTCAGGAGCCGTTGCTCGTCAATGTCTCCTCCCATTCCTGCGATGTCTGCCCCAATAATCACCGTACTCGGGACCACAGCAGCTTCGCTACGGTCCGAAGGAACCGTCTTACCAACCCCTTCCCTCTCTCCTGCTGCCTTGTTCTATGGGCCCTTGTTTATGCTTGGCTCTCGCTGGTCTCATTGTTTTTCTTGGTTCAGTTATGCTATGTCACCCTTCTTTGCATATTCTGCCAGCTTTTTCCCCCTCCAACTTTGCTTGGTTCTGCCCTTCCCATCCCGCCTCGGGAAGGCTGGTTCCTCTCATCCTTTGTGGTTCTCCTTCTATTACCTCCTGCTCTCTCCATAATTGCAGCCAGGGTCATTGGCCAACATTCGGCTGTGGTGGCTTTCAAGGCCGACCCCGGCTTGCTGTTCATCGGAACCGACACAGAGGTCGAGGTCTGGACCTGTGGCCTCTGTTCCTTCTGCTGTGGCTGGGCACTAGACAGTGCCATGGAGCATCTTGCCAGCCCAGCGCACGCTGCTGCGCTCCTGAACGTCTCTGGCAAAGCTACTCCCATCGAGGAGCTCGGGGACATGAAGGTCCACGATCTCAACAGGAACGACGCCATCACTGCCTTCCTTGCGTAGGAATAGTAGTGACTTGTGTCGGCCTTGCTTCTCTCGATATCTCCTTCCCCAGCAGGATGTGGTTCATGGTGTACGAGGAGCTGTTTGAGCTGTTTGGAATAAATGATGGCTGCGGAAACCTTGTACTCACTTCCAGGACTACTGGTCATAATCTGAATAACGTGGCTCAATGTAGGAAACCTTGGCCTTCTGGGAAGGTCCCCCTCAACCCCCGTGGATGTGTGCTGTCCTCAGCACAAGGGGCTGTCAGAATATTATGCTCTAGCCTGTAGTGGGGTGCTCTGTAGCGAGTACAACCCTTCTAGGGTTTGCTATTTGTATCCCCATTCTTGCTAGTTCAGCCCTCTTTTGCCTTCATTCTCTCTTGCCTAGCTAGGTCAACCCTAGCTATGGCTCCTCAGTATACCTACTATCACGACATGGTATCAGAGCTTAACGTTCCTGGCCTGTGGGCCCACTTCACTGCTTCCGCTGCTACTGCTACTCCCTGTCCGCCGCGCGCCCCGTGGTGCGCGGCGTCGAAACTAGGGTTTTCAGCCCGCCGTGCGCCCCGAGGCGCGCGGCGGTTTTCTGCCCGCCGTGCGCCCCGAGGCGCGCGGCGGTTCTCTGCCCGCCGTGTGCCCCGAGGCGCGCGACGGGTTCCTGCCCCGTCACTCGGCACGTCGCCCCCGGGAGGCGCTGCGACGGGCGACGGGGACCCGCGCGTCGCCCCCCGTCGCCCGTCGTGGCCTGCACGCGGCCCGTACACCCGGCACGCGGCCCGTACGGGCTGCGCCAGGCCTGCGCGCGGCCCGTACGGGCTGCGCCAGGCCCGCGCGCGGCCCGTACGGGCTGCGCCAGGCCCGCGCGCGGCCCGTACGGGCTGCGCCAGGCACGCGCGCGGCCCGTACGGGCTGCGCCAGGCCCGCGCGCGGCTCGGACCGCCTGCGCGCGGTTCGGGAGGCGGTGCCAGGCCCGTGGGCGGCCCGTTCTTCGCTTCCCCTGTCCTCCCCGCTGTCCCCCGTGCTTCTGAAGGCGCCCCACCCCTCCTTCTGCCCGTTCTCCTGGATTAGGGTTTGGGGTGGGGGGTATGGGGGTGCAGCTTCAGTGTGCCGTTCCCTGCTCCTCCTCCTCCCTCGTCTCCCTCTGCTACAGCTGCCGCTGAGGGGGGTGGTGTGTGGGAGCCTAGGGTTTGGGGTTTAAGGGGGGTGCCGTGGGAGTGGAGCTAGGGTTCAGCAGGGGGTGTGTGTCGAGGGGTGTGTGGGGCAGTTGGAGGAGGTTGAGCGGAGGTTGCCGTCGTGTCGTCCGCAGCACCTGTATTCCGGGGCCTTTCTCCTCCCGGTAGCTCAGAGAGCCGGTTGCACCTGTCGCCCGTGGGTCCGTTGCTACTGTCGCTGGCTGATCAGTTGCAGAGCCTGTTACTCCTGTATTCCGGGGCCTTTCTCCTCCCGGTAGCCACCAGCGTTGCACCAGAGCCGTCTGTTGCCCGAGTGTCTGCAGCTTCAGTCGTCGCCTCCACTCTTCTCTCATCTCACCAGCCCTCCTCCTCCTCGCTTGCCCTCTGTGACAGCTTTAGCTTTACCCATAATTGTGAACCTTAAACTATTGCTTCTTGCTTGTGCTCAGAATGAGTGGTGACATCGTGATCCACCCTGAGCTTGTACTGCTTTGTTTCCTCTGCTGATTACACCCCACTTTGGCTATGGGGGTGTGTCAGAATATTATGCTCTAGCCTGTAGTGGGGTGCTCTGTAGCGAGTACAACCCTTCTAGGGTTTGCTATTTGTATCCCCATTCTTGCTAGTTCAGCCCTCTTTTGCCTTCATTCTCTCTTGCCTAGCTAGGTCAACCCTAGCTATGGCTCCTCAGTATACCTACTATCACGACAGGGGCTAGCTGTTATGGTTCCCATGGATTTACAACTAACCATATACTGTCTCAATGTTAATGGTTTAAACTCCTCTGCCAAGATGGACTCTCTCAGGGTTTGGTTAGCCAGGAATCTCTCGGATATCTTGATTCTCATAGACACTCGACTTTCTTCCAGTTTTAGGAACCTCATTTACAAATTTCGGCCACATGCATATGCCCAAGTTCCTCCTCTGGTTAACCCCTCCCAAACTTTACCCGGTGGTATTGCGATCTTGGTGTTTAATCATAGAGTCTCCATTTCAAGCCGCTGCTCTTCTGGTGATGGAAGAAGTCTAATGGTGCACTGTAACTTTCTGCATGAACAACTCAGGATCCTGGCCGTTTATGCCCCAAATTATTACCTTGATAGGAAAGCCTGGTGGTCCTCCACAGTGTCCCATTTCCTCTCTCAACCCTCTGCTTCTGATTCTACCATTCTAGCAGGAGACTTCAACAACATAATCAACCCTGCGGACAGGAACCGGGCTCTGCTGGCCTTTGAACAATCAGAAGCAAAAGTTCTGGAAGATCTTCTAATCTCCCACTCTCTCACCGACTCTTTCCATGATCAGTCGGTTACAGACCCTGTTTTCTCCTTCAAAGCTTCGGCACGGCTGCAAAGCCCACTGCTGTTCCGGCGGCCTCTCGGCTTGATAGAATCTATATCTCTTCCTCGTGGGAAAACCGTATACATCAAACTTCATATCCCTTTGTCTCTCAGGCTATCTCTGACCATTTCCGCTGCCCTTCCCTCTCGATCAAGTTCCGTGCTCTCAACCTGGCTCCACGGCCCTGGAGGTTCCCCCATCATTTAATCCTTAAACCTTTCGTCCTGCAGACCCTGGAGGGATGTCCCGCTCACTCCCTGAGCCTTGTTCTCCCACAGATTGGGATCGTTGGAAGTGCAGACTGCGGCGCAACCTGAAGTGGTTAAGCAAGGAAGAAAGGATTAGGGTTAAGAAAACGACATCTCATCTACAGGATGAAATATGCAAGCTTCAAATGCATTTGATCAAGAACCCCTCTGACTTTTCCTCCAGTATTCGGCTACAACACCTATCTTCCAGTCTGGAAGCATATGATAACAGTAAGGCTGCTGACATTGCACTCAAGGCAAAGTTAAAGGTGGAAGGCCCTCGGGAGATGGGTATCTCCTCCCTCTTGGTGGGGCTGCAGAAACGTATTAAAGACTCTGTGATTCCTCACCTTACGCTGCCGTCAGGAGAACTGTCTGCCGACCTATCGGTCATGGCTGACCTCTGTACGGACTACTTCTCTAACCTCTACAGTGGTGAGACGACCATCTCACGGAACAGGTCCTTTTGGGACCATGTCTTCCCTTCTTCCCTTCCTGCTGACTGTCTGTCCCGCCTGGATAAGCCCTTGTCCGCCTCGGAAATCGAGAACGCTCTTTCACGACTGGCCAAGGGTAAAACTCCTGGGTTGGACGGACCGCCTGGTGAGGTGTTCTGCTCTCACAGGAAACTGTTCGCCCCAATTTTTCATAAGCTCTGTACGGGCATTCTTTCCTCCGGGCAGGTTCCTGCTTCCATGCTTTCAGGACGGACTGTTCTGATCCCCAAGAAGGGCAAATCGGACCAAGTGGACAATCTGAGGCCCATTACGTTAATGAATGCAGATTACAAAGTCATCACTCTCGTCCTTGCATCCCGGCTCCAAGCTGTACTCCCGCGTCTCATCAGCCCTGCTCAGTCGGCCTTTATCAAAGGAAGAAGAATCGGTGACACCATTAATGATACTCTCGACCTCATGGATTGGGCAACTTCCCAACAAAACCCCCTCCTGGTTCTCACTGTGGACATCCGGAAAGCTTACGATTTGGTGGACCGGGAATTTTTGTACTCATGCCTCCTTCATATCGGTCTCCCCCCCAATTTCGTTACCTGGGTTAGGCTGCTGCATACAGGTACCACCACACGTGTCTCGGTTAATAATCTTGATGGCCCAGTTTTTCCCGTACGAACAGGGGTCAGACAGGGCTGCCCGTTAGCCCCACTCCTTTTCGTTTGTGTTATTGAAGTCATGCAACGGTTTTTTGAGTGTTTCCTTGCCTGGCTGCGTGTTCTGTAAAGCCCAAAGGAGGCTTATGGCCTGCTATGCAGACGATGTGTCGATTTTTCTCAATTCGGATCAGGAGTTGGCTGATGCCACCACCGCTCTTCAATCCTTCGCTGCTGTTTCCGGTGAGCACCCGAACTGGAACAAGTGTTCGATCCTGCCCATCCACATCCCCGTGTCCTCCATACAACATGCCGGACACATTCCTGTCCGCGTACCAGAGGAGGCAGAAAGAATCCTCGGGATCTATGTCGAGCAGGGTCAGCCAGGAAAAACCACTTGGGAAAACATTCTCAGTCGCATTCATTCAACCGCCTCCCTCCTATCTCGCCTTAAAGCCACCTCCACATGCAGGTCCCTTCTCTCCTCTGAAAGACTCACCTCCACCTACTCGTTTGGCGGACGGTTTCAATCTCCTCCTGAGGGAGTTCCCGACCAGCTCGACCGAGTGGTCGGAAACTTCTTGTCTTCTTCTAAGCACAAGGAACATGGTCTGGCAGTCCGTGTCATTCCCAAGCGCTTTCTGTACAACAAAAGGAAGCACGGGGGTATCGGTGCCATTCAACCTTCCTCTCATCTTAAAGCTCTGGCGCTTCAGCGGGCTGCTCGTAGATTCCAGGCTTCTCCGTATGAGGATATTGCCAGATCATGCGTTCCCCTTCCCTATGGCCTTCATTGTTTCCTGGCTCATCCCTCCATTATCAAGCTCCTCCCCCCACAGATTCCGTCGCGTGCTCGGGCGGAACTTGCTGCAGTGTTAGACCTCCCGGCAACCATCTCTCCACCACCGTTAGACCCATGGGTGCTCATGGCTGAACCCTTGGCCTTTAACAGACTCATCTGCGAAGGCTCGGGACTTCCTTTCGGCCGGCTCAAAAACGAGAAGTTCTTACTTACCCACCAACTCCGGTTAGGACACTTACTCGTGCAGCTTCCAGCAGGCACTCGGAGGATGACCAAAGCAGAAATCAAGATCAAATTCCCTCCCGCCTCCTTCCCTGGAAGCCGCAGCCTCGCAACGAAAATCTTCAAAGCCGTCCCGGAATCTTGGTGGCCTCCATTAGAATCATTTACACCCCGGCACGACTACCTTTCAGTTAACGACTGGGTCCTGGAGCACGATGGTATCCAGTGGCCAAGCCGTGCCCTCAAGGTTACCCTCGTCTTACCGGAGCAGAAAGCTAGGTTCGATATCTTCAAGGTAGAAGGAGGGCGGCAGGTGCAACAGGTCTCGTGCGGCAGCTGCATCAAGGCTTTTCATGAAGTCATCCCCATTCAGGTAGTTAGAGGGTGGATAGCAGGAACCTTGTCCGATGGAGCTGCTGTAGGTGCTCGTCACGACCTTCTCGGTACCTCTCCCTCTCTAACGGACATACGGAACCGGTTCTACCAGCCTCTCCCTCTTAATCACGTGGACCGATGGAACAGCTCTCTCCGTTTTCCCATACAGGCTCTTCCCAACCTGTGTCACTCGTTTCTCTCAGACCAACCATCACGGCATCGCGATGTTCTGTTTCGGCTCTACACCAGGACACTCCCTTCTGGCTCTCGCTTCCGGTTCTCGACCGCTAACGGAGCTTGCCCACGGTGCGGCCCTCCTGAGATTGAAGACTTACCGCATATGTTTTTCGATTGCGGCCAAGCCCTCGCAGTTGTTGCTGCTCTCCAGCGTGTCGCTCTACAACATCTTCACGTCAGTGTCGAAAATGCCGCGGTGTTCTTTCCCTTCAGCCACCCTGCTAGTCTCGTCGCCCCATGGTGTCTGCTGGTAGGTGCTGCTGCTGTTACTATTTGGCGAGATCGCTGCGCGTATCACTACGAACAAACGACCTTCAATAAAATCGAAACTCTGCATCGCGTTTTGGCGTTGTTCACCTCCGCCTGCAAAATCTACTTCGCACGTCGTAGCCGTTGGTCAACCAAGCGGAAGAACAAGACGAAGAACCGTGTTAAGGCTGCTACAAGCTACAGGTTTCTCTACTTCGACTCCCAAGGCGGCCCGCTGCTGCACCCTTCGCTCCAACGAACGTGGCTGCAGAACGACGTTTTTCATCCCCCCTAGAGGCTCTCTGCTTACTGGACACAGTGCCGCACTGAGAATTTTTCTCCGTGTGTTATCTTCGGATCTGCAAGTAACACTGTTTTGGTGTAGGCCTTTCAGACCTTGACTTTCTGTCATGCTTGTTGCGCTATTCCGTGTATGTGGTCACGACCATTAGTAAAACTTAAAACTTAAAACTTAAACCTGATCAGGAGAGCCAGTGCCGCGCGTCAAATCTCAACATTTGCACCTGCTCTCGGAATCGGGGCACGATTCGAAGCGGCCATCGCACGTTGTCATGTGGTCGGTCGCCGATTTTTCCCTTCTACTACTACTAGGGCCCCCAGTACACCGATTTGCACCTCCGATCCGAACTATACCACCGAAGTAAACCCCTCCGCTTCGAGAGGTAAACGCCTCGGGTTCCGAACCGAAAAAAAAAAAAAAAAAAAAAAAAAACAAGAGGCGACGACGTCGTCATAGGGTTGCGAAGCTTTTTGCATTATCAACATATGTTATACAACTTCTATTACTATGGATCTCGTTTTGCATGACTACCTAACTACTTATACCGAGTATGTAACTCTAGGCTGAGGTTTACAACAACTGTACTGTTTGGTTTCGAAGGTTCGATCACATCAAGGATCGATCTCCAGACCATCCGATTCGACAATGTCACCTTCACCACTACGCCAATTTCGACACCGAGGTAGGGAAAGAAACAATATTCATTTCGTAACTTATCGACGAAAGACATACCTACCTAGGGTTTCGTGAATCCTTTTCTGCTTGGTTTCGTTCTGGTTCAACTTCTCCAAGCTACTCCAATGATTCCCCCGACTCCTGTTCTCAGCTACTACTACCTAGGTGAGCGTTCTAAACTTAAGATGATAGTAGATACATCTTCTTAATCATTATCGTCTGTTTCAGTCGTTTAGACTTAGCAACTAGCCGTTTTACTGCTGGTCTTAATCCATTTCGACGACCAACCAGGTCGTTCTTTCTTTAGAGCCTGCAATGCTAGTTTTTCGTCTCACTTTCACAACATCTAGAATCGTCGCATAATTACTTTATCCATTTCGTTCTAGTTTCATTCCATGCTCACATTTCTTTCTCAATTCTTTGGCGCTTTGTAAATACTTTACATATTCTTTGTACATAATCTTGCATCTGATTCTTATGTTCTTCATCATGACTTCCATTAGTTTAGTGCATCATTCCTTCCTCGTATTTGCACATCTTTCTTCCACCTTTTGCTCTTCAGTTTAGGCTCTTTTGAAACCGTAGTTATGAATTATCTCTCACTCTCTCTATCTCGTCTCTTTCTCTTTTGTTCTCTCTCTCTCATTCTCTCTCTCTCTCTCTCTCTCTCTCTCTCTCTCTCTCTCTCTCTCTCTCTCTCTCTCTCTCTCTCTCCTCTCTCTCTCTCTCTCTCTCTCTCTCGCTCTCTCTCTCTCTCTCTCTCTCTCTCTCTCTCTCTCTCCTCTCTCTCTCTCTCTCTCTCTCTCTCTCTCTCTCTCGTTCTCTCTCTATCGTTCTCGCTCTCGT